TGTACGTCGAGATTTTTTGTTTTTATGTCCTTCATTTGAATCATCTATTGACTTTGTGCTTATGCGTGTCCTAATTTCATTTCTGGGATTTTGGTTTTGTGATTGCTTCTTCGAATATAATTGTTGGATCCTTCAATTAATCTACGCAGAAAAAGTTCGAGGAAGATGATGCCCCACCTAAGTACCAGAGCGTGGCCCTGATTGTGGGTGTGACCGGCATCGTCGGCAACAGCCTTGCCGAGATCCTTCCGCTGGCCGACACTCCCGGCGGCCCATGGAAGGTCTACGGCTTGGCTCGCCGGCCCCGGCCTTCTTGGAACGCTGATCATCCCATTGAATATATCCAGTGCGACATCTCCGATCTTGAAGACACCCAATCGAAGCTCTCACCTCTGTCGGATATCACCCACGTCTTTTATGTCACTTGGGCCAGCAGATCCACGGAGGCTGAGAACTGTGAAGTTAACGGTAAAATGTTCAGGAATTTACTCAGTGTCATTATCCCTAATTGCCCCAATTTGAAACATATTTGCTTACAAACCGGTAGAAAGCATTATATTGGGCCGTTCGAATTGTTTGGAAAAGTAAGCCATGATCCTCCTTACCATGAAGAATTGCCCCGGTTGGAGGCCCCCAATTTTTACTATGTTCTTGAGGACATTTTGTTTGAGGAACTGGAGAAGAAGGAGGGATTAACATGGTCTGTTCATCGACCTGGAAATATATTTGGGTTCTCTCCTTTCAGTAGGATGAACATTATTGGAACACTCTGTGTTTATGCTGCTATTTGCAAACAGCAAGGTATCCCTTTGAAGTTTCCGGGGTGCAAGGCAGCTTGGGAGGGTTACTCAGATTGCTCTGATGCGGATTTGATTGCCGAGCATCAAATCTGGTCTGCGGTTGATCCCTATGCCAAGAATGAGGCTTTTAATGTGAGCAATGGAGATGTATTCAAGTGGAAGCATTTCTGGCCGGTATTGGCCGAGCAGTTTGGAGTAGAGTGTGGAGGCTATGAGGGGGAGGATCTGAACTTGCAGGAAATGATGAAGGATAAAGGACCTGTTTGGGATGAGATAGTTAGGGAAAATGGGTTGGTGCCAACAAAATTGGAGGAGGTTGGAATCTGGTGGTTTGCTGATGTTGTCCTGAAATATCCTTGCCTTTTGGATACCATGAACAAGAGCAAGGAGCATGGCTTTTTGGGATTCAGAAACTCCAAAAACGCTTTCATTTCTTGGATTGATAAACAGAAGGCTTATAAGGTTGTTCCTTAGGTTTTATAAAGGTTCTGTTTATGTTTTCTTGGGTTCATTATTAGATATCCCCCCTTCTATTCATGATGCTACTGTTGGAAGAAGGTGAATAATGACAATAAGAGAGCTTTCATTTTCTTAAGCATTGTACATTTTGCATGATGATTTACACCAAGTTGTATTGTTTATAGTTTGCATCATTGATACATCTTACTTTTCCTGCTTATGCCCATCCAAGGTCCAGCTCTCTAGTAGCAGTTCAATATCCAGAAATTAGGAATAAACACAAAGAAAGGTAGAACAGGTGCAAATATATTAGTGTGGGTAGGATGAATACACACAAACAGCAAGAGTCGCATCTTGTAACAACTTGCAAACATTTGAAAATCGAACAATCATCAAATTTTCCTGTTTGATAACTCAACTGAATGCTTAAAATTATTTGATTAAACACTGTTTTATTTCAGATAGCAAAAAATAATTTCTTAATGAATTAAGTAGTGCTGAAACTGCAGTATAAAGAAAGTTAGTTTATTACTTATTCTATAACTGTTTAATGAATTAAGTAAGGAAGAAGGAAACAATAGGTTGTCAAGATCTCAGGTTAAAGTAAGCAACTCTGCAATCTACATCTAATATCCACGTGTATAATGGTAGACCAACCATGATCATCCATTCACTCTTATCAGGGAAAACTTAAACTATCTAAACATGTGATTCGGTCAAGAAACTCTTTTTATAAGTGTCCTCCATTTCATCGTCGGAGTTATAAGAGAAGATTATCCTCAGGAGCACAGATGAGGCCAACGCTAGCGCCCTGATTCTTCGTTGGGGTTGACTTGTTTTTATGTGAGTCAAGATAGATCACGACCACTGTAATATTGTCGTGGAAGTGTCTCCTTACTCCTTTTTTCCATTTTTGTAATGTTTTTGTATCTCATTTCTCTCTTCTTTACAGCCTCCTTGAGTGTAGCTCCAACTAATCTTTTAGTTATTCCCTGCACTTGACCAACATAATCAAGCAACAAACAATAACCTGGAAAGTCATAGTCTGGATGTCATATGTTAGATACAAACAGCTCATCATGGAATCAATCATCCACTAGACGGTTGAATTACATTATTAAAGAGCTATGGATTCCTAAGATCACTTCATTAACAAAACAATTATATTAAGACAATCATTTACTGCTCTTGGATTTTTGAAAAGAATGTCCAGAGATGCCTCATCAGCCAGATACTTTCAAAGGCCATCAGAGGTAAAAATTAGGAACAAAAATCTTGTGGCCTGATCTGTTTATAGTATATTGAAGGTTCTGCGGATAAGACCGGTGTCCTCAGAGGGACAAAAGTACCAAATTCCTGGAACATTGGATCTCTCTGAAACTCAGGTTTCTTCGGATAGGCATCACCAATGGATCTTGACACCTGCAATCCGAATGTTGTTTAAATCAGTCCACCCTCAACTGCAAAAGGCAAGAATGAGGAAAAACAACAGAACAGCTACAAAAGGCAGACAGATACTTCAGTCATCTACCATCTAGCATACCTCTTTAATGCTACAACAAGCTAAACATACAGATCTTGCTAGTTCCCTGAACATCATGGCCTTTTATGGCAAAGCTCTTCTCAATGGCCAAGATGAAAAGGGTACACAATTAAATTTTTATTGGAATTACAACCCTTACAAAATTTCGTGAACAATCTCATGTGCGAGGCATATGCATACTTCTGCTGCATGAGACAATCGCAAGGGACAAATCATGTGATTCCTGGAAGAATACCCAAGTTAAAGACCCATGGAACAGACTAGACCATGATCCCTGATGCTTACTTTTTTATGAGCAAGAGGCAGGAGGCAAAGATAATAATTATTGTAATGTAGTGATGAGATAATTACAGCTAGCTAATCTCCAAAAATAAAAGTATCCATATATATGTTACTAACAGAAAGACAACTTAATGGATGTGGATCTATTCTTGATTATATCCTGGTGCATTTGGGAGGAACGTATCGATAAGGTTTGGAGACATCAGGAGAGTACTGCCTTCACTTCCTGGAACCTGATTCATGCATAATACAACACACACAGAGCAAACCAAGCCAGGAAAGCGCTGATGGATAATTCTTTACAAATGTGGCAAGCACACAACCCTCGCAATCTGCCATACAGTTACAATGGATGATTTTTTATTTTTTTATTTTTATTTTTCATTCAGCTACAAAAAGATTGTTTCGGAACACAACATGGTTGTACAAATCGCGGTGGGCATCCATGCACTCTCTCCCTTCCACACCGAAGCCACAACTTGTTTATTGGCTCTCCAACAAACGGCTAGTCTCGGTATAAACCGAGTAAGGGTTCGAACGGATGTGAACTACTTCACGAGAACTTGAGAAATAGGCTTATTCCAATGAAGGCACAAGATATTTCTCAGTTAATTATTGTATTATAATCTTTCGACATGTGCAGATTGATTAAAGTGAGTAGACATGATGTTTTGAATTTGCATAACCTAACTTATAATAAGACGCTTTGTAATAGTGTAGGTAACCTCTCTTAATATAATATTGGTACCTTTTATCCAATTTTTTTTTTAATTCAATGACTATAGAATAAAAGCTCTTCCCTTATGTAATCTCATACAAAACAATGATTGCAACCTCAAATCTGTTTTAGGTAATGAACAGTTGGAGATGGGGGCATATGTGATGTGGATCCATAATTTAAGAGATAGGGATTGCATTTTTCTAAATATACAGTATATAGTTTTGTTTGGTACATAGGTACACATCCAATGATTTCTCTCATATTAGATAGTAGTTGTTTTTAGTATGTGGAATGAGCTAGAAAGTAATGCAATATTACTTCTTTCTTTTGGTGATTAAATAAGTAGAAAATTGTAAATTTAGAAGCTTTCTACCCGAACATAAAATATAACAATAACACTTCTTCGTCTTTTTTTCGTCTCAAATCTTTTTTAGGTGATGAACAGTCGGAGATGGGGGCATATATGATGTGGATCCATAATTTAAGGGATAGGGATTGCATTTTTTTTAATATATATAGTTTTGTATGTTACATAGCTACACTACACATCCAATGATTTCTCTCATATTTGATAGTAGTTGTTGTTATTACGTGGAATGAGCTAGAAATTAATCTAATTTTATTTTGTTTCTTTCTTTTGGTGATTTTTTTTTTTTTTTTTTATCATAAGCGATATTCATTTCTGAGATGAAGGAAAAAATGTAAAATAATGTACAATTAGTTAATGCAATCGATCTTAAACGTCTCATCTAACCACAAAGGGGTATAATTTTTCCAACTTTGTTTTTCTCATCTAACTACAATCTGTCTTTCTTTTGGTGATTGGATAGGTAGAAATAATTTAGAAGTTTCCTGCCGGGACATAAAATATAATAGTAGCACTTATTCGTCTGTACTTGTAAACTAAACACACAAAAAAAAACAACTAAATAGTGAGGATCAATAAGGTTATTGTTATAGTAAGCGTTTCGATAAGTAAAAAAGTTGGTCAAAGAATTTAATCGTTATTGCACTGTGCTTTAACATATTCATTCATAGCCACCGCACTCCGCCAATATTTAAATCCAGCTTCTTCTTCTACAAATTCACATTACTGCTTCCAGAAGATCTCTTCAACCTTCCTCCCTTTGATTCAGCTAGGCGTCCTCAAATCTCATACTGCCCAATTCGCCATCCAAATTGCTCGACCACAGCAATGAGCTGGTGGTGGGCTGGAGCTATCGGGGCTGCTAAGGTCTGTACAAGAATTTTTTTTTGCATTTGTGTGTCTTCATTTGATTCAACTGTTGACTTTTTCATTATGTGCTCGTAATTTCACTACTGGGATTTTGGGTTTGTGATTGCTTCGAATATAAATGTTGAATCCGTCAATTAATCTACGCAGAAAAAGTTCGAGGAAGATGATGCCCCACCCAAGTACCAGAGCGTGGCCCTGATTGTGGGTGTGACGGGCATTGTCGGCAACAGCCTCGCCGAGATCCTCCCGCTGGCCGACACTCCCGGCGGCCCATGGAAGGTCTACGGCTTGGCTCGCCGGCCCCGGCCTTCTTGGAACGCTGATCATCCCGTTGAATATATCCAGTGCGACATCTCCGATCTTGAAGACACCCAATCGAAGCTCTCACCTCTGTCGGATATCACCCACGTCTTTTATGTCACTTGGGCTAGCAGATCCACGGAGCTTGAGAACTGTGAAGTCAACGGCAAAATGTTGAGGAATTTACTCAGTGTCATTATCCCTAATTGCCCAAATTTGAAGCATATCTGCTTACAAACCGGACGAAAGCATTATATTGGACCCTTTGAATTGTTTGGAAAAGTAAGCTATGATCCTCCTTATCATGAAGAATTGCCCCGGTTGGAGGGCCCCAACTTTTACTATGTGCTTGAGGACATTTTGTTTGAGGAAGTGGAGAAGAAGGAGGGATTAACATGGTCTGTTCACCGACCTGGAAAAATATTTGGGTTCTCTCCTTTCAGCGGGATGAACATTGTTGAAACACTCTGTGTGTATGCTGCTATTTGCAAACAGCAAGGTATTCCCTTGAAGTTTCCGGGGTGCAAAGCAGCTTGGGATGGTTACTCAGATTGCTCCGATGCGGATTTAGTTGCCGAGCATCAAATCTGGGCTGCTGTTGATCCCTATGCCAAGAATGAGGCTTTTAATGTGAGCAATGGAGATGTATTCAAGTGGAAGCATTTCTGGCCGGTATTGGCCGAGCAGTTTGGAGTAGAATGTGGAGGCTATGTTGGGGAGGATCTGAGCTTGCAGGAAATGATGAAGGATAAAGGACCAGTTTGGGATGAGATAGTTAGGGAAGAAGGGTTGGTGCCAACAAAATTGGAGGACGTTGGAATCTGGTGGTTTGCTGATGTTGTTCTGAAATATCCTTGCCTTTTGGATACTATGAACAAGAGCAAGGAGCATGGCTTTTTGGGATTCAGAAACTCCAAAAATGCTTTCATTTCTTGGATTGATAAGCAGAAGGCTTATAAGGTTGTTCCTTAGGTTTTATAAAGGTTCTGTTTTAGAGTTTTCTGGTGTCTTTTTTTGGTTCATCATTAGATATCCCTCCTTCTCCATGATGCTACTGTTGGAAGAAGGTGAATAATGACAATAAGGAGCTTTCATTTTCTTAAGCACTGTACATTTTGATTGATGATTTATACCAAGTTGTATTGATTTATACTTTGCATCATTAATGCATCTTACTTTTCCTGCTTATGCCCATCCAAGTTCCAGCTCTTCAGAAATTAGGAATAAACTCAAAGAAAGATGGAACAGGTGAAAGCACAAATATGATAATGTGGGTATGATGTCTACACAAACAGGAGGAGTCACATCTTGTAACAACTTGCAAACATGGGTTATCAAATTTACTTACAAACACGAATTAACAAATTAAAGATGGAAGGTGTAAGTTACTACCTTCCGGATTTGATAGGCTTCGACAGCAATTCAATTACACCCACCAGTTGGAACTGCGAATCCGGGATTGTTTACAGAAAAACGGGATGCTGGTAGAATCCGAGGCAGTGCAACATTGTAGTACAAAAGTATCAGAGTCTAGAGAGCAAAAGAGCAAGTTCCTCATCGGGTATTCTGGCATGAGTGTATGTTCCGACTGAGGAAGCCAGTCTTGCAGCCAGCTGATGCTTACACTAAGGCATAATGAAATACGGAAGCATCAAATAGGTTGGACAGTGACATATAGTTTCATATGCAAGCAAAGATTACAAACATACTTACACAAAGCTGTTCTCCCCTGTTCACTATGTCATAGAAGAATGAATAGCAAGCACAGTAATGTTCAGGGAAGCATAAATATTCTTCCTTCTTTCGGGATTCTCCGACAACCTAACAAGGAGAACAGCTTGAGCGTCTGAATCAACAACAATGGTCATAATCTGTGCTGGCTTTACATTAACAGCATTCACCTGAAACTCTATTCAAGTCAAAAAGAGAAGAGTAAAAGAGGAAGAAGGAGAAAACCTGAAAAATGGAACGCCCGCTGGGTTCACCAGAAATTTTCTTTACGCCTCTTTGATCAACTATCCTGGTGGCTCTCTCGAAATTTTTCCCGAACAAAAAATGCATTCTGTAGAACCCAGAAATAGCATTCTCGCTCAATGATTTTAGTAATAGTTCAACCAGAAACAAGGAAGGAAGAAACGGGCAATCACAGTACTTACATTGCCAGCTGATCGTTGGTGACTACGAGTTGGGTCAGACATAAATACAAACACATAAAACACATAATTAGTCTCTAAAGACTGGAGAGTTTGCGCAAATGAGAAAATTCGGGGCCCAATTGGAACAGTCCAAGAAGTACGAACCAGAGCGAGTGGCCTCGATGTCTTTCCAAACTGTCTCAGCAACTGCAAGACACGTTTTCATTATCGGAATTTCTTCAGTTCGTCAGATCACCGTCGGAATGTTGTATGTTTGAAGGAAGGCGTCAGAAGTCAAAAAGGCTCTGTCTGATATCCCGTATGCGGGTTTTGAAATTAGGACGCGGGAAACCAATGCGTAAGATCTTTCCCCCTTTTTATTTATTTTATTTTTGTTCCATCTTTTCTCCAGTCTTTATTGAGACAATGGACTCACGGCACTAGAGATTGATTACGATTATTACTTTGTTACAAATTTCTTTCAGATTTTGGCATTAGAATGGGCCGATGATTTTCGTAGTTTTTGTTCTCATCTCGAAAGATTAAAGCAACAACAATAACAGTGTCGAAGCAAAACAATATTGATGACAGGCGGCTGTTATGCAAAACGGTAAGAAAATCCACAGTCAAAAGATCGGTGAACAACAAATAATTCTACATATTGAACAACAATCATCAAATTTTCTTTTCTTCATCTTTTTTATAGAGAAAGAACAAAACAATAATGTCAGGATCTCAGGTTAAAGAATCTAACTCTGCAAGCTACATCTAATATCCACAATGTGTATAATGGTAGACCAACCATCATCACCTATTCACTCTTTATCACGGAAAACTGAGACGATTTACACATCTGTGATTCTGTCAAAAGAAAGGTATTTAACCTATTAAAACATGTTGCTCAGCTGGTTATTCTTGGTCAAGAAACTCTTTTCATAAGTGTCCTCCATTTCGTCATCGGAATTATAGGAGAAGATATCCACAGGAGCAGAGATGAGGCCAACGCCAGCGCCCTGATTCTTCGTTGGGGTTGACTTGTTTTTATGTGAGTCAAGATAGATCACGACCACTGTGATATCGTCGTGGAAGTGTCTCCTTACTCCCTTTTCGATTTTTGTAATGTCTTTGTATCTCATTTCTCTCTTCTTCGCAGCCTCCTTGAGTGCAGCTCCAACTAATCTTTTAGCTATTCCCTGCATTTGACCAACACAATCAAGCAATAATCAATAACCATCCAAGTCATAGTCTTGATGTCACATGTTAGAAACAAACAGCTCACCATGGAATCAATCGTCTAGTAGACGGTTGAATTACATTAAAAAAGAGTAATGAATTCCTAAGATTAACACAACTATGGTACTAAGACAATCACTTACTGCTCTTGGATTTTTGAAAACAATGTCCACGGCAGCCTCATCAGTCAGATGCTCCCAAAGGCCATCAGAGGCGAAAATCAGGAACAAATCTTGCGGCCTGATCTGTTTATAGTATATTGAAGGTTCTGCTGATAAGACCGGTCTCCTCAGAGGGACAAAAGTGCCAAATTCTTGGAACATTGGATCTCTCTGAAACTCAGGTTTCTTCAGATAGACATCACCAATGGATCTTGACACCTGCAATTCGAATGTTGCTTAAATCAGTCCGTGCTCCAAGTCCAAAGGAAAGAATGAGTAAAAACAACAGAACAGCTACAAAGGGCAGACAGATAGATACTTCAGTCAGCTACCATCTAGCATACCTCTTTAATGCTACAGCAAGCTAAACATACAGATCTTACTAGTTCCATGAACATCATGGGATTTCATGGCCAAGCTCTTCTGAATGGCCAAGATGAAAAAGGTACACCACTAAATTTTCATTGGAATCACAACCCTTACGAATCTTCGTGAATCATCTCATGCGCAACATATGCATACTTCTGCTGCATGAGACAGTTGCAAGGGACAGATCATGTGATTCCTGGAAGAATACCGAAGTTAAAGACCCATGGAACAGACTAGACCGTGATTCCTGATGCTTACTTTTTATCAGCAAGAGGCAAGAGGTAAAGATAACAATTACAGTAATGTAGTGATGAGAAAATTACAGGTAGCTAACCTCCAAAAATGCAAATCCAAAAATAAGAGATCCATATATGTTACTAACAGAAAAACAACTTTATTCAATGACTATTGAATAGAAGCTCTTTCCTTGTGTAATCTCATAAAAAACAATGATTGCAACCTCAAATCTTTTGGCAGAAGAACTACTAATTTGTGCCACACAACATTTAAATAAAACCAATTTTAACTATGGAAAGGATTAGATATCACAAAGTAATGAAAACCAGAGGTAAAAAATCTACCTGTATAATGCCCTTAATTCTCCAAACTCCGCGACAATAGACTACAACAGCAGAATCATCAGGATGCAGTGCTTCAACCTCCTTCCTGACTTTCTCTGACGAGACATTATGATCAGTAGTCAATCGTTCAGCTACCACTGAACTACTTTCCCCATCGAAAGCTCTGCGCCCCAATACCGCTCTGGAATCCCCTAAATTTGCCACATACAACTGATCATTAGAAATGGCACCAACTAGACAGCATGAACCAACTGAAGCAATCTGGGGTTTGATTGCCAATGATCTCCTCACTAACTGAGTAAAATCCTGCTCTGTTGCATTAAATGCCTTTTTGATAACCTCTGCTGATAAACCCCCTTGTTCACTTGCAAATTCTACAACAACCAACAAACCAAACACATCAGCTTCACCAGAAATGATGAGTAAAAGTAGCAAATCAAAATACCACCAAATAAAACATCCAGCGACTTCCTATCCCAGTTCCCAAACCCCAAAAACTTGCAAACAGAAAAGAGAAAAAAGAAGTTCAAAACATACTTTCAGAGGACATTAAAAAGGGAAGAAAAAGGTTTAATGAATAAACAGCTAAACACAGATAGGCACAGAACAAAAAATCTTTGAATTAAGAGAACAGATTGAATTTTGAAAATAAACGAAAAGACTACAAGAAGGGTGATGTTTACATACTCTGTAAATAAGGGAAGAGGTGGCGATTAACGAAACGAGAGGCTTCAGGGCCACCATGACCATCGTAGACGCCGACGTACGTAGCGGAGGGGGAAGTGAAAACTTGACTCTGGTCTTCAAGACTTGAATTAGCCTGCACAACCGCGATGGAGAAGTCTCCAGAAGCATGGGGTTTCAAGTCCATATGCCACATCAACCCATCTCCACCGCCCCTCCTCCCTAAACACCTCTCCAACGGCCGATAGCACGATCGCAACATTCTTCCACGCTGATCAATAAAAAAAATAAAATCGAATCTTTATCACAACCCTCTTCACAAAAATATCAGAATTATCGAATACCCCTGGTGGGTCACAGCGTATTGATTGCTGATTGAGAATTAAAAGCCGAGATGATCTGTGGGGTTTTCTTTTGTTTCTTCGGAAAAATTGAGGAATTAAGGTTTTATAGTATATAAAACAGAGGAAAAGCGAAGAAGTATCGAGAACGCGTAGGGAAGAAGATGAAGAAGGAGACCAAGAAATTAATAAAGAGTGATAAAAGCCACGCAAGAGGCACGGAGGATGAAATATTGGATCAGCTCCAAGTGAGAAAACGCGGTTTTCTGCTTTGCTTTTTTCTTTTTTTGCTTTCCTTCCCTTCCTTGTTTGATGTGTGTATTCAATTTTGTTTTGATTCTTTTGTGATTTTTGGTGGGGGTATTATTCAAAAAAGTTAATGGCAATTGCCCTATTTTATAGGGCAGGTTCCCTCTCAATTCCCTTCTGGAACTTCCCTTGTGAAAGTCTGAAAGTGATGCTTTTGGGCTTTTTTAATTTTTTTCATTGGCTTTTTTAAGGTTTATAAGGTGGGGACTAGATATTTGTTGCACCGTATCAAATAAACTTTGATGTATTATGTATTTTCTAAAAAAAATCTTATATTGATTTAGGATATGTATCCTCACATATGTTTTTTTTTTTTTTTTTTGGAAAAAGTACCTGTTTATTACCTCACATATGTGTATATCGAATAAAAATGAGAATGAATTCTTTACTGATTTTTAAACTTCTATTTCCGAACATCTTTTCATCCCGATCAAAGTTCTTGACAACATTCTCAATTTAGGAAATCTACTAGTATTAATTTGATCAGTCACTTTTGGGGGACCGAATATGATCATTCACTGAGAGTCTTGAGCTAAAAAGTCTGTAAAATTTGCGGCCTCTGGAATCTTTTTTATGATACATGTTAGTTATAAACAATATCTTCGTTGGATTGGACTTTTTTAAAAAACATTGATCCCTTTTGATCAGTTGTGTTGTAAAAAAGAGTTACGTTAATTCAACAAAATTGTCTCTTTTAGAACAGTATCGTTATTATTAATAGGTCATCACATTAGGTAGAAATGCAAATTGGAAAATGTTGAAGATAAAGCAAATCCGATAAGGTTCTTGAACAGTTAATATGCTACAAGTTGGTGTCCAAGTTGAGAAATATGGATTGTTTAATATGCCGATGGGGCTTTTAGAATTTAGGTCGACCTCGACCAACCAAACTAAAGTCAATTCAAATAATTCTACGAGTACTTTGGTGTTGTTGTTGTGCAATCTTTGTTGGAGACACCTGCCTCCCATGTCTCCTTCTGGATGTTCTGGTTTTTTCTTTGTTGTTGATGGGAGAAGAAACCCACTAGCTAGCTACTCTTCCGCTGTTTTTGTTTGTTCTGTTCTCATCAATCATGCATTACAAAGTTACAATACTTACACCTGAATTCCTGACGAGTGATGAATTCTGTTAAACCACGAATACTTTTGATTTCACTGAAGTTTGTCAACAGTTAAACTCTGTAATAAAAAAAAAAGAAAAGAAAAACAACTATTAGACGGTTTATCTCCGTCTCACGTTAATAATTCAGTTTATTATTATTATTATTTATATTAATAGGGAGACTTCTTCAGTATAGAGATATTTTGCAGTGTAATGATGTAGAGGAAAAAGTGAAGAAGTGAAAAACATGGTGCGCTGCATTTTTGTTTTTCTCTCTTGCAGTAATATTCCTTTGTTTGCTTAGTGGCCCGTCGGTAGGGTTGAAGGTTGATGATAATAGACTGAATAGATGAACTCATGAAGACATCTGAACGAATCAGAATCATTGTGATCGTTAATGGTGGGTGGACCAATTGGAATGAGAATATAAATTTCAATGACGTTTTCAAATTAGGTCTTTTTTCTTTTTCTTTTTTTGTTTGAAAAGGAGGTGATGGCTGATAATTGCCTCTTTTTCCCACTTATGAATTCCTCCCACTGGGATTATTTGTTGGTTGTAACTCGGAAACTGTAGTTATTAAGAAACCAAAAATCTGGATCGACATAATGTGAATTGTGAAGCATGCGAGCACTTGCTAAAGATGAGCCGGTCAAACTTTAAAATGGTTGTTAACGAAGCCAACTTGATCTTCTGATTATCGAGTTAGTATAGAATAGTGGGAGTATTTTTAGTTATTCTTCCGTCTCATAATTATTGTTCAGTTTAAGTTTTCATTTTTAGTTCAAATTATATTAAAAGTAAAATCTCAAACTGCACAATAATTTTGGGACAGAAGGAGTAGATCATTAACTCTATCTCAACTTGAGGATTCAAAAATGGTTAAACAACGTCAAATAGTAACGTTTACGATCTTAAACAACGTACCATAATTTACACAGTATCTGAAGAAATTTGATCCAATTATATATAAAAAAAATAGACTGAACTGTGGATGACTAGACTCAAACTCAACCATACACGTTTATGGTCGTGCAGCACAAGTAAGAATATAATTAAAGTAATACTTTTATGTTTGTTTTTGTTTTATTTCCTTATTAAAACATTTGAAAACCATTTAGGTTCATAATTAGGTGAGCGTATCTTCCTCTTCTTTTTTTTTTTTTGGTTTCTGAATTCAGCAGCATGAGGATCATGAAGGTTTTGACTTCTGGTTTCAGAATAATGAAGTTGACTGTTTCCAGAGTACGAATAAAAACATGCCTAAACAGCGCAAAATAATAATAATAATAATAATTTCAGGAAGATGGTTGACTATAAACCCGTCGTCCATGGAGCATGACGTGGATTCAAAAATGTGATCCAGAATCTTTAAATTTCAGGTAGGTAAGAGACAGTTCACAGTTGAGGAACGAGTCATGTGATATTTTTATCTTTGGATGATTCGTTCATCTCTCCACTTTTATCAACAATCTGGAACCGACACGAGTACGCCATCCTTCCTCCCCTCCGTCTAGTCCTTCATTCCACATCTGTCACCGCTCCGCCATCACCGTCCACGGGAAAATGCACCAGAACATCTCTGTCTCAATGTGTTCTAACCACACCATTCAAACAGGTGAATAATAGAATAATAACCAAGAAAGTTCCTGAAAATGACTAAATTGAATCACCAGCCATTGATGTAGCGGCCGTAGGAGTAACTTAAAGAATTTGCAAGTTCATTATATTTTGACTAATTCAGCTGTTGTAATCTTCAGCTATAACTGTCCCAGACAAACACTCAAATCCTTGTAGACATTCACACTGGACCTGTATCAGTAGTTATCTCCATCAATTTTTCAGGCTTCAATTGTCACCAAAGAAATTTTCATATGGTAATCAGCCATCTGAGTACGAACATTTGTACTATATCAAACGTTACAACTGAATCAGACATTTCTACGCAAAATTGATTACATACGTGGACATGGAAGTGTACTCACAAGATGTAAATCCCATACAAACTTTCACATACAATAACCCCTCTTCTGTTTCCATGGCAAGCTCCATTTATAAATTACCCGACATATTTTACTCCAGAGTCAAGTCAACTAATTAGCATTCTCGTAGGAATGGAGCACATATTGCAGAGGATACAGTCTTGCACCCCATACAAGCCACAAGTCTCGTCCATCTCTCCAATCATCCCTCAGAATGAATGCGAGAAATTATTTGGACAGATTGATTTCTCATCCATCAGAACGCATCTGAACTGCCTTTCGACAATAAGGGCAGTCGCCACATTGCCGCAACCATGGATCCAAGCAATAGCAATGGAACCTATGCTCACAAGTTAAACGTATCAGCTTATCTCCTTCCATGAAGCTTTCCAGACATATGCTGCATTCCTCAAGTCCATTCGACATCCCTTCCTCACCATTCTTACTATGTTTGCTGAATATCTCAACTTGCAAATCATCTACAGCCTCCTGAGTGAGTCCTGGAGGCCTCTTAGTCTTCTCAACTGAAAGAATGTCATTAAACGGGATTGCTCCAGTAAACCATTCCTGAGAGATCTCATTCTCCCAATCCCTGTTAGCTAGGCTAAAATCATCTTCAATCAGATTGTCATTATGATGAATGCTTGATGGAAAACGGAGCCTTTGCCTGCAAAACAAATGTATAATTAGACTATCATCCAATCCATTACATGAGGTCGGAAAAGTGCATAACTAATGTAGCAGAAGTTCACCGATAAATTCTCATCTGGAATTCTCCATAAGGGAAATAGATACAGGAATGTAGAAGTGCAACCCAGAAAATCACAGGCAGTTCATCAATATTTTAATACTCCTAACTTTCCATTACCATTATGCTAGTCTAGGTCCCTCAGGTTTTCAAGCAACATAGAATTATACTAACATCATAGTTAATGACACAATGACACTGGGGAGTAAGTCTCCTAAAGAGCACAAACACTGGGAACACCATAAATGTCTATGTTTCTCTTAAAAACAAAAGTTCGCTTACGGTGAAGAGTCCCAACAGGGGAATATTTAAGTTAATGAGAACAAAATTGAAACCTTAAAGCCTTAATCCATACAATTCTTACAGATAAAAGTCAGTTCATACAAATAGGTAGCTCGTTCAACTCTCTACAAACAAAATGAACATAAACACACAGCAAGTGTTAAACATTCGAACATCTAAGGCGTTAAATGCTAACCTACCTATTGGCAGAAATAGACACTCCTCTTAACCTCTGGAGAAGTCTTTCCCTAGCAAGTAGCACAGTTCCAGGAAGCCTTTCACTTCCCGCCGACCTTAGCCTGTCCCTTAAGGTTCGTCCATTTTGAGGAATATTTACTTCTTCATAAGCAGAACTACTGCTACCCTGGTCCAGCCAACTAGAATCAAGATCCTAAGCACATTGAAACCAAGATAATAATATCAGAGCATAAAAGCAACTCCATTTCCACCAAACATTCATCTCCTCAGTTCAGGAAAGCATACAATTGAGCTAACATTAACTTCGCCTCCATATATAAATTTAACCAGGAAATGCTGAACTAGGATGCTCAGTGTCATGCACAAAACTGAAAAAGACCAGCAAGCGCCATAAAACAATGAAATTATCCCTATCGGAAAATGCATAAAAATTTGAGGAAATCCACGGAAAATGCGTCAGTTAACAGTTATAATTAAGATGAGCAGCAAGTACGAAATGTAAATGAAATCATACTTGAAACGAGGGGCGGTGAGGTCTAGGGTGGTGCGGCGAGCGGCGGGGAAGAGCAGGATCAAAGGCGTCAAAGTCAAGGCGATTAAGATCACGGCGGGTATTGGAGGAAGAAGGTGAGGTAGGATGATGATGATGATTATTACTATGGTGATAAGATTGGCGGTGGTGCCGACGGTGATGAGGAGGAAGGCGGCTGAAATGAGAGTAAAGCGGCGGCGCTGGCTGTTCTTCCCCTCCGTTTCCGACGAATTCGAGGTGGCTGCTCCGACCAAGTCGCGACCGCCTATTGTGAAACAGCTCCGACGCGCTCGTCATGCAAGAGCCTTGTAAGAATTTCACCAACCCTGAATTTGGGGGAATCCTTGATTAACAGAATTACAACAATCAACCGACCTAATTGGATAATATTAACAGATAAGATAACCACCAGATCTACATAAAAGGATAAAAATTCGTACGTAATTTTTGCAGTTTCTCCGACAGTTCCTAAGCCCTAAAATTTCGAAGAGGGGAAAGTGAAATCAATCGATAGCGACAGCGAAGCGGTGAAATTGCCCAGTTCGGGCGGAGTCCGGACGTGGGGGAGGCCGGGATCGGGAGGAGGGATTTTTTTGGATCACAGTCATTTTTGGACAAAAACTACCAAAATGGGTTTCTGGACTGGTGGGGCCTTCTTCCTAGATTCTCGTGTCCAAAGTGAGGGAATATTTCAACTGGGCCGCATCTATTTTGCGGTCTGGAGTTTTGGACTGGGCGTTATAATTGGGTTTTGAAATAACCGTTCTTAAAATGGCCAAATACTGCAATTGGGTCCATTTAGTTTGTGGTGAAGATCAACTAATACTAATTTCTCGACAAGACGACAACCAAATCAATTTTCTTTAATCTCAGATGGCGCCATCAAGGGCGGAACCAGGTTCTAAGTTCGGCAGGAGCTCCATTATATGGTAAGGAGGAAAAAAATAACAAATTAAAAATGAACCTATGTAATAGGATTAAGGAATAGTGTGGTTCATGTGGACAATTGACCACTTAGTCAATAGTTGCGGGCTGATAAAAAAAATACTAACGAAATGGGTTGAGTTCTTGGCTTTAGGGGTACTTATGAAAGCTTGAAAAAAAATCTAATGACTACTAGTAACGATTTTTTTGTTTTTTGGAGGGGTTTGGGCCTATCCAAGCCCCTTCATGGGTCCATCGCTCGGCGCCATGTCGGAGAGAACGAAGAGAGCGGCGGCAGGGGGATTCTCAGAACAAGTCACGGGGAGTGGATCATTGGGTATACCGCCAATTTAGGCTATTACAGCAGTTGAGAAGCGAGTTTTGGGGGGCTTTGTTTGGCCGCCAAATTGCATGGGATCTAGGTGTTCATAATGTTGTCTTAGAACTAGATTGAAGTGAGGCAGTTCGATTCTTGTTAGACAAGAATTATGCCTATGTAAATAGTAATTTTTTTGGCGGAATCAGAGGTCTACTGAACCTCCATTGGCATGTGGTAGTAATCCAAGCCTGTAGGAACCAAAATCAGGTGGCTGGCGGAAGAGTTGACAAAATTTGAAATTTTTTGCCCACATGGCAATTTTACCAACGCCTCCGCATCGATGGCTCCAAGCCCTTGAGGCTGACAAATAGCTTCACCCCCTCCCCAAAGGGATGTTTTGTAATTAAGCCATTTGACTTCCATTTTATATATACTAGTGATGTCTGAATGCGCGACCCTGGTCCAATTTATCTGTAGATCTTAGAAATATTTATATTTGAAAAAAATAAAATTTTGTATTTGGAGCGATATATTTTAGAAATTTTTGAAGGATTTAGAAATGTTTTATAAGTGTGATCATAGAAATATTTGTATTTCGCAAAAAAAAAAAAATTGTATTTTGCCATGTATGTTTTAAAAATGTTTTATAAGTGTTACTTATTAAATATAAATAGCTTAATCGAATATATGTGTTGAAGTAAATGTTAGATAAAATATAAAAGCATCCTAATAAATTTAAATATTAGTAAGATGATTTATTGATGTTCTCCATTGGTCGTGCCAAATCAATACTTAGTTTTGGAGATTTTTAATAGCTTTGTAATAAGCTTCATCCGAAGGGTATACGCTTAAAACAAAATTGACACTTTGTAACAGAAAAACCTAATTGATCAATTCAATTTAAAAAACCACTCTAGTTGAATGAAACATAAAGAAAAAATTAAAATAAAAAAAAAAGTGTCACGTAAAGTGCAAAGGGGAGATTTAGTAATTTAGTTATGGTTAGACAAAAGGACAATTTAGTATTTTCTACATGCCACGTGGCAATCATATGAGGTGTTTGAAAGGGAGGTTTTTGTTTCCAATATAGTAGGATATATATATAAAAAAATCAATTTTCTTAATTCTGATAAAAATTAAATTAAATTAAATGAAAAAATTAAAAACTTTTTTTTGGGTACAAAGAAGGCAAATCCTAAATAGATTAAATTACTACATTGTGTGCATACGAGACTCCGATCAAATCGGGATTCGGGATCGTCAAATCATTGCAAACCTTCCGGATAAATAGCGGCTAACGATGCCTCTAATAATCGGCCAAAATATTAGCTTCATGAAAAGATTGTGATAGCTCAATGCTCCAGTCTCTTTGTAACAAATTCATGAATTCTCAATATCAAGCCTCTATGAATGCCAGCTGACTCATCACTACTCGTAACCATTGTTACAGTTTGACTGTGACTTCACGATAACCGAAATCCCAAGCTAATTGCAACCCTTGGAACAAGACCCATAACTCCTCTCCGGTGATAGAAGCAAACCCAATGTTCATAAAAAAAAGGAAAAAAAAAAAAATTAATTCAACATATTCAAATCTCATGATTGAATAGAATCAGATGATAATACCACATGTCCACTAGAAGATGCACCAAGTGTAAAACAAAATTTCGGAGGGAGAATTTTCATTTTGCATTCTTAATTGCTCATGATGAATATAAAATTAACTATGATCTGTTCCTCCCGCAGAACAGAGCCAAGAAAAAGGGCTAATGAGACTTCCAGCAGAAACGCAGGATGCAGAACAACTTGCCTCACCACTTATGGTTACATCTCTGACTGATTTCTTGTCAAGGTCATAAAGCACTAGCTTTTCCCATCCACTCTGCAGCAGCATTTTCTTCTTTTTCTTGGAGAATGTCACTGGTTTTAAACCCCAATATCCTTGATTATAATCAGGAAAGTCAATGGAGGCTAATTGAGTCCAGGAACTCTCACATTCTCCTCCATAATCCTCCATTATCCATACCTCTCCTACTCGTTTTCTTTCCCGTTGAAACATCTTGTTGCAGAAGAACGAAAGGTAGCCATTCAAATTGCACAACTTCGGGTCATGAATGTAGCTGATCAAGTCTGGTGAATCTGTGTTGCCAGGACCACATGACATTTTGCGGAATTCCTCACTTCCAAGATCAAAGGCCAGAATGAATGTTTCGAAACCCCACGAAATCTCAGTCACCAGCCAGTGTAATTCCCCATTTACCAAGGCGCAATCGGCAGGAAAGTAGTAGAATTCTGGCAGCTCAAATGGAATACAACTACTTTGTATTCTCTTCCATGAATTGAGCTTCAAGCTATAAACACAGAGGTCATATCGGCAAGAACTTGGCAATTCACGGTAAGAATTGTAAGGAACAAACTGTATATGCCATTTAACCACTTTGTAGTCATCATTAACGTGGTCGTACCCGAATGCAGCCCCCATACTACACCTACATTTCTTTGTAAATTCGTACGGAGGCGAAGGCAATGCAGAGCAGTGTTGAATCCATGGATTCCACAAAGCTAGTTCATCTGTCCGAAAATTCCATAGACAAACCATGCCATTACAAGATCCCACAATTTCGAGTCCACGTTCTTCAAATTCCAAAGACGGGCTATTGAGTTCCCTGGCAATTGCTCTGCATAAGCCACCTCGGAGTTTACAAACCGAATCAAAAGTGTAGAATGTGGTTCCCTTGATTGCAACAATCTTGTTGTCGGCTGAATGCGGAGGAGGACACTCTTTTGATCTTTCCGAATGCACTTCGATAAAGAAAGGGCTGTCGATCAAATCGCGCCATGATTTTGAGACGCACCTGAATCGAATCAGGGAATCAAATGGTAGCCTGAGAAGAACCTCAGCCATCAAATTGTCGGGAATATGGTAGTCTGACATTGTGTGGGGTTACAGCAAGGCTGAAATTGATATGATGATGATTTTGAGTTTGCTGAAAGATTCAAGAATTAATGTGTAGATGTATTTCTTGGATGAGATTCAGATCATTTGTCTCGTATATTTATATGGTTAAATTATGGCAGACTTTAGAGAAGCTCTTGGTACCTAACATTGAAGGTCAACTCCAGCAAGCAAGTTGATCTTGAAGAACAAGAAAAAAAGATGAAGAGAAGGAGGAGTTTAATTAATTGACTATTTGGTACTACCAATTAGTGCTGATTAATTAGGAGAACGTGAGCTGCAAGAATAATCATGTTTGCATTCCAGTGAGTCATTAATTAGGATACTTGGACTCCAAGATGAATAAAATAATGAATGACGCATTTCAATAATTGTTTTTAATATAATCGATAATACAAGGTTAGGATGCCGAGCTCTAACTAATTCGAACCTTATATTTTCCTGACTCAACCTTTTTTACCTCCCAAAAATACAAAATATCAAAATACTCACAAGATGGAAATATATATATATATATATATATATATAATATACTCATCCAATTTTTTTTATTATAAGGCATTTTCATTTGTTCCAAATTTTTATTTAGTTGTTCTTCATATTTTATATGTTCTTTCAATTAATATGAAATAGTTTTAAGATTTTATTTTCAACTGGAAGAACGTGCTAAATAAAATTTAAGACAAATTAAATATTTTATAAGAAGAACAGGAATGAGTAGTTTGTTAAATTCATGTGTGACCATTAGTATTGGATCACGTATCAGATAATCGTAATTTTATGCGCAATAATAATTACTATAATTAAGGGTCAGGCTTGTCGACTCCATCAGTGTTCCTCATCCAAAAAGTAGTGTCACCTAAGCAGGAGGAGGCTGCTCCTTCAGAAATATCCTCCAGTATTGCTTCATGTCCTCTTGGGTAGTAAATCCCAGTACGATAATGTGGAACCCAACAAGATATCCGCTGATCTTCCTTTAATTCTAACGTGCCCTGATCATGATCTAAAGCCGCCGGCCTCGGTTTGTGTTTTGTGGTCTGATTATTGTTCTTTACCTTGCTCCCATATAACCTTATTCTTGTGCCTAAACTAGCTTGCATGTACCTGAAAATCAGAAATAAAACTAAAACTCAAATCAACAATGATTATATTGCATAACTATTATAATTAATTATACTCTCTCAACCCCGTAATAATTATTCAGTTTGTTTTTTCATTTATAATGGTTGTTGGGATGGAATGAAACTAAATAGTTGAAGATACCAAAGATAAAAAGAAATGGGGAGAAAAAAAAAATTGGGTCAAGAAGGTTAACCTAATTCGTACTGTGTGTGTCATCATCTTCCTGATCCCAACTCCTGCCATAGCGTTAATATGTAATCGCCAAGTATGAGAACAAAATATATATTCGATATGTTGAACAGATGAAGTACTATGTAACTAGCTTCTATTGATTGAATATTGCACTCAAAACTTTGGTATCTATATATACTACAAAGATAGGGAATGTTGCACGCGAAACTTTGGTATCTGTATATAAACAAACCGTTTGTTTGAATGTTGCATGGCTCATGCATTCTGGGGAATAACTTCTGTGGAATCATCTTTATCTGGGGAAGGCTTATAATAAGTTCACACTAGGAGAAGTCAAATAAAACAACAAAAGGTGATGTGAAACCATATAAAAATGCAACTTTGAATTAGTATAGATCACAATGATAATCAATCTGTGGTTCTAGACGATTATGCAAAGCTAAAAGACAAATTAAATCAATCAGTAGTAATCTTAGTCACATATTGATAAAGGATGCCCACTCACTCTGTTGGAGGCGCGAACTTGAATCCTGATGGCTCGTACCAGCTTGAACGTACACAAAATTTCGGTACTATGTTTCAAAAAAATTTTCCTGTTTAATTCTTTGCTTTTACTACAATTTGTACTATAAAAAAAAATTATAAGATATATAAATAATAATTATTATGAGATCCAAATCTATAGTGAATTTGAGTCCAAAGTTAAGGTGTTATTGTTTTCCTAATTTATGAAATTATGTTATTGGTATCAATTTAAAACTCAAAAAATATTAATTTCTGTTGAAGATGTCTCCATCGGTTTTTTTCTGTGAACAAAAAGTCGACCAGAACGTCGACGAAGAAGAAAGTCTATTGTTTTAACTTTTAAACCTTTTTGCACAGAGTCCAAAAAAAAAAAAAAAACTTTTTGCACATTATTTTTTATATTATTATTATTTGGTGAAAAATATTATTAAAGTCTATTGTTTCATTCAGAAAAATATTACTCTCTCCGTCCCGAAAAAAATAGTTCACTTTGGGTCTTGGAATTTGTACTAAAAACAGTACAAATATAAAACTCAATGTGGATTATTTTTTTGGGAGGAATGTAGTATTATTGTTTTGTAGAAATTATTTGCCTTGACATTTTCATTCACTTACCAAAGCGATGAGAAAGTTGATGAATACCAAAATTCCTCGTATTAAATCAATCTCGAGATTGGTATTACTGTTTGGTAATTTAATTAGATTATCAGTGTCAGTATCTATATCAAATTCACAAAATGTTTCTTTTCATTTGTTTGGTATATTTTCACAATTTTTTTTGGTATCATTAATTACTTTTTTTAAAAAAATCAATGTAAGAGTAATTTTTTTTTTCTTTTTGTCTAAATTATTTGCGTTGACTGCTTTCGTCCACTTAGCAACTGCGACGAGCTAGACGACGAAAGTGAATATCATTATTTTGAGCCATTTTAGCAGTTTTTAAGCTGTTAATGCATGTTAATTAATCAATTAATTGGATTATTGATATCAATTTATATATATATATATATATATATATCTTGAAGATATATATTCAAGATGGGAAAATGTAGAGTTCATTGTCCATTTTTAGAGCCGTCCTGTTTTTTTTAACCAATCAGAATTGAGGGTATAATAATAATTCATGGGGTGAGTAACATGATAATATATCTCAAAATAGTTTTTATTAAAATAAATTTTAGAAAAATTAAGTAAAATTAAAATATCTCTTCTCCTCCTTTCCACTGGCGGCTGCTGGAAGCCATGTCCGGCAAAGATCCACAGCCGCCGAACCATCACAAAGCATGACGCCGCACAGGATTTACGCTTCACAGCCGTCCGATTTGTTCTTCGTTCCAGTTCTTTCGATTCTGGTCATTAGTCAATCAAACATAAACCAAACACTCAAAACACCATCTTGCCTCCCTAACCCACTTTCTCTACCACCAAAACTTTCACCATTAATCGTTTAGCCATCTTTCTGATCCTCCTTATGCATGTCTTTTAATTGAAAAGAGGTGACTGGTGAGTGGTACAAAAAATTAAATGGTTTTTTTTTCAACACTTCAAACGAGAAACAGGGTTTCAATTATGTGGAGTAAATTTAGAATCTTCCCCCAAATTAGAGAATTGGTTTTCTATCAAATTATTTAATTGATCTTCCACCGGAAATATGTCTGCAATTGAAACTTTTTTTATCATGTGGGGACTTTCTGATGCTCTTCGTAATTCGGTTCTCAAAAATTTTGATTTGCAATTTGTTATGTTTAATCAGGCGAATTTAGGTATATTTACTTATGATACACCCTCATTTTAATCCTACGATTATTAATTAATCTAATTAATCCTACGGTTATTATTCTAAAACGAAACCATCCTGTAATAGAACTCTAGCCGCTCCCATTGAAGATATACTTTTATGTCTATTTTGCAAAGCTGGCGAGAAAGTTAACAGAGAAAAGTTTAGTTTATTAATTCAAAAATTGATAGACTGGATATAATCAAATGATAGAATAACACCGTATCTGTACCAAGTCTAAACAAGAAGTTGGGATGGATGGAGTGCAATTAATTTTGATTATGATGACAGTAACTTATAACTATGATTTGTTCCTGCAGGGGCCAAGAACAAAGGGCTAACGAGGCTTCCAACACAGGCGCAGCATGTGAAACAACTTGCCTCACCACTAATGGTTACATCTTCCAAAGAATCCTTGGCAAGATCATACATCATTAGCTTTTCCAAGCCACTCTGCAGCAGTAGTTTCTTCTTTTTCTTTGAGAAAGTCACTGGTTTAAAATCCCAATATACTTGATCAGGATCAGGAAAGTTAATGGTGGTTAATGGAGTCCATGAGGTCTCATATTCTCCTCCATAATCCTCATCCATTGTCCATATCTCTCCAAATCGTCTTCTTTCACGTTCAAACAGCCTGTTGCAATAGAACGAAAGGGAGCCATTCAAATTGCACAACTTTGGGTCAATTACAATGTTGCCGATCATGGCTGGTGAACCTGTGTTTGCAGGACCACATGACATTTTGTGGAATCCCTCGCTTCCAAGATCAAAGGCCACAATGAACTTCTCGACACCCCAAAGGATATCACTCGCAATCCAGTGTATTGTGCCATTTATAAAGGCACATTCGGCCGGAAAGTAGTAGTCTTCATACACCTCAGATATTGGAAAAGAACTACTGCTACTTTGTATTCTCTTCCATGAATTGAGCTTCAAGCTATAAACACAGAGTTCATATCGGCGAGAATTTGGCAATTCATACTTAGAACTGTAGATATGCCATTTAACCACTTTGTAGTCACCATTATTGCGGTCGTACCCGAATGCGGCACTCATTGAAGGTCTACATTTCTTTGTAAATTCGTACGGAGGCAAAGGCAATGCAAAGTAGTGTTGAATCCATGGATTCCACAAACCAATTTCATCGGCCTGCAGATGATTCCATAAACAAAGGATGCCATTAGCAGATCCCACAATTTCGAGTCCACGTTCATGAAATTCCAAAGGCGGGCTACTGAATTCCCTGGTGGCAATTGCTCTGCAGAAGCCACCTCGGAGTTTACAAACCGAATCAAAACTGTAGAATGTAGTTCCCTTTATGGCAACAATCTTGTTGTCGGCTGAATGCGGAGGACACTCTTTTGATCTTTCGGAATGCATTTCGATGAAGAAAGGATTGTCGATCATATCGCGCCATGATTTCGAGACGCACCTGAATCGGATTAAGGAATCAAACGGTAGCCTGAGAAGAACTTCAGCAATTAAATTGTCAGGAATGTGGTAGCCTGACATTGTGTGGGGTTACCGTAAGGCTGAAATTGATATGATGATGATTTTTGGGTGTGCTGAAAGATTCAAGAATGAATGTGTAGATGTATTTGTTGGATGAGATTCAGATCATTTGTCTTGTATATTTATATAGTTATAAGTTACGGCAGACCTTAGAGAAGCTCTTGGTTCGCTAGCATGAAAGGTCAACTCCAGCAAGCAAGTTGATCTTGAAGAACAAGGAAAAAGATGCAGAACAACTAGGGGGTTTGACATTTTGGCTCCAATTATTGCTGATTAATTAATTTTATTAGAACTTGGGCTGCAAGAATAATCATGTTTACGTTGATTACATTCTGCAACAAAGAGTGGAATTTTGCAAATCCGAGAGAAAGATAACTCGGATTTGGCTAATCCGAAAGCCGTCCAACCTGAAATTAATTAAAATTAATCAAGTTTCAGATTTAACAAATCCGAATGGTTTTAATAAAAAAATAATTTATATTTTGCAAAAAAAAAAAATCTAAGTGTTCGAAAATGAAATTTGATTAGAAACGAATCAGCCAAATCCGAGACAATAAGTTTCGAATTTGCGAAATCCGAGCTTTCGAATAAAATATTATTTTAAATTTCGGGAAAAAATTCCAAGTGTAAAACTAGATAGGAAGGGTCTCGGATTTGAAAAAAGTCCGAAAGGTCTGCAGAATCTGCGAAACTCTTTGGTGTCGGCCGGGACTGCCATTTTGCACGAGCTTCTCATAATTAGGATAGAGTTTCCAATCAACCATAGGCCATTGTCGCTCATCAGACACCACTGAAAAACTAATATATTCGAATTGTTTGGTCCATGTTTGGCGCCTCCAACACTTATGGTATAGGAAAACATGCCGATCATCTTTTTTACGTGCGACGGAAAGTGCGTGCGTACACGGCATCCAGTACTCTTGCCATTTCTTGCACGAACACCTTTTGGCGTTACAGGTGACCGTATACACCGTCCCACCCCTCCCACTAGGCCGTGTCGGCGTTATCACCTCCCAACTATCATCGTCGCCATCGAACGGTTCAACATCATAGGTGACGACTTTTGTTCTTCTCTTCGTAAACTTTTCATAGCTTAGGGGGATGGGCGTATCACAACTCGTCGCCAATAACCATTCTTCTCGGTAAAATTTCACGGTTTTGTGGAATGTAACATCGATCATAACTCTAATGGGCAAAAACCGGATTCATTTTAGGGCATTGTTCTAACTCTCGGAAATGTTGGTAGTTGTGACTCCCCAACGACGACATCCAGCTTTCAAACAAGTCCAATTACACCCCCCTATGTCACGAAGATACTCCCATGCTTCAGGTTTTAATTCGCGGAGTTCTTGCCTCATTCGCTTGAATTTTTCAAAATTAAGCGTCTTCCCCATCTTTTGGCATAACCGCTTGATTCTTGCACTCCTATACTTCGACACTAGATTGTTCCGAACGTGCCAGAGGCAATACACGTGGGCTCCATCACCCAAATTGCTCCATTCTGGTATTTCCGACATTGCCCTCAAAAGCCCAGCGTTTCGGTCAGAAATCACACTAGCTTTTGTGTCACCCACAATATGATACCTCAAATGTTTCATGAAAAATGTCCAAATTTCAGTGGTCTCTTCATCCACCACGGTGAATACAACCGGTAAAATGTGTTTGTTTGCAGTATACGCCACATCAACTAGCACTCACCCTTGAAATTTACCAAGGAAGATCTTCAAAATTGGAGGACCAATCGCCATAAACAGCCTCTATGGCTTTCCTCCTCCCGTTCCACGCCCTTTTGTAGGGGACATCAACTTTTACCAACTCCTTCACATCTTTTTGCACCGATTTTACCGTGTAATTCATGTTGTTCGCAACCTTTCTCATGATTATTCTAGCAATAAACACCGAGTCCGCACAACGGTTGTCATTATCGTTAACCACCCTCATGCAAGTGTGTGCGAACAACCATTTCACTATTTGATGCAAGCCATGCTTTCCTAGTGACACGCGGATCCTCCATTTGCACATAAGTTTTCCATCTTGGAGGGAGGGGAGGGATCTAATGTCCTACATAGAACCGCCCACGTCTTAGGATTACTCGCGATAACCTTTAACTCCCTTTTATGGTGGATGTTCCACAACTTCGCGGCATGTTTCGCTTCTCCTTGAGACTTGAAACAAACTTTAATGTGCATCCCTTTGGGAGTCTCGTCCCTCATTTTTATATCAAAATCATCCTTGTAAACAAGCGACGCATTCCATTCACCCATTTCCTTATACACATGGCACCGAGGATATGGATTTAGTTCTATTTCTTCATTCACCAGTTCTTTATCATCACTTCCATCATCATCACTAGGATCTCGTGCTTCCGAGCTTTTGCTTGGAGCTACGTAGTCAGAATCATTATCATCCATGTGATCATCTTGTGCAAATAAACTTCCACCATCTTCTTCATGAACCCGTGAAGTACTTGCTTGTTCTTGCCTTGGACCATCTTGTTCACCCTCATCCATGTGATCATCTTGTGCAAAGAAAGAAAGATCCACCATAATGATTGTTCATATCTTCTTGGTTAGTGATATCCTCCGTCTCAATGTACAAATTTACACTTGTTATTGGCTCGAGGTAATAGATGATTCCAACATGTGAATCATTCTTTATCTTCATGACGCGCCTTACACCGTGAGTCACAAATATTAACGAAATGTGAAGTTTCCTAGCTATTTCAAGATTCCAACCGAACGTCACACAAATCAAACTAACCAACTCATCATATGACAACCTACTATCAATAACAAGAGTGTCGTCCGGCTTGTTCTCAAATGTGATCACTACACCATTCTCTATCACATACTTGCTTCTATGAAACAAATTAAGTATTTACAGCCCGTGCGTAGACATTTTAACTATTTATTAAGGGATAAAATAATCGTTAACTATATTAACCGTAATCTCACCTAAAAAAGAAAAATAACTATTCTCACCTAAAAAAAGAACAACAACAATTCTCACCTAAAAAAAAAAAAACAACAACAATTTTCACCTAAAAAAACAACAACAATAACGACAACTCCTTTCTCATTAAATTATCCATACAAATTATCCCTAAATCGTATCAATTATCTATACAAACAAAATCCATCCAAATTAATTAAATTAACCTCTATCAATTCTTAAAGTAACAATAATCCTAACCTATAAACTCAACAACAAAATCTACATTATCATATTACATTCACAATCATCACTCCTAAGCCCTACCAATCTTCCATCTTCAAAACAATATAAATACACAACAAAACAACTAAAAAAATATTGATTTAATGACTAACCTTGTTAGAATAACGATTCTTGTTGCATTTAGTGGTAATGTGCGTCCAAAATCCTGAAGAACTTCGGCCACAACCTTCCATAGCCCTCAAAAATTGAAAAATCCGTTCTGAAGGGAAGCTGCAACTTTTTTTTTTATATATCACGTTGTTTTGGATTTAGCAAATCCGAGAGTCACTATTCATGTGGGGCTCTCGGATTTGACAAATCTGAATGTTCGTCACCTTATCAGATCCGATTTAATACATCCAATAACCTTATCCACAAGGACGGATTACCCTTCAATTGAAAGGCAGCTCTCGGATTTGGCTAATCCGAATCCTAACCCTAAACCAAAAACCCTAGAAGTCGGATTAGGCAAATCCGAAATCACTGTTCTAAATTTGAATTTGCCCGCTATTTTTTAAGCATTTTTGGAATATTAAATTTTAAAACCTTTCGGATTTCTCAAATCCGAAGTCACTGTTCACATGTTGACCCTATTTTCCATATTTTATAAAATAACGAAAACATATAATTTTTATTATATTTTATTGATTCGGATTTGGAAAATCTGAGAGTTCGTTTAATTAGGCTCTCGGATTTGCCAAATTCGAGACAATTAGTTTTTGTCCACAAAAAAATTATCCATATCAATTATTTTAAATTTTTTTGGCGGAAGCACCCTATGCTCTTTCTCGTAAATCAATTTTATCAGTCGAGATTTTATCTTTAAATCAATACTTCAAGTTCTCTCGTAAGGCAAATTCTCTGTATAAACTTTTTGTTCTCATTTCGTTGTTAACTGAAAATACTTCAAGTTTAGTAACTTCAATCCCAAACCCTTTCCAGGAATAGTTCCTATTTAATCTGGGTTTTTGTTTTTGATCCTTTTCAATTTGGTTATAATAATCGTCTGTTTTTGTTGCATAAACTAATTTCCGATTGTTTCTTTTGGGCGAGTAAAAATTGATTCTTTATCAAAGTGATTGTACGGGAATTAAAACCTGTCTTGTTTTGATCAATGCCAATACTTCATGAAGTGGTTAATGCACCAAATGATCAAAGTTGACTAATTTTTGAGTTTGTCCAAATCCCCGTGCTAGAAAAATGCACCGAGTACTTGGCAAATTTTCGGACTGGTTAACTGCGTTTTCATTATCATGAACACGAACTATATCAAACAAGAAAGTAATCGAAACGAAATCTTCCTGCAGGACATGGCTAAGGACAAGGTCTAATGAGGCTTCCAACCCAAATGCAGGACGTAGAACAACTCGCCTCACCTCTTATGGTCACATCTTTAAATGATTTCTGATCAAGGTCATAAAGCACGAGCTTTTCCGAGGCAATCTCCAGCAGCATTTTATTCCTTTTCCTAGAGAATGACACCGGCTTGAAGCCCCAAAATCTCAGATCATTTGGAAAGTCAATGGAGATTAGCTCAGTCCATGAACTCTCAGACTCTGCATAATCCTCCAATATCCATATCCCTCCCCTTGTCTTTCCTTCATGGTGAGAGTATTTGTAGCGGATTAAGCATATGTAACCATTCAAATTGCACAACTTTTGCAAAGATACTTCATATGTGTCTTGTGAATGTATGTTGCTAGGACCAATTGACGTTTTGTGGAATTCCTCACTTCCAAGATCAAAGGCCACAATGAAGTGCCCTATAGGCCTTGTATACATAAGCCAGTGAATTGCACCATGCACAACAGCACTATCTGCAGGAAAGAAATTGCAGCCTTCTTCCATCTCCTCAAATGGAAGGGAACCCGTTATTCTCCTCCATGACTTTAGTTTCAGGCTATAAACACAGGGTTCATATCCACTAGAGTTTGAATCATAATTGCTATACATGTGCATATCTGTGTATAGATACCATTTCACCACTTTGTAGTCATCGTTAACGCGGTCATACCCGAATGCAACGTTCATAAAAGGTCTAAATCTCATTGTAAATTCATTCGGAGGCAAAGGCAATACAGAGCAACGTTGAATCCCTGGATTCCATAGAGCAACATCATCCGTCGATAAATTCCACAGACAGAGGATTCCATTACAAGATCCAACAATTTCCAGATCTTGATCGGAAAATTCCAGAGAGGGGCTCTTCAGTTTTTTGGCAATTGCCCTGTAGGAGACTCCACCATCAAGTTCCGAAACAGAGTCAAAAGTATAGAACTGAGTTCCCTTTAAGGTAACGATCTTGCTTCCGGCTGGGTGAGGGACGTGGTGGTTTTGTTGGCTGATGAGTTGGGATCTTTTGGAATGCAGTTTAATGAAGAAAGGGCTGTCGATCAAATCGCGCCATGATCTTGATACGCACCTGAACCGAAGCAGCGATTCGATTGGGAGCCTGACAAGAACATGAGGAATCAAATTATCAGGAATTTGGCAATCTGACATATTGGGCCAATTAGACTAGGATTTACTGAAATGAAGACTGTGTCAAAGAAATCCTAAAGAGATCAAATCCTATGTCTTATATGGTTGCTGAAGACTTAGAGAAGCTTCTGAGTTCTGAGGTCTAACATTAAGGTCAAATTCAGATAGTTGATCTCTGGAGAAAAAGTAAAAGATGAGGAATGGAAGATTAAGACAAGTTTTCTCATCTGATTCCACCTATCGTTTATTAGAACTTGGACAGCAAGATTGTAATGGTTTATGTTTACGCGCATCCAATTTGGTGATTACTGGTTAGGATTGCTTTGACGGCAACAGGAATAGTCTAATGATTTATGCATTTTAATATTTTACTTCGGTTAACTTTGGTACGCAGTTTATTTATAGCATAACTTAATTCTAAATTCCAAGTGTCCTCCATTCAAAAATTGAAGCAGAAGAAGAACGAATCTTCTTTTGGATTCTGATGCTTGACTCCAACCGTAGGTAACCTAAACAAGGCACACTTTTTTGTTTTTAAAATGTTCTTTTGTCGTCTAAAGCACTCAACTTTCGCTTGTTTTTTTTTTTTTTATTTATTTATTTTTTTTTATTTTAGGTTTCAGAATACCATTTCTTGGGTATAGGAATAAAAAAAAAATAGTATTTGGAATCTAATAATACTAGATAGGAAAAATGTGGTATTTTTCTGGTTAGATTTTTTATATCTCACCCACGTAGTTGGAATATGACTTGGTCGTGACCTTCCTTTATGTGATGTGTAATCGCTTAGTGTTTAGACCATTAGCCTCCTTCATTATACCAAAAGAAAAAAAAAATGATAATAAGAGAGAGAGACAAAAACAAATGAATTTGAGAACCCAAAATAAGAAAACTATAAAAGTACTGTGAAATGTCACTTGGCTATACAAAATTTACGTTTGGATGCAAGGACTAACAAAGCTTCCAACACAAATGCAGGATGTAAAACAACAATTCACCTCATCACTTACGGTTACATCTCTAAATGATTTCTTTTCAAGATCATAAATCACGGATCTCCGGTAAAGCGCGAATCTCCGGTCAATCTTCAGCAGCATTTTCCTCCCTTTCTTTAAGAATGCCACTGGCGTAACGTCCCGAAATTGAAGATCATCAGGAAATTCAATGGAGGTTGCCTCAGTCCATGAATCACCATAATCCTCCAACATCCACACCTCCAGGCGTCGTTTTCGTTCCCGCTGATTGAATTTGTCGCAGATTAAGGAAAGGCAGCCATTCAAATTGCACAACATTTGCCGATTTGTGTTGGTGTATGGTAAATCAATGTTGCTAGGACCAACTGACATTTTGTGGAATTCCTCACTGCCAAGATCAAAGCGGACAATTAAGTTTTCGAAAACCCCAGTGAAGTCAATCACCAGCCAGTGTAATGCACCATTTACTAAGACACAATCTGCGGGAAGGAAAAAGATTTGGTAATCAGGCAGCTCAAATGAAAGAGAACTCTGAATTCTTCTCCACGAGTTTAGCTTCAAGCTATAAACACAGATTCCATATAGACGAGATTTTGGTAAGACATTGGAACTGAAACTGATCCTAACTGAAGACAGATGCCATTTCACCACTTTGAAGTCATCATTAACGTGGTCATACCCAAATGCTACGTTCCTAGGAATCCTGGATTTCTTTGTAAATTCATACGGAGGGGCAGGTAATGAATAATAGTGTTGAATCCAGGGATTCCACAGAGCAAGTTCATCAGTCCATATATTCCACAAACAAATAATCCCATTGGAGGATCCCACAATTTTTAGCTCTCCGCTGCGAAATTCCAGAGGGGGCCTCTTCAGTTCTCTGGTAATGGCTCTGTAGGAACCACCGTCAAATTTAGAGACCGAATTAAACGTATAAAACAGAGTCCCCCCTAAGAAAACAAATTTGTTGTCAGCTGAATCAGTGCGATTTCGTTGGCTTATGAGTTGGAATATTTTGGAATGCATTTCAATAAAGAAGGGGCTGTCGATCAAATTGCGCCATGATTTTGACACGCATCTGAATCGAATCAGGGAATCAAATGGTAGCCTGAGAAGAACTTCAGCAATCAAATTGTCAGGAATGTGGTTGTCTGACATTGTGGGTTACTAAGGCTGGATGATGAGTTTATGGTTTACTGAAATAGTAAAAAATGTGTGATGTATTTAATGAACTTGTAATGGCAGACTTAAAGAAGTTATTGGTAGCTAACATGAAAGGTCAACTCTGGCAAGAAAGTTGATCTTGAATTGAGAAAAAAAGATGATGAAGAAAGAGAGGTTTGACTATTCGACGTATTGCCTAAGTGCACTTAATAGTATTTATTGTAAATTTTTCGAACTCGGAATGCAAGAATAGTTCGCGTATGCATTAATCAATCATTCATTCGTTAGGATAACTTGGACTGCAAGAATAGTTCGTGTATGCATTAATCAATCATTCATTCATTAGGATAACTTGGACTGCAAGAGGAATAAAATATTGTAGAGCTTTAATAATTAAGGGAACTAGAACATACCCTCTAAACTTATTTTGGCATTGGGAGTATTTTGATTTTTATCTTTTTGGGAAAAAGTACGATACTATCAGTAATAATAATAAAAGTCAATGTGTTTTGTGAAACATTACTTGAAGCCAATCATCACTATGAATCAACCTACTTCAAGTCTGCTGGCTGCTGCATTGGAGTCTGCTTTTACATGTATAATAATGCTACATTTTTATTAATTGGTACTCATTGCATCATTTTTTATCTTCTTTTATTTATTATTTTCATCTTCTTTGGGTCACACATTACATATATTTAACAGCAATGCTTCATTAGGAAGGAAAGATTGGCGGAGTTCATGATTCACATATCTCTGTACTTGATGTAATTCCCAAATGAGTTAAGTCAACTCTGCCTACAACAATTAACTAAATTAGTTAATTAGTAGAATAATATTTAATTCTCCCTATCATGGTCAGTGTTGCAAGTGGTCTAATTCACCAATTCCTGCAGCCACGATACATTTTTACACGTTGAAACATCATTTTATCAGTATTTTTTCCTCACAAAATTTGATTATTTGATATTGACTTTTAAGGTTTATAATCGAATATACTTGTTTAGGAAAACTAACCGGATCGAGACTTGACAAGCAGTGATTTAACTTCACTTGCGGTCAAGTGTTGGAGTGGAATGTGATTTGTATAGGGATGTCAGTTTGGTCGGTTAGGGTGAGTTCGGTTCGGGTTAATCGATTTTTTCTTTTCATAACACCCGCCCGAAACTGAACCGCAAAGTCTACAATACTGAACTGAACCGACCGAAAAAAATTCGAGTTTTTCGGTTCGATTTCGGGTCACCCGCATAATTTTCTTTTTTTTGAGCAAGTCATTAGTATAGTGTTTAGCACTTTCTCTTCCAGAAAATTAGCCAGCAAAAACTTATTTGCAAGAAAACAACCGCACAAATACAACAAATTCTTATTATTCCTACAAAATCCTTTCAAAAAGAACAAAAAAAAAAAAAACCAAACAAATAGATGCTGGAATAGGTCAGATCTGGGCAATGGGCGATTGTTGCTGTAGTCCCAAAAAAAACAAATCTTTCATCAACGCCTTCACTAAAAACAAATAGATGTTGGAATATGTGATGGAGATCTAAGTAGATATGAAAAAAATAAGAGAGAGGAGAAGAGGAAATTGTAGCCGCCGCCGCTTGAATCGTGGTGAAGAGGAAGTTGTCGCTGCCGGTCGCCGTCGATTCTGCAGATAGGAACTAAGTTAGAGTGTTGTTGTTGGTTGGTGGGTGGGAGTTGTGGCCGAGAGAGGTGGAGAAAGTTTGGTTGGGGAGGGGGGTGGAAGTTGTTCCCGAGAGAGGGAGGTTGTGGACTGGAGGACAGAGGAAGACGACGACTAGGAAAAAAAATTAGGGTGAGATATAAAGTAGTCAATCCTAGGTATATAAATATTTTTTAAAAAAAATAATAAACAAAAAATTATTTCGGATTTTCGGGAGGGCGCGAAGTAATATCTCTACCGCCCGCACCCGCACCGATATGTTTTACGGTTGATCAGGTGGACCCGCATAGATCCGAATTCGCCCGATTAGTCGAACCGTTTGACCCAAAATGGGTTCGGTTCGAGTGGATTTTCGGGCCGACCCAATTAACTGACTGCCCTAGATTTGTAAATACAGTATTGTAACGGGCACTATCATCTCTTCGTTGGGCGGTTAATCGGGTGGACCCGCATAGATCCGAATTCGCGCGATTAGCCGAACCGTTTGATCCGAAACGGGTTCAGTTCGGGTGGATCTTCGGGTCAACCCGATTAACTGACAGCCCTAGATTTGGTTCGGGTGGATCTTCGGGTCAACCCGATTAACTGACAGTCCTAGATTTGTAAATACAGTACTGTAACGAGCACTATCATCTCTTCATTGGGCTAAGAAAAATGCTGGCTCGATCTCTATTTTTTATTTTTTTTATTTTTTTCATGGCCAAAGTATTTAAGGTTGTTCTATACCCATGACTAGTTTCAAACCCTCGACCTATGATTAAGGGAGAAGGAGTCTCTTCCACTCCACCCCAACCACTTTGGTTGTTCCATCTCTATTCATTTGAAAAATTCTTTTTATTCACCATAATATTTTTTTTGTTCCACTTTATTGCTCTTACGCCTCAAAATTTTTTGAAGCCCAATTGTAATATTTTATGAGAATATACAAGCCCATCATTGTACATTACAAACTCCCATATAATACCGCCCCAAAATATGTTCAATCATCTCCGTCGATCGATCTTCATTCTTCAGCAACCTCCCATATTATTTCATTCCTCCAATTTTCCTTTTCGGGTTTTTGTCTCCATTTATCCAATACATCCCACAACTGATTGACAATCAACCTCAATATCTCATCCCTCACAACCTGAGATCCCCCGGAAGCTCTAATCCTACAAAATCTCAAGGGTTTCGTGCAAAAAGATTTCATTTTTTCTTTTGCTAGTTCGGGAATGCTATGAGCTTGTCCAGATGCCAGATCTGTTAGCCTTTTCGGGTCACTTACATGATCAGCTAATCAGCCTCGTCGAGGGTAAGATCTCCAAACTAGCTGTAAAATGTAAGCCTCTGAGTAGAGGAGATCATCGTTTTGGCACACACGAAATCAAGAGAAAGCTGTCATGTTTTCAATTGTTTGGTCTGGATTTGGTAACACAACTTTAATCTCAGATGTAGTTCTCCTTCAATTTCAATCTCGGTTAGGCCGTAGCCATTCTTCGTTAGGTCATCACAAACACCGCATAGACCGGCAGAATGTGAGTGGATTAGTTGGTTTGGGGCAGTGGTTACAGCCTTAGCTTCCGATCTGAGCCTCTTGCTGTGCCTGCGACCATCGTTTGCAGCTTGAAATGAAATTTGTTTGTCCTAGAAATATAAACACTAGAAAATAGAAACACAGCCTTGTAATTGTAGTGTTTAGTGATTTTTTTTTTAAAAAAAAGATATAAAATAAAAACTTGGAGTAGAACAAAAGCTAAATTAAAACTCATTCTCTTTTATTTCGTTCTTAGTTCTTTCAATTCAAAGCACTCCCAAGTTAAGGCTAATCAGGTGCACGTTTTTCATGTCTTCCAAATAAGGCCCTAATGGTACAAATTAACCACTATATCAACCAAGGGAATCCAAGTTTTTAGTTTAACAAACCACAAACCCAAAATCAAAAACAAAAACAAAAAGAGATAAAACAGTGAAAATGGCAATGTATGATTAGGTTAACTGTTTCATTCCTAGAAATTAGTCTCTTGATTTGGCGTCCTCTGCTGCCATAGCAAATGACTGGATCAATAATTTAGTGTTGGATTACATATATAATCGGGTATACTCCATCTGTCCTAAAATTATTGTCCAGTTTGAGATTTCACTTTTAGTACAATTTGAACTAGAAATGAAAACCTAAACTGGAAATAATTATGGGACGGAGGGAGTATTTAACACGAACGATTACTTGATGAATCCTCTATACATAACATCAACATTAATCAACGGTATCATCCATCAGGCTTGTCGACTCCATCAATGTTTCTCATCCAATAAGTTGTGTCCCCAAAGCAAGCTGCACCCTCTGGAATGTCCTCCATTATTGCTTCATGTCCTTTTGGGTAGTAAATCCCAGTACGATAATGCGGCATCCAGCAACACGAAACCGGCCAGTCTTCCTTCTTTACTTCCATGTCGTCGGCATCATGATCATCATCTCTGACGCCCGACGGCCCTTTGCGTTTTGCTCCCGGATTATTTAGTTTGTTCCCATGCAACCTCCTGCTGCCTACTAAACTTGCCTTCATGTGTCTGAAAATTTGAAGAATTTCCACAAAATCAACTTCCAAAAAACATGTACAGTTTAATTTGGGTTGGGCTAATACATTGTTCTTAATTCATGTTGGTTGTTCCTACGGAATGGAGTAGTTGGAGAAATATTAAGGGACACTACAACACAAAGTTATGCAATAAAATTAATGTTCAGTATATATCAGAACTACAAAATATTAGGACACGAAAAAAGCAGATTAACTCTACAATACTCTATTATTTAGCTAGATCGAAACAGTATATAACACTACTACTGAAGCTATGAAAAAAACGATGAATCGAGGGATCAGCTGGTTAATCAACCTAATTGGTACTGTGTGTGTCATCTTCGTGATCCCAACTCCTGCCATATATCTATATATAAATAAAGTTGATGTTGCCAAGGAATGATTAATGATGGTACTGAAGTAGCTAGATACTTCACTAATGATCGCATTATGCACTGAGCTTTAGTATTTATACAACAAAAAACAAAAAATGTGGAATAAATAAAACGCTTCTTCGAGTCGCTACCTCAGGCTAGCTAGGAATAAATTCTGTTCAAGCATATATCAGGGGAAGGCTTATAGGATCACATCTGTAAAAGCAAAAAAGTGTAATCAAACCATAATGCAACTTTGAATTAACATCGATCATTAATAATCTGTGGTTCAAGACGATTATGCGAAGCTAAAGAACCAATCAGCAAGTACTCTAATTTTAGTCCACATTTTGGGATAGGATTCCCCCACTGAACGTTGTTGGGGTTTTGTAAGCAGCGGCTCGTACGATGTACAAATTAATACTGTGGTAGTATTTATAAATTACAATGTTGATATCATATGCACTAATCTATGCATATTTTCAGTCCATAATAATATAACGGAGAGTGGTAATATTATTCTTAGACTTTGATCTAGTATTATTGTTAGGAAATTCATTTCTTTGTTTTTCTTATTATTATTACTGTAGAAGTCACCAAACATTTTGTTTTCGTTGAAATTGTTCCCATCGAGCTTTTTGTGTACTTATTAAATCGACGAGAAAATATATAAAGGCCAAAGTTCATTATTTTGTTCATTTTGATCACGAGTTTTTTATGGTAACATTTCGGTTGATGGTTAGTTTATTTTATTGTTATATATCACTATAAAATTTATAAAACGTTTTATTTCGGTTGAAATTGTTTGCATCGAGTATTTTTATCCTCATAGCAAATTTGATGAATGCCAAAATTCATTGTTTAATATCATTCCAAATTTTATTGAGGTACACTATTGTTTGATAATCAATTAATTTACTTGTCTCAACGTAAACTTCAACAAAATGTTCATTTTATTGGTTGAAATTCATGCGTCGACTTTCTTGTCTACATATAGTAAACCCGACGTAAAAGTCGACGATGCACAAAATCCCTTGTTTAATGTCATTTTCACAATTTTTTTGTATTTATAGTTTTTTTTATTCATTTATTTTTTTAATCAATTTAAAGATCGTAAAAAATATTTTATTCACTTTGAAATTGTTTATGTTGACTATTTTGTCTACTTAGCAAAACCAACGACAAAGTTACCAAAAAAAAAACTTTATTATCATTTCTACACTTTTTTAATGTTTGGTAATTATTTTATTTGTTGTGACTAATGTAGAAATATATAAAACGTTTTTTTTTTTTGGTTGAAGTTTTTACTTTGGTTTTTTCATTCACATGGCAAAGTCGACAAACACAAACATAATTGTTTCTAATCATTTTCAAATTTTCTTTTAAATTAATGTTCTTTGTTAAATAAATGTTCATTGGCATCAATGTAAAACACAACAAATTGCTGATTTTTGTTCAAATTGTACGAGTTGACGCTTTTGTTTACTTAGGATAATCTACATAAAAATCAATGAATTAAATAAACATATTTTTATACAATTTTTTGGATGGTACAATTATTTGGTAATTCATTTAATTGGTGTTACATATGTAAAAATCATAAAACATTTTATTTTTGTTTAAACGTTTTTGTCCACTTATCAAAGACGTCGATAAAAGCCAAAGTTGATTGTTTAACACCATTTTCACAATTTCTTTTTAATGTATTTATGAATGGTGATACATTAATTTATGTGTATAAATATAAAGATCAATGTCAACTTGGTATTACATTTGTAAATGGGTGATTGGCCTTCGGAACAAATTATGTGTATTTTCTACAAATTATCCCTTCATTGGTCAACTCTCCTCCACCTTGTCTCAGTTGGAGAAAACCAGAGAATTTTGCCGCCTCAAATTCATTATTGAGAAGCAGTAGGGACTAGGGATGATCGGCGCCTCGGCGATGAAGGCTGGGCGGAGGATAGTTAGAACTTTGGTAAGGGTAATGCTTGTTTGGATAATTTCTCCTATAAATTTTGTGATCTTTTTATGGAGTTTTATTATTGTTTTCTTTTTCCCTTAAATGTATGGAAATACTCCAAAGTCTCCAACTAGTGACAAGCTTTTTCAAGTGTAAGGTAAAGACATTAATGGGCCATAACAAAAGTATCCATATGGGCCGACTATGACAGACGGGTCATTATGGACCCAAATTGGCGTCTCAAAACCGTAAGAACATCTCAGTATTAATTAGAAAGGACCGTTGGAAACGAAAGAATACCCGGTGGTAAGGCGTAACGGATAGTTTTTCCTTTTTCGAAAAATTACAAGAAAATCAGAAGAACGGATTTCAGGTCATCACCATAATCAAGAACTTGTTTTCTGCAATCTTATATTTCCAAGAAACTCTATTTTCCTCCCAGTAATAACTCTTAATCTCGATCCCCTTTTTGACCATCGACCAAGAATTACAGCAGAGGAGAAGGCATTGATTTGATATAATCATCCATTTTCCGGAAAAAAAGCTGTTTAGGGACTCATGGATCTTGGTTGCATCGATATGGGTTGTATTGAAAAGGAAGGGAAGGAGATTTCTCCAGAGAAGCAGAGTAGTAGCGGCAGTTCTTCGAGTGATTCTGCAACGGCTACTTCCAAAATCGGAAAGGTACGTCCTTTTCTACTTCAAGTTTGTGTGTTCAGCCAAATCGATCCAATCTCTTGTTTTGATCGGGAATCAGGATAGTAGAATTCAGTGTTTTATCCATTAATTAATTAGTGATCCATCTTCTTTTTGGCGCATTTGATTGTAATTATTCGAGTTTCGGTTTCTAGTATTATATTAGGGTTAGAATCAAGCTATTTCATATGGATTTTGGGGGTTTTGCCGTTTGACTGAATTAGGAATCGGATTTTGGGAAATTGGTAGCGTGCTTTTCATTTATTGGCAAACACGATCTTGTGTCATGATTTCATTACTTCTTGTATGGTTCGTGGTGGCAATTATTGATCTGAACTTCTTTTCCTTCTCGTGGGGTTATGAATGTCTTGAAATGTCCCCATAAATCGAATAAAAGGGCTAGACAATTTAATGTACTTCGTTTATAATCTCAAGTTAAGCCTTTCTTGAAGGACAATCCCAATGATCGGAAAATTGAATCTTCGTAATCCTAGTGTGTTTCCAAAAAGAAATTAACTTCTTTTCTGCTGATTTGACGATGTAGAAACGTTAGGGTTTTGCAACTAATTTGGTTGAAGAAGCTGTTGCAGGTTTTTTGGGGGCACATTTATGAAGTGTGTCTTTAGGAACAATAATCCCGGAGTTGAACTGATAATTTAGCAGGCATTGCTTTTGTGGGTAGCTCTTTGATTTCAGTGAGGGAGGCAGGACTATACTGCATAAACTTTCGAAAGATGTTGTACCAAAAACGGATTTTGCCCCTTTTCCCCACATTTTTTGTTGTCTATTGGCCTTGTTCTTGTTATTGACTTTCTCATTTCAGAACAAAGCAACGAGAGACTCTGGACAGTCCAATTGGAATGCTTTTAGCAAATGCGCATCACAGATTAGGAAGCCCCCTCGTCGAAAGACATCACCTTTAAACTGGTTTCCTCGGAAAAAGGTCGATTCTTACTTGAAGAGGAAAATACAAATGTTACAGGTAGTTTTTTAGTCCAGCAGACAATTTATCAATTGGCTTTTGTCTTTTTCCTTTGCCCTTAAGGTTTGACTTACTGATCTTTCTCACAGGAAGTTGATGGAATGAATTCTACACTTGATGAGACATTGGGTGATTCAAATCCTCATTATTCCAGAGTTTTGAAAGAAAAAATTGCTGTTAAAGAGGCTGCAACTAAGGCAATGGAGGCTCGTAAGGCTGCAATGATTGAAGCATCTTGGTGTAGGATACTTAAAGCAGCCAGGTAAGATGTTTTGTGCCAAATAGCATATACAAACGTGAAAAACTCTAACATGCTGATGGGAGAACGTTCTGGGTTTTGTGAAATACTTGGTTATTACTTTCCTCTCTGATGAACTTTTTGTTCTTGTTCAAAATGTGAACTTGCAGTATTGATTGTAAGGATGCAGAAGCTCAGCTAGTTGAAGCAGAAAAAGTTGCAGCAGAAGCTTTTGAGGCTGCAACTGCCCTTGGAGTGACCATGTATGATATTGCTGATTGCCCTCAAAGGTCTTACATGATTGAAATGTCAACTACTAAAGGAGGGTCTGCCACCCACACTGTTTCAGCATCTTTTGAAACTGCTTTTGAGGTTGATAAGCAGGTAGCTTATGCAGTGAAGTCTGCATTTAGTAAGCTTGCAAACTGTTCATCCATTAAGGAAGATGAATTCAGGGAACTCCTGCGCAAAATTAGCCAGAATCCTGATTCAGACGACTTTTCAGATGGTTTCTCTGAAATTGCTTCAGAATGTGAATCGGATACTGGGTCAGAGTTTGATGTGGTATTGCATGACCATGGCTTTGTTTCTCAAGATTGTCCTGACGTTAAGAAATCTTCTGGCGTGAATCAGTATATGGTCAAGAAAGGGCAGGTGTCTGAAAAATTCAATATGGCCAATCTTGCAGAACTGATGCTGGAAAGACTTAAAGGTTTGCAGGAAGATGAGCTTTCTTCTCTTGCCACTATAGTTTCAACTTGTGGGCTAAGTGCTGTTCTAGCTCAAGAAGAAAGTGTCAAGAAGAATGATTTAGACTGCAGCACAAATAATCAAACACGCATCCCCGTTCCCCGCAGAATATCAACATTTGGAGCAAGGTCATTTAGGAGTTCTGGAGTGGATGGGCAAAGAAAAGGGATGGATGATACTGAACTACCCAGCCTCGACAAATTCCTGGTGAAGAAACTTACAAGACTTGAGAGGGAAGTGCTAGAAGCAAAAAATGCCAGGGAAGGTGATAAGCAGCAGATTTCTGAGACTGATAAGAGATCAGGGGAATTAGTCAGAAAAGAGGCTGCCAATAATGATTCTGTTCCTGGACTTGGTGATGTACTAGTGAAGCACTCCTCAAAGCTTGAGAAAGAGATTGAAAATGCCAGGAAAAATAATCCCACAACGATCACCAAGAAACCTGGTAAGAACGGTTCCAGTCAAGATGTTTCTGCAGTACCCAGCTTAGACAAGTTTTTGGTAAAACACAAGTCCAGACTTGAAAGGGAAGTTCATGAAGCAAAGAGCAGAAGGAATTTTGAACAAGTAAAGGATAGCAAGGTTACTGACAGTAGAAAGTGTACTTCAAATCCTGATATAAGCGGTGAAGAAACCATATCATCTGAAGACATGGATCCTTCAATGGAGAAGGAAAACATTAGCCTGAACCAAAATGAGGATAATGATATGGATCATAACAGAAAAGGTTCATCAATGAGAGGTCACCACCGCAGCATGTTGAGCCAACAAAGGAGTAATAGTCATGACAGTACTGAATCCGGTTATGAAAGTCTGGATAAAGTTTTAGTGAAGCATGTGTCAAGGCTGGAGAGGGAAAAGCTGGAGTTCCAGGCGAGGGAAGGAGTCACTGCAACAAATGTGAGGAGGGCAAACAAAGAAAAAACTGACAAGAGTTATGGTGAATCGAGCTTGGATCAGGTTTTGGTTAAACACAAGTCTAGATTGGAGAGGGAAAAGATGGCGGCGGCAGCTGCTGCTGATCAGCCATCAGAGAAACATCAGGTTCTGCACTCAGTTGCTCGTAGAGAAGCAAGGCAGAAAGAGCTCCAAGATGCTTGGGGTGGCTTGAGCCTTGGCAATTCCATGCGTCCTCATCTTTCTAGGCTTCAACGAGACAAGGCGAGTACTAAATTCTAGTTCTACTGCTTTCCATTTAATATTTTTTTTTTCAAGTGTAAAATCCTTGTTTCATTCTGTTTTCACAACAACATATAACTTGCGAGTGTAGTTCTGTTCTCAAATGGTGCTATTCTTATTTGATTCCGTTTAGGCTGCATGGCTTAAAGCAGAAGAAGAAGAAAGGAAAAGTGCAATGCAGATATCTTGATCAACTTTGGCTTGTGGAGAACATTCCTTCACGTTTTGCTTCCTTTTATTACTGAGCTCTCAGCCCTTCGCTAAGTTCAGTAAACATTTTCGAAGAAACAAAGCAGTTCTTCTTCAATTAGTGATTGCTTTAGTCTTTTGTTACTGTTTCCTCATAGAATGATGAGGACTTTGTCCGAGACTTGAATTTGTACAGATAAAGTTTGAACGACGTATTACATATCTGTTGTAAATTGTAGAAAATTTGACTATTGTCTACTCAGAATTCAGTGTTCTTTAGAATCAAAATCATCTATGCCGTTTGATTTGGGCAAGACAAAGAAGGCACAAGGCCCTTCAAGTCAAGTCCAAATTGGCGTACTAATAACTAATAATGACTTGTTCAACGCTAAACTGGTCCACACACAGATAATCGTTCATGATTACATAAGTTGCAGTTAAAGTTGCAAGTTCTGCACAGTTTCCTTTTCACAATTTACAGCACAGCTTCCATCCCATCCATCTGTGACAGTGCCAAAATCCCTTTTCAGTTACCCCTTCTTTTCATTCTTTCGTCATCAAGAAAATAGACAATAAAAAAACCCAGAAAGAAAAATCCGAAAAAAGTAAAGAAAATGAGTCGGGATCAGAGAAGAAGCAGAGCATAGTTTTCAAAATCTCAATTCGAATCTTAGAATTTTACGATCCGAAATTAGGAAATCGATCCTAAATCTTATGAAATTATTCTTTGTAGTGGGATCTTATGGAATCCTTCAAACTCTTAATCCGTTATCTTACGATCCAACGATCCATTGATTTTATCGATACTTGTACAATTTGTTGATTTTGTATAAAAAAGGAGGAAAATGATTAGAAAAGATATAATAGTTAAAATTTTGAGTTAATGATACGTATGTGGACACTAGTCTATTTCTCCATCATAAAATCAAATAAGAATTGAACTAACAAATTGAAATTAGCAATTTCAGAATTATTATAATATTTTAAATAGTTACGATCTCACCGATCCGATTCCATCGATCTAGAATCTGATCCAATCCTGAAACGCGAAAATGATCTTGTTTGAAATCTCGATTTTGAAAACATTGCTTGAGAGTACTTCTTCTTCTTCCTCGTCATGATATTTGTGGGAGCCCACATTACAGTGCACACTTCACGGTCTTAAACAAACTCATGAGTCATGAGGGCGTGAAGTGACTTTTTTACCCTGCTTTTCCTGTTCTGCCATTTTCAGTTTTTTTTTTTTTAATCTTTCTCAATTCCAAACCCAAAATTTACTAGAACAGTATGGAGCAGTATTGTATTTAAGGGTATATTTGTTTCATTTTTTTAGCGTGTGTTTTTAGACGTTTTCTGTATTGAGAATGTAAAAAAGTATATTAAAAATGTAAAAAAATATACTAAGACGAGACAGTTAAATTTTTAAAGTGTTTATGGTCTTTGTTCTGATTCCCCAAGTTGACTTGGACTCACTCAACAACTTTCCCTTTATCAAAGTACCAAAACCAATATCATCATTGTTTCTCTCTCTTTCCACCCTCACATTTTCTAGCCATTTTCTTTTCTAGTGGAGTAGACAGTAGATGTCCATTTGTGCCTCTCTTTAATTTACTCCTCTCTTTTGAAAGTTGAAACTACCTGTTCTTTGTGTTTTCACCTTTCTAGTTTCTCTCTTTCCCTCTGCATCTTTCTAAATGGCTTTTCCTTCCCCTCTCCTCCTTTTTGTTTTCTCTGTATTTTTCTTCATTTCTTCTTCCTTCTCATCCAATCTTGAAGGTATAATAAGTTTTACTAATTTCATCTTCTGAGGCCTTTCTGGGGTTTTTTTTTTTTTTCCTTTATGGGACGGGTTTTGATTTATATCTTCATTGAATTTCTGTTTCTGTTGATCTTGATTGTTTTGCTAATTCAGGTTAGATTGAATCTTTAAATTTTCAGGAGAGGCTTTGCATGCTCTCAGAAGCAGGCTTTCCGACCCCAAAAACGTTTTGCAGAGCTGGGATCCTACTTTAGTCAATCCTTGTACTTGGTTTCATGTTACATGTGACGCCAACAATCATGTTGTTCGACTGTAAGACCCTTAAATCTTTAGTTTTTGTGCAATTAACCTATTCTGTATGCATAATTTTATCTTCTTTTTTTTTTTGGAATTTATATAATCTTATTTGTTGAATTTAATTGCAGGGACTTGGGCAATTCTAACATCTCTGGAAGTTTGGGACCAGAACTCGGTGCTCTCAAGCACTTGCAATACTTGTAATCTTTCTTTCTCATCTTTGTGATTGGTTTATTTGGGATTGATTATTAGACTTTAAAAGTAACGGCCTTTACCAATTTACAGTTGCAGTTTAGTTTTGTTTGGCTGTTTTAGAATATGTAATTCAAGGAAACAGAGTTAAATTTGATAAGGATTTTTCATGTTTGTGGATCACATGTAGGATGTTGTTTTCTAGATGCCTTTTTCCCTGTTTCAAACAAATCATAATCCTGGATCAAAGCTTTAACTGAGTAAAGTAGGAAAGAGGGAAAAAAAAGATGAGAAAGTTCTGTACTTTTTGGCTACTAGCTAAGTAGTACAAAACATGAGCAATGTGTAACTTTTCCTTGTTTAGCCGTTAAAAGTTATGGCTTTTCTCTTGGAAGTGACAATTCACATCATCACATGGGGTTAACTTCTTGAATTCATTGCAGGGAATTATACAGGAATAACATTGGTGGGAAAATCCCAGAGGAATTAGGCAATTTGGGAAGCCTAATTAGCATGGATCTCTTCGGCAACAAATTTGAGGGGAAAATACCTAAGTCCTTTGACAAATTGAAATCTCTAAGATTCTTGTGAGTATCATTAACTCAATCTGTCTCAATAAAGAAGAAATGCTGAAATTTCCCTTCTTTGTTTCCAAGTGTTTTGTTCACTAAAGCCCTAATTTTGATGGTTTAGGCGCCTGAATGACAACAAGCTGACAGGTTCAATTCCAAGGGAACTTACCAAACTCCCAAACCTCAAAGTTTTGTAAGTTGCAAAAATCAATTATACTGTCAGCCTGCAAGGGGAGTTTTAATTGTTTATTTATACCTGTGCTTTGACTTTGCAGTGATGTTTCAAACAATGATCTTTGTGGAACAATTCCAGTGGATGGTCCATTTGCAAGTTTCCCCATTGAAAGGTACTAATTCTATGGCAAATTTGTTCATTACATGCCTACTGACCATCCATCATTTCACTCGATTATACATTTTCTTGGTCATTTAAAAGATATTAAAAATAGGATGAACATGTGAATGAGATTGAACCTAATGTTTTGTTATGGTGGCTTTTTCTGTATTACAATGGAACTCCCCTGATCTTGAATCCACTGATAACAGCCTAATGTTTTGTTATGGTGGCTTTTTCTGTATTACGATGGTGTATACAAAGCCAAAGTTAGTCTTGGAACTTGAACCATGTATCCACAATGTGTAGCATACTTTGGCGGACTGATGATTGCCTTGTTTATAATTAATTAGTATAACTATAAGAAACTATGGCCTAGACTTCTACATTCGCTTGGAATTTCTTAAACATTTCTCCGCTCCCAGAAAGTTCTTGTTTCATTTATTATGGAAAGTGGTATACATGTTAATGAAGTAATGGTCAATATTGTAAGAGTAATGACACCATTACAACATCAAAACAGAATAATGTGGCATGGATATGAGGATATGATCATTCATCTTTATTAAACTGTATGTCTTTTTTGATTTGCAGTTACGCGAACAACAAGCTCAATGGACCCGAGTTGAAGGGACTAGTGCCCTATGACTTTGGATGTACCGAAGTGTAGTCTCATTGTCATAAGCTTCTTCATCTCTCAGAGGATCATCTCATTACAAGATTACTCAATATATAGTTGGGCGATGATAATGTGCATTAGCATTGCAAAATAGTGTAAGTGGATGGAAGATTGGGTGGTAATAACAGGCTGGAAAATCTTATGTTTTATTGTGAAGCAGTATGTGATCTCGCCAGGAAGGTTGTGGTCATTGAGTTTGTAGAGAAAATGATATTTCTATCAAATATATTGTCTTACATTGAATTCAAAAAAGTCGGGTACTATTTGCTAACCAATATTACATGAAGTTTCATTGTAGTTGAGATATCTGTCTGTGTTTCTGCAATGCTGATCTATGATTATATGGCCTCCGGGTTCATCCCTTGCTCAATGGAGCTACAATATATTTTCCACATCATAAACAAGTAAAGAACCGTGGATTCATCATCTTGAAAATGAGTTTTTGGTTCAAGGAATTGTTAAGTCTGTTGTGGAATCAGACTTTACTATGCATTTTGGACAAATCATTATAGTAGAGAACATCTTGGAGAAAAAACAAAAAGTGGTTGAATTTGGACTATCGATGGGCCATATAAACTAAACCCAAAATAAGACAATAGAAAAGGCCTAAATGGTGTGTCCAAATCATAATTGTTTCTGTCTGAAAATAATGGTCGGTTAAGAATTCAAAGCAGGGACTGGATTGAATGTTTCTCTGCCTGTGTTTAATTAAGACAATGTGGAGGGGTGGGTGTAGAATAATAAGATTTTTGGGAGCCTGAAGTGTTAAGAACACGTGTTGGGCGAAGGATGGCATAGCTCTCTAGTTTCGCACGTGTCAGTAACTGAAAGGCTGACTCACCAAAACTTCTGGAGGAACGGCGACTATTTGATAATTTCTTAATTGAGTCGTGTCTGAATAATGAAAAGGACTTTTCTTACTTTTAGTTTATTTTCTTTTTAAAAAAAGGAAGAAAAAAGAAAAAAAAAACTAATTAAGTGGTTTAGTTTTATGCAATTATCAAAGAGAAGAAAAGGATAAGATGTACTTTTTCTGTTCTAATATTATGTGATTTCATCTTTAGTATAATTTGAATTAGAAATGAAAACTCAAACTGGATAATAATTATGGAACGGAATGAGTAATTGCATTTCTATGATGTAATCTATAATATTCAATATGAATTTTGAATGACAATGAACGCTAATTTTTTGGGTTTTTCAAATTCTAAATGAGGAGGTGGTAAACACAAAAACTAATCGAAATTGATTAGTAATAGCGTGTATTTTGTTTTTCCCTTATGATTTTATTCCTTTTCATTATTTGGCGACCAAATTATTGTTAAACATCACAATAACAACAACAATTTAATGCAAATTTGAAGGAAAAATCAGTCAGAGACTCAGAGTTGTGTTGCCCTCATTATATAAAGTCGCCAAATTTTCAGCCAAACTCCTTTCAAAGTTCAAACATCAGAGACGACCTCAGAAAATTCCAAATTTCCCCTGTTTGCCCCTTTGTGCACAGACTTCATATTTGTTCCCTTTTGGTTGGTTGGCCCTCCAAAAACACGCAGTCACACACTAAAGAGGTTTTACATTTTCAGGGAAGAAGAAGAAGAAAACCTAAAAATACTCTTCTCCCTTTTGGTTACCTTCTCCTAAATGAGTGGACGCCTCCTTAAACATGGGTTCCAAACCCACCCCTGCTCAAAATCGGTGTACAACTTGTGGAGGACTAAGTTCTACTCCATTTCGGACTCCGCCGCCGGCACTGCTGGCGGTTCGATCGTTCGGAAACAGTGCCATCAAATTCAACAGAGTAAACCATATTCCCGGTTCAACCATAAGGCCAAAGAGCTCGGGTTACAGACTCCTACAACAATTGTTTCTTCCACTTTTTCTTCAACGGCGTCGTCGTCCTCTAAAATCGGGCTTGTCGGTTGGTATCTGGGCATGGTCAAGTCGAGACCCATTGTTACCAAGAGCATCACTTGTGCCTTAATTTATACGGCTGCTGATTTATCGTCTCAGGTACTCTACTGTTTTCCATAAAAATCTTACCTTTTTATGTTAAGAAACAAAATTGCTTTCTTGGGTTTTCGTTTTTCTTAGCTGCTGTATCGATGGGAAAGATTGCTATAGCTGTTTTTTTTTCCCCTTTTGGGTGTTTTTTAATTAGTTAATCTGTTAAGTTGCTACCAAATGTATGAATGATGTATCCATGGGAAAGGTTGCTATAGCTGGTTCCCCCTCCTTCTTTTGTTGCTACAAAATGTATGGATGATTATTATCTGTTGGGACGTATTGATGGCTTAGCTCTGTATAATTTATGAAGTTATTGGGTTCTCTTTGCAAAAGTGATTCATTTTGACTTGAATATTGGAGGTTTGAACTTCATGATAGATGATAAATACTGTGTGATTGAACTTAGGTTTTGATGGCTAGAGGGTACTAGGATTAATGGAGTAGACAAATTTGAGTTTTACAGGGTGACAATTTTGTTAGCCAATTCATGCTAAACCTTTTTCTTTTTCCTGTGAAACACTTGGGAGTTGGGACTGAAAACCTTAAGATGGTGATAATTTGTGCAGCTACCATATGATATCCTTCTTTTGCACCTATCTGTATGTGTTACCATCAGTGGCCTCTCCATACGTGAGGGTTTGCATAGACAATGTACTTTGCTCCAATAGTTGTTCATATGCTTCATTTGCACCTATCTGTAGGTGTTACCATCAGTGGCCTCTCCAGACGTGAGGGTTTGCATAGACAATGTGCTTTGCTCCAATAGTTGTTCATGGAATAAGTACTTCAGTTATTTATGAGATGAATTTTCTTGTCCCTGTTTCTTATGTCCTTTTTGGCTCTTTTTTCTCTGCTCCGTCAGACAATTGCTGGGCAATCTGCAGAAGGGTATGATTTGGTGAGAACACTGCGAATGGCTAGCTATGGCATGTTTCTTTTAGGTCCTTCGCTGCATTTTTGGTTTAACTATGTGTCGAGGCTCTTTCCAAGGCGTGATGTTATCGCAACCCTGAAGAAGATTGTAATGGGACAGACTTTATATGGACCTGCTATGACTGTTGTTTTCTTCTCCTATAATGCATCATTACAAGGTATCACATGCACATTTCAATGTATTTAGCGTTTATAAGGTTGCCCCTTTTCCATGGAATGGTTGGTATTTTAGACCTGATAAAAACAGTTAATCATCCTAAAACTCAGAAACAGGTTTGGAAATGTTAAAACATTCCGAAGGGCGATTCGAAATCAATGAAAATTCAATATCTTATGGAACGAATTTTGACAACATTATGCAGAGGTTGTTAACAGGAGGGTATGTGGAACTAGCAGGGGAATTTTACTACATTTCCTTTTAGGTTACTATGTCATGCTTTTGTGATAATATCAGTCCATTTAACATATGACAATAAGAAAAATGGTTATTTTTGCGTCTTACAGCATTTTATGTAATGGTTTCTAGTTTTGAGTATGGTGAGATTTGGCATACTCATGATGGAGACTAATCTTCTGGTATCTGCATTAGGTGAATCTAGAACGGAGATTGTTGCTCGATTGAAGCGTGACTTGGTGCCCACATTGATTAGTGGTGTTATGTATTGGCCCTTATGTGACTTTGTGACATTCAAGTTCATTCCAGTTCATCTGCAGGTATCAGACCTATTTAATCCTGCATGATTGTGATATAATTCGGCGAGGGTTCATATTTTGTGATGTGGATTGCTATGTAAGCCTAGGCCATGTGCCTTAGATTAAATTTTAAACTGATCTGAGGGGCAGACAGCAGTTTTGTCTTTCTCATACTTGCTGGTATTCATGCCTTTTTCTGTTGCTGCAAGTCTGCTTTTGTTAATTGGCTTGGCTTCTAATGTATGTGTTTTTCTTACCATCCCAGCCACTGGTTAGCAATGGATTTTCGTATTTATGGACCATTTACATGACGTACATGGCAAGTCAAGAGAAGGTGCGTTCATCTTGACAATATTTACTACTGTCTGAATAGCTGCATTACTGTGGTGGAGCAGATCTATTCTGAGTGAAGTGGGACTTCTATATAATTGCTATCAAGTTCTGGTAGTGGCCGTTCAGAAGAATCAACCAGCTTGTTCTATCCTTAGTGGCTGACATTGATTTGATTTGATGATCGGATAAAAGATGTATGCAGTTTACTCGCATTATGTGGTATAACAACTGGGTTTGTGTCATGAAAAGTCGGTTGTTTGTAGAAGACCCTCTGTCATTCTTTGTAGAAGACAGTTGCAGAATGAGCTCTGACCTAGATTTGCTGGATCTTGAAGGTTGTACCTTGTTATTCTTCTTCGAACACTTGTAACATGTTTAGATGTGTAAAAGTGTCGTTCATTTTTTAAACCTTAAGTTCGAAACATGCTATATATCTAATTATATATGTTGAGTGATGATACTTTTGTCTTCTACCAAGAATTCGCACCCGGTCCAGCATACCAAGCATTAAACAGGAAGCTCTTTGTTTTTTATTCTATTTATTTTAATGAGTATTACGGGAAGTTTCTACATACATAGGTTAAAAGTTAAATTAACAAAATCAGAAAATATTTAGGTATCCTATTGTAATTTGTTCATGAATAGGTAACTTGATTTAAAAGTGGAATAGGATGTAATTTCCTTAATACTTTTTGGTGTTTCCTTATATTTCCTTACAGTTATGCGGGTAACTTGGCGGGTTGACCCGACTCTGACCCGTATAATAAATAGGTCAACCCTAACCCGACTTGTTTATTATACGGGTCCAAAATTCAAACCCTAACCCGCTTATTTCGTGTCGGGTTCGTGTCGAAATTCCGAGTCTGTGTCAGAGATTGACATATTTTTTCCCTCTTAGAGTCAACAAAGTCTATATCCATGGTATTATATCATTTTGATGATTATTATTTGATGGTAATATTCTTTTTTATATATATAACGCCGAGAACTCCACCAGAGATGGTAATATTCTTAAGTAATAATTAAGTTTTATTTTGATGTTTATTTTCTTTTTTTTATTTAAATAAATTATAAATATAATATTTCATAAATAAATATTATATATCATAACCACGTGTTTATTTGTATTAAAAAGTGACGAGAATGTCAAGATTTTAAAATGTAAAACTTAGTATAATAAATTAAAAATCCAATGTTACATGGCTAGTTTTATAATCGTTGCATTGCAAACTTGATAATGATTCTCATAATTTGACTAAAAAATAATGCAAAAATTCATTAAATAATTGTTTCCTTAAAGAAATTCTAGGATTCAACATTTTCTTCAACAATGTAAAGCTGAAAAAAGGAGTCGATTTTACATTATTCGATTAAACACTGAACATAATCTCACATTTAGTTCGAAAAAAATCCAAATGTTGAGATTTCTTTTGTGAAAATTGTTGGCGCCGCATTTGGCCTTTATTTTGAAAATATGACAAACAAATTGACAAAACAAAAGACTAATGGTTTATCTCATAGCAACATTACATTTGATTGACCGAAGAAGAGTAATTTGATAAGTGATAATATCTGGAATGATAAAGAAACATTAAATTCCCATCTTGAGGTCACTTTAGCAAACTTGCAGTTCAGATGAACAATCTGTATGATGGAACAATATAAACAAATATTCCATTCCCCGTTTCCAACTACTACACTGAACCACACATTTGTTTGTCATTAAAAAGTGATGAGAATAACGACATTTCAAAATATAACACTTAGATGATTCTCATAATTTAACTAAAAAACTGTATTCAATCTTTTTTTTTAGATATATATTTCTTTATAAAAATTGTGGGGTTCAACATTTTCTTATTCTATGTAAAGCTGAAAAAGTACTCGGCTTGATATGATTCGATTAAACATTGAACGCAACCTCATATTTTTTTTTAAAAAAAAAAACCCCAAATGTTGAAATTTATTTTGTGAAAATTATTGGCGTTTATTTAGAAAATCCGACCAACAAATCGAAAAATTGAAACACTAATCTTTTATTCTAGATTTTCAACTTTCAATTACAAGTTGATAAATAAACTAGAAAATAATAAATGAAAAAATCAACAACGTAAATAAAAAAATTTGGTTAAGAAAGAGGAGGGAAAAAAAACCGTCAACTTCTTCGTTAGGAGGGAGAAAATAAAAATAAAAATAAAATAGAACCGCCCACTTTTTCGTCGCCTTATTTAACTCGACGAAAAGGTCGACGGATCAGGATAGTTAACCCTTCAATTATGAAGCCGTTATTTTCAACGTCTTCGAAAACCCGAAAAACAAAAGGAAGACTTCAACATCGCGTCGACGATATCGTCGAGATATCAATATTGACGGACAAGTCGACGGATTTATAAATTTCACATTTTTATTTTATTTTTTCTCCTTAAAGTCAATGAAGTCTATATCCATGGTATTATATACCATTTTCATGATTATTATTTGATGGTAAGATTCTTCTGTAATAATTAATTTTTTTATTTTGATGTTTATTTTCCTTTTTTATTTCATAGTTTTATTTAAAATTGATAAATAAACTAGAACATAATAATTGTAAAATTCAAATAAAAAATTTTTTTAAGAAAGAGGGGAAAAAAAACCATCAACTTCTTGGTTAAGAGGGAGAAAAAAAACAAAACGTCGACTTTTTCATCGCGTTAAGTAACCCGACGTACAGATCAACGGATTGGGATAGGTAATCCATCAATTTTGAAGTCGTTATTTTCAACAACGCCTTCAAAAAACCCGAATAAATTTAGAAGACTTCAACATCTCGTCGATTTGGTCGTCCAGATATCACTATTGACGGAAAAGTCGACGGATTTATAAATTTCACATTTTCTTCTTTTTCTTTTTTTCCCCTTTAAAGTCAACAGAGTCTGTATCCATAGTATTATGTTATTTTTACTATTATTATTTGATGGTAATATTATTAACTAATTAATTTTTATTTTGATGTTTATTGTCCGTTCTTTTCTTATTCACATAAATTGTAAATGTTATATTTCATAAGGAAATATTATATATCATAACCATGTGTTTATTTGTATAAAAAAGGTGACAAGAATTTCAAGATTTAGAAATATAAAATTAGTATAATAAATTAAAAACCCAATGTTCCATGGCTAGTTTTATAATCGTTGCATTGTGAACTTGATAATGATTCTCATAATTTGACTAAAAACTATATGTAATCTAAATTCATTAAATATTTGTTTCTTTATAGAAATTGTTGGATTCAACATTTTCTTCATCAATGTAAAGCTGAAAAAGGAGTCGGTTTTGCATTATTCGACTAAACACTGAACACAAATCTCATATTTCGTTAAAAAAAAATCCAAATATTGAGATATCTTTTGTGAAAATTGTTGCCGCCGAATTTGACGTTTATTCAGAAAATCTGACAAACAAATTGACGAAACTAAAGACTAATAGTTTATCTCATAGTTACAATTAAAAGTTGATGGATAAACTAAAATATAATAGTTGCAAAAATAAAATTGTAAATAAGAAATTTTGTTAAGAATAAAAAATAAAAATAAAAAACAAAACGCAATGACTAATTTTTTGTCGAGTTAAAATGAACAGATGACATGGTCGACGGAAGAGGACATTTGATACTTCAATTTTGAAGTCTTCATTTTCAACACGACTTCAAAAACCCGAAAACCAAAAAGAAGACTTAACATCTCGTTGACTACTTCATGATATCTGAATCGACTTATTTATAAATCTCACATTTTCCTTTTCTTCTTTTTCCCCTGAAAGTAGACGAGTTAAAATTTGTATTCATGATGTTGTACCATTTTCACGATTATTATTTAATGGTAATATCATTAAGAAATAAATGAATTTTATTTTGATATTCATTTTTTATTTTTCTTATTTACATGAATTGTAGACATTATATTTTAAAAAAGAAAATATAATATTTACCAAGTTAGTTGTGAAGAAAGCTGAAATAAGCCAAAGTTTGGTATATTGTCAATTGTATATTTTATTTCTAAAATTCCTTTTTTGAACTCTCTAAATTCTTATTTAATTGAGAAATCGGGGGACAATTCATTTATCATACTACCTCCATCCCTTTCAAAATAGTCCACATTGAGTTTTCAAATTTGTACTAAAAACAGTACAAAACTCAAAACTCAATGTGAACTATTTTTGTGGGACGGGGGAAGTATTAGTTAATGTAGTTTTGTCTAATTCAGTTACAGGTCTGGGAACATATATTCCCATTATGTTCAGATGAAACTTTGATGGATGATTGTAATAATAGGTCGACCGAGGTCACTTGTACATTTTCATATTTGTTTTTAATACAAAACGATTATCGTTCACGGTTAAAAAAAAAAAAGACTTGAAAACAAGGAAAACCTCTACTTATTATTATTATTATTATTTCTTTGGGAAATTCACTCTTATATGATTGAACAGAATTTGTGAATTGTGTGACTTGGAATGGTCACTTGACTCATTTTCAAAGTCCCAAATAGCCGAAAGAAGGCAACAACGATAAACGGGCCATCCAATTCCCAATTCCAAATGTGTTGGCGTTGTGGATTCCATTCCCTTCAGATGCCCGACTGCTGTGTGTTGCTGCGTATGCTTTTCTTTTCTGGTTACTTTGGGGCCCTTGTCGTCCTTCTATATTTTGGCCGGCCCGAAAAGACCATGATCCCACCAACATACTGTAGTTGCTATGTTGCTTTAGGCTCCGGTGTCCTTACATTGTTCGCACAAACAAGAATGAATACATGGTTTTCCTTGCATGTTAGTATTAGACTAACAAGATCAAACCGTAAAAGATATATACATACACAAGGTTGAAACTTTAGCTTCTATCGCTTACAGGCACAAACAAATAAACCAGTAATGGGAGCCAAAGGTAATTAAAAGATTAATGAATGACTAGTTCGTTGAAAACTAAGATAATGAGATATATACATCAGTTTTTTTTCCTTTCCTCAAGTAAGGAAAAGGAAAAAAAATAAACATTTGTACAACTATCTAGCTTATAAATCAATCCCTCTTTCCTCTAGCTGGATGCTAAGGTACAATAGTGCAGAAAAGCGACTGCAATTATTTTCCCCAAAAGAATGCCCTATTGAGAATCAAAACCAGTCAGTCTCCGACGCCATCTCCACCATTGGACCCAAAAGGTTTAGATCTAGGTTAGCATTAGGAGTAGTAGTAGTCACAGTGATTAGTTGTACAAGTCATGTCAGGCTGTTCCGTACACGATTTTGTTGTAAAATATGTGTCCTCAAACTACAGTCTTTAACCTGCGAAATTTAGTTTGTGCACAAGTATAATCAGATTGGGAGATTTTTGTCGTCAAAAGCACAAGGTATTTAATTAAGCTCAATCTACCTGTATGGCTGCTAACGCGGCCAATAAATCTTTGCACTGTTCAAGTTGGGCCTTCTCTTTCGCTGTCACTTTTGCGAGTTCGATCACCAGAGAATTCACTTCGTCAACCTGAAAAGGAACTTCAAACTGATCAATACAGTTGGTCCATAAAGCCAATATGGCATTATACAAGTTTCCAGTTAAAAAGTCGAGATTGTTAACATAACTTTGGCTTTGCAACTCAAGGTTTCACTTTAAAAGTATTAAAAGTAAATACATAAATAGGAACAAGATGATCTGCAACGTTGAAAACTCAAAAAGCATTGGACAAGGACACATTACATTAAAAAATGTGATGAAACAAATGGGAAAATTTTTCACTGGGACAATGTTTCCTGCTCATCACATTTGTATGAGCTGGAAAGACTCTGGGAAGATAATCAATACCACACTTCCGGTTAGGGCCCATATTCCCATCACCAATTTTGTCAACCTTTTTAACAGAGCTAATATGAGCTCTTCGTTTAGGACAAGAAGAAATTTTCTATTATCAAAGAGGTACGAGTGAATGCAAAGTAGTCCTCCTCTTTAGATCATAAAACTTAAAGGAACAAGGCTCAATTTCAGTACTAGCAAATGACAAGTAAAAAAAGAGCAGTTTCAAGGGTAAGTGTTTGCACATATTCTGTGTAAAAAGATAAAATTACAAACAGATGAAACACACAGATTTTAATTCAGGAAGAGGATATCTGCCTTTACAATATGCTGGTGAACTTATCCTATGAGTATTTTCAACAAGAGAAGATAGATCACCTTTGGCAAAAGAGAACAAATAGAAGATGCCATTGCCTGCATCATGTCAACTGCAGAACCAACGGCCTCTTTTAAGCTTTGAATGTCAGCCTGTTACAAGTCAAAGGATTTACTAAGCTATTGAAAACTTGCCGAATGATGGTAAGAAGCAAAAGGTTAAGAGTAAAGTGGTACTGAAACATACAACTGCTCCTCCACTGACGGGAAGACGAAGAGTGCTAGCCTTCAGAGCTTCAATTGCCCCAAGCAAAGAAATTGAGTGGCCTTCATCTAAAGACGCCCATTCATCTAACTCCGTCACCTAGAGAAAGTTAATACAAGTGTCTTAGAAGGTTATATGCAAAACTAATTCATCAAGTCCATTATACAGACAATTTGCAAATATAATTAACACCAACAAAATTCAGAATCAGAGCATCAGAATCCAAGTTTTGACAATAAACCCAAATTCAACTACAAAAGTACTGTACCGTTTATGTTATACAACAGGCACCCTTCAAGAGGAGCATTAATTGAACCTCTGCTTAAGTGCCTGGCTCTTAAAACATTGGAAAACAGCAATGAAACAGCATAATGATTCAGAAAGAGGGCAGAGAGATCAACAAAAGGTCAAAACTAATGGATAAGGGAGGCTTCTGATGATTTTTCTATATTTCTCAACTTGGTTACAAGATCCAGATCACATTTGAAATACATCTTCAAAAATCTGACCCACCACGAAACCACAGAAAAGGTAAATAAAGAAGTAGAAGTATGTTGCTGCTTTTCATGATTGCGTGAAAAAATCATTGAACTAGCTTACTGCTGCTTTTCATGATTGCGTGAAAAAATCAATTGAACTAGCTTACTCCACGTCAACTAATTTTAGGAATTGAGTGTCATACTTCCAGCTTTTTAATTGAGAAAACAGTCAATTATATTATTCAATTTCTTCTTGAACTTTGGATGTTCTAGTCTTTGGATTATAAACCAGGGTGTTTTTTAATAATAGTTATCCAGTTTAGAAAATTTCTATTTATTCCAGACAAAGATGAGAAGAGTTACAAGGTAAATAGACTACTTGAGTCATAGGGCCTGTCACATAAAAAGACTATATAAGAAAACCCAGAAAAAACAAGTTAGCAAAACAAAATCATAGAGGTTCTCTTCCCCCCCAAGAAAAGAAAAGGAAAAGGTGGCATTCCACTGTTTTACACGAGGATGATGAAAAACAAGTTAGCAAGGAACCATATTAAAAAGATTTCTGGTAGCCTGAGGTATCTATCTAATTAGGATTACAGCATTAACTTCAGGCATGGACGTATAATTCATAGTATTTGGTCCTATAAGCAACATCTACAGTGTAAACCATCCTAAATAAATGAGCACTAAAAAGAGGGAGCAGTTATCTAAATATTTTTGTTTTATCAATCTGCAAATTTGCACCAGTTGTAAACCACAGTAAGACCCAATTTATCTAAAAGACCAGATCTGATAAACCAGTCGCTAACAAGAATAATTACTGCAGTTCAAATAAATGCAGAACTAAATGCCAGTGCACTGCAGAAGCCAGGTCCAATAACATCTCATAATTATTTCTGAAATTTGACATCTCACGCATACCTCAACACAATTTGACAAATTGCCCAAACACAACGATATAAGAAGACAACCAGTTCTTTCTAAGATGCCCACAAGGCAAAATGTGATTCAGCATTAAGTAAGTAATATACATGTAATAGGGTACATATCCGAAATTTCCCATCTATAATTAGCCATCAATAGTTTGGCTGACTATATGGCTATAATTTTAAGTAAACAACTTCAAAAAGATCTTTCCTAAGATATCCACCATGCAATAAAAGAATTTATATTTGCTAATAAATTTAATAAACAATATGATGGGGTTACAAAAGCACATTGTGCTTAATGAAGTTGCATCAAAGTGAAAGATACTCATGAAAGGGATAAAAAGCTTACTTGTCCCCTGAGAATGGATGCGAGCTTCAACTTTTGCCTTAACAACTGTAACCTGTGTCTTTTCTTCGTGACTGTATCACGTAGGTCTGATATTGTTATCCAAGCATTCCAAAGGCTCTTCTGGAAGATAGAAAGGAGCACCGGTCAGAAGTAATTACTAATCGTACTTCATCTCAGAAAGAACACATTAATCACAAGGTAAGATGGTATTCCATACTACAAAATGAGAATTAATAACAGGTGAAAAAGAAGAGTAATAGGAAAGAGAAGATAATTAACATCAAAACAAAAAACCGACAGTGATCACATACAGAAACTAGACATGTAATTTGATCATTAATTTGTGGTAACATGCATCATATGCACAAAGAAGACAGAAAAATTTTGTAGTCTTCAATATCTCAGAGTTAAATTATTATTTCGAATTGCTCCTTATAACACATTTGCAGTCATTTCCTTTCTTCGTGAAGAAGCTCTCCGAAGTGTAGTGCAGTGCTTAAGTTTAAAGGGAAACAATTAAACAAGTGAATATGAAGCTACGGAAAATAAAGATACTGATATTCTTTGACATTAATAGAATATTTTGCTCGGTGCAATCTACATCCTGTATTTAATTTTGCATAAACTAGCAGCTTAATATGGCATTCTTTCAGCAGCGCATACAAGGCAAAACCAGGCTTACTAGAATTAGTCAAAAATTCAGAGTAAATGACCATAAAGCAAATTCGGAAGACAACTTTCAACAAACAATGCAATAGCTGGTGCAGAAAATAAGAACAGAATCAAACCTCTGCACTATGTTTCTGCACCAATAAGGTTTCTTCGGTCCTAGCATTTACAAAACGCCACTGCAAGTGCCGATTATACAGAAGTCTTAACAAATGAGCATCCACAATTCTGTTCTCACCAACCTTCCCCCTCCGAACATCAACAGCAAAACTAAGAACTGAAGGTGTCTCGACAAAGTTAGTATTGATTGTGCTAACGGCATTTCTGACCCGGGAAGGACTAGATATTCCTCGTGAAGGAGATGATGACATAATCTTACTGGGTGAGGCAGCTCGAATGCCCCCTCGAATAGGCGATGACATTGTTCTCGGCGATGACATAGGAATATCACTAGAATATCTCTTCAATTTTGGTGGGACAATCAATTTAGAACCAGGACTTGTAGCCAAAGGTGACCCAGGATCTTGCAATCTCCTTAACCTACTATTTGTTTCTTGCCAAAAACGAGCCGAAGCAACAATCCCCCGAGGTCCACCTTTTAAACGGGAAGAAAGCCCACCAGTACATTCTTGTGCTCCGGAAGTGCTACCAGAAGAAACACTATCAGTGTCAGATGCAGTAAGATCAGAATGCACAGATGACTCGTTATTCACTGAATTCCTATCTGCCCCATAATGAACCCCCTTCAAAAGCTCAGCACTGTCCAAATCAAGACTTAATCTTCCATCAAACGAAGCCCTTCTCTCGTCAATCATTGACTGTTGCATTGCTCTGATGACATTTCCAGATCCAATTATTTTACTCCTCTCCCCACCACTACAATCTAAACTTCTAGACAAAGGATTCACCTGTCTCGTCCTAGCCGGCCACCTCTGTTGATCAATGGGCTTAGAATTCTCCCCCTGATCTCCGCCGCCATCAACCTTCCCTCTCGACGGTGTACTACTCCTCCTTCTCTCTGGAGTGCCCTTTCTCAAATTAGGGGAAGGTGGGGCGATTTTAGTCTTAATTGGGAGCGAAAAAGCTTCCCCTTGAAAGGAAACTGATAAACTCCGAGTAGCAGTAACCAGCAGCTTTGTAGCCGCCGAAGTTTCACCGGCATTGCCTTGTTTAGCATCGAGATCAGCCGTCAGTGCCCTAGGCGTCGATCCAGGCCGCCTCCGGTCCACCGATACAGACCTTTTCGGCGCTAGAGCGGGCGATGCCGAATTCCTAGCTACTAAAGGGGAGGGAAACCGTCTAGAAGAAGACGAAGATGCGGAAGACGAATTGGAGGTGGAGGTTGTTGAATGGGAAGGAGACATATACCTTGAAGAGACAACTTTTGATTTGGGCCTTTTGGTGTTGTTGGTAACGCCATTGTTGTCCTTCTCCGAGGGCAACAATGGCGGTCGCCTCTGGTTGCCTTGAGCCTCGTCGTGCGACGTCGTTTTAGGGGTTTGCAAACCTTGTGGGGCAGTTGAAGGTCCTCCTCCTCCTCCAGAAACAGCTGCTACCATCATCACACCAACCATAAAAAAAAAAAAAAACTTTTGCCAAAAATTCCCCAACTTTACCAATCACATTGTGATTTTGAAACCGAAATACGCTAGCCCTTATACCCAATTTCGTATCTCCATCATCCAAAAACCCTGAAAACAAAGATCAAGAAATCCCACAACCCAGAATTAAAATCCCATAAGGGGTGTTATCAAGATTGCACATTTCATCCAAGATTTCCCACAAAAAATGAGTGTATATTTCGACAATAATTACAAAATTTTAGACCTAAAAAGAAAAGAAAAGAAGAAGATAATGTGTGAAAAAAAAGTGGGGATATTTTTTCCGGCAAGAACAGTGAGATTTCAGGGGAGTGAGAGAGTGAAAGAAGAGTTGTTGTTGGTGTGGAAAGGGGAGATTTGGGTGCATAAAGAATAGGGGAATTGTGGGAGTGTGTGTGTGTGTGTGTGTGTGTGTGTGTGTGGGGAGCTGTTTTGGGTGGGTTTGGGGTTTTGTGAAACTTTAGATAGACGTTACGCTAAGCAAATCATATTTATACTTTACTAATATTATTACTAACTAATCAATTATTATTTGGAGGTGGGATCTTATTATATACACTGTTTCTATAAATTATGATTATAACCTGAAATTGTTTAATTATGTTAAGGTATATGGTGTATTTTTATGGGCGCATGACTGACTTTGGGTCCTTTTTTTTCTTCTTCTATTGCTTTTTTGTTGTAGGTGTAGATGGAGAATACTCAACTACACATTTAACTCTCTACGAGTAGTCTTTATCTACCAAAAAAAATTTAACCAAAATCCAAAACCCATCCTCCCCTCTCTACTACAATGACCAAGACAAAAAATAATAATAATAGTAATAACGGAGATTAGTCTAATTATACTACATAAAATATCAACTCATCGAAACTGAGGTAATTTTTTTTTAATTATTCCATACAACATCATTATGTGTACTATTTCACTTGGCCAATTGGCTATCTTTTATCATTATCATTTGGGCTATGGTTAACCAAATTTTGTTGTGGGGGATGGTTTATGATCCCACATTATGGTTTTTTTTTTTTTTTTTCCATGGGGGGATCTAACTAAAAGCGGCCGGGAGGTTTGAAGATTCTTTTACTGTTCAGCAATAGGGACCATTAATTGCTTCAACCTCATTATCTACAAACAACTAAGAAAAGGGAGGATTAGTGGGGGGGTAACCTATGAATAACCTTTTATCTTGCAATTATTTTAATGAAAAAGTGGTCTCCCTCTTGATTTGCTAACCTAAGATGAATTGGAAAGTATGACAGAGGTAAAGAATCTAGCCTCTCAGCCTTAGACTTGAACAATTTTTTAACAAATTCTCTGAATGCTAATTAAAGTTTGAGTATAAAAACCACAACACTAGTGAGATGTTTCCAGATAAATTGTGCAGTCTTTCCCATAAAAAGCTCAAAAAGAAAGATTAACATCAATACATCACTATTTTTTCTTCCGTTACTGGTGAAATTCAAACTTATAATACTTAAAAATCGATAGATGCTATAAATTATTGCCCTATTTTCCGAAATGAACTCTGAAGTAGAAGGTTTGGGTTGCTGATATAAGGAGTTAAGTTAAATCTTTGTGGTGAAGTATACTTACCTTCAAACGGTGCAAATCATAGAGATGATCAAGTTGAGTGTCAAATCTGTGTGTGTGTTTTCCAATCCAATGTCGCTTAATAATGAGGCTCAGATGTCCTTATCACTTATTCCTTTCCTCCTTCATCACACTGAAATAGGTGAAGGAAGAGTAGCACTAAAAAAAAGAAGCAGAAAGTGTACAAGTAAATATGCATAGAGTACAACACACACACACACACAGTCACACACAAAAGAGTACCCCGTGTGTGCCTATCTTATCAAATTTGACAATTCCGTATGCCAAAGGGGTTGTGTTAAATGACTTAATGTGTTTCATCTTGTACTTAGAAATTTGCAGCTGTGATATGGAGTATAAAAATGGCATTAATTTATGACGTTTTCTTTTTTTGGGGCAAAAATTTTCAGCGGAGATGAAAAATCGCATCTTCCTAATAAAGTAAAGGGGAACGAATAAAGCAAACGGAGATGCATATATTTACAAAATTTTGTTCATTTCCAAAATAGTATTTGCTCTTTCCGTTTCAAAACAAAAAAAATTCATCTTTGTTGAACTATACTCCTTCCGTCCCAAAATTATTATTCAGTTTAAGATTTCACTTTTAGTACAATTTGAACTAAAAATGAAAACTCAAACTGGACTTTTAGTACAATTTGAACTAAAAATGAAAACTCAAACTGGACAATAATTATAGGACTGAGGGAGTATTATTTTTCTAGAATGGAGTAAATGCTATATTTTGATATTTACAAAGATTATTATGTTGTTTACGATAGGATGCACCGTCTCATTCAATGCATTGTAGCCTCCCTTTTTTATTTTCACTTTCTCCAAGCTATGGATCTGTTCTGTTGTGTTCTCTCATCTCTGGGCTGTCTTCCTTGCTTTTGACGCATGCATGTTTCCTCCATTTCATCATCTCACCATTATCCACCCCTTGTTGTGATCATTCTTTTGGCTGCTTTTTCCTAAATTCGTTATCTCTTGCCACCGCCATTAAGCTGTTAATCATTGTTATTATTCAACAAAAATTTGTCAGTTACAATATGTATGTGCATACGCAAGGCGGCAATTGTGATGCATATATAAGGCAAAAGTCAATCCAAATATTGTGGTGTTTTAATGTTTCGGCTGCTTAACAATATACAATACTGTGACTCAAACTTTATTAATTGATGATGAGGAAATAATTATTGGATGATTTAGGTTGCGGGGTGAAACAGGTTGGATTGTGTTAATCAATGAGGTAACTAGAGATTATAAAAAAGTTAATCATTCTCGAGAGTGTTATTGTCGGTCACTCCAATATACTACTATACTAATAAGCACGACGATCATCAAGTCAGGTCAAATTTCCACACAGTTGAAACTACATTTGTTAATCAAATCACTTGAGCTATGACTTATATAACTAATTCTATAATTAATTCTACTTGTGGATTGCTATATCATTTGGCAACTAACTAGCTACCCCCACTATTTGCAAAGCAACCCTTTGCAAAATTACAACGAAGATTCCTTCATAAATTTGTTGATGATAGCTTTTTCTGTGATGGGTAGATTTGTTACATGTAGAGAAGAGTTGGATGAACCAATTAAATGTGTTAGAGGGACAATTTGATGAAAGTTGGTTGCAAAGATTACATCCCATGTCAGAATTGTATGTCCTGAATCAGCTCATCAAAACTTATTCCTTCCATTTGCTTGTCCAGCAACAACAGATGGCATTAATGTTTTCCCCCTTGGGTAATTTACCAAAAAATATAAAAATAAAAATAAATTTGTCATTCTATTTTACCTATCGTTTCTGTTTTTCTTTTTTTTTTAAAAAAAAAAAAATCTCTCGATATGTTAAACCTATATCACTATTGTTTATTGGATTTTTACATTTTTTCCGGCACATAAAAAGATGCTAAACCTTAATTGGCTACACAAATAAATCAGGTTGGGTGTCCAATTTTTACAACTTTTACATATAATTGGCCACAAAATTTTCCCTTTCCAATATAGAGGTTTTTTATCGAAAAAATTATCAAAGGAAGTATCTGGACAAAAATAATTTGAAGAGAAATTAGATAAACAGAAATAGATGTCTCAGATTTGCCAAATCCGAGAAGCACAAAGAGTCGAACTTTTCAAATCCGAGAAGCACAAAGAGTCGAACTTTTCAAATCCGAGAGTAAGACAACTCAGATTTGTCTAATTCGAAAGCAGTCCAAGTTGAAATTAATTAAATTTAACTAAATAATTAATTAAAATAAACCAAGTTTCGGATTTGGCAAATCCAAAAGGTTTCAATAAAAAAAATATATTTTGAAAAAAAAAATCTAAGTGTTCGAAAATGAAATTTGACTAGAAACAAATCAGCCAAATCTAAGACAAAGTGTTTCGGATTTCAGAAATTCGAGTTGTTGAATAAAATATTATTTTAAATTTTGAAAAAAAATTACAAGTGTAAATAGATAGGAGGGGCCTCAGATTTGTCAAATTCGAAAGATTTGCAGAATCTACGGAACTCTCAGATTTACCAAATCCGAAAGAATTCCAAATGGTATTTTTTCGGATTTGCCAAATCCGAGACATACAAGAAACTTAAAAAAAAATAATGGACTGGTTTTCACCAGTCCTAACCCTGTTTATGCAGCACCAACAACCAATTCATAACAAACTAATTCAACAACAAAACAATCACATTTTCACAACAAAATAATGTAAAATTTTCAACTAACAATCCAAAATCATTCAAAAACCCTAAAAAAGACTAATCAACAATCATTTTTTCCCTCTCCTAGGAATAGTGGGCGGAGTAAATTTAACCAGCAGGTTGCGCGGCCTGTCAGATTTGTGAACCCCTTGTTCCTGCGGCTCTGGACGGATTGTAAGAATTGGCTCCACGTTTAGGACTTGCAATTTTCCTCCAAGAGTAATGGTGAGAGGTACCTCTTCTTCATGTGCAGTGTAAGATCCTCTCGAAGAACCAACGCCGTTCTCTTTTCTCACATTGTCTCCTCCCATTTCCTCCCCTCTTCCCACATTCTCTCTTCCTGGGTTCTCTTGCTCGTGTTGGCCCGAACCTTTCACGTGATAATGTGATGGTCTGAAAGGATTCCTTCGCTTTCTTCCTCCTCTAATTTTATCTCTTGGCCACGGCTTCATTGTTTCACCGTGCGTACCTTGTGAGGGGTGACTCTTATCATACTTCACAAGAATTTGGGAATCCTCAATTTCCATCTTATCGTCCTTTCCGAGAATTAAAGCAGTGTGGGTTACGTGCGCAAAATGGTCGAGCACCTTTTCGAGCTCGTCGTCTAGGAGAAGTCCCCTAACAGTGGGTCTCGGATTAGGCAAATCCGATATCATAGAAACGAACACACTCGGATTTGCCAAATCCGAAAGATCTTCTAACAGTGGGTCTCGGATTTGGAAAATCCGATATCAGAGAAACGAGCTCACTCGGATTTGCCAAATCCGAAAGATCTTCTAACAGTGGGTCTCGAATTTGGCAAATCTGATATCAGAGAAACAGACACACTCGGATTTGCCAAATCCGAAAGATCTTCTAACAATAGGTCTCGGATTTGGCAAATCCGAGTCATCTTACCCTCAAAAAAACAGAGAAACAGGACAGACTCGGATTTGATAAATTCGAGCCGTGTACTAAATGGTAAGTTTCAGATTTGGCAAATCCGAGGGTTACCTAATTGTTAATAAGGTCAATTTTGTTTTACCAATTTCTAAAACCTGTAAACATTCAATAACTTCCACCACACTATACTCTATGATAATAGTTAATACAAACATCAAACAAGATAGGAATTAAAAGATCAATCCAAAAGATAACACTGCATAATAAGGTGTTTACAAAATACAACAACAAACTAATCACTTTTATGCTCTTATTCGTCCACCACACGTGTTCTATCTACTTGGGGATGCGAGTGAGGACACAATTAGCATCGTGATCTCCTCCGCATCTCGAGCACAATAATCCATTTGCATGTGAATCATTCTTTATCTTCATGAGCGCCTTACACCGTGAGTCACAAATATTAGCGAAATGTGGAGTTTTCTAACTATTTTAAGATTCCAACCGAACGTCACACAAATCAAACCAACCAACTCATCATATGACAACCTACTATCAATAACAAGAGTGTCGTTCGGCTTTTTCTCAAATGTGTTCGCTACACCATTCTCTATCACATACTTACTTCTATGAAATAAATTAAGTATGTATAGCCCGTGCGTGGACATTTTAACTGTTTATTAAGGGACAAAAAAATCGTTAACTATATTAATCGTAATCTCACCTAAAAAAAAACAACAACTCCTTTCTCATTAAATTATCCATACAAATTATCCCTAAATCCTATCAATTATTTGTACAAACAAAATTCATCCAAATTAATTAAATTAACCTCTATCAATTCTTAAAACAATAACAATCCTAACCTATAAACTCAACAACAATATCTACATTACCATATTACATTCACAATCATCAATCCTAAGTCCTGCCAATCTTTCATCTTCAAAACAATATAAATATACAACAAAACAACTAAAAAAACATTGATTTAATGACTAACCTCGTTAGAATAACGATTCTTGTTGCATTTAGCGGTAATGTGTGTTCAAAATTCTGAAGAACTCCGGCCACAATCTCCCCTAGCCCTCAAAAATTGAAAAATCCGATCTGAAGGGAAACTGCAATTTTTTCTTTTTATATCATATTATTTCGGATTTGGCAAATCCGAGAATCACTGTTCATGTGGGGCTCTTGGATTTAACAAATCCGAATGTCCGTCACCTTATCCGATCCGATTTAATACATCCAACAACCTTATCCACAAGGACGGATTACCCTTCAATTGAAAGGCAGCTCTCGGATTTAGCTAATCTGAATCCTAACCCCAAACCCTAAACCCTTGAAGTTGGATTTGGCAAATTCGAAACTACTGTTCTAAATTTTGAATTTGCCCGCCATTTCTTTAGTATTTTTGGAATATTAAATTTTAAAACCTTTCGCATTTCTCAAATCCGAGGTCACTGTTCACTTGTTGACCCTATTTTTCTTATTTTTCAAAATAACGAAAATATATAATTTTTATTATATTTTATTAGTTCGGATTTGGGAAATCCGAGTGTCCGTTTAATTAGACTCTTGAATTTGCCAAATCCGATACAACTAATTTTGTCCAAAAAAAAGAGTATTTTTTTGTCCACATTAATTCTTTTAAATTATTTTGGCCGAAGCACCCTTCAAATATAATAGTTTGACTGGGCTCATTTCTAACAATAATAAGAAAAAATAGTCATAAAATCAATAAACGTTACTGATCGAGCTGCGCATGTTGGTCTCACCTGTGACCTTCCCCGGTTGGTGTTATTGATTGCAGAGGGAACACATAATTGGAAGCAGTTCGCCACAACTTGCTCAGTTTATATAGCTTCGTATAAGGACTAATGATGACTAAGGACATCTCTCTCATTTCGTTTTTTGTTCGTTTCTGTTTGTAGACTTTTTTTTTTTTTTTTTTTGTTACTCAAAAAACAGTAAGACTTTCATGCTACAGAATGATGAGACTTAAATGAACCCTGTAAATGGAAGAGTATCAATCGTAGAACTAAGTCATAGAGGACACTTTCAAAAGAAGTGAAAACAAATAGGAGAATCGAGGTTTTTTGTGATACTGTCTTTCTTCTTCTAATTTTTTGTTTGGAAACCTTCAATTTCTTCCATTACATTTGTACCAAAGGGTCATATTCTAAGTTTAAAATGGTAAATGGGAGATGAAATGTGATAAACCTCCTTATAGATAAAGTCGCGAAGACAATAGATGTCTACAATGTTAATGTATATACAGATAAATTTATAATTGTAATTATATATTTGTGATTGTACTGCATATATTCGATGTATCAATACAACCCTTAAAAGTTTTAACACTTTCATGATATCAGACTTTCTAATTAATCAAACACTTTATCAAGATATCCGACTTTTAAAGTCATATCACGAAAGTCCTCAAAGTTCACAAGAAAAAAAAGTGATTAGTTTTATCGATAAATAAAGTTAATAAATTCTGATAATTTGATTTACTATAACTTTGGCGTATCACACCATGGCCTTGATTGTACGCTTGTATCTGATTTGGATACGATTCGGAATGGAATAGAAACCCTAGTCTCCATAGCTAGTTATCGTCCATAAGGGCAAGGCGGCAAGAGGGAGAAGAGTGCACACTCCAAATTGACATTGAGGCATGGCGGTGCACGTGTGGCGTTTGACTCCCTTGTAAAATTGTCTACCTTCCATTTCATTCCCAATATTTGTTTTTGTCATATTTATTGGCTTTAATTTTTTTTTTTTATTCAAAAATTATTTTAATTTGGAATAAGGGTTGAAGTTCATTTCCAACATTCAGTACAAGTGTTAGAAAGCCTTGGATACTGTTTTGTCCCCAACTGCAGCAGATGTTGGCAGAGTTTTTAGAATTATTGTTTTGGTATCAGAAAGGGGGGGTCATGGTTTTTCATTACAATATTGGGACCGGCGGACTGCGAGGGGCTTCGAAAAAAATACTAATAAAAATACTACTTCTCCAACTTACGATGGTTTACGGTGGCGTAGAAAATGACTAACGTACCTTAAAATTGATTAATTAACTAACGAAGATCCTTGTTTGAAGCTGACTTTTAATGTTGATTTTTCATTTGTACTACCAAAGTAGCCAAGTACTATTGTCATTTCCCTAGTTTCTACACTATCTTGAAACCTATCATATTCACAACTTCGCCTTTCACAAACTAAAGTAAGTCTTTTTTTTTTTTTTTGTTTTTGTAAAGGAACATGTATATTAGTTAAGACGAAGTATTTAAACTATTACAATGCATTTTATTGAATGCTAAATTATGCAATTTTACGACATTTTGCCTCCTCACTAAGTCGCAGGGATTTAAGAACAAGAAAAGAAGTAACGAAAATATCTTTTGATTTATTAAGAATATTTAACCCCTAAAAAGATTTATCTGGCATGGATCCACGTCTAATGACACAATGACTTCATCAAATACAATAAAGGGTTGTATTTGCACCACTATACCCAACAAAATATACAAATATATCATCTCGAACTAGTGAATCCCTTGTTAGCGACGGTCCAATATATCCAAGAAAATACTTCTACAATATTTTTGGTTTAACATTAAATTCAATAAAACTGTACCTAAAATGAGATGAAATTAGAGCTTTACCCGTAGCTTAAGGCCTTAAACTATAGCCGCGCTATCGTATAGGGTAGTTAATTAAAGGGCCTATTGTTTGATTAAAGAAATGAAGGTGGTTGAATATAGAGAGAAGCATGTGAGACTTAAGCCACACCCTATACGGCATTCTTCAATTAGATTAGACGTAATGCCACCACCCCACAAAACTACTGCTGATAGTACTGTTCAGTTTAACTTAACACAAGTGCCAAAAGATGTTTCGTAATCATGTTACGCATAGATAAGAAAAGGAGATTACTTTTATTTTGGAGATAGAGAGGATACAACACACTTGTTTAAATAGTCTTTCTCTCTTTAGGCTTATAAACTGGTATGTCCAAAAAAAGTAGTCTATGAGTTTCTAAATATTGATAAAAAAAAAAAAAAGAAGAAAGAAAATACATCTTAAAAGTGTAACATAGACAGTGTTAGACAAACGGTACTACGGGGAAAATTGGATACAAAGAAAGTCAAAAAGGATTGCAAACTACTTGTGAAGGTAGCCCACTTTTGAAGTGTCCAGGGGCTGGGAACTACGCATCAAATGATTTGCAGTGGCCCATCTTTCCCCCAAGTTTAATGGTAACGGACCGTCATCAGGCCCACCACATTGCTTTCGAACTTGCTTCCCTTTCCACTTCACAGTTCACAGCTGTGGAAAAGCCAAGACAAAAATTCCTTGACTGAGGTTGAGAAAGCGTTCAAGTCCCTCATATCACAAAATATATATTCTTTAATATTATATATATATATATATATATATATATATGGCGTTTATAAAATTAGAAAGCCTTCTCGCTTCAAATTGACCTTTGATACCTCCACGCAAGAAATATTTTGGTAAACATAGGCCGTTGGCGTCAAGACTTTTTCACGTAAAATAAGGCAATTCTTCTTTCTATGTGTGCCATGCTCCTTTCTTAATTCAATTGGTTGTATCTTGAAAACGATAAGTGACCTAAAAGAAAAAAAAAATGTTTCTATACTTCTAAGGTAAAATTTTTGTCATACAGAATATCTCTGCCAAAGGAAAGGAACTATGTTTCAATAACACAGAATGGAGACGTGACTTTAAACCTCTGCGAGAAAAAATTGATGGTGTATTTTGAAAATTAACACCTAAGCCAAGTGCTGAGTATTATTGTAGATTGACCTCACTACCGCTCAACATTTTTAATGTTAGTATCGTATTGATTTGGTTCAAGCTCGATCTTGCTTTGCATTAAACTTAATTCCACCCACATTGGTAGTCAATTGCTTAAGATACTGTCTTATAGATAAAATTATATTTTGTCAAACCCGGGAAGATAGACCTTTTCAGGCACCGACTGCCTGCAAGTATTATCAACACATCATGGATGGATATCAACTTCCCAAATGACATTAAGCTTGAGTTTTCTATTTCATCTTTGGAGGTAAAAACCAAAAATGATGGCCATTTCATTACTAGAGTGGGTTTAACAAGCATACCGAGGAATTCAACAAATATTGCCAAACATCCCCAAAGTTAACCCAAGACAGACGATAACTGGGTTTGAAACTTCCAGAAACAAACAATCTAGCAACTAGTATAACATTCCACACACATTTCATGCGCACTTACTTTGCCATACTTTGCCAAGGTTATCAAAGTTTGCCAAACATACTTATAGAATATGGCACCAAGTAGACAATCTCTTAAAAAGGCAAACTAGATAACTTGATATATTGTTGATTTCACATATAATTAACTAAAAGTTCAATGTCAAATTGAGACAGCCAAGAATCTTTTAGAAACACAAAGCAGAAAAGAGCTCCTAAGTTCATTCAAAATCTCAGTTCTTCACAAAATCCACTTCCAGAGGGGGGAGCTTCACGGTGCAGCAGCAGTAACACCTCCAGAGGGAAGCTTCACCATTCAGCGGTACTGCAAAAGTAAAGGAATAAAAAAATGGTTAGAACCATCACAGAAGCAAAGATGAAACAATGATAAGAGAAATACATTCAATTCCATTTGTAATCAAAATTGATGTTTCACCTTGATGAATCCGATCTCCTTGGCATTGCTGCGGAAGCATTGTCTGCAGCACATAAGCCCATACTTTCTGATAATCCCGTGCGAGTTTCCACACACACGGCTGTAAACATCAAAACAAGCCAACAGAGACACAAGAACAATCAATAACTGCCAAAAGATAATAAAGCAAAACAACAAGCAAATAGTAGCAAAATAACCTCTCTTCCAGAATCTAGCTACACTATGATACATGGATATACACACACCAGTATATCATATATGGAAAGAACAGAACAAGAATGTTTGGCAACAAATGCAGAAGTATGGATGTCATATTGAACAAGATACAAAATGAGATAATATGCAGATTAAAAGGGCGCCTTGTAAAAAAGTAATCTAGTAATAACAGAGCAAAAGGCGTCAATTATTTGATGCCAAAATGTGCAGCAGAGTTAAAGTTAGAGAATAAGAAACAATTGTAAATTAGCTCAGTTTCATTTTGTCAATAAAATACAGTGTTTCCGAAAAAATGCACCAAAATAAAAAAAAAATGTTACAATATGAACTGCAGCACGTATAGGATCTAAGCATAATGGAAGCAATCAAAAGAAACTAAGCCAGTAAAGTAACTGGGGATAAATATCAAACACTTCATTCATCATCCACAGAAGCGCATACAGTTGCCGGTTCACAAACGGATAAATACAAGCCAAAAACAAGTGAAACATAAATGCCAATATCTTCCAAAGATCAAAATCGACAATTTTATAAGTATCATACTAAAAACGAAAAAGGATTTTAATTAAGCAACAGAAGATCCAGAAAATACATATTAACAAAATCGAAACGGTCAAACAACTTCAAATCCACATAAACCACTACTGATTAGCCGCTAAAAACACTGAATCATCCTTATATCAATTTCAAACCGACCATAACAGAGTAAATACAACAAACAAGAGGCGAAAAAACGATGGGAAATGAGATTTTTTACCAGGCACGGGAACCAGGGCCGTAGTTCTTAGGGTGAGCGTTCCAGATGTTGGAGTGTCCCATCTTTCGTATCGAAGTGGTAGCTGTTCAGACGACGGAGGAGGCAGCGGCTGCTCTGTGCTTCGATCACAAAGATGGAGGTTGTGGGTTTATGCCGCGGGAGGTATAAAGTGAATTTATATGCGAAGCGCAGACGGAAACCCTAGACTTCAAAGCTTCCAAGGGTATTTATGGAAAATAAAGTTTAATTTGGGCTGTCATGAGAACTAAAAGCAATAATAATAGCTCGCAGCCCAAAAGGCCCAGACCATTTGGAAGCCTATATAATAACAAGACTGAATTACTGAAAGCTGGAAAGTTAAGTCAAAGAACTCTGAATTGGAGAAGGCATTAGAACAATGAGCCAAGGCGCTGCTTCCTCTTCGTCTTCTCTACCCTTCGACGACGACGGACTGATGCTCGACGGGTCGGAATCCGGTTGGGTGGAGGCCCGAACCCGCTGCGATCACCTGGGTTTGCTGTCATCGGATCTCACCCATATTCCAACCCCGGATACTGCTTGCTACGGGTTTGTTTTGGGTGTTTTTTTCTTGTCCTCCATTAAATTAAACCCTTAATAAAGCCTTCAAGAGAACATCCTCAAATGAATTACAATTGTGATTTTACTGTACTAAGTAGGCTAAATTTGATTGGGTGTGATTTTGAAGGTGCCAACACCCTCAAGAGAATTGGTTGTGCTTAAGTTGCAAAGATGTTCTGTGTAGCCGTTTTGTGAATAAGCACATGCTCCACCATTTTCACCAAAAGAATCATCCTTTGGCACTTAGCTTCAGGTACGTTTTGTACCCTGTTACTGTTTTTATTTCGTTCGGTTCTTTGTTTTTTTTTTTTTCGTTCTAAGTTTTGGAAATTTCTGATTTGGGACAGTGACCTATCAGTCTGGTGTTTCTCCTGTGATGCATATCTGGACGCTCAAGCGATCTTGTCCCTCAGGCCAGTCTATGAAACTGCATACATTCTTAAATTTGGGGAAGCTCCTCCGTTCCGGGCTGTCGTCAATTTGCACCCTGGTGAGGACGGCGCAAGTGCTGCTCCTCCGGCCAAGTCGTAGCTTTATGTTTTCTTCAAGAGTTGTTGTTTCTCGGAAGTTCGTTTGTAAATGTAATGTGGATTTCTTGAATATTTTGGTCCTTTTAACTTGGCTTATGATGATGCCAATTACTGGTTTCTGGATGTGTGTTTTACAACAAACAATCGAACATATATATGCATCGCTTGTCACCACGACTGTATGATTGAAACTGAATGTTGAATCATTAACAAAATCAATGAATGTAGCATTCGGGTGGTGAGAGACCGAGGTGTAGCGCAGTCTGGTCATTGATATTCAGTGTTCATCTTCACATATGCTACATTACACTGTCTATCGACTAACTGGGAAACGATCCAAGCATATATATTACATACCCTGATGCCTCAATGGTCTAAGTTTTAATAATTTAATGCAACTAGCGTGATGTGGATCTAAACTTGGTTCTCCTCTGTATCCACCATTTACATTATCCTCTGTACCAATCAACACTGAGCTAAAGTCTCTCAATTGCGATTGAGTCATCGAGAGTAGCAACTTTAAATTATCAAAATACTTCAATCCCAAGGATTATTCTGCCCTCGCAAATCGCATGCACGTTGCTCACACTCGAGCTTACCCCATCGTGCATCCACTCGTTCACAAGGAAAGACCAGCTTGCCAAGACTGTCGATAGAGTAAGAATTTCAGCATTCCTACCTTAATGTAGAAGATTTTAAGTAAAAATGAGTCACAATATTCTTTTCTTAGAGGTAGAACATTTTCTTTGGTAGACAATGGTTGAACATTTTAAGTCTGAGTTTTGATTCTCAAAGTTTCATCTACCTGAACAACCATTGTAACCAGGCAACACAAATTAAATATTTGGGGGAATGGAATTTTAAAAACTATACAAATACCTTCTGTTCACAACATTGTGTGTGTGACATAACCATTGCGCGAATTCACTTTGTGATCCAGCTTGTACAGGATTTGCTCTGCCAAAAATGAAAAAGTAATTTCTTTGGGATCAATACAAAAGTAAACATTAGTTTGACAGACTGGGTAGATAACAAAGCTACCTTAATACTTCTTTGAAGTGATCAGCGCATTCCTGACAAGGATACATCCGAGACAATATTGCCATCTGTACATATGCAAAATAATCAGATGTCATCTCATCACATGTACAATCCTATATTAAGGTACTTGTATAAACTTGTAACTTATTCAAATTGATTAATAGAATCGTGAATCTAATGACTATTATCAGTCAGAAATCACCGAGAGAGATACAAAAGTTCTCACTGTTGATAACAAAAAAACAAAGTAAGCAACTTTGGTGTTAAGCTTCAGAATGAAGTGGCAGAACTGGATCGCTCAATGCATAGCATATCAAAAAACCTATCCAAAAATTGTTTCCCCGTAAATACCACCCAAGCGCCTAATAGTACATCAATGGCTGCAGACAAGTTTTTAGTTGTATGTCATATTAGCTTTCTGCTTATTGTAACTTTCTGTGTACAGAATTTTGCAATCTACTGCATCGAAGCCATTCCTATCAGAACTACAATAAAAAATAAGTCTCTGGAATGAAGGTGGGTGATTAACATACCAGTTCTTTTACATCCTTCTTCTGTTGCCGTGTAGGTTTTTCTGGATACTGAAATAGCACAAACAAAAATCAATGACATTCAAAAGCATCACACATACTAGTAGTAAAATGTAGCCTTGAAAACAAAGGAGGAAAGTTTAAATTACATTGTACGAATGTGGATTGACTTAATCCCGCAAACTATATCACATATGAAATCGAAGAAGCAAAATCTACTGAACCACAGGAACAAATCCCTCAATCAGAGTTAATACAATCAACAAGACCAACACTAACTGCTGGAAGCTATGTGCCATGATGACAAAACATTTACAAAGAGGCAAATACAATCTTTGGACATATAAATTTTTGAATGGGGAACAAACATCAAAGAAGGATTAAAAATTTGAGGACCTGCGCAGCAAGCGTGTGAAGGAAAGTCCACGTTGCCCTTCCTAGTTCTTCTTTAGTCACAGGACCTGAAGCTTTTTCCTGGAAAATCACAAAATTAAGAAAAATGGGTAAATAACATAAAACTTGAAAACGAGGCCAACCCAAATGATACCCGCCTGATAGACATCGTCCGAAATAATCCCAGTCATTCGGAGTTCAATTCATTTATTGACAGTTAGGACTTTCATCGAACATCTAATAGGCCTCAGTTTCAGTCAAGTACTCCCATAATACAAGTAAACAAACTCCCACCCAAAAGACGAAATTCCAACAAAAATATATAGGGCAAAAACAACCTTCTTGACGAGTTCTTCACTGGGCCGGATTACAATGGTGTCAATATGATTAGTACGTTCTGAAGTCGAAGGTGAAGTTGAACGCGAAGACAACGTAATAGAATGATTTGCACCATTCGGGAAGCTCGTGAATTGGGATAGGTGAGCTTGGACACAGTTCGAAACATTTGACACCGTTTTGAAGAAAAACTGCAATGGGTTTTCCGACATCGTTGATTGGGCGGAGCAGAGAACTGCGCGGGAAAACTATTGGCGGTCAGGGCAAAGGCTGTGATACCCCTGCCTATTGTCTTCTTCCAACACAGTAAATGGTAAATGGTAGTAATTTTGTAAAATCTCTGGGTGGCAAAAATATTCTATGTATCGGAACTTTGAAGAAAATATGAAGGACAAAAGTAAATACAGTACTACTTGTAATACCGATTGATAATAATATCATACTACAATTTTGTGGTGCAATTTTACATGATTCTATTTCACTATATTGGACTACAATACATCTTGCATTTATATTTTTCTCCATTTAGTTTGTGGTAAAATCGTTTAGTTAGAAATGATGGAATAGAACACGAATACTGATTTGAGTTTGCGGAACTTGTTGATTCGTTAAGATTTTCTAAAGCGCATGCTTATTTTATCCAATCAATAATTTTCTCCACCTACTCAAATTTTTACTGGGGGGGTCTGTGGGAGGTGTGAATCATCGTTTATTATGACACCAAAATGATTATTCTATTCATTGCACTAAAAACAGTACAAATACTAAATAAAACAATCATTTTGGGGCTGCGGAAGTAATGTAAAACGAAAGGTGCTCCCTGCACTACACAATTGACAGATACTAACATCCCTAATTCCCTCTCTAATCACACAACCTACTAACAAATCTAACTACATCCACATCAGATTATCCAAACTCCCTAGAATATTCACTGCTTTATCTCGATGTTGAAAACGATTCTGTATACGGCATCAGAGAATCTAAATCCTCCATTTGTCACAAGCAACTGTCAGTACGTATCTTCTCAAGTTGTAAAGGCCAATCTTCACCAAGTATACTAGGATTTAACTCCATTGCCACCCGAAAGTCAAGCATGCTGGCGTATGTTTCTGCTGGCCGCCTCTGTGAATATGCAGGTAACAACATTCCTTTTGATCCAGGGATGACCAGATTGCACGGATTTCTGGTATGAACTTTAGGATAATATGTTCCTGCTAATCCCATACAAGGCTCTATTAACCTCTTTAGATACTCATCCAATCCATTATTTAACAGGTTGGCACAGTCTAATGAGATACCAACTCCCTCCTGCTCCAACTTTTTCTCCAAAAGACTCCTCAAAGATCTTGAATCAGGTAAAATGCCGGTACTGTGGCACGTTCTGGGGAAGTTATGATCTGTAAATGCATTACCTATACGAAGCGCCTTGCGACCTCCACCAATCTTTATGGAAATACCATATGGAGCTGTAACAGGGCTCCTACTTTGAATGCCTGGGCTTCCAGCAAGCTGCTCAACTTCTTCCCCCTCTTCTACAGATGCAACTTCAACTGGAGGCCGGCTACCCAGGGAGCGCAATTCTGTGGCACTTTGCTGCTCTTGTATTCTCAGGGCTCCTTCTTTGCCGGTGATAAAACTAGGGCTCTTACCAAGAGGTCCAACAGGACTTGAGCAGTCACGCGATTTTCGTACTCTTGGAGATCTACACTTGCGAGGTGATTGGATGAGTGCATCACCTTGGAGAGACTGCAGGCAACTACCCTGATTGCAAACTTTAATCATAAGAGAACCATCAACTTTCCCAACTTTTGGGGGAGGAATGTTTGCAAGACAGGCATTCATCATGATGAAATTAATCAGCTGATTGTGAAGCGCAATATTTTCTCTCCCAATTGTTCTAGCGCAAATTTTATTAAACTCAATCTTGCTAATCTGCAGATCGAAAAAGCTTTTCAGCTGATTCAAATACTTTTTAGCTCTTTGCTGCCCAATATTGCGGCAGATCAAATCTTTTAGCTCCAGGGTATCCAGTCTGGTAAACTGATGATCGGCCACCATCCTATTTCAATTGCCAAATAACCAAAACACTGAACCCCATCATTTCTCCATCCAACATGATCAATATTATCAATCACGTACTATTTAAAATTACCCAGACATCAAATTACCAAACTTGTAGAAAGCAATGTTTAAACTGATTCCTCAGAGTTGAAAATAGAACTACGAACACGATTATTTTTTAACCATCCTTGTAAGCTTAAATCAAATCAATTCCCTCACTAACAAAATTGGCAGATTAAAGTAAAAAGAACAACTCTTTTCACATGTCATTCATCCATTCATCCACAAAAACGCAAAGCAAGATTCAAATTTACACAACAAATCTTCAAACTAGCCAACAACCAAGAATCTCAATTCCATTGATTACAGAAGATTATAGCTACAAAATTGGGGAAATTCGCGAAAACAGAAAAACCAATCAACTAACATGGTTTGCATTCAACTTCGAATACGAAGAATAACAAGAAAAACCCAAGAATCCAAAGTTAAACTCCAAGGGATGATTAATTAACGAAATTGTAAATGGTGAAGAGAAATTTACCTGATTTTAGGGCGATGCCGTGAACGGTGCTCTAAATTTTGCCCTGATCGGAGACGGCTCAAACAGGAACTAAGCATAAAGCTCCTCAGGTTAGAATATCGTTAATCGAAAGCGTGATTAAGTATGTCTACTACACCTGCGATTTCTCTCTATTTTCCGTGAGAGAATTAGCGTAAATACGAGGTAAATTATTTCTGTTTTTTCTTTTATTTTCTGAATTTCGATTTCATCTGAATTGATGTAATAATATAGTCTTTATTCTTTGGATTAAAGGGGTAAAAAAAAATTTATGTTTGTTTCGTTTTTTTAGTGTGTGTTTTTAGGTGTTTTTTGTATTGAGAATGTAAAAAGGTGTATCGAAAATGTAAAAAAGTGTACTGGGATGGAACAATTATTATTTAAATTTTTTTAAAATACCATAAAAAAACCTAACAAATAAATATCAAGCATTTTCTTCTCTAAATCGTTCAAAACTTTTATAAATTCTCTACTGTTATTGTCATCCTCTTTACTATTATTATAGCAAAAGAATTATTTGATGTTTATTATGCATAGTTTTCAATTTTAATGGGGAGAGAGGTATCAATATCAGCTGTACACGAAACATTTCATACTTCAGAAACCTAAATTTGTAATTTACTCTTTGACAAATACTCCTATTTATATCACTGAAACATTTTGTAATGTAAAGTGGTACAGCTTAAAAAGGCTCCTGTGCACAATTTCAATCTAAATTTCTATTAAGAGAAGAGATCAGTGGTATAATCAATTTACAAAGAGATTACAAGCTAATTTATTATGGGTACAAATTTCTTCACAGCATCACTCAACTTCGACAGTAATGAATGTTTTCAATCCAGGGTTGTCGCTCCAGATGAAATTTGAGTCCCTTTGTCTTTCTTTGAGGATGGCAGCTCAGATAGAAGACTGGTGGATGCTTCATCATTGATTTCCTCCGGTTCTTCTGATGCAACTGGTTGGTCTTCAAGATCATTCTTAAAACGTCCAGATGGTTCTCCAGCTGTTTTGAACTGAAACCACCTTTCATTTTTCATATGAACTAAGGCAGGGTACAACAGAAAACCAAAAATAATAACTGTCCCACTGACTAGATACGTCTTCAGAGACGCGAGGCACATAACAAGAACAAGCAAGAAGGCAGGAGGTATACAAAGCATTGTTGCACCAAAAGTTTCAAGGGGAACTTTGTAAGGCCTGTGAAGATCTGGTTTCTTTATCCTCAGTCTTATGAAGGCTGCAAATTCAAGAAGCATTCCTGCGGAATATAGAAAGTTGAGGAATTCGATGATCTCCTGGAAACTCATCCATGACAGGAAGATAACACCAGTTGCAGAACACAAGATGCTTACAGTGGGTGTCCCATATTTTGACCTGAAAAATAGTAAACCTTGTCCACTTAGCTTGAGGCTGAGTATCAAATAACAATGTGGACTCTCTTCAAATCACTTTCTAACTGTATTAGGTGCAGAAAGTCAAAAGTTAACACTTCACGGTCTCATAAAAGTTCATTTCTTCGGGATAATCCTCACAGAAATATGAGTTTGTCTTTTAAATGAAAAGCATGACATATTAAAGCTTGAAGCCTAGGATGATCTTGTAGCCAGATGAATATGTAATACCTTGCTAACTACAAGGAGAACTCAGACAACTTCCATCTATACCTTAGTACAAGGATAACTCAAACAAGTTCAATGAATTATAAATTATTTGAAGATCTTGCATATATTAGCTTCACTGGAGAATATCATTAACTGATACACGCTTCGGTTAATCATCTTCACGAAGTCAGAAAATATCACATTTGACAAATTTCTCACTAACAATTTGTTTCTAGTACCTACATAAACACACTAACAATTCTCAATGGTTCCAGAAGGTGTCTAATATACCTTAAACAACATTTAGCAGCATTTGTGTCTAAAAATGATTAGTCAAGACATCGATAACTGGGTAAAAAGTCCTGTTACAATCTGCATCAATGCAGGATCTAACAATCATTTGGTATATCAAAAAAAACAATCATTTGGTGATTTTTAACATTGAACACCCTATATTACTCCAATGACAACTAGACTAGATAACCATTTTTTTTTCCTTTAATGTAATTTGTAAATTACGACAGGCATAAACTACATATCTGTGGTATATAGAAAAAAAGGACTAACCTTAGACTGAATACAGATGGTAACATTCCAATCTCACTCATGCCAAGAAGTTGGAAAGCATCACTACTCATCTCAGCTTCAAACAATCCCAAGTTGGACATTGCAGAGGCAGCTTGAATCCACCACTTCAGCCAAGCACCACCAATTAACATTCCAACTTCCGCAAAATATCCATCACTCCATTCACTTGGATCTGTTTTTACAGCTCCAGTACCAGAAAGCAGAGGAATCAAATATGCACAGACAACTAAAGCAACAGCTCCATAAAGTGCTTTAGGAAATGTCTTTCTGGGATCCTCAACTTCTCCAGCCACGGTACTCGCCTTATCCCAATAATTTAGATTCCAAAACAAACTATTGAAGTATCCTCTCCAATCCACTTTTCCAAAATCGACAGCAAACCATCTTTGAGGCCTAATTCGAGGTACTGAAAGAATGCCCATGACAATGAAGGGAAAAAGGGAGAAACTTGCTAACAAAACAGCAGAAAACCCAACAATATGAAGGCCTCTGTAGTTGAGGTAGGTAAGAGAAACTGTAAGTCCTAAAAGAGCAGGAATTCGAGCAACCAACAAGTTAAAGATGGGAATTGAATGCTTCAAGTAATCCAAAAACAGTACTGGATAAAGAGCATTATCCATAACCCCACTAAACCATTTCCAAAACCCTTCCTGGAATCCCCAAAAAGGGCCGAAAGCTGATGATATCCAAATAACATAACCGCCATTTTCCGGGAAGCTTGTAGCTAGCTCAGCTGTGACTAGAGCTTCTGGGACACTCCAAATTAAAGGGAATATTAAGAATCCGAGCAATGATAAAAGGGGGCCACCCCCTGCCCTAACAGAATCTTCCACACCAAACGGACCACCAGAAACTTCATAGAAAATCAGAGCAATGAGAGGCAATAAAGTTAATTTTGGGTTGGACTTATCGGAACTCCCTGTGTTCTTCGCATCATAAACCATTCCCTCATCCTCACCCATTCAAGAAGATAATCTTGAATTGGGTCGAGGTTCGGGACTGTGTATATAACTTAAAAGCACAGTAATCTTAAGAGCCTTGAAGTGCTACAAACAAAGATCTAATCAGAACCATAAATCTGAAAGAGAAAAAATCACCTGAATTTCGATTCTACAACAGATATGTGAACAAGTTCTTCAGTGTTTGAGAAGCAAACTGATTAATCCTTAGAAATACTATCCAATCAAATGTGCTGATGGCTACGCAGAATTTTCTTACCTGACAGCTCAAATCTTCGCGGAGATATTTTCCATTCAGCGCGTAGTCTTCTACGAACTGTATAATGATGTATTGATAGTTGACTTTAGTCTTCTACCATAAATCTGTTGTTGTGCCTTAATCTCGTTACTTTTCTTTACCTAATCTCATCTCATATTTAAAAACAACTTTTACATCTTTTGGATTATTGACTATATTAGTGTTTCCCCGCAAAACGTTCAAGATATATATGAGTTTAATGATTTAATAATTATATGACATTCTGGCTGAGTGATGTTAAAAAAAAATATTAATGATATAAATTACAATTATGTAATTTTTAATGAAATATATTTTGTTATTTTAAGTACTGTTGAAATTATTCAATACTCGAAATCATTCAATGTAAACATATTGTCCATCTTAACTACGATGATTATTTTAGAATTTTGTTAATTTATAATTTTATACTTTTTAAAAGTATTCTTTTAATTTTTCGTAATGATCTCTCTAAAAGAAAATTTTCTCATTATTATTTTCCTATAAACTTATATTTATTTTCCATCTCTCTATATACATTTTGCAACATTTTTAATTGTCTACTTTATTTTTTTTTTCTTGGTTCCATAATCTTCATCTTTTTTTTTCTTTTCTAGATTTGATGATCTCTCTTAAAGCTTCATTTCTTAAAAAAATTGTGATAATTATTTTATTTTTACACTATTATATCGGTTTCCCTTTTTCATATTTTCTTATTCTCTATATAATTTTTCCTCTTTATAATTATTTTTTATTTTTAAATATATAGTACTATTTGTAAAACAAATGGTAATAATGATGTAGGAATTGCAAAAATGATAGTTGCAGGATTTATTGGCCAACTAAAAAGTTGGTGGGACCATTATTTGTCTCTACAAAATAAAGAAGAAATTTATAAAACGATTAAACAAGAAGGATATCAGGTTGTAGAAAATATAACACTGATTGTTACTATATTAGAACATTTTACAGGAAGAATTTCTGATAATAATGAAAATATTCGTACTTTATTACAGAATTTAAGATGTAAAACATTATTTGATTTTAGATGGTATAGAAATGCTTTTTAAATTTATAGATGGATTACCTAGTTTATTTGTTGAAAGAGTTAGGAGAGTCTTAAGAAAAGATAGGATAAATATTTCTTATGAGGATTATACTTATGGGAAGTTAATAAGAACTTGTATTCAGGAAGGTTTACCCTTATGTAATGAGATAAAATTGAATCAACAGATTAAAAGACAGAGATTGACTGAAAGAAAACAATTAGGTCAGTTTTGTAGTTAATATGGGATGGAAATTCCATCAGAAAGAAGAATGATAAAAAAAAAAATTAAAAAATAAATATTATAAGAAAAAGAAGAGAAAATATTCTCAAGAAAAATTAAATAAAAGAGCAATGAGGAAAATGAAAAGACTTGAGAATAAGAAAGATTCATGTAAGATATCTGTAGGAGAAGGTCTATTATAATAATATAATCTTTGAGTAGGCTTATTAGCATTTTTATTCAATTTATTAATCTCATCATCTACTATAGTTTTATAATCCTTATTCCCTTTTAATATTCGTGAGAATTCTTCTTCTAGAGTATTGATTTTTAAATCTTTCAATTTAGTATCTAGTAGTTTCTCTAATTCTGATAAGGACTTTAATTTAACTAGGCTAATGAGTCATCTGTATGACATATGGCGAATTGATGATTTTGACATATGGAGCAATCGCTTTTGCCACTTAACTAGACTAATGAGTCATATGTATTTAAATGTGCAAAAATAATGGTTCGTCACAAGTAGTTGATGACATCATAACGGAGGCCAAATTGTTGAAGACACCCCTTGGCAGCTCATGAGTCAGATGTTGAAACACAAGTCGATAGTTTCGAAGATGCAACGAACTCCAATGAGGACGACTCAACTTGTGATAAAGTAGATATTGTCTCTGCCGCTGGACTTGAGATGGTTGAGCTCTTCATATTTGCAGCTCAAGTGTTTAAAGAGCATGCAACCAGCAGAAATGGTTGAGCTCTTCATATTTACATCTCAAGTGTTTAAAGATCATAAACTCCTCCGGCAGGTTACCAATTCATTCTACAGTGAGGGAACACATTTCGACCTTTCGAATGAACTTTTATATACACGAGCATGGACGATGAATTATATCCATCGGTTCATGATTCCGCTTTCTTGTTTTCTTTGGGTTGTATCTCTTATATGTATGTCTGATATCTTTGTATCATGGAGGCCGATACAAGCAACAAGATGGGTAGTTGTCTTGGTTTTTACTTGCAGAAATGAAGGCGATTTCTTCTTTGTATTGTAGTTATTGTTCCATCCTTAAGTTCATTGTTCATTGTCGAAGTTGCTTCTAACATTCCCCTAATCCTTGTTAGGCTCGTAACTTTTATTTATTCACCATTATTTTCGTATTTTCACAACTTATAAATTGCCCTTTCCAATTTTCAAATGAGATGAAATGGTGTTTATGAGAATGAAAGCAAACCTGCAGCCTTTAAAAGAAAGGTTTTATTGAAAACACCTGTTGCAAAATACCAAAAAAGTCTGTAGCCAGAATAAACAGCCACCTTTTCAGGTTTCTTCCCTGTTTCTTAGCAAATGAAGGATCACAAACAACATAATTGTTGGACAAATGAAACATTACAAGAATCCCAGGAGATAAAAGTTCAGTCAAATTACACAAGGATCCTAGACAATAGAAAAGACTAAAATGTCCAAATCGTCCCTTATATTTAGGCTTACTTGATTTTATGTCCCTAACATTAACATTTCAATATCGTAGTTCAAAATAATATGTTTTCACACTTTTTTGGTCCCATTTCACTGTTTCGACCACTTTTCTGTCCAACTCGATGTTGACCGGGAGTTCACATGTCGGAATCAAGGGTATTTTCGTCTTTTTATATAATTTAAACTTCCATTAAAATTTAAATCATTAAACATATTATAAAAATTCACATTTATTATTTAGTTGTTAAAATATTATTTACTAATTTAAAATATTATTTTAAATTTAAATTATTTTCAAAGTTACTTTTTTCTTTACTAAAATAAATGTTAATTATGTTGCACTTTTAACCGTCCACTGTAAATTTAAAAATTTGCCGAGTCACAATAAATAATTCAAAATTTAAATTAAAAAAAAAACAAAACAAAACCAAGATTTTTGACTTTGACAGCTACAATAAATCTTAAGTTATTTCTAAAATTTTACCGCGCTATAATAATTAATTAAAAATAAAATTTTTTTAAACAAAAATGCAAGAAAATTGTGGGGTGAAAATTCGGATAAAAAATGGTTTATTTAAATTTTTGGCTTAGTTATTGCTTTGAATTGAAGATATAATTTAAAATGTGGTTTTAGTGAAAATTCGAAAAGTTGTTGGGATAGAAATTCAAATAAAATAATATTATCTATACACCACCGCCTCCACACCTCCACCGACACCGCCCACTGCCGGACCACCTCCTGCTGCCGCCGACCGGCGACTGGCCAGCCGGATTCCGGCGATATTCGCCACCTCCACACCTCCACCGACACCGCCCATTGCCGGACCACCTCTTGCCGCCGCCGGCCGGATTCCACGAGATCGTGGTGTATAGATAATGTTATTTTATTTGAATTTCTATCCCAACAACTTTTTGAATTTTCACTAAAATTACATTTTAAATTATATCTCAATTCAAACTATAAATTAAAATAAACTATTTTTTATCCGGATTTCTGCTCCCTTAATTTTCTTCCCTTTGGGCCCGCTGAATTTTTTACTTTGACCGAATAAAAAATTGGTAGGTGAAAATTCGGATAAAAAATTTAGTTTGCTTTTTCTTTTTAAACAAAAAATTGAATTTTGAATTAGTTACTGTAGCGCGGTAAAATTTTTGAGTGATATGGAGTTAAAAATGGAACGTAATTAATATTTATTTTGTATCCAGCATAAATGATAAATAGAAAAAAATTTTAAAAAATAATGTAAGTTTTAAATTTATAATAATGATTTAAATTAATGAATAATATTTAAGTAATTAAATAATTAAATGTGAATTTTATGATATTTTTAATGATTTAAATTTCAATGAAAGTTCAAATTAAGTCAAAAGACGAAAATACCCCTGATTCCGGCAAGTCAACTAGCGGTCAACATCGAGTTGGACGGAAAGTGGCCGAAACAGTGAATTGGGACCAAAAAAGTATGAAAATATAATGTTTGAGACTACGATATTGAAATGTTAATGTTAGGGACGTAAAATCATGCAAGCCCAAATGTAAGGGATCATTTGGATATTTTAGTCCAATAGAAAAGGATTGAATCGAAGTTTCTTACACATGATAAAAGTTAAAGAATCGGAGAGTATATTGAAGAAGATGTTTCTCATTGAATAACCAATCTGCACAGATGATACATATATATATAATACGATTGGAGAAAGAGATAATCCTGACTAACTGACTAACTCATGATAAATACAATAATAAACACATGTGAGATAAATATCACCGAGAGATAACTATAACTTCAATAATAAATACCACATTCCTTTTCAGAAAAAATATAAATACGACACTTGTGCAAAATAGTGTTCCTTCAGATAATCCTGGTAATATAACACATTGGCACTAAGCAAAATCTCTTTTACCCTATTAAAGCAGAATACAGAATGTCGATGTGGCAACTTCTTATTAAATTTTTTTTGCTCCAAATGCACTATATTGCATTAATCATTCTGCCGCGTGTCATCCCTTTTTAAAAGAAAAAAAAAATCTTATCCGGAGAAACAAAAACTACTTTACAAAAATAGGTACACAATTCTAACTCCTAACATTTATCATTTATCAATTAAATTAAAATAACATTTAAATTTGCCCATAAACTTATCCCCTTTATTACTCCACATTCTTTTGTATGGGTTCTGCATCGTTGTATTTTTCAATATTTTTTCTTCTTTGGCAGATGATTTTTTTTATTTTTTTTTATTTTTGACTAAAAAAGGGAAAAAAAAAAACCAAATGTGTAGCTATTTTATTTTCTCCAAATCAAGAATTCATTTATCTATTAACACAAAATTAAAGTAAAGGGGCATCCAGGCATCTGCCCGGCCAAGCATCTAGTTTAACTTATAACATGAGAAACAAGCATGACAATCCCATGAATTCTACTACATCGTCAACTGGTACCCCATATTGAATGCATTTCTTGGCCATCCCGTGAAGTTTTATCACTGATGGTGTTCTTATCCTTGAATATGGCGGCCATCTCAGGACTGATTGTCGTCATCTCTGTGTAGTTATAATGTAAGATTGTGGATTTGAAGCTATGATCAGGAGACCAGGTGATATCAAAACCCTGAAATAAACCCCACAATCAACAACCGAATAAACAGTAGACCAAAAACAATTAGTGAAACTAAGCAGAGGCGAAATTAACCCGTTAAATGAAAAATAACCTGACAGTCGCAATCATGTTTCCGTCTTTAGTTTACTTCTTCCTTTCCATACTACTTTTTTAATTTTCAATTGGAACGTCGGGATTTTCTTAGGGTTCTTTTTATTGAGTTAGAACTTAGAAGTAGGAATCAAGTGGAAAACGATATATGAGAAGACGGACGATTTTCCGCCTCCGGTGGACGCCGAGGATGCCCCGCAGAGGCTACATTGTGAAGGAGCTTACCTGGCCCAGCCCAGCCCGATAATTTTTTTTTTCTTTTTCCGTTTTTTTTTCCTTCTTTTTTCTGTTCCATTTCATGGTCGGGTGATGTTTGATGATTCTCTTTAACATGCAGTATCTGCTTGACGAATTGTTTAATTTTTTGAATTTTATGGATTTGAGTGCTATTTGTCTTCTATTCCTTACCACGTTTCAGTTTTGAATTTTGGTTTTGGAAAGTTACGAATTTTCTTTCAGTTTTTAGGATTTTTGGATTGACTTATGGAACGGAGTGGAGCAAAGGTTCCACGCCCAGGATCAAACAAGCTTGTCCTGCTCCCCACGAGGTTGTTCATTTCCTGTGAATGATTGCTGTGTGTCTTGTCACTGTTCAATGATTTGCTGCCCTCCAATATTGTGGGTTTGAAAGGGTTTTGGTTTCCATTTTTAACTTTTTGTTTCTTTAGTTGAAGGGGTTTCATGGGGAATATATGCGTCTGTTACACTGTTTACTTTCCGAAGGTATAATTTTATCTGCATTGCTTTTTAATAAGGCTGTTAAGCGTTAAGTGTGCTTTAATTTTTATGTGATCACTCATTGCATGATTAAAACCTGTATTTTTACAGAAAATGTGCCTTTTGCTGATGAATTCATACAGGAATTCATTTCCTTCTGTGTTAAGTCCCTATCTTTGAATGATTGTCCAAAGCACCAGGTTTGGTGTTACATATTTTGAATCTGGCTTTCTTTACAATTGTTCTGCAATTAAGATTCTCCCTTGTATTTTTATGTTTAACTAGTTTGAAGGTGCCTGGAGTCTGGCATACTTGGTGTCTGGGCCTTCTGAGTATGTTAAACTGGTGGTTGACGATCAGGATGCTGTGCCTGGTTTTATAAAGCTCCTTAGTTCTCCCAGTGATGATCTTCGCGAGCTGGTCCATTTTTCCTGAGGCCTTGTTTGGTGTTGTGGATACGTGAATGGAAACTTTTGACTTCTGATTCTTGTCGGAGGTTTAAAATTAGTTTGATTGATTGATTTGTTTAATGTTTAGGCTGTATTGGCATTGGGAAACATTGCCAGTGACTCTGACGTTCATCGTGATGCTGTTTTGAGTAAAAACCCCGTGGAGCCATTGCTGAGTCAGTTTAAAAAGAAGGCAAAACTGTCAATGCTGAGAAATTGCCTCGTTCACATTGTTCAACCTTTGTCGGGGCAAACCTGAACTTGATGTATGAATAAATATTTTTTCCTTCCGTTTACTAATATCCTATCCTTGTAATGCCACTGATGGGATTAATTGTTCAGGTGCTTCCTGTCACTCGAGTTCTTAGAGTACTTGTTTTTCTTGAGGACAAGTATGCGCTACCGTATGCATGCTGGGCTCTGTCATTTATTTCTGATGGTTCGGACAAAGTAATCATGGATTTACTTGAGAAGGGTGTCTATTCACGTTTTTTGGCACTACTCAAGTAGGTTTCACTCCCAGAGTAGATTATCATTCAGCTCTGGTTTTTAGTTTCTCAATTGTATTTCTAATATGAAAAAGGATGTTGATCTTTCAGTGATCCATCGCCTGATGTGCAGATTCCTGCACTCGCGCAGTCAGGAATATTGCGAGAGGGGATGATTGTGGGAAACAGGTATTTTCAATCCATCACTTTGCACAGTTTTGCATGGGAAGTTATTGATCAGCAGCTTACTGTATGCCGGAATTAATTGCTTTCAAGTTTGTCAAATAGATCAAATCTTATTCTGTTATGGAAAATATGATCTCGGGTGCTTCTGATTTCTATGTGCCTACTCATTCATCTCACCTGCTTTAAGTCTTTAAAGTCTATAAATTTATGATGTATATGTTGTATCTCAGTTTTGGATTGACCGTGGGCTGCTGCATCATTTGCGAGAACTATTGTTTACTCATGTTGAAAGCATCCAGAGAGAAGCTTGTTGGATCATCTCTGATATAACTTGTGGAAATGAGATGCAGAATCAGGTGTAGTATTTGTTTTCCCTTTGTGTATAAAGGAATTTTTTGGTTAAGCATTTCTCTGATGGTTATTCTCTGGATTTACAGGCATTGATTGGTGCTGATTTAATTGAAGCTTTAATCCATGTGCTAACAGCCGACTCTGATGATTTGAAGGAAGTAGCTGGGAAGACTGTTCTAAAAGTTCTCTCTGGTGGATCTCGTTTTGGAAACAAGTACTTTTTCCATCATTTTTCTCTTTTGGATTTCTAACCCTTATGTTTTAGGCATTAATTCAAAGGTTTTATTTTGGGTGATGATTGGACAGGGTTAAGGGTTTGGAGGGCTTTATAAAGCCTCTATGTGATCTTCTCATGAGTGAAGAGTCTATGGTCATTGAATATTGCCTTGATGCGCTTGCACTCTTATGTGAGCCTAAAAGCGTCCTGGAGCCTATAACTTTGAGTTAATTATTTGGATATACGTGAGTTAATTTGATGCACATGGATAAAATAGAGACTGGCTTTTTAGAGGGGTGAAAAAAAAAAAAAAAAAAGAGGAGAGAAGCTGTTTGTAATTTGATTGGCTATTTGGCAATTTGGCAATTTAAAAAGTCAAGTGACCTCCCTCTCCGCCTCGCAAGGCAGGTCGCAATTCACAACATCTATCTAATCACTAATCAATCAGTATGTTTTGCTGCTTGTTTCTTTTATAGCCATGCTGATTTCAGCTTTCTCCACCACTGAACTTGTCTTTTACAGATAAAAACACAAGTTGATTCAGTCATTTTTCCACTGCTTTACCTGCTTTCTTCTTAATGGTCCCCCCTTCCAATCCAAGAAGATACTTTGAGACCGAATTTGCTGAATCCATGTAATCGTGCTGCACAGATTTGAATAAAATTATCCGGTAAAAATAAGTTGTTCATGCGTTTATCAATAGCACGACTCTTACTTTACAATCGATAGAATATAAATTTTTTGTAATGTATCAAGTTCGTACCGTATTTTATTATCGTATCACATATGAAATTACCAGATAAATGAGAATCAATTGAAGAATCTTGTAGTGTTAAGGTAATCAATATAACATTGTAGGCGCCAATTTTATCCAATAATTGTAAAGGTTCAACCCTTTTGCAAAAGGAAGAAGCAGAGGCCATGTGCATGCCATCAACAAATGTAAGTTGGTTCAAAAAAACTGGAAAATTTCTTCATGTCTGTTCAATTAAGTTAAAGAATGCATTGGCGGTTGACAGCATTTCTAAAATAAAGAATTAAAGTATTCGTACCCTTGAGTGACTAGATGATGACTTAATCAAATAATTGAAATGTTGACCCACAACAACCACTCTTTTGGGTTCTACTTATCATCCCAGATCAGGTACTCATTTTAAGTAATTAATTATTAGGCTTAACAACTAATCAGAACCCACTTTCCTTTCTCATTTCTCCTCCATACCCCCAAAAAATCAAGGAAGAAAAAAGAAGAAGAAAAAGGGGCTTTGAAATTTTGAACGAAACTGTGGTCCAATGCAGAATGCAAGAGAGGGAGAAAATCGAAAACGCAATCTGGGAGATCAGAAACTGAATAAAAACCATGAGAATATGGTCAAATATTCGTGTCAAAGTTGTAGTGCTACTTACAACTGGTTGTAATAGTACTCCCTCTGTATCAAAATTATTGTTCACTTTGAGATTTCAATTTTAGTATAATTTGAATTAGAAATGAAAATACAAACTGGACAATAATTATGGGACCGAGGGAGTACTATATTTTTGGCCCAGAAGTTTTTGGAATCTTCAAAGGTTTTTCATTTTTTTGTACTTGGGCCACTCAATGCCTACTCCATTGATTACATTTGTCTATTCTAATTCTGGGATTTTTTCTTTTTCTTCTGCAATGCTCTGAAAGTATCAAGTGCGTTTTTTTCTTCCGGATAATAGTTTTTGACATGTACATGGTACTGAACAAAGTTAACTCCATTGTTCTAGTACTTCAGACTTTTGGTCTGTTTTTTAAGAGACTGTAATTGATGCTCTTTTGAGCCCCTCTTTCATGAAAGTGATTAAGGAAGCTCCATGAGTAGTAAGTAATCAACGTACATCTTGTTCTTTAGGACCATCAAAAGTGTTTCCATCATTACATACCAATATCACAACCAGACCCCTGAAAATGGGAGTTTTAATTAATTTACTCATACATGTCTGAAGATGGTTCTGTATCGAGCTAATTTTGATTGGTCAGGACAAAGAAATGATCTGAAACTGATGCAAAATTGCAAACAGAGGAAAGCTTTAGATGATGAAATATGATAAATAAAAATCTCATCTTTATTCCTTAATCATAAAAGTCACAGATACGAGTGACTTTTAGGTTAAAAGAAAAAAAGTGGTAAAAACATTAGGCAACTCTCATCTTTCTCTCACAGAAGCTCTACATAATTCTCTCGTTTGGACAAGAAATCCAGCGGCCTCATCCAACCTCTAAAAAGTTCCCGGTTCCGTCGCCGGAAAAAAAATAAAAACGGAAAGTAAAGTCAACCGATAAAATTCCCCTGAAGAAAATGATTAGCAGATGTTAATATATAGATAGTAATTTAGAAAAACAGTCGGAGAAGCTTCGTATCCGCCTCCCCGCCGGCTGTAGAATTCGGAAAACTGTTATAGTGATCGGAATAGAAGCGACTCTCCATCGTCGTCGTTTCGGACTCATCCGGCGTCACTGACCTCCTCTTCACTCTCCCGCCGGCCGTCATCCTGGAGACCAAGTTAGACGTCATTCGCCGGCGATTTCCACCCTCTTCATCCTCCAAAGTGGAGGAATCCATCATCAGGGCATCATCATCTGGGTCATCCAGCGGCGGAGATTTGTTATTATTGGGAAGATCCTCTGTCACCGGTCTTAAACGTCCGCCCCGGAGCACCGTCTCCACCGCCGATTGACAGAGATGCCAGTTTCCGGTCCACAATAGGCCCACCACTCCGCTCACCGGATTCACCGTCCGTCCGCAGGCTTCATATAAAAGTGACTGAAACAGAGCTGTAACACAAAACCCATCATCAGAAAAATCAGAAAACCCAACAATCAAAACAGAGTAAAATTGTAGGAGAAAGAGGAAAATCTGCAGAAAAGACAATCCTACCGGGTCGTTGGGATTCAGGGACGGCGGAGAGGAAGGACATGAGGCCGGCACGGCCAAAGAATTTGGCGACAAAAACAGTGGCATTAGCCTGAGCTTGAGGGGATTCAATGCCCTGTAAACTCTGTCTCAGTATGCAGTTTTCATTGCAACCTTTTCTTAGTATACGACATCCGTTGCAACTCATGGTGTTAATTCACATGTAAAGATTAAAGCACTTCTTTGTCCTAGATTTGAGGATTGATAATATAATATATAGCGTTAAATTAACTGCAGATTGTTCGAGATTAAGTAATTAGACCCACACAAAAAATGGGGAATTTCAATCTGCAACGCTAGAACAGAGAACGCAAATTACATGAAGGGGAAAACAAGTAGAAATTGCAGGAAGAATAAGTAGGAAGGGGAGGAGAGTTTGGACTTCGGAGGTGGAAGGGGAAGAGGGGAATGGAAAATGTAAGGATAACAGCCTTATTATAGGAGGAGACCACAAAGGCCAGGGTGCATGGAATGGAACATGGGGAATAGTTGTTGGACAAAAAGTGACGGTTTTTTTTTTCTTTTTTTTTTGGTTGCCTACTATATTATAAAGAAGAAAAAAAAAAAGTGATGAAATTATTTTGGATGGCACATTATATGTCTCTCTTTTTACATGTTCATTACTTCATCTGAACAATCATCAAAGTTACAATTTGTGTATTGTTCTTCACAATTTTTGTTATAGAGGATTACTATTTTGACATAACAATCATCAAAGAAAAACTTTTTTGGGTTAAAAAAAGGTTAATTTTATTACCAAAGAGAATAACGCTCTGTTTGTTTCGTTTTTTATTGGTTTTTTCATATTATTTTATTATTAACTTTCTCATCCCAATATATTTTTTTATATTTTTAATATATTTTTTTACATTTTCAATAAAAAATACTTAAAAATACACACTAAAAAAACGAAACAAACAGACCGCAAGTATGTTCATAAATCAAGAAAAACTTAAGACGGTGAAAGTTAACCACAGTTAAGCCAAAGTATTAACTATGGTTAGGGGGTGCATGGGGAAGTAACATAACGACATTGATTCGCGCGCGTGTGTGTGTGTGTGTGGAGTGGGGGAGGTTTTGGTGGTCTACAATTTAAATGTAGACATGGGGAAGAGAGGAAGCAGAAGCAGTAGTAACATAGAGATGTGTAAAGGGTGGGTGCGTGTAGGGTTAGGAGGGTTTCCAAAGTGTTGGGCAATAGCGGCTCCGTGTCTCCGCAAAACGGCTGGTTCATTCGCTAAAGCGCAACCATCCTTTCTTCCCACTCCCCCCATTTTTGGATTCTTTCTTTTGTTTCTCCCCATATTGCTTTTCTGCCCATTGTTTTGGAGCCTCCTCCTCAACCCACGTTTTTCTCCCTGTTCACAACATATTCTCTCCTCTTAATTTGTTTTGAATGATACTATTCTTTACGTCCCAGAAAAATAATTTATTTTTTTTAATGATGATTTAAAGATCTTGCACAATCTTAAGAAGGTTTCACTTTTGAATTATTACGTATAGTGAAATAATTGTTAACGGGTCTAATTTCTCAAAAAGAGTACGTAGATCAAGTGAAAATTAATTAGAACAATGATATATACCTATTTTATAATTTTTTTTAACTACATATAAGAAACAGTGATAGATTCAGTGAATTGATTTGTGAAAGTAACATGTTACTTCATACAGGTTACATTATTGATTACATTGTTTTATTTGATAAATTCATTGTGCCTATTGTTAGTCTTTTTACGTTATGCCAATAATAGGTAATATACAAAGATTAGAGTAATCGCTTTTTGTTTGCGTTTTCTGCCCAATTTTACATCATTGTAACAATGTATAGCTTTTCCAAGCTCACGATCTCCTTAGAAATGATCCTTCCAATGCTTCCATGAAAAAACAAAACCATGTTGACCCATTTCCTGAGCTTCATTAATCTAAGCACAAAGTTTCTTTTACAAAATTAGCTTTAACACCTCAACTTAATGGCCTCAAAAGAATAAAACACAACCTAAACATAATTAAACGCTTACAACTGACCACTTTGTATCTTAATACATTTAACAGTCACAATTACTAGTAGTACTAAACAATGTTTTTTCTTGATTCTCTCCTGATCATCATTATTTAAAAACTAAAGTTAGGACAGAATCAAATCGGAAGGTGGCATTAATTAGTTTAGTTTGACTAATCCAGATGCAATGCATTTGATCGATACTGCACAAAATGTACATATATATCTTCCCACCAGTGTAAATCACGAGTGTGCCCCGGTTAAGAACAATTGAAATTCTGTATAATGCAATCAAATAGTCTGTCGTTCTAAAATAAGAATCGTGTTATTATAACAAACAAGACTTTAATTTCGAGAAGGAAAGGATAAATGCTCACATATTTAGCAATTTAGTGGTCCTCTTCTTATAATTCATACATTTTCAGGTATAAGTTAAAAACCTTCATCGCAATTTTGACCGGCCACAAAGACAAAAGGATTACCAAATTCGAATACAGACAAGAGTGATCCATCATATGTTACGTTAATCTCGATTCCTTGAAAATAAGAGCAATATGGAAATTTAAATTATATTTCAGGGGGAAAAAGAAATGCAAAAAGAAGGAGAGTATTATTGTTATTAGTATTATTTTTAATAGAGATACAGGAAGGTCCTCTAAAAGGGTTCTTAAGAGAACATGTAAAAGATCTCTTTCTTGCGACAACTTTTAGGCAAAGATTCCTTCTCTTAAATAATGCAATTGTGATAGGAAGCAATGACTCATCCTTCACCATTTCAACATTTTTTCTTTACAAAATAATTTTAAAAATTATGTACACCATTCCCTACTTGGCTTTCTTTTGATTTGGTCATCATTTTTAATGTTACCTATTTTTCAATTTAACAACAAAAAACAATCACACAAATCCAACCTTCATAGCGACATAAAAGTATTTAGTTGGATGGAAAAAAAAGAAGAGTAAGGATAGCTTTCACAAGATGTGAAAAAAAAAAACGTAGTAGTGATAGATTCTGCCTTACTATTTTTCATTTTGTTGGCTCCTTTGTCAACTCCCTTACTTGTAATTTATTAAGTCTTCCCACATCATTTTAATTAAATAATGATAAAATGATTGTAAAAATGAGCCGTATAATTCATATATAATCCTTCTGTTCCAATTTAATGGAATTCAACAAAATAAAATTATTTGAAAAGATAAAAAAAGCATCGGGCATTCTTTATATTATAAAGTGAGGAACGAATGATTTTACCAGATAAAGTGTGAATTTATTTAGTGAAAATTATTTGAAAGTTTGTGAACATATTAATTTTTCTTTTCATTTCAAAATAATTATTAACGTGATTTTAATATACCAAACGGACTAATTATTAGTAAAGACCTGGCAAGGGCGTCATAGTGTAAGTGCCTCGTGTATCCAACCCATCCCCTGAATCGTATCGTATGAATTCCACATAGTGAAAACAGAAGGCGAGAAAAGAAAATTACAGCGATTCTGAGGGTAAAAGACACAGAGATAAATAAAGTTTTGCTGGTTTCTTTTGAGGTCATATGAAGCTTTTAAATTAGGAAACATCAAATGCAGACAAAATAAATCTAGTCATTGTGTTTTTGTCTTTTAACAGATCCGACGTCATTGGTTAATTTAATTAGGCAATATTGGACTCTTGTTTCCAGAATGTTGCTTGATTAATTTAATTAAAAATACAATTTAATGTGGGAATTAACAATTACGAAAAACTACTAATGTGTGAAGTCTTGACTCGGCAAACTTCATCCGATTCTTGGCGTCTTCATCACAAAGTGGAACGCAGATTTTATTTTCCACATAGAAAAATCTTGTCTCATTTGAACTTCAAAATTATAGATCAATTTAAAGTGTTGCTTACACCACAAAATAATATACTCCTTCTGTTCCAAAATTATTGTCCAGAATGAGACTTTACTTTTAGTACAATTAGAATTAGAAATGAAAACCCAAATTGGACAATAATTATGGGACGGAAGAAGTACCAAGAATCATTACTCTCCCAAACATGAAGGACAAAATTACATTTTTCTATCCTTTTTTTTTTTCACCTGTTTTCCCTTGAGATGGGGAGAAAAAAAACAAATAGAGTTGGATACAAATTTTTGAAATCTTATGAACTTTGATCCTTGAAATTTCACTTTAACCATCCTCTTTGTTGGATTCGACTAATTTTTCTTTCCACCAAAAGTTATGAGTATGGATAATGGATACATATATATATATATATATATATATATATATATATATATATATAGAGGGAGAGAGAGAGGTTGATGACCTCGGCATTGGACCACTGAATATACTACTACCTATTAGTTAGTAATTGTATAGTTGAGCACTATCAAAGATGCTTTTGCAACAAATTATAATGTGTGTTCGGTTGACCTTTTTGCAACATACCCCTATGAAGGAACCCTTTTCTTCCTTTTTCTTCAGTTGTTGTGAGTCAAATTTTGAAGATAATTCCGTCCATTCCATGGGGCAAAGGGCAAATTAACGTTATAGCCATTTCGTTTCAAAAAAAAAAAAAAAAAACGTTATAGCCATAGTCCAAGTCATGCAGTATTCGCAAAAAAAAAAAAAACGAACAATTGGGGAGCAGTTAGAGTTCTATAATAAACCTTTTTCAAATTCTTAATTGAATAATATATATTATATATATATATATATATATATATATATATAGTCAGCTTTGTCATTTCATTTTAACAACATCATCTTTACTGTAGAACTAGTTCAGTGGCTATCTACATTCATAAAAGCAAATTACGAGAAACACAATTTTTTTTTTCATATTTGCAGGGTGTCCACCGTCAACAACAGTGACTAATCCCCATCGTTGAATTGTAAGCACCTTGATGGGTGTGACAGCTGGTCAAAAGAAATGTCACGATCTAGGGTGAAAATCGTGAAATTACAAAGAAATGGGGAAGAAATCAAGGATTAGAATCAAGAACTGAGGGAATTAGGGTTCTTGTACAAAGGAGAAAATAGAGAGAAAGAAGAAAAAGGGTAAACCCAAATCTGGAAATTTCTTTATTTCTATCAATGATACTGTTTACACTTTGACTTATGCTATACTACTGACCTCATTATCATTATTTACACATTGGTCCCTCTATTAACTATTACATTCAAATGAGTCCTAGGGCGTGGCAATCCACCCCTCTTAGAAAAATCTTGTCCCAAAACTATTTATTACATGAACTATGTATGCATTATAAAACACTAACAGCCAGCAATACAATCAATTGAAATGAACAACAAACATCAAACAGAGAGGTATTCTATACAAGAAATTTCAGTGATTAGTCATAACAGCAACTACAAGAATACATTTGACCTAGAAGTTGAATCATAAATAGCACAGTAGAACAGACACCAGTATTGAGCAAAAGAATTGTAACCAATATATCAATGTTCAGCTTGTCCAGAAATCACCCTATAGTCAAGTCATTCACATCCACAGTTTTATCAACAATTGTCCACAAAATGCTCCATGATTTTGTGTCTTTATCAGCATCTAAGCAACACATTATATTGAATTCCCTCATTTTGCAGTTCTGATTATGTCCAGGCTTGTAAAGCTCCCCACATCTGTAGCACAATCCATGATTAGTCTTGTACTGAATTTCCTGCGGAACCAATTCCTTCACATAACGGTCCAGATCCTTTGTGGCAAGTAAACCTGGTACCACCATTTCCATAACCAGCTCCATTAGGATTATTGTTCTCCTTACCCCACTGATTCTCTAACCCAGACTTTAATTTGATTCAAATTCTCAGCTTTTACGCTAGTTTCCTGGTTTCCATTACCCCTGTCACCACCATTAGAGGGATGTAAAGTACCCATTTGATCCCCAACCGGCACAAAATCAATACCACCTTGTCCAATATCAGTCAGTTTGGCCTCAGACAAAACATCTAAATTATGTTCTTGATACAGAGCCACATCAAAAGCAGCTGCCAAAGTCCTAAATTGCTACATCCTCACAGTTGGCTTAATTTCTTCTTTTAGACCACTAACAAAGCAAGATATATAATATGATTCATCAAATTGATAGCCCAAGTTCAATAACCTAAAACGAAATTCCTCAAATTTTTCCTGATAATCAACCACACTACCAACTTGCATCACCTTACTGAACTCTTCTATACAGTTTTGCCCCTATGATTACCAAAAATGCTGAATTAACAACTCAGAGAACTCAATCCAAGTGAGTTTACCATGAGTAGATCTGATTCCCTGGAACCAAGTGTCTGCTTTACCATCGAGGAACAGTTCCACCGCCTCTACTTTTTCGGTTTCTGAAATCTTGTGCATCAAGAAATACTTTCGGCATTTCCTTGACCAATCTTGGGGGTTGTTGCCTTCGAAGACCGGCAAATCCAGGCGAGGTTGTTGATACTAACTGTAATTCGGGTGCCCTCCATATGAATGGTAACCTGTTTGATCATCACCACCTAATTCGGTGGCGCGTGGCTCCACCTCCCTTGATTCAGATACACTGTTGAAAAGCATGAACGTTGTTGGCACAAAATTTCTTTTTACCGGAATTGCATTAACTGGTGCGTTTGATACACCTTTATCCGGTGCATCTCTGAGTTGACCCCTTGCCTGAGATAAGCGGTGGTCTCTTATCGGCTAGAATCGGTAGATGAATTATTTCAATAATTTGACCCTTTTCTAGATTGTGAAATTGCTGCATTTTCAATGACTCCAGCAGCTTTTCAAAACGGTTATCACGCTCTTCCAATTCCTTCCGAAGCCTTGATTCACTATCTTCGCATTTCTTGGCAGATCTGGCATCACACTGTTCGAAGAGCCCCACCAGCTTCTCAGTCAGTGTTGCAAAATCAACAGACAAGCCAACACGCAGCTCTGCGACTTTTTCTTCTTGATCGGCTGCCTTGGATTCGATCTTGGCATCAAGATCCCGGAATCGCATCTCAAGGGTTTCCAAGCGAACAGTCACATCATTAACAGGTAGTGACAATTCCTTGGCCAATTCACTATAGAAACTCTTAGATCTCGTCATTTCTAAAAATTACAACCGAAAGATTGCAAGTTTGGTGCGAATCGGAGAATGAAGAACTTCGCACAGAGTAGTTGAATAGCGGAAGAGAAGAAGGAGAAGAACAAAAATAGTCCAAGGAATGACTGCTCTTGATACCAATATATTGTCACGATCTAGGGTGGAAATCGTGAAATCAGAAAGAAATAGGGAAGAAATCAAGGATTGGAATCAATAACCGAGGGAATTAGGGTTCTTGTACAAAGGGGAAAATAGAGAGAACGAAAAAGAATGGTAAACCCAAATCTGGAAATTTCTTTATTTCTGATCAATGATGTTGTTTACACTTTGACTTATGCTATATCCAATTATTATATAGGGATCCTAGGCACACCTAGCAAGGTGTACCTAGGTTGAAACTCACGCGACCAAAAAAAGGGGAGCTCCCAATATTTAAAACAATGCCATGCGAGTGTTTACACGTCCCCATTAATACCCCCATTATGTGCGACTTTTTGATTTTCAAATCACGGTAACCACTTTGCTCTTAATTTCCGGCCATTAACCCTATCCAACTTTCTTTTTCGATTCAATCCAGTACGTCTCAAACCAAAACTTCAGAAAAAACAAATATCCATTCCCGAAGCGATACGGCGACAAAAAGCTCCCCGATGTGGTACTTTCGAAGAGCAAATCATATTGTGCAACAAATCCAGCGATTTGGGTTGCGATATACTCTACTCCGACTGAGATTTAAGGTAATATATGGTCTAATTCATCGATTTTGTGTGTTTATTGCATCTATCAAGTTCTAATAGTGTCATTTTTGTTTTCTGAAATATTCATATAGAAGCCTGCGATTAAGGAATCTGAATCGAGTATGAGCACATCGAAAGATGAAGAAGAAGTGAGGTAATACTACTATTCTCTTCAACAATCGATGTGTTCTCACGGTTGGGTTATGTAGACCTAAGGTATTTTCACGCGATTTGAGATGTTTGTTCGCTAATTTTTAGTTTTGTGCATAGATGTAAGTTATATTCACTCGGTTGACGATGTTTGTTCATCAATTTTAGAGTTTTGTTTTTCGATTGGATGTTGTTCTTCTGGTAAATTGGTAGATTTGTGTATTATTCACCAGGTTAGTATAATTATTCATTGTTGAAATTATCAGATTCATTGTTTACCATAACTATGTAGTTTTTTTTTTTGGTAAATTGGTAGATCTTTATATTATTCATTAGTTTAGTATAATTATTCATTGTTGAAATTGTCGGATTCATCGTTTACCAGAATTATTTAGGATTGGTTTTTGGGTAACTCACTAGATCTTTGTATTATTTATCAGTTTGGTATAATTATTCATCAGTTTGGTAAATTAGTAGATCTGGATATTATTCATCAGTCTAGTATGGTTATTCATTGTTGACATTGTCAGATCCATCGTTGACCATAAATATGTATTATACATTCGTTAATTTTTTTCATCAGTTTAGTATTTGGTATTCATCAGATTGTGTTTTTTTTTTTTTGGATATTCGTCCGCAAATGGATGTTATTCATTGGGTCGGCAAGGAACAGAACATAAAACCAGTTATGTACTATGCATTAGATATGTATAATTATTCATCAGTTTTGTATAACTATTCATTATTGAAATTGTCAGATTTATCGTTTATCATAACTATGTATTATGTATCCGTTAATTTTCTTCATCAGATTGGTGTTTGGTATTTATTATATTGTGTTGTTGAGCTATTCATCCATGAAGGGATGATATTCATTGGATCGAAAATGATTATTAATTTTTCAATTTCATAGTTTGGAAAAAGTACATGATATCTTGTCATTGTCAAAATGTGTATTCATCATCTATGTACAGTTATTTATTAATTCACAAAAAGTTGTTCATTAATTTTGTGATACATCTGATACGTTGATATTAATTAACACAATTAAAAAATCATCCAACAATGATTATTCATCTTCAATGGTATTGTTATTGATGATTAACAGAGTTTTGATTGAATGTGAAATCTCACTTATTATAATGTTCTTTTTGTTTGATCAACAGCAAAGAAATGCTCATCAAGATGAAGTCGATCGGCCGGGAATTAAATATTTTGCAAGAGTTGTTGAAATCAAACAATCAACATAAATGTGTATCGAACTCGGCAAATCCTTCAAGACCTTATATATTAAAAACAATGACTAGTTTTTTTTGTTTATTTTTTATCTAGTATAATACATAATAAGAAGTTTGTTAGTTTAGTTGCTAATATTAACCCATTGTAATATATATTTTTGTTATCAAAGTTATTCATCTAGTAACGTATATTATTCATTCATTAAAGTACAATTATTCATCTTGTAAAACTACAACTATTCTTGTTTGCAATATTGTTATTCATTTAGGATGAGATCATTATTCAACAGGTTTGCATCGTTATTCATCTTTGTGAATATCGTTATTCATTACAAAATTTAAATTTATTCGTCCATAACGTTATCACTATAAGAATATCATTATTCATCACGTCCATAACGTTGATATTATAAGTAGCAAAAGCCTCTTCCTCAGAGTTGAAACATCGTCCAATAAGCACAATATATGTTATTCATCAATAACAATTCATTACTTAAAATAAGATACTCATCGTAAAATCTTAACAAGATGATACACGATCTGCCAAAAAACAACAATGAAATTCATGTTCATCAGTAATCATATATTACGCATCACCTTACGCATGTATATTCACCAATAAAACGAATACATTCTACATCATTCATCTTTCAATAATTGCATAACATTATTCGTTGTGTAAACGTTGATTATTCATTACTGAGAAAATACACATTAATTCTCCATATTCATAAGTCTCAATGATTCACCATAGTCAATTTTACCAAAATAAAATCCATCGTTATAAAAAAAATTATTTCATAAAATAAAATAATATAAAAGCTAATATGATAAGCCAAAAAAAAGATTTAAAATTAAATGTGTGTTAAAAAAAGGGGATAAAATCAAGGGGTTAAATGCCAAAAAAAAAAGGGGATAAAATGCTAAAAAAAAGGGGGATAAAATTGGGTGATTAAATGCAGGATTGAATGATGCGCGTGAAAACATAAAAATCAGGATAAATTACTCACTTTTTATTGGCTTTGGGTGATATACACGCACTGCTAGGTACACCTTGCAAGCTTAATATTATTTGCCATGCTATATCTACTACTAACCTCATTATCACTATTTATACATCGGTCCTCTACTAACTATTACATCCAAATGAGTGTTAGGGAGTGACAGGAAATGATGCCAGGCCCAAAATTCCAAATCCTCATTGTCCATACTTCAAGCTGCATAACGGCTCGATGGCCCAAGCAACGTGCCCAGATACGGAATAGCCTGGTTTTAAATTTAGGATCTTCAATATGAGATGAGACTAGAGAAAACGTGCTTTATTAGGATCTTCAATTTTCCAAAAAGAAAACTTTTCTTGGTTGAAGAAGACATTAATCATTACAATTAGATCACAAACATATTATTCGAAGAGAGGATTAAAGACATCATAATTGTCCGAAAAAACTACCACTTTAATGGCAGTGTCTGCTACAAGATGCTTGGTAGTATTAGTGTAGGACTAGGAACAAAGCATACTTTAGAGGCTATACTTCTAACATTTGATGTCATGTTATGCAGTGATGAAACATTTATGGAAATATTAAAATGGCTTTTCTTTTCATTAAGGGAAATTGTTCAATCCATCTCGTGTCTTTTCTTTCTTGGGCCTTTGGACAAGCTTACATATTTCAGAGTTATATAAACAGTACTTGGTGTTTCCTTTTCTAATTAAATTCAGATCAGCTTAGTTTTCTATATATTAGTTCACCTTCTTGGACAAAATGTACTCTGCATAAGAAGAATCCTAATTGACAAACACCAAGATCTAACTAAGAAGAATTCACATGATGATACTTTAACTAATTGAGTTCTAGACGAGCGACTGAGCAGAAATGTTTTTGTCGAATTATACAGCCCCATAATATTGCATAGCACTAATCAACTTACTTCCTGACAGCATGATACATATTACCCCTATGGCTATTAGTGTCAGTATAACTTCTTTTTAACAGATATGCTACTGCTAATTTAGATGATGTCCCCTTCACTTGTTTCCAGGTCCACAGCTTTCTTCTACCTTGGTGTCAAGAGAGGCGAATTTCGATTTCTTCCCCCTAATTAGGTTTTGCTCCATTGAATGAGATGTAATTCTAGTAGTGCTTACCTCACTAATGTCATCAAAAAGTTACACCGAGATCCAGGCAACCACACTAAGAAACCGAATGCCTTCCCCTTCTCGAAGGAGTAGATTTCGCTTCTTCTATAATATTTGTAGAACCAAGACTCTCCGATGAATCTGAACCACTATTCTCGCCGCCATGGCCTCCACCTCCTTCCTTTCTTGACCAGATTTTTGAGAAGATTTTCTTCGTCATGAGCAGACCCTTCATTTTGTTAACGGCAGCCTTATCATGATGGCTTCTGCTATCTCCGCCATTTCTCTCACTGAGGGATCCATTTCCCAATCTTAATGCCGCCAGCTCTCCTTTTAAAGCTCTGAGCTCTTCCGCTGAGGCTACAGCATCCCATTCTTCTTCTGTATTAGTAGTAGCAGATCTTGAACTCCCATGAGAGACACTGTTAAGGTCTTTAAGAGCTTTGGGTAGATCTGGGGTGCTGCTTCCGGATGTTGCAGCAGCTCTAACTTGCTCAAAGAAGAGCACCTGGACCACCACTCGAAGAGGAAGCCTCTCATTTTGAACAGCATGCATGCACGCATCAACAGATAGCTTTTTGCAGTCCATAAGCCTGCAAATTCGCTTCCTCTCGCTCTTGCTGACACCAGGGTGTACCTGTAGCAAAGTCACGGATCAGTTGAAGGTTGCTACCTCTATATGAACTATTGCATAGATGATAAAATCAAGCTAGACAAAAACTTCCTCAAGATATTTTGTTTCAACGCCAAAAACTGCCCACATTTATTTTTGTTAAAGGAACTTGAGAGCTTGCTTATTCATGAAAATTTTGGCAACATCAGAACTCAGAAGAAACCTACTAACATAAAATCTCTTAACGGTTCTTACAACGGAAACACAGTCAGCTTAAATAGCAAGAATATTTGGTTCAAGCATGTCTTTAAATGATAAAAGAAGACTAATATGGTTTTTTCCAATATTAGCTTTAAGTTGTGAAAGAGAGAAAGGAGAACTTACTTTGAGATACATGTCTATTGCTCGGTAAATACCATCATGACCAGGTCGATTAAAACTTGAAATCATTTCAGCAAGATCGACAAAAACTGATACAGGTAGATGAGGATCCTTGGCAATTTCAGCAAGGTAAGCATCAACCAGCTTAGCAACCATTAGCTTTGAAGCTTCAGATAAGATTCCTGGCTGCCGAGCAACTTTTATCTCTTCTCCATCTTCCAATTCACTTACATCATTCTGATCTCGCATCACAAATTCGTGTAGTATTTTGCGAATGATCTGAACATCATAAATGGTTTTTTCCCCATCTTGTGATGGAATCAGGAGATCGCTCATAGAAGCTTCCTCCAATTGCTGCCCTATTCTTTTCACCAGTTCTTTCTTAGCTGTTTCTCCCAAGTCAACCAAAATGGACGCTTTCAACAACTTCAGCAAGAAACTACAAGAGACAGTACCTCTCTCTGTAGGCAAAAGACACACGATGGCATCCAATACAGTTCGAGCCTTGGAGACATCACTAAACTGAATGCCGCCCTTGCCAAAGCCAGGCATCTTTCTTACAGCATAAGCTTTCAGTGCTTCCCCAATAACTTCATGAGAAACTATTCCTTTCTTTATAATACCAACAATTACCCTCTTATATAAGTCGATTTCCAGATCACACAAGTCCTCAACCCACCAATCCTTAGGCACTGTACGAGTTCTGACTCCATTCCAGGTAGGATCATTCCCATTTTCCTCGGGCAGCTTTTTCCTGTTATAGGTGTAAGACCAATCCACCTTAGAAACATCAGCAGATGCCCTGGAAGCTATAGCATCAATGCAATGGCTGGTCAATTTCAGTTCCTCGGCTAAAGCAAGTGCAGATTTTGTAGTCTGAAGAACTATTATAGAATCCTTCCAGCTTCGGAAAATGCTAGAGCTCAAGAAAACATCAACCTTGTATGCTAGATTCCCTTTCTCAACTGTTTCATGCATACCAAGAAACTCTGCAGCACAGCGTGTGGAGACTACATTGTAAGCATTTAGGGTAACAGTCATAGCATAGCAGAACTTGGCACATATTTCAAATGCTGAGGCACCCCCTGGTATATCATGAATGTGGACTTCATCACTTCCATCATCTGCACTAGCAACCAATTTTTGCAGCAGGGAGCACTTTGACAGGAGAGGGAACTGCAGAAAGAGAGGTGTAATAATGTTGAGATTAAGCTAATGAACAAAAGATAACGGAGAAAGACGAAACATCACTACCCAATGAAAATGAATTTAAGTATCCGACGGCAGTTTGTCTATCAGTAGCTAGCTCGTTTAACTGAAAGTTAAACTAAAACTTCGCCAAGCTTGGCATTGTCTTCCTCCCCCAAAATTATTTACAAGTTTAAACGAATTTTCTGGAACAAAGCTTAACTCAGTGGCAACTATTCATGCATATCTTTCATGTGATATAACAGAAGGTATCCTTCAAATTTTTCAGAGGAGCTGTTCATCATTTAAGATGTGGGCAAAAAAAGAAAATAGCTACAAATCATTGAAGAAATCAAATCAAGATGAGCAAAGACAGTTTTCAAAACGAGAAAGTTTTCAGAAATATCCATCCGATTGTTCTAGGTAGCAACATACCTTGTGTAAATAGAACTTGATGTCTCCCACATTGACAACGATATCGGTGGCCAACTCAGAAGCCACATACCTGCAGATAAAAGATTACATTGATAATGTTAGTAAAAGTATAAAGATGGATAGAGAATGGGGTTCCAACATTGCAAATTTGACATGTATTAGGACATGATCTGGATCTCCCCCCATAACCATACCCCTTTGGCAAGGGATTTGCAAAAAGGAAATGACAATTTGTAAGGAACTTTGCAAAAGCAAGACCAAATGTGCTGATTCTAAGATATCAAGAGCTTGATTCTGTTGACACCAGATGCAAGAAGTATCAACCGCACTAGTTATTCCAAAGTTTAACTGGACAACGACTATTTTCCAAAACCTTCCCAAGCTAAATCTAAAGCTCATTTTACCATCTCACAGACTGTTTACAAGCTATAAGTAAAAGGAACTCTAGTGTAATGACACTTGTCATTGTCTAAAGTCAAAGGTCAAACTTCCACCCACCATTTCCCCTCTCCTGGCCCGCCTCCCCTGTCTTCATCCCATCCTCCCTTCCCCCCAAAAAGAAGACATTTTTTTCGGAAAAGAAAGCTCCAAAACTCTCTGCTGAAAAACCCCAACCCTCAATAACATGTTAATCGACATAAAAGGGGAGAAGGAAGCACCAGTATCAGTTTTAACAAATAAACCAAGGGAAAGAATCATTCAGAACTAGTTAAACTTCAGTAAAATGCCCAACAATACCAAAACACTTTAAGGGAGGAATGGTTCATCAAACATGAGCAAGAATGGGCAAGAGATCTAACCTGACATTGTTGCCATCAGTCTGAAAAGAGTCCGGTTTGGATCCAAGTTTCATAAACTTCATCTCTGCTATTAAAAGATCTGCTTCTCTTCCTCTTGACTTCTTAAAGGAACAAAATATAAACAAACTAAGCTTCTAAAGACTTTTGGACAGATGACTGCAGGGTTAAATACCTTGTGTTCATCCCCAACTGCCACCAAGCATGGCCCAAGTTCGAGGAAAAAAGAATCCCACAAAGGGAAATAACATGGGCTAATGAAGTGGGGACCAAATGTCTGAAAATGACCAAGAAAAAAATTTCACAACTTCAAGAGATGGAAAAAAAATAAAAAGGGCAATGGGATCTCAAACAAAAGGGAAGAAGAAGGATATATGCTTCTCGTATGACCGAATCTAAACAGTAAAAATGAAAAAAAAAAATAAAAATTCTTTTCCTTTCAGGCAATGTGAGAGAGGAAGAAGGAGAGAGAGAAAAAGGAAGAGGCTTTAAGACTTTTAAAGAGAGGAAGAAGAGAGGTTTAAGTGGCTTTGTGGGAAGTGAGGAAAGAAAAAAAGAAAATGGCTTGAGGTTAAAGAAATAGTTCACTTGAATGGGAAGAGAGCCAGAAGGAAAGAGGTTGTTTCCTTGGTCGGCGGCAAAGCCCACGGACCCCGGGCGCACCCAGTCAGCTCAGGAGACATAACCAACAGATTCTCAACACTAATTTATTCTCAAAAACCAGAGAAAACACTCCCCCACCATCACTGCTCTGACTCCAATCCACCATCTTTTTTTTTTTTTTCTTTCTCTTTCTCTTTAGTCCTCTTTTTAGTCTGTTCTCTCTCAATTGATTTTTTTTTTTTCTCTTAATGATAACTGAACTACATATACTAGTATTAAATGCTTGGTCCAAAACTTTAAAAGATTCAGTACACCAAGAAAATCCCAAATGCCCAGTATGGGTTGTCAAAGTTGCAATCTTTTTAATCTAATAACAACATCTGGTGGTGAATGGTTTGATTTTAATTAAGTTTTTAGTTCATCTGGGGGTTTGGAGGAGGTGCCCTGCAACCGAAAACAGCATCTCGATATCAGTTGACGAAATCCACTAAAACTGTAGACAAAAAGCATCTATCTTTATGGAAATTTCACTGGTTATATCAGAAGATCACAACATTTTGCGAGTATCACGATTCACTGGGACAACAAATTCTGCGGCAAAAAACTTTGAAAGAATCGATCTTGAAGATTACACGCACAAGTATAAAACCTTTTTCCAGATAATAATATGAAGATTCTGATAGTCATAATTCTGTCACATGTTTGAATAATCATGCAAGAATCAAAAAGTTAAACTCGAATGAATGGATCATATTTGGACTTGTAATTCTACAGACACAACCCAAAAGCAACTCTCCATGTCAAAATCCAACCAAATGCAAGACTTACTATTTACATGAACCAAAATGTAGAAACATAAGACACCCTTAATAGTATAAACTCAGATACACATAACAAATCCATGTGGGGGAGGAGAAAGTGAAGGTGGACAAAAACAATTCAAGCACAATTTTCTTCCCTTTTATTTTAACCTTTTCTTTGTGGGGAAGAATCAGACAGTAAGAATATCATAGCCAGTACAAAACCCACATGAACAAGTTGTACACCAAAAACAACATTTCTATGCACACAAACCAACTAATAAAGTCTTAAAGCAAAAAAAAACAAAGTCTGAAACAACTCTGGATGATATACTGATATACACTACCCTGTTGTCTACTACAGCACCTCAAGAAAACAAACTTGGAGGGTTGTTTTGGATTCTCCGAAGCCAAACGAAGTAGTACAAAACCACCAACCAAATTAAGCCCAAAAAGCTAAAATCTTGCAGTTATGTGCTTACCAGTTTTACCAGAACTAGCTTGACAACTTTATCTAAACAGAGTTTTCCCCTTTTTCTTTTTCGTAACAAAGACAAACTTAAAGGCAAACAAAACCCATTGGATATTTATTTGCCTCGTTAAATTCTCTGCCTTTTCTTTTCCACTAACAAGTTTTTCTCTAAATGGAGTAACCCAATCTGATTTCGCTTTGATATTACATAGGAAAATGCACACTTTTTTTTTCTTCCAATACTTTGAGAATGGGGAGTTGTAATCCAGTGAGCAAAAATTAAAGACAGCCCAAAATTTGCTATTGCTATGAATCGCACGCCACACTGACACACAGCTTTTTTGCTCCCTACCCTCTCTTTATATGTTAACGTTAGTAAGGGTTTGCTGACTAGCCATTACTTATTGTTCATCACATTAAACGTAAAAATGTTACATCAATGCTATTATAGTGCTTGTACCATAAAAAGCACTTGTCCATCCATTCAATTCAATCCAATCCATTTTTCTGCTTATGATATTTCTGTTAATTGGAAATGGGAATCATTCTGTAATATTCTCTTTTCATTTGCTTGTTTCATCTCTCTATATGATCTTAAGTTTAGTTAATGATAATAGGGCAAGCAGTAACATAGATATTGTTACATCTATATATATGATCTATATATATATATAGTTGAGGTTTAGTTATTTTTATTAACCACAACTACCAAAGTTGCAATTCATTGTTCCAAATGTTGGGATAGCTATAAATTATGAGCAGTAGAAGTTACAACAATGTTTACAGCCAAAATGTACGAAGAAATTTTGGTGATTACCAAAGAGGACAAAATCAGGTCCTAGGACAAAACGTCACAAATCCTTAATACTGTATTATTTAACCGTAGTCACATCAGAACCTTATTGTAACTAGTTTTCTGTTTTCGACCCTGTTAATTCTTTCGTTCTTTGCATAAATGACTAGACTGGAAAAATTGTGAGAGACTGGACATTTTTCAGGGGTGAAAATACTACTAGTACTACATAGGATACTATTGGGAACATGCAGGAGTCAGGAACCAAATTAAAGTTGATACTCTTTGCCTGTTGTCGTGGATGCCTTAGAAATATTTTGGAAAATCTTCAGGAGCCCTCAAAATATTATTTTGTGTTTATTCGATTTGATGTGTGAACGATTAAATGACGTGGCCCGTCAAATATTTTATGCTAAGTAGAAGAGCTTCATTAATTAAAATAGTTGACGGGTCCAACTTTACAGTTAGTCAATAAGAATAAGATCAAAAAGATTACAACCGACTTTCAACTAATTGAGGGTCAACTCTAACACTAATTAAATGTCATATTAATGAATCATATAGAATGCTCTTAAGCCCCAATTTTACTTGTTACAAAGCGAAATGTACCAATAAAATGCTTCCATTCCAAAATGAATTTTGTATTTTATTTGTTTTATGTAACATATCAATTTAGGAGACGAAAAAAATTTAAAAAAATAACTTCTTTTTTCTTTTAATTTTACAGAGTGCTCACCGTCGAAATCAGTAACCAATCTCCTTGGTCGTGGTAGGCATTTTTAAGCATAATAAGTTACTGAATTCGATACAACGGTGTTTTATCTATAAACCTCAACGTGTATCATGTAGTACTAGTAATTTTGTGTGGATTATGATGATAAACCAGGGAAGGTAACACCTAGGCAAACAACTATATATTTGTGGAGCAATTCCTCCAGGCCCGGTCTGAATCAAATCTCGCTTATCAAATTAATGACAATTAATAAAATACTAAGTACTACTAATATTCTGTCCATTTTTCTATGGTGGTGTGAATGAATAGTAGTATTTGTCTGTCTGAAATTGCAAAATGCAAACGAGCTTAATCATCCACGTTTTGGAGCCGACCGTTTACTCTCTTCTTTCAATGGCTTTCCTTTTTTCCCAAAAAAAAAAAAGAAAAGAAGAAGAAGAAGAAAGGGTTAAACACGTTACACGTGGGTGCTGACTGTGCCACCATTACTGTATTTTACAAGCTCGATGCAATTTGGAAGTTGATTCTTCAAGTCATTGTGAAACTACTTACACTAATTTAACCCTTCCAAAATTTTTTTACAGTTTTTCATTCATCTCTCTAGCATTGAACAAAAAAAGAAAAGATAAAAAGTTTTTGTTACTTGATTTATGACTTTGTTTATTCAGAGTCTTCTAGTCTACAAGTCTACCTCTACCTTTTAACCCTCCTACTATATCATTTTTAGTTTCATACAGAGAGTCAACGGCTTTCGTCGTCTACTATCTATCTGATCGTTGAAGTTTTTATTTCAAAATAAATAAATAAATAAAAATTTTACTTTTGGCCATAAGAAATCTAATTAAGGGATATCGGGAGATTCATACACAGCTCACGAAATGGAGGTCCAAATTAATCACACAAAATAAGAAATTCAAAACAGGTACAAAACTTTTGAGTTAATTAGACAAAGTCTAGCTAAGCTTAGCAGTAGTAACAGTATAGCAGAACAAAGGGATCAATAGGGGCACATGGGGCAACAAGCTAATTCTCTTGGGCAGATCCTTCAAAACAAGATTATGCTGCTTTTAGTTTTAGTGTGACAAATCCTGATCCACTTACTTATAGTACATGTTATTTGTTTGCTTAACGTAACCAAATTTAATTAAACGTATGGCACGTTGGTTAAGGTCTACATCACATGGGGATGGGGAGAGGAATATTAACTAATTAAAACGGTCATTGCAATCGTCAAACCTGAAACTGAAAAACCTCATTTAATCAAATACTACTACTTCTCTGCAAATTGTGTAAGAAAAGGCAATTAGAAGAAGAAGAAGAAGAAGGACCACACAGTTGTATACTAGAATAGATTAATTTTGGTTTTATACGTGGCTGGATTTAATAGTGGTAGATGAACATTAATTAAAGAACATGATTTTTAATTTTAATCTCCCGAGTAATCACACTCACACACAAAAGCAGAAAGCAGACGAAATTAACCAACGGGGACCAGTGCCTTCCTTCCAGTAATGGATGATTAAATTAACTGGTGGTGCCACAAAATCAAGATTAAAATTCGTGAAAGTGAAAAAACAACCATGCATTGAAAACATAATTAAGCCCAAAAAGGGGTGACAAAATACTGTACGTCATTATTACTATCGTTATAGAAAAATAATTTTTATTGTATAACTAGAACATCCTATTAACTGAAATCGTTGAGGACGATTATAGGGTATTCTCCAAGACGTATTCCGAAGTGTTGTTTAAATTATACAAAAGTGAAATTTCAAACTGGACAATAATTTTGAGAAACAATATATATATATATTTTTCTTTTTGTTTTTATTGGTATTGATATGATTATCTTTGAGGCAGCCAGAAAAAAAATGAACGGACTTTTGGGCTTTTTCATGCAACACAGCAGAGCACACAGTATTGCATGCATTTACAACAAATGCATTACAGGCCAAAATCCAAATAAATGCAAAGTTTACACACACACACACACACAAACACCTAGCTAGCTAGCTAGCTGCTTTTTCCCATACCTCAAGCGATTAAAATTGTAGTAAAAAAGAAGGTCCTGATTTCATTTATCCCCCTGCCATATCTTCATCATCACTTGCAGTAATTGAACTTTGACTGCCAAAACTACTTCACAAGGGTAAAAAAACTCTCACATAAAAAACTGTATTAACAAATTCATAGCACATGCATTTAGGGCCATGATCCTTAAAACAAAACTGTAGAATGAATCTGTAGCAAAAATTTTTTAGTTCTTTGATTATTCCAACAGTTTTTACTGCTATAAGTAAATAGTGGTAGAAAACGTGATTTGTGGGATTTTGGATAATAAATGGAAAGTATATGAGCAGAGATGGGGAAGGTGAGATAAGAACATCCAAACATTATTACTGCTTTGAAGGATTGAACCTAGTAACTATAGCACTGCGAACAATTATAATATAGGGGTGCAGTGCTAGATCCAACTGTAAATTTTTGACTCCTTTCAATAGGCCTTGCAGATATTGTAATATCTAATCTTACCGTACCACTTTCCAGGCAAATTACTTGCCATATTTACTGAGGTATATATGTCAGATTGATGGAGACCGGAAGAAATTGACATTGTGTATTTCATTTTATTTTTACTTCCAGATATAATTGCCATAGGTAGCTTAAGATAATTGCCAGATATTAATCTCTTTTTTTTCGAAATTCTTTGGGTGTTATTTTATAAATAAAGCGCATGGGGATGATGACTTGGTGTGGTAAAAAAAATAAATAAATAAATAAAAGATTACTTGGTGTGGTGAGGTGACCATGAGTTGAAAAATCATGGACCTAACTTTAGACATTTGAATTGAATTAAGTTTTCATAGTAATATGATAATGAAGAGATTTTTAATTTGTATCTTATAAAGTGTTACTCCTCCGGTCTCAAAAAAATTACTCCTTCTGTCCCAAAATGATTGTTCAGTTTGAGATTTCACTTTTAATACAATTTCAACTAGAAATGAAAATTCAAACAGGACAATAATTATGGAACGGAGGGAGTATGTAGTTTTGGGAATGTAATTCATACATGCTTCACTGTATTTTAGACTTTTGCATCTCCATTTTAGCCAAGAACAGGGATTATACAAATGGGATAATTTCTCGTCAAAAGAAAAAGGGAACGTGTATAAAACCGGAATTAATTGGTAAAATCACCATTCACCAAACATGTTAGCCAGGATCTAAAGGTTCATGATTCCTTAACTTTTACTAGGACTTATATGATCCTACAATGATTTGAAAGTCTTTAGATACATACATATTTATTCATTCTATTTGTTATATCTTTTTTGATTTTCTTTTTTTTTTTTTTTTCAAATGAATGGGGTGTCTTTAGGATGACTTTTTCCCCGGTCGAATAAATACATTTTAAAAAAACGCTGTGAATTATCTGAGAAAACTAGACCCGAAAAGTTTCATGCATGCATATGATAAAGTCTTATTAAGCTCTACCTTTTTTTCTTGGTTAATTATCATAATGAATGTGCAATTATGATGTTTTAATCATCATCTCCATCTCCGTCCGGCAGAAATGAGAGATCGGAGTGCGAAAAAGGGGAGATTAAAAGCCGGAGACTAAGGCTTTGGGCCGCACACTTTAGCAGCAACATGTCAAATTGTCAACTTAAACCCAACTCAGATACCTAAAATTAGTTCAGTTCTCATCATCACCTTTTCACTGATCTGGTTAAAAAAGTCCCTTATTTCTTATACTCTCCAACTCCACAATGGACTAATTAGATGGGAGGACGGACTAATTAAGGAGTCTACCTTTTTAACTTGGTTATATATGATTTTATATTCACGGGAGTTCCATTATTTAATCCTACCAAAAAGGGTTTCTTTCAAACAAACATCCATAAAAGGGATATTCACCAAATCATCACGTTAAAATATGAACATACATATAATTGTGAAGCATTCTGCCGCAAATTATACTCAAAAAGTCAATTGAGTTGATCAGATGGTGGTGGTATCAATCTTCAAGTTTTTGACGGCTTTACTACTTTTGTGTCCATATTACAAAGTGTCTTTTGATTGACCTCTTACTTCAAGTTCCTAAGTACTGCATATGCTTTGTTATAGTACCTAGTACCTACCGAAACCAGATTGATTGTCTTGTTATTGGCTTATTGCCTATTGGGTTGGGTGTTCTACTTAAACTAATGCCCAAATTCATGGACAATATTCGGCATTTAGGAATCAGATTGAGGACATGTCGAGTCTTTTCCTAACAAAACTGTGACTATTGTATGAAATTTTGTACTAATAAGTTCAGCTGGCCTAATTAAAGCAGGGGGGGTAGGAATTTGACTCTAGCTAGTATTATCCGATTTTTTGGATGTAAATTCTGATAAATTCCACCAATAAAGTTCGTAGAGGACGCACTACAGAATTTACTGTAAGTTCAAGGAAATAAACTGCAATTTACACCCAAAAGTTGAAGTTATAATGTTATCACGATTAAGATAATAGTGAAGACAACCAAAGCGTGTGATATATGAAGTCGGTGATCCTCGAATTAATACAATTACATTCTCTTTTTATTTGAGCTAGCTTGTAAATAATAGAAGAAACGATACTAGTATTATTTTTGGACGGGAGTAGTAGCTTTAAATTTCTAATAACACATCAGACCTCTGCAGAATCACTCCAGCATAATCATTCTTCTACGGTTGCACCTAACTCAAAACCCATTTTACAGACATCCACTGCAAATTTCCGGCTACAGGTCCAATGTTGGCCCATCTCAAACAAAATGGCCTTGGGGCAAAGTTTTGGGCTTTCTGTCTTTGCACTTCAGTACATTTAACCATGTCCAGATTTCCCAAGACAAACCTCTTCAAGGATTGCACGAGCCAATGACTTCCACGGTTTCACTAAGTAAATTTGTTAATCTTTCCGCCCCAAAATGATAAATATTTATTACATATATTTTAAAACAAAATGAGTATAATATTTTCATCTACATTCCTGTGGAAGAAAAATATGAAATCTAATACTCCCTCTGTCTCATAATTATTGTCCGGTTTGAAATTTCACTTTTAGTACAATTTGAACTAGAAATGAAAACTCAAACTGGACAATAATTATGGGACGGAGGGAGTAGTAAATAAAAAGAAATAGAACCAAGTTAGAGGTTGTTTTCTCAGTTTATTGTTATGTGCTAAAGTCTATTAAAATAAAACATTAACCGCATTGTGAAAGGTGGATTTGTAGCCCAAATTTTATTTGAGGGCATGTTCCGATCAGACCGACCAGGGCGGTGTTGAGTCGGCCATCTTAGGTGGGATCCTAATTTTAGGGGAAAACTGTTTAGGCTAGGGAGGGTTGCTTAGCTCATGGAAATTAGACGCAATTTTATTTTATTATGTAGATATAATGTAACTTGTAATTCATCAATTACGGAAAATTGGAGTAATATACACATAGCACGTCATCAAAATTCAACAAAATAAATTAGTATAAAGAAAAAAAAAAAAAGGAAAAGATGATTAAGGAAACCATGGAATTTTCAAAGATACTTACAATTAAGGTCACGCAATGGGACTGCAAAATAATGCCGCAACGTATGTGTGTATTGCGTGCTCAACAGGTTCCTAAACTCCCGAAGCGAGTATTCCTTTCTTTACTTTCTCGTCAAGTATTAAACAGTTCCTTGCGCAGGATAACTCCATATATATAGAAAAGGAAAAACAACAAATCATAAACCAACCTTGACAAAGTTTATACTTTATACTAGTAAAACTAACATTTTAATGATGAATAAAATCACTTTTAAAATATAGTCCATCACTCAAAAGAAGAAAAAAGAAAGAGAGAGAGAGAGAGAGAGAACCACTTTTACTAATTGATTCAATAAAATCTTGTCCTGTTAAAATACCTAAAAAACCCCTCCCTCATAAATAGGAGGACATACATGTGTGCATTTGCTAGAGAAACATTATGTCATCAACCTCATAAATGGTGAAAAATAAGTTGTGAACAGTAGCACCACAAACCGTCACAGCGCTGGATGCATGGATTTGGCGGCAATTTTTTCTCAGTGGATAGATATCTTGTGTGATTTTGATCTTGATTGCATTTTCTTCCCCTAAAAGGTAAAAACGATCGCTTTGGTTTACACGTGGATACATTGCTTCGGCGATGCATTACCACGTGTTTTGTTAGTAGTAATCTTTTATCACTCACACTTTCTATCAAAATAGACATTAACACGAGTTTGTGACATAGTACAATATATAAATCTCATCCCAGGGGAAAAAAAACATTAGGAATTTACATTAATCTTCAAAGACCAACTCTTAGCTTTAATCACTCAATGTCAGTATACACCTTAATAAACCAAAACGAGGACTGCAGGAAGCTTTGATGGGGATGTAAGCTTTATGGCAAAATTAACAAAGAATTAATTTTTTACATACACGGCAGGGATTTCACAGAAAACGTCACGACATGTCGCGAGAGATATAACATTAAACGAAACATTTGTGCATGCTTGCCTGTCACTCATATCCAACAAATGGATTGTCTGATAACTAATCATCATAATGCCTAAAACACCATGTGCCATTTAGGCATACCACACATGGATGAGTAGTGGATGCATTCCCCCCTTTGTGGCTCATCCTCCTCTGGGTTTGCCTCTTTTCTCTTCCATTTCTTTATTTGCTTATCATTTCATTCCAACAAATCATATACTCCACCAACCATAATTGCTCGTTCATTTCATAACCACATAGTTGTTACCAAAACTACAATTAGTAGTGCCAGCCAACAACAATCGCTCAAGTTAAAAATACCAATTTCATCGATTAGGGTAGCTTGTTAAGGACTTATGATCCTGAAAAAAGAAATCGTTTTTTCCAAATAATAACTTGTCAAATTGTTGTTCGAATTTGAATTATAAATGATAATTAGTCTGAATTCGTTTTTCCAAATAGTAACTTGTTCCGATTTTGAATTATAAATGAAAATCAGTCTTATGGAATTTGTGAAAAGGGCTTATGATCCTCCAACAAAAAAATCGTTATTCCAAATTGTAACTTCTCAATTGTTATCCCAATAAAGTATACATATAACTTATTCGAATTTGGAAAAAAGAGAGCTACAAACCAAAGATGATGATGTTTCCAAGTGTTCGGGTTCGGGAGCTTGGAAGTAGGACTACTGTATTAGTATGAATTTTTTTATCGTTGTTTAAGTACATACAGTACAATAGTATGAAATTGAATGAACGAGATAGCAAATAGCAACAAAATGAATAATATTGTGGACTAATGAAGAGAGAGTTTATGAACAGAGAGAATAGCTAGCCTACCCTGTCAAGAAATTTAGGAGCAACAAAAGCCATTATGAAATCACAAGTAACTACTACTGCCTAACCAGAATAACTGAAAGAATTAACAAAGTGAATCATTACTAATCAATTTGACAAGTTGATCAAATCAAATCTTATTAGATAGCTAATAAACTCCCCAGAATGGACAAACGCGGCTTCTTTGTGGGCAATGGACTTTCCACTTCATGTTCATAGTAACAACTTTGACTTCTTCTCATATTCTCTTCCGGGTCAGCCCGGAAACCCAGTCTCAATTCCAAGTCCGGCACTAGGTTCAGGTCGAACAGCGGCCTCGCCGGTGTGTGGGTCGACGCGCCTCCGTCAGATGATGTCACGCCACTTGCAGTTGCAGTCACGGCGCCGTCGTCGACCTTGGCTATTGGGCTTGGCGTCCGGCTTGAGCTTCGGCTCTGGCTTTGGGTCGGACTCGGGCTGGGGCAGGTGACGTTCTCGCTGACGTGTCCACCGCCGCTAATGAATTGACCGTCTCCTGGGGACACATAGTGACGCCGTTGGTGGCCGCCTAAAGCTTGGCCGGAGGGAAACGACATGTGGCAGACTTTACACACATGGGGTTTTCCGCTGGGGTTGAGCGCCGATGTCTTGGGAACCTTTAACGCCGGGGCGGAGGTGGTTGGGCGGTTATCCTCTTCAGGAACGACGGCGGCCGCGGCGGCGGAGGAGATGTGGGGGAACTTTCGGTGGCTGGCTTTATGACCGCCCAAAGCCTGGTGTGACTGGAATCTTTTATGGCACACGCTGCACTCGTGAAGATTGGGTTCCTTTTTCGGCTCAATTTCTTTAAAATCTTTACCCTTGACGACGTCGGCAGCAGCGGCGGCGGAGGGGGCGGCGGTTTTCGTGTTGCCGGAATCGACGTCACCGGAAGGTTTGCCGCTGCGGGCTAACATGACAAGAATACTGGCCAAGTGATGTTCATCCCGTGATGAAGGAGAAGATAAACCGGAAACATCAGTACTGGGGAGAAGAGTAGGACGCCGGGACCGCTTCCTCTTGAAATTCTCCTGAGAACTACTGGCGGCGGCGGTGCTGTCGTCGGTAAGAAGAAGACCCAATCCTCCTCCTCGTTCAGGCGGCGTGGAGGGTTTAGGCGGCGGCGTTAGGGATTTCACAACCTCGAAAGCCATCACGGAGAACAGTAATCTAGTGTGTGACTGTGTGTTGATTGAAATTAAGAAGAAAAGGAAGGTTTTTTTTTTTTGTTTGAGTAACTTGGAGACGAAGAATGGGGAGAAAAGGTGCGGAGAGAGAGAGAGAGAGAAAAAGAGAGGAGAGAAAAAAAAAGTTTGGAGTGAGAGAGTGAACTTAGTGTAGGCTTGGGAAGTTGGTATTTATATTGAGACTTTTTTAAGTGAAAAGAAGGGAAGAAAGCCGAAGCCAAGTTAGAAAAGGAAACCCGGCTCTCTGTGGTGATTGTCTTTTATAACACTAAAATATATATTCAAGTGATGATTATAGGAAGAAGTTGGAAGTTGCGTGAGGAGAGGCGGTGGACGAGTTGTATAAGATTTATACTTTACATTATCGTTTTATTATTTCAACTATAACAAAATTAATTGTTTTTTTTATTTTTTTTTTTGTATTTGCCTATATGGTTTAGAAAGCTATGAAATAATTTATTTGATCGTAATAACTAATAACGTGAACATTTTTTTTCCCTCTTGTGTTACTCCAGTTATTTAATTAATGAAAATTGTAGAACTGGAATTTATAAATGCATATTTTCTTGGGCTAAAAGGGATTTTTCTCCTTCTTACTTGGGATTTTGGCTTTTGGGAAGGAGGTAGAGATGCCGTTGGCAACTACGTCTTGATTGGCCCACAATCTTACACTTCACACTTTTCAGTCTCAGTCGTCCGATTGAAGATTTTTCGTTTTTTTTTTTTTATAATTAAATTGAATTGAATATTGAATTAGAAAACTGATTTAACAGTGTATATATATTGTGTATATCAGAGAGTGAAGTCGGTCTAAAGATAGAGTGGCACTGTGGCAGTGATGGAAACCGTTGATTATTTTAAAACATATACATAATAAAATGGATAAATACCAGTGGGCATGTAATGTTCTTTATTTTTTTTTAAAAAAAAAAATTCATGGGTGTGACACTTTTTAGTAGAAATATATTTTCCAAGTACATTATAATTTCTTTTAAAGCATTTGAATAAAAGCAAAATAAACAGACTTGGAATACTAACTAATTTGATTTTAATAAAAAAAAAGAAAATATAATTTTAAACTTTGTTATATATATATATATATATCCTTGGAGTAATGTGGAAATCAAGATGTCAGATATTTAGTGAATTTTTTATCACTGTAGCATCTAAACTATCCACGTGTGATATCCAATCCAATTTTCCATCTCCAGGGTCTCTTACTCACTTCGGTGGAGTAAGAGTACATATCTTCTTCTCTCTAGAACATTATGGATGGATGGATGGAATTGAATGGCCATCTTTTACTGTTAATTCAAGCTTAATTTTATACCCATTTTATTATTTTTTTCTATAAGAAGAAATTTCACGTAACTAATTAGGCGAAAGTTTGACATAATTATGGGGGAAAAGCAGTTTGTTAGGAGGTGCCGCATTCGGAAACTTTGAGAGAAAAGATAAACGCATCGTGTGTATTACGTTGGTGTTGCGAAGAATGAAAAATGCATCACAAATTAAGCACCTTTTATGTTACGATACAATTTTTTAACAAAAAAAATCACCATAACCATAATCAATTGAAACTATTATTACCGAGGTATTAATCTGTAATACAGTAAAAATTTTCATTTTCCCATAATCATTGTTCCTTTTTTTTTTTTTTTCATTTTCAAAGTCAAAAAGGGTAAGAGAAGTAAGCTTATGTTATAGCTTCAAATGTGTGACTGTGTGTGGGAAGCGGGGGGAAGTCAGATTATGGTAACCCCAAATAGAGAGCGGCGAAGTTGTGGTCGGGCTCACGGCACGTTACGCGGTAGTCCTGGGAAAGGAGGACACGTGGAGGGTAGAGATTCTGGGAGGCGGAAAGAAATGCAAGGGATCGACACGTGGAAGCTGGCGTTGCTTTTTGGCTACTTCCTGAATGTTTGGGACAAGTAAAGTAGAGCAGCAGCAGCAAGCATCAGTGTCCAAGCAATTAAATAACACCTCTTACTTTATAATTCATTTTGAGTCCTCATATGTTTCATTTATCGCGTTCTTATCATGTTAAAAAATTAAGCCGGATACATGCTTGAGAAAACGAAAATGTCACTTTGAAATTATATTTGTAATTATAAAAACACGATAAATAAAATTTTAAAAAAAATCAAAATATTTCATAACAGAAAAGTAAAGAATACTCTTTTCAGTTAACCTTTTCTTAGTTGATATTGTAACACTTATTACTATGAGGCGGCTTTTTTTTTCTTGTGATAAAATTTAGGGATGACGCGAGCCGTTTTGATAACAAACACAAAAACGGTGTGCTCTTTAGAGTGGCGCCTACTGTACACAGCCACCAGATTCTGCATCTCATCTCACTCTTCTTCTTCACTCCCTAACTTCTCAGCCTCTTTTTAAGTGTTTCTTCCCTCATGCAATCATCATCCATCAATGTTTTTCCTCCCAATTTCAACCTTTTTTTTTTTTTTAAATTACGGGTCTTGAATCCGGTTCTGATGATGATGTATTACGATATATGTAACGGGTATCCGGCTATCCGTAGCTCGCATTGTGGGTGAAATTTAATCTGGTTTACATATATATAATTTCTATTTGTGTTTTTTTTTTTATTGTCACAATGGAAAAAACTAAGGAACATATCAAATTTAATTCGTTCTTTTTTTTAATAATAATCTTATCCTTTACTGACTAATAGACGAAAAAGAAAATTCTAATGCGAACTAGAAGATTCAAGATTTGGTCCCTTAATATTCAAAAATCAATGACTCATCCAATGTTATGATGGAAAGACCGTAACTTATGTCGTCCGTGTAAGGATTGAAAAGAAATATCAGTTAGAATGTATCGCTATAAAAAAACAGAAAAAAAAGGAAAGAAAATATGGATTATTTTTTATGTGAAATGTGGACCAGAAATTTCATTCTCTTCTATATTCAAAATCAGTGGCACAATCCAACTAATCATTGGATCTCTTATATCAACGGGTTGACGGTTGTTTCAACCATTTATTCACTCATTGGCACATTAAAGAATTGAAAATGTAGACAATGCAGACAAGAATAGGGATAACAAACATCCATTATTTATTAGGCACCTTTGATTCTTTTTGAATTTGGAATGAAATCAATGAATAGGGAGGGATTCGGTGTCGACAAAAAAAAGGTATCCCGCACATGATGAAGACATGAAACCGTAGATTAGTGCCTATGTTCAGTGTAACAAATTACGATTCTCCTTTACGATAATGTTTCGTCTTTGTATTATCAGAGGAGAGGCATTATTTCTTTGTTGAAAAATTTTGCTTTCAAGAAGAAATTTACTCGTTTTCAATTCGAGTTAGTTGAGATAATAATTTTAAATTGTAAATATGTAATTTATGGGAAAAAAAAATAGGTGAGAAATGCTTAAAGAAAAGTGGCAAGAGGGAATTAAAAAAGGCCACCTTCCTGGCTTCTTTCGGCTCAAAGCCTCAACACAAAACACTTAAGTGGCCACTATGCATTCACTAACATATGTGCTGTTAGGACTTATGCCATTTGGCAAGCCAGTTAAAAAGAAGAAGAAGAAAAAAAAAAAGAAAAGTACGGTCAATCAACCTACAGTGTCTACTTTTAGTATATTCCTAAAGATAGCTTTATACTCTCTCCATCCCAAAAAAAATAATATACAATAAGTTTTTAAATATGCGCAAAACCTAGTTCAAATCTCAATCTCAATGTGGACTATTTTTCTAAAACGGGGATAGTATTATTTATTATGTAGAAGATTTCTTATCGCCCATCACTTATAAAATTAGCTCCATTGCAAATTAACCTTTGCACTTGTTTCCTCTTTTAACACAGTTACACTAGTGCAGTGAAAACATGAGTCGACGAGATAAAAAATTATAGATCGAGAAACATAAAAACAAAGGTGGCACAAAAAATCATTAGATGGGAAAATCATTTACATTGTTTGTTACATTATTCAATTTTTACAATTTGTAATACGCAACTTTTGTTATATACATGAACTACTCATAACCTTGATGTGAATAGGGTATTGTGATCTCTGGACCAATTATAAGACATACATGTTTTCTTACAGTGTGCCTTTAGTATTTGGTCAAAAATTAACCAGAAAACTTTAAGTAACCTTTATGATTCAGATCTTATATCTCTAGTAACAATAAGAATAATGATTGGTATTAGAAAAAATATAAGGAAAAATTACAAGGAAATGATATCACGCATGCATTATTAAAATTTTCAAACAAGGTTTATGCATTTAAGGTTATGGCATAATTAGGATTCAAATTTTTAACACATTATTCCTTGTCATTTTATCCTTCTACCTATCACTATTCTAACAATAATGACTTGGATCATTTTCATTAATAATTGAATGTAAAAGCGTTCTCCAATACATTTTTTTTTTCAATTTTCTTGCTATCGAAATTCACGGGTGATAAATTGCATAAAAGCCCAATTATGTAGAATAACCCAATTGATTATCAGTTCTCTCACAGTTAGACACAGCCCAGCCGTTAAAGCCCAATAACCCGAAATTCATGAATTGGCAAAGGCCCTGAGCCTGACAGAGAGTAGAAACATAGCCAGAAGAAGTAAGAAGAACGTTCCACCCACCATCAAAAATCTGTAAGACGGTTCTTGGCTGAGGAATACGACGTTGTTGAAACCCAGAAAGCCGTGCTGCAACCATGGCTTGTTGTTCTTCGGTTATTCTCTCGCCGCCGTCCGCGGCGGCAACTGTTATCGAAAGGAATGGGAACTTGGGTTCTTCTTCCCTTGCCCTCCACAAATCATCTTTCCTTCAAGACCCGAAGCTTATGTTAGCTGCTTCTTCCCCTATTTTGAAACGCAAACCCAGTTTTAATACCCTTATCAGATGCTGTTACAACCCTCCTCAGGCCAGGAATTTGGACCATATACCCAAACAGTTCAGAGAAGAAAATCTCAAAGATGGATGTAAGTTCCGTTTCTTTTACTGATTCAGCTGTGATTTCTTATGGAAAAAGATAGTGTTCATAATGTTTCTGATTGTGGTATTGTTTTCAATTGGAACTGGTTCAGCTGTAGTAATCATTATGTTCTGTTGTTTAGGTTATGAATTTGGACTAGTGAAAACATTGGGGATTTCGCTATTTAGTACTGTATATAGTTTATTTTTAGGAGAAAAGATTTTAAAATTTGGCATAGAATTTGGGCCTCATGTAGTTTCTATTATTGCTCTTACTGGTGGAAATTGTAGTTGGAAAATGTTTTTGCAGTCTGTGCGTATTGAACACAGTCCAGTATTCTATACGGATGTTTAGTGTAACTTTGCCTATTATTCTTTAAGTCTAGAAAAGAAGAATAAGACCGGTATTTTATTATTTATGCCTGCTTAGGGTAGAACCCGTGTAAATTGTTGTTTTTCCCTCATTGTGAGTGTCTTCTACAATCATCTTACTGTTCCAGATTGTTAATGTATACTGAGCTTCTTTTCCCTCATTGTGAGTGTCTTGTATGATCATCTTACCGTTCCAGATTGTTACTGACCTTGCATCTGAATGTGTTATGTTTAGTCCTGAATGTAAAATATTCAATATCTGTATTGAAGTTTTGTTTCTGCATCTTCTTGACTTTAACTCATCTCGTCTCACCTTCTGTAGTAATGGACAACTACAAAAATACACCTCAGTATCTTTATGGCCTTACTCCCTCACAGATGGATATGTTCATGACGGAAGATAATCCAGTACGCCGACAAGCAGAAAAGGTCACGGAGGTAACCAATCTTCATCCGAACCTGTCTGCGATGAACAATCTAACATTGACACTTGCAGGCTGAGTTTTATTTTTAAACTGTGACCCACTGCTGCTAATCATACTACTTGTTTTGTTTCTGCCTCGGGTTCAGTTTGATATAATTGGTGATGAAAGGTCGATGTCTAAGTTACTGCATTGTTGTTTTGACAGGAAAGCATCTCGTCTTCCTGCAATTATCTGAATAATGGTGGGATGTATTCTATGTCAGGCATGGGGGATAGAGGTCCTTCCAAATATAGTATGAGTGTAAGCATGTATCGAGGAGGAGGCAGAGGTTTTGGGAGACCGAGAACAGCACCTCCGGATTTGCCATCTTTGCTCTTGGATGCTCGAATTGTCTACCTGGGAATGCCGGTAATAGATTTTGTTTAGGATGGTTTACCTGTAGCTTAATGTGTATGGGTGGTCTGTACATTCTCTGGTTCTTATTGCAATTCTCGACTGCCTCAGATAGTCCCTGCTGTTACCGAGCTCCTGGTGGCCCAGTTCATGTGGTTGGATTATGACAATGCATCAAAACCTATTTACCTGTACATAAACTCATCTGGAACACAGGTATCCATACGATTTGTTCGATTGTAATTATCCGCCTATTCTTTCTTCCGATCATTTCCAACCTTTCAGCAATGAGCTGGCATGATTTTGTGGTAATAGGGAGTGGTTTATAAAGTTTCTGTCTTAACAATTTTTTTCTGCATTTGCGCAGAATGAAAAGATGGAGACTGTTGGGTGTGAAACTGAGGCATATGCCATTGCGGATACCATGGCTGTAAGATCCTGATTACATTTTATACTGTTTGATTAGGTTGTACATCACTATAACAACCAGTATATTTCCAACTTGTACATCACTATAACGTGTTAAATTACCAATCATAACAAAGGAAGAGGAAATAACATGTCAAACACTTCCATGGCTTGTGACGAACCTGTTTGATCACTTTGATTCTCAATAGACGTGGTATCCATTTATAATCAGTATAAGTATGAAAGCACTATAATAAATGTTGTCTTGATTTTTTCGTTGCTTGAGAAAGCTGGTTTTTTGATTTTGCATCTTTTTCCGCAACCGAAGTACTGCAAGTCAGATGTTTATACTGTGAATTGTGGGATGGCGTATGGTCAAGCGGCAATGCTTCTAGCACTTGGAACAAAGGGCTACCGTGCTGTACAGCCAAATTGCTCCAGTAAGTTACACCATCACTTGTATTGTTGTGGTCTTTGCTTTGAACTTTAGCCTTGTGACTATTATTACATCAATGCCTCAGTGCATGACTCCCCAATTCATTATTACTGAATAAGCTGGAGACGATCTGATCCAAAATGTTGTTTTGCATTCTCGTACTCTTTTCACTTCATGAGTAGCATGTCGTATCTTTTTGGTTTCTGTTACCCTGATTTTCCCTGTTTTGGTTTATGCAGCGAAACTCTATCTTCCAAAAGTGAGCAGATCTAGTGGGGCTGTCATAGATATGTGGATTAAGGTCTGTTAATGCTCTGTCATTTTGTTCAGCTCTCTGCGTATGTCCTGGCATCATTTTATTTTGGAGTAATGTCTTGTGGTGTTGTTTTCACCAGGCCAAAGAACTTGATGCTAACACTGAGTATTACATAGAGCTGTTAGCCAAGGGAATTGGGAAACCTAAAGAGGAAATTGAGAAGGACATTCAGCGTCCCAAATACTTCCGTGCTCAAGAGGCAATTGATTATGGCATCGCGGATAAGATTATCGACTCAAGAGACAATGCATTTGACAAACGAGTAAGTACCTTTTCTTTTATCCCTTGGGTGCGCTTGTCATATTTTCTGCAATGTCACTTCACTCCAACTCTTTTGTCTGCTCTCAATCTTGATAAGCAGAATTACGACGAGATGCTTGCCCAATCACAAGCAATGAGAAGAGCAGCTGGAGCTGGACCACAAGCCGCCGCTTCCTCTGGTTTACGTTAACCATTTTACTGTGAAAATCTGGCTTGCAGCTCATATGCTGGATGATGTATAGGTTTTATAATTTTTACATTTGAAATAGATTAATACTGGTGTTGGAAAAGATCTGGCCCTTAAGTTTTGGGGAAAAGATCTGGCCCTTAAGTTTTAGGGACACAAATCTTCGTGTGTAAACTGAAGCACTGGAAAGATCTCTGTAAGCTACATGTATTTATGCTATTTTGCTGCATAATTTATAGAATTTTTAATATTAATTTGGTTCTCATGAGTCATGAATCATTTTCTGAAAATTGAGAAATGTAATTTTTGAATATTTTCTTTAAGCTTTAAAGCGCAAAATTACATTACCATTATTAGCCACTAATCAAAACATTTTTAATGAAAGTTAATTCTCCATTAAGCATTTTTTTTCTTAACCTCCAAAAGAAAGGCCACTTTGTAATTTTTCTTTAGGCGTGATACGCAACAATCCCCTCGTGTTTGATTTATGGACATGATTAACTTGTCTTCAGACAGAGTGCTCTGGAACAATAACTTGAGGCATTGAGAAAGCCAATATGCAGGGTAACGATCTTGTTTTCTTTGCCTCATCTATTCTTCACCTCGTTGATCTTCTGAACTTGTGCTTCTCTCTCTCTCAACTCTATCTCTAAGCAAGTATGCCTCTTCCTGCACTGTCTATTATCAGGGATTGGAAAGAGAAAATCATTTGAAGAGGAAAGTTCGCACTTTGGGAAATGTGCAAATATTTTAGGTCTCATAATTTGTCTCTTGATCTTTGGAGGTTTCATTAAAGATTTTGGTACTGCCAGGTTCTTTTACAGGAAAAGGTTGAGAAAGGGTTATAGGCATTACACGATTACCATTCCAAACATAGGATGGACTATGGAGGTGATGCGAGAATTAGATGAGGGTTATTCCCTTCTCGAAGCAACTGTTATTGCGGATGAAGAGAAGTTCAAGCAGCTTGAGTTAATGACTGAAAGACACAAGATACTGAGCTGCCTGAGGATGACTGTTGAGATGTTCACGTAAATTATGGTACTTCCCTGGTTTCAGCTTCTCGGGCAAGTGACAAGTTTCTACTGCTGTAAGCTACTCTATTTTCTTATCCCCTTGTGGTGCAAATACCGTCAGTTTTCTTTTGGTGCTCTGATGATGATTAAGTTAGAAGGAGTTTAAGTTCTGGTGAAATAGGTGACAACGCCACTTATGGTATAAATACGGTTTATTTTCTCACTCAACAAAGCTAGAATATTTTGAGTGCTAATCTATTCATTCTGACACGGGGATAATCCTGAGTTGGAACCTACGGCTATTCCAAAAGGTGGAGATGCCTCTGAAGCCCTTGCTCAGGCATTGCAGGGGAAAGTTGGATATTTTGTCAGAACTATTATCAGTTCGGTGTAAGTAGTGTTAGTTATTTTTATGCGTGGTTACAGAAGTTGCCGCAATTTTACTTCTATCACAAGCAGAAGAAAGGCATTTACTAGAGAGAAATGCTTTTGCCACATACCTAGGCAAATCAGTCAGTTGTATTAGAAATTTAGAATACTTATGGAACAATTGATTTTACCACTTACCTAGGATAATCAGTGAGGTGTATTAGAATGTGCTAATAATGATTCGTCACAAGCCGTTGATGACATCATGAGGGAGGCCAAATTGTTAAGAGACTGACCTTGGCAGCTCACTCCCCATCAGTTGGTCCGCTGAGTCTGATGTTGAAACGCAGGTCTGACAGTTTCAAAGATGCAATGAACTCCATTGAGGAAGAAGACTCCGCTTGTGATAAAGTAGATTTTGCCTCTGCCACTGGACTTGAGATGGTCAAGCTCTTGATATTTTGCAGCTCAAGTGTTTAAAGAAGTGTGCAACCAGCGGAAAGTCATAAACTCCTCCAGGGGTTACCAAATGATACATTCTACAGTTTGGGAACACATTTCGAGCTTTCCAATTGACTTTTATATGCACCGAACATGGTCGATGGATTATAATCAAATAATTCCACTTTTTTGTTATCTTATGGGTTGTATGCCTGATGTATCATATCTTGGAGGATTATGTAGTGTTTCTTTGCTGATGATACATGCAAAACAGGGCAGGTGTACAATTCACTCCTGTTAATTATCCCTTATAACGTGTTGGTTTTTATTTGCAGAAATGAAGGCTGGTTTTCTTCTTCGTTTTGTACTTATCATTACATCGTTATGCTTACCCTCCAAGTTGCTTTCATCATTGTCCTGATGTCAAAATCGCAACTTTTTCTTTTATCTTTCCAATACTAAGATGAATTAAACATTTAGTTTATGATGATTCACTACAAAAAAGCTTAATAGGAGTCTCAAAATTCACAATATTAACTCTTCAATCTTCGCACCTCGTCAACCAACCAAGCAGTTTTCTTCTCATGGTGAATCTTCCAGCGATAATCAGCGTAGTCGCAATAAGTGCGACTCCGGACAGGGCACATAAAATACCTGCTGCAGCAACTAAGCCCACAAGGCTCGTTCTTGTTCCAAACCTCGAGGAAATTCTCTTTCACGCAAGATGATGCCCTACATCCAGTTTTGTCCCCAAAAAAAAACATTATACTGACCCGAAAAATGTTTTCAAGTCGTTGTCACCATCAGTTGGGGAAGAAGCTTTGAAGATAATTAAAAACAGGGAATGTGAAGACCTTGGGGCTAAAAGTCACCCTCTCAACCTCCTTAAACTCGAACTGCAGCAGACACAGACCATAAAATTAATTACAAAAAAACAGGAAAGACATACATACATCAGAAACTTAATACAATGAACAGGAAGGACATAAATCAGAAACTTAATTACAAAAAAACATAGAATAACAAGCAAAATCATATACCAGTAATACAACAGCAACATTGTGACATAAGAATATGGAATACAAATCACACAAACAATCAAAGTTACAGAAGAAATGCCAAATGGTTTCCCTCAAAATAATGCACTAGGAGAACCTAACACTACACATTCGGTATATGCCTAATCATGTATGCAACACCAATTGCAACCCAGGAAACAAAACATTAAAAGGGCACTAAAATGGGACTTCTACATGACCCTGTTCCGACATAGGTATATGGTTGAAGACACAGAGTTGCATTTAAACCAGTTCCATCAACTTCTAAATTTCCGTTACTTTTAATTTAATTAGCAGAAAGAATAAGAGACAGTGAGAATCGTAAAGTCTCCTCACAAAAAACGAAGAAGGAGGAAATACATAAAAAGGAGTACAATATGTTTCTACCATTATTATTGCAGAAGAATAGGAATTACAACAAATCCTCGCAAAAACACGTGAGGAGAGTATTACCTGGCAATCGAATCAAATCAAATCGCCACGATCAAAAGCAATAGTGATCTAACATATACTGTATTTAATTACAGATTAAACATTAGATACCTTCTCATCTTGATGACTTTCGTTGTAAAATTCAATGCATGCCTCGGCCATGGCACGGATTTTATCAAGGATTTTCTTGTCTTTGAATACTGGGGGCCATATTAATCCTGGTTCTTACACGAATTTTTCCATCAAGAAGAAAAGGTCGAATAGTTGATTTGAAACTTTCATCAGGAGACCATTTGATGCCAACACCCTGGAATAAACCCAAAAACAACAGCAATTAGATAAAAACATGGACGAAAAATTAGATAAGCAGAGACATGATTAGTCCATTCAAATAAAACTAACCTGAGTGTCATGCATAATTTTGTAGTACTCCCCCAACTGTATCTTGGTTGCGACACCGATGTCGACATCTCCGCCGGGAAAGATCTCCACCGGTTCGCCTCTCGAAACAGAGACGGGATTGTAGGTCCATATCCCATCTGAACCGGCAGTGCTCTTCTCTGCCTGATGAATGGAACCGATCTTTTTCCCCCTCTTTCTTTTCCTGGGAGGCATCTTCCGCGATCTTTCAGAAACCCTAATCCCCTGGCGGGTGTTTGTTGAGAATTGAGGAGGACATACGATCCCTGACTCTCAAATTCAGCCTAAAAGCAAACGACCGCCCTACTTGGCCCAAAACACTTCTGGAAAATCGCTGAACCGGATTCATTTTCAGTTTTCAATTGTGTGGCTTTGAAAGTGTTTTGTTCGGTGATTATATATGGATTCTTGGGTGGTATCTTATTTTCAATGTTACATCCAGGTTTTAGTCATAACTTCTTAATGAGGATCCTAGTAGACGATAAAAAAGACTGGATGAAGGAAATAATCACATTTGTGTAAAAGATGGTTCCTTCCAGTAATCCCGGTAATCGTAAGTACATGAGAAACAAGAATGAACCCCAATGTTTGAAACAAAGACAAACTACACACTGACCCGACCCATCACAACCATTCTGCTACATTATCATCAAATGGTACCCCCTTATAACTTTTGTCAATGAAAAATCCGGTTCGCAGATTGTATGCTGGATGATGTTATAGGTTTTACGATTTTGACATTTGTAATAGATTCATGCTGGTGTTGAAAAAGATCTGGTCCTTACTCAAATCTTCCTGTCTAACTTGAGCTCTGGAAAAGATCTCTGTAAGCCTGTTAGCTATTTATTTCAGCTGGTGTCGTTCATGTTTCAGAATCGCTAGTTCAGTTAGTAATAGAATGGTGGTTGTGGATTAGTTAAGAGTGAAAGGTGGACATTACCGGAATTCATCCGGTTAATACAATTCTGATTCTTTCCCATTTCCTCTTCTTCTCTCCTTTCTGTTTCTTTCCCCAATGTGAAATTCCAAATTCCAGCCAGGATTCGGTCTGGATTATCAAATTAGGGCCTCATTCATATCAAAGACACAAGGATTTATGTTATGTTGCTGCCTAAATTTTTAGTTTTCAATATATAGTTTGGTTGTCAACTTGTCACGTCGTGTCCAATATCTACTGCTTTCTTTTTCTTTTTCTTTTTCAATTTTGTGTGTGTGTGTGTGTGTGTGTGTGTCTGAGCATCATGCATTTTTTTCTTTTTGCAATAAAAGAAACCAGTCTACTATAATGAACTTCTACTTGATTTAACGAAAAAAAAAATCACATAAAAAGCTTGATTTTTTTTTGGGGGGCATTTGGTTAATAATTACAACATTGGTTATTGAATTTAGGAAAATGCCTTTTTTAAAATTATTTTTTAAACCACTCATACCATATTTATAAATAAATGTGTGAAATTTGTATCAAATGGAACATTTGCATCATTTTATTACTCATTGAAAATCATTTGCTTTTAATTTCGTCAACAATCTTGTCACAAAAAATCTATTATTATTTCCTATTATTAAAACTTAAGCTTCCATCGTTTTTCCAAAGAAATTGTAATCAAGAAGAATATTTTTTATTAATAAAAACTTAATATGAAAAATTTTGATAATAATACACCTAAGGCATAAACACATTTCAAATGTGAAATTATTTCCTAGTCTATTTAGTCAAAATAGTCCACAGTATTTCACTCCTACGGTTCTACTTCTACCCCCCTTTTCACCTTCGCTGAATTTAACCCTAAAGCAAGCGTTGCTCCACTCGTACTAAATTCAAAACCGACGAAGAATCTACAATGGCTAAGAAAAAGAAGAAGAATAAGGATCCCATTGTTGTGTATTGCAATGGGTGCGACCCGAATTGGGTGGAGTTCATTCCGCGCGATGTCATCAATCAAGAAGGTGAAACCTGTTTCTGCATAGCTGCCCTAGCTGCTATGCGGGCTAAATTGGCCTCCCGGCGCAAAACCAAGCGCAAAAACAAGTGCAAAACCAAACCCGAGCGGTTTTCCCTTACTGATTTGCTGGAACTTTTAGGAAAATTAACCCACTCGCCCCGAAATGTGAGCGTGATGCTAGGAGTTTGGGGTGCTGTCCGGCCGCAGCTCCCGCCGCCGTCAACATCCTTCCCATTGATTCCCTCCGCTGGTAACAATCAAGAACTTATCCCGTCGACACCCGAACCTAGTAAGAATTCTATTACCCGGATTAGTCATATTCCCCGCCCATTTAATTTGGAGATGAAGGATCGACCCGCCGCGAGTATCTTTCTTGAAGATTATGAGATTTACATTTCCGGCGAGGAAGGGATTTTTAAAACTCTGGAGACTTGTCCAGGTGTCGCACTATTTGCTGCACTGCCAAATACCTGGAATGGGCTGAGAAAGGTCCGGATCACGTCTTTCGAGACCCTTCTGGAGTTAGACCACCAACTTTGAAAAACCGGCCTCCTCCTGATTTGCATGCCATGTTGCTTGTTGGACATAATTCAAAAAACAATTACGTTGTGTTACAGGATTCTAATTCCGAGTCTTCCGGATACAGGGGTTACCTGAAAACCCATGTGGCTCAGAACCGACATATACTTCATTAAACAAAATTTAACTTCTGCAAATAACAAAATGCGAAACAAGCAAAAAGAAATTCCCATGAATGTTCAAAACAAAGACAACCTACACCCATCACACGCCATTCCACATGGTTCCTCGTATTGTAATTAACTTTCTGCAAACGTATAACAAATTCGATGAAATGAAAACAATCACAATCATCATGCACAAAATAGTTAAATTATTATACGTTAAATAAATAGCAGCAAGTGCAATACTCAATGGACTAATTAGTCATTGATGATTAATAAATAAAGCTTTTAAGTACTACTAGTTCAAGACCTCCATATTTCTGCCTATACATTTTCATTTCAGAGAGATACCAAAAAAAGATACTAGAACTCTCTGGTACTAGTCTCTTTGCATTGCGTCAACCATCCAAGCAGGTGCCCTGTGCACCCAAGCAGTTTTTTCTTCACGGTGAATTTTCCAGCGCTTATTAGCATAGTCACAATATGTTTGGCTCCTCACAGGATAACTAAAATAGCGACTACAGCAACTAAGCTCGCAAGGCTTGTCCTTGTTCCAAACTTTTTCAAGGTCATCTTCCATTACACAAAATGATGGCCCGCTCTTATCCTTAACCGTAGCCCCAAAAATAACATTATACTGACCTAGAAACGTTTTTGAGTCCCTAGAATCTCTGGAACCATCATCGGCACAGGCAGAAGCTTTGAAGGTAATAAAATAGAGAGAATACACAGATGTAGGGCTAAACGCTACCCTCTCAACCTTCTCATCAAAGGTGAACTGCAGCAGACATGCACAAGAAACACAAAAAAACAGGAAAGAGTAAATACTGTGTTTTATTAGTATAAATAAAAGAATAACAATCCGTACAAATCCTCAGCAAACAAATCATTGAAAGTGTTACTGGCAACCAAATCAAATCACTGCGACGGAGAGTATTACTGGCCGACCAGAGTACTACTGGTGGCAATCAAATCAAGAGAGTATCACTGGCCAACAAGAGTACTGCTGGTGGCAATCAAATCAAATAACTAAGCTCAAAAGGAGGCAATCAAAACAACTTAAAAGGCAATCTTACCAACAGTGAGTTAACATATATTTAATTAGAGAGTAAATATTAGATACCTGTTGTCCATCTTGATGATTTTTGTTGTAAAATTTAATGCATTCCTCGGCCATAGCATGGATTTTAGCAAGGACAGTATTCTTCTCTTTGAATATGGTGGCCATATCAGCACTGGTTGTCTTCTTTTCCACAAGAATTTTTCCTTCCAGAAGGAAAGGTCGAATTGTAGATTTGAAGCTTTCATCAGGAGCCCTGGTAATGCCAAAACCCTGGAATAAAACAAACCCACGATCAACAACAGTTGGATATACCAAAGTCGACGCGTAAGAGTAGGCTAAGAGTAATGTAAGGACCCGCTAAATAAAACTGAAACTAACCTGGGTGTTGTGCATGATTTTGTAATACTCCTCCCATTCTCCCCAACTCTGGGGATAATCAAAAACTTTGGCTTTACCAGGTGAATGACTCAAACTCAAAAACTTGGCCGCAGGATCAAAAGGGGGTAAAGGTGAATTGGGCTTTTCTGAACCGGTAGCCTCCGCCTCTTCTGAACTGGGATCAAAAAGAGGTAAAGGTGAAGGTGAATTAGGCTTTTCAGAACCTGTAGCCTCCGCCTTTTCTGAATCTGTATCTGAATGGGGCTTCCAAGTATTTGCAACCTCAGGAGACATCTGGCGAGCGGCTACCTTTCTGGACTTACAGCCTCCTCTTATCTCCAGATTCTCGTATATCCATTTTTCTCTGGCCAATTCGGCCTTGGCCGCTGCAGCCTTGGTCGGTGCTGCCTTGGTCGCGGCTGCCTTGGCCAATTTTGCCTTAGCTGCGGCAGCGGCAGCGGTGGCTGCGGCGGCTGCCTTGGCCAATTTTGCCTTAGCTGTGGCAGCGGCAGAGGTGGCTGCGGCGGCTGCGGCGGCTCCTGCTGTATTGATCTCCGAGGGCGACGCTGACGATGAACGGGAAGGAATCACTACTCGCAACTTAGTTGCCAGAGAGATCTCGACCTCTCCGCCAGCAACGACATTGACCCTTACGCCTCTTGAAACTGGGATAGTATCGTAGGAGGCAGTGCTCGTCTCCAATTTCTTTCTCCCTCTCTTTTCTTTTCTGGTAGACATCTTCCCCAATCTTTCAGAAGCCCTAATTCCCGGGCTTGGATTTGACATTGAGAATACGGAGGACGACAATAATATACTTTATATAAACCGGTGGGAAATATCTATCTACATACTATGGGGGTCGGCCGCTTATTTATTTATTTATTTATTTTTCAAAATTTTTTTAGTTTTCCCTTTAATAAAGTTTCTCGGTTTGAAAAAATAACCGGGTAAAATTGTCAATTGGTGGCTGAAAGAAGTAGGAGTGGTGGCTAGAAATAGTACTACCCTAAACCAAACCCTCCATGTCTCTTTCATCTCTCTCTTACTTGACTCACGCGCAAGCACAACCAGGTGCCCTTCCTTCTCAGCCCTCTGTTATGCGCATTCAATCAAAATCCACTTGGTTTTAGTAATAATAATAAAATAAATACTAATACTAGTCATAGATTTCATTCATTAGTTTAATTATTCTCTTCCCTACCTCGCTTTCCTTTGGAATGACTTTCTGATTGGGTAGATGGAATTGCTTTAGGGTTTTTTTGATCGAGCTAGAAAGAATAAGTGGAAACCGATGGGAAAGAAAAAAGGAAAGAAAACGATGTCAAAAAAGATGATGGATCCGGCGCAGGAGCTTCAACAACCAGGAACAACTTATACTGACCCTGAAGAGGTGGATTTTATGCCAGCTGTGGAGCAGGATTTTCAAAAACTAGGAATAGCTACAGACCCTGAAGAGGTTTTTTTTTTTTTTCTCTCTTTCTGTCTCTCCTGGTGGACCTCTGGATGATAATTGCCATTTGTTTGTAGTCTGTGAATTACTGCTTATTGTTGGTATCCATTCATTCTCAGTTCTCCATTTTGTGGGTTTTAAAGTGTTTTTTCCCCCTTTTCCCGCTGATTATGGATTCTCGGTTTTTTTTTTTTTTTTTTTTTGTCTTTTCAAAACATTGAGAGTTGTCTTCTGATGTAGTCCCATTTTTGTTCAATTACAGTTCTGGCATCTTCCCAAGGAGGTTAGGTGGAAGTATATTAGGCTGTTATTTGGGTCAGGTATGATTTTTTACATGCATCCCTTATAATTTTACAAGGCGGTTACGTGTGCTTTAATTTTTACCGTGACCACTCATTGAATGATCAAACCTATATTTACAGAAAGGACGCGCTCTATTGAAAGTAGACCCTCTGCTGAATTACGTGAATTCTTTTCCTTCTATGCTAAGTCCCTATTCATGGATGATTGTCCAGATCACCAGGTTTGGTGTTACGTCTGTTGAATCTGTCGTTCTTTACAATTAATTGTCTGGTGATTATAATTGTCTCTTGTATTTTATGTTTACCTAGTTTGAAGGTGCCTGGACTCTTGCAAATATTGTGTCTGGGCCTTCTGAGTATGTTGAACTGGCGGTTGATCTCGGTGCTGTGACTTGTTTGAAAAGGCTCCTCAGTTCTCCGAGTGATGATGTTCGCGAGCTGGTCTGTTTTTCCCTGAGGCCTTGTTTGATACTTATAGATATGGGGCTGAAAAGCATTAACTTCTAATTTTGGTTGGAGGTTTAAAGTTAGTTTGATTGAATGATTTGTTAATGTTTAGGCTGTATTGGCATTGGGAAACATTGCCGGTGACTCTGACATTCATCGCGATGCTGTTTTGAGGGAAGAGGCTTTGGATCCATTGCTGAAGCAGTTGCATGAGCATGCAAGGCTTTCAATGCTGAGAGTTTTGTCATTTACGTTGTTCAACATTTTTCGGGGCAAGCCTCAAATTAATGTATGATCAAGTGTTTTTTCTTTTCCTTTCGTTTTCTAATTTCCTATTATCTTAATGCTACTAAATGGGCTTTAATGTCAGGTGCCTCCTGCCTTTCAAGCTCTTAATATACTTGTCTTTTCTGAGGACACGTATGTGCTACCATATGCATGCTGGGCTCTGTCCTTTATCTCTGACGGTTCAAATGTAATCAAGGATTTAATTGAGAAGGGTATCTGTTCACGACTTTTGGAGCTACTCAAGTAGGCATCACTCCCAGCTGCTTTGGTTTTCCTTTCCTCAATCCTGTGTGTGATGTGAAAACAAACTTTAATCTTTCAGACATCCAATGCTTGATGTGCAAATTCCTGCACTTTGCACAGTCAGAAAAATTGCAAGAGGGGATGATAGTCAGAGAAAGGTATTTTCAGTCCATCACTTTGCATATTATATCATAAAGTTTTAGCTCATACTGTATGTGTATGACTGGATAAAATATTTGTAAATTTTTAATTGATTTCAAGTTTGTCAAACAGATAAATCTTTATTAAGTTTGTTATGAAAAACATGGTGTCTGGTTTTCAATGTGCCTATGCATTTGTCTCCATCTCACTCACTAGTCAGTAAGTCTTTAAAGTTGCCCAAATTTTATGATGTATATGGCATCACGATAATTCTTTTGTATTCAGTTTGTAATTGACCAGGGGCTGCTACCTTGTTTGTGGACACTTTTGGTTTCTGATAATGAAACCATCCAGAGAGAAGCTTGCCGAACCATCTCTGACATTGTTACTGCTGGAAATGAGGATCAGAATCAGGTAAAGTATATATTCTCCCTGTAGTTGACTACTGTGTATATGGAGTCTTTTTGTTTTAAGCATTTATCTGATGGCTTATTCTCTGGTTTACAGGCGTTGATTCGTGCTGGTTTTATTGAGCCTTTAATTTATGTGCTGACTGCAGACTCTGATGGTTTGAGGAAAGTAGCTGGGCAAACTGTCTTAGATGTTATCTCTGGTGGCTGTCGTTTTAGAAACAAGTACTTCTTTCATCATTTCACTTTTGGATTTCTAACTTTACGCATTGGGTATTAATTAATTTTGAGGTTTGTTTTTTCCTCTGGGTGATGTACAGGGTAAAGGGTTTGGAGGGCTTTATAAAGCCATTAAGTGATCTTCTTATGAGTGAAGAATCCGTGATCGTTGAGTTTTGTCTTGATGGGCTTGCACTCTTGTGTCAGCCCAGTGATGAAGAAAAGCGACCTGGTGCTTACAATTTCTTTGCCAGACTGATTGACGAAGCTCTGGGCTTTGATCGCATCGACCACCTGCAAAAAAAGAGCAACGACGAAAACATCCGGGAAAAAGCATCTAAGATATGGCTGCCGATGTATGCAGAGGCACTAAAATTATATATATATTTTGAAGAGATGGCAGACTTGTGTTTTTGATTGATGCGTTGTATTTTAGAATTAGAATGTGTCTGATGGACAAATTATCCAGTATACCCGGGGGCACCGTGCCCCCTCCTAGTTTTTGCATTTTTAGCTCTTATTGTACTTTTTATCAATCTTTTTATATTTTACAAGTATAGTCCTTGTCATTTTTTCTCTCTTCCAAAAAAAACATCTCTAATCTTTCAACGACCATATCTCCCAATCCGTGAAGAATTTGTGAACGAATTATATATAAAATTTATAGCACTCGTCGAGATCTATCCAACAAAATCCATAGTGAATATTTTTTCGGGCTTAAAAATGACTTAATTCTGATGGACAGAATAGGGGTGGATATCCAGTTTTACAAGATGGATAACTAACTTTTTCTAAATTGGTTATCCATTGTGTTCATGCTGATTATCTAATCAGTTTAAACTGGTTATCCATTTTGTTTCTACTGCTTATCCATTTGGTTATCCAACTTCTTAATTTAAAATAATTTGGTTATCCATCTTCTTAAACTGGATATTCAATGTGTTCATATTGATTATCCAATGCGCTAATACTGGTTATCCAATGGATTTACATGCTTATCCAAATTATTTGTACTGGTTATCCACTGTGTTCATGCTGATTATCCAACTTGTTTGTACTGGATATCCATCCATTTGGTTTGTATGCATATCTAACTCTAATTTTTCAACGAGCATATACCCAATCCGTGAAGAATTTGTGAACGAATTATATATAAAATTTATAGTACTCGTCGAGATCTATCCAACGAAATCCACAGTGAATATTTTTTCGGGCTTAAAAATGACTTAATTCTGACGGGCAGAATAGAGGTGGTTATCCATCTTTTTTTTTTAAAGAGTGAATGTCAAACATATAATTGGATAACAAGTACGAACCGAATGGATAATCACTCTAAACCGGTTGGATAATCAGCAAGAACACAACGGATAACCATTTTTCAAAGAAAAACAAAAAACACGTTTCTTCATTTCTGCCCGTAAAATTTAAATGCATTTAAAGTTCAAAAAAATATTCAACATGGATCTTATCGGATAGATCTCGTCGAACACTATAAATTTCATATATAATTCGTGTTATGATTCTTTACGGATCAAAAGATACAAGGAACACAACAATATGAATGTGAAATAAGTTGGTTATCCATCTTCTCAAACTGGATATCCACTGTGTTCATGTTGATTATCCAATGCGCTAATACTGGTTATCCAATGGATTTACATGGTTATCCAAATTGTTTGAACTGGTTATCCAATGTGTTCATATTGATTATCCAATGCGCTAATACTGGTTATCCACTGTGTTCATGCTGATTATCCAACTTGTTTGTACTGGATATCCACTGTGTTCATGCATATCCAACTCTAATCTTTCAACGAGCATATCTCCCAATCCGTGAAGAATTTGTGAACGAATTATATATGAAATTTATAGTACTCGTCGAGATCTATCCAACGAAATCCACGGTGAACATTTTTTCAGGCTTAGAAATGACTTAATTCTGACGGGCAGAATAGAGGTGGTTATCCATCTTTTTTTTTTTTGAAGAGTAAATGTCAAACATATGATTGGATAACAAGTACGAACCGAATGGATAATCAGTCCAAACCGGTTGGATAATCAGTAGGAACATAACGGATAACTATTTTTCAAAGAAAAACAAAAAACGCATTTCTTCATTTCTGCCTGTAAAATTTAAATGCATTTAAAGTTCAAAAAAAATATTCAACATGGATCTTATCGGATAGATCTCGTCGAGTACTATAAATTTCATATATAATTCGTGTTATAATTCTTTACGAATCATTAGATACAAGGAAAAGAATAATATGAATGTAAAATAAGTTGGTTATCCATCTTTTTAAACTGGATATCCATTCTGTTCATACTGGTTATCCAACTTATTTATACTGAATATCCATCCATTTGGTTTGTATGCATATCCAACTCTAATCTTTCAATGAGCATATCTCCCAATCCGTGAAGAATTTGTGAACGAATTATATATGAAATTTATAATACTCGTCGAGATCTATCCAACGAAATCCACAGTGAACATTTTTTCAGGCTTAAAAATGACTTAATTCTGATAGACAGATTATCCAACGAATTAGTATTATTTATCCAACCTGGTTTTTGTTTTTATTATTTTTTAAAAAAATAATAAACTAAGTTGGTTATCCAACTCGTTTGTATTGGTTATCCAATCATTGGTTTGTATTGGATTATCCAATGCGCTAATGCTGGTTATCCAACGGATTTACATGGTTATCCAAATTGTTTGAACTGGTTATCCACTGTGTTCATACTGGTTATCCAACTCGTGCATACTGGTTATCCAACGGATTTACATGATTATCCAAATTGTTTGAACTGGTTATCCACTGTGTTTATTCTGATTATCCAACTTGTTTGTACTGGATATCCAAATTAATTCTGCCCAAAGAAATTTGATCATTTTTAAACTCAAAAAAAATATTCGAAATGAATTTTGTTGAATAGATCTCGACGAGTACTATAATTTTCATGCATAACACGTTCTCTAATTCTTTACGGATTATGAGATATGGTCATTGAAAGATTAGAGATGTTTTTTTTTGGGAAGAGAGAGAAAAAATGACAAGGATTATACTTGTAAAATATAGAAAGATTGATGAAAAATACAATAAGAACTACTCGTGTAAAAAATAGGAGGGAGGACACGGTATCCTCGGATATACTGGATACAGCCTCTGTCTGATGTTTGCATCAACCTGCCTGACTCCTCTATTCCCAAAAGAATAGTGATAATGTTTTTAAGGAAAAACGTTTTAGAATTGGAATGTGTTTAGGAGTTTTCATCAACCAGCCTGATTCCCCTATTCCCAAAAGAATTTTGATAATGCATTTAAGCAAAAATTATGAGGGATAGTTACATGTAAAAGATGTTTTCATCAAGACCATCTATTTTTATGTTTCATTACTAGGGTTTTATTCTATTCTTGAGATTTGTATTCAATCTATTTAAACATACGAAGGACAGGTTAGATCGTACTTCGCATTTATTCAATCTACGTGGAGTACCTCTAACTTGTCTTGAACTTTCACACCCTGGAAATCTGGCCGGCAGATCATGTGCTGCAAGATGTAGTATATAGGTTTTAAAATGTTGGAAAAGATCTGTCCTTAAGTTATGAACTTGAGCATTGGGAAGTTCTCAGTTCTCTTTAAGACTGTTGACACGAATTTGCTGCGTAAGATTTAGTTTTTAATATCGATTTGGTTCTGTTAAATGACTCCTTCACTTTGAAAGTTTCAACTACGCTAATTTCTTTGGTTCTCTAACCAATAAATTTAGAAAGTGATAAAGAAACATAACTTGCATTCATATAATGCAAAGGCTGCAGTAGTTCAGTAATACAAACTTATGAGATCCAAACCATCATGCAATTAACAAACGTAAGATAACATCCTTAATCCTTTCAAGAAGACGGGTTGGGCAATACTTTTGGTTTTGGCTTTACTTCGACTTCATTGACACCACGGACAAAAATGGCATCTGGTTCATGCCTACAAAGAAAAACATGCCATGGAGAGAGTGGTCAAAGCAAAGCCGTGTGTGTGTGTGTGTGTGTGTGTGAGAGAGAGAGAGAGAGAGAGAGAGAGAGAGAGAGAGAGATGTGGTTCTTACGGTTTTTCACCCTCTTCAAATGTATAACTAGAAGCAACAGCCAAGAGCCTCCCGTCTCGGCTAAATGACAGGGCTGCAACGCTTGTTGGATACTTAGGATACTGCATGTTCATTTTATACAGGAAACCAAAGAGGTTAAGAAAAGATGCTTGTGGTGGAAAAAAGATTGAGGGCGCCCCTAAACATGGTAAGGCGTACCTGATACAGCCTCTTTTTATTGTTTCCATCCCACACATTAACATATCCATCGCAGCCTCCAGTGGCAAATGTGCCGTAGCTGCATGTAAAAATCAGATATTAAGCAATGGCAAATGCAGAGATATATATTCTACTCTCTAAAACAAAACAAAGCCAATTTGCCAATGTGAACATAGTTATACTCTATACTCCCCCACTCAAAAGAAAAGGAACTCTATCAGGGAACCAGGGCTGCTTTTATGTTTTCTCCCTGATAGGTTGTATATACTTCATTTCTCTAAGAGTAAAAGAGCAAAAGCTCTCGGACGGTTAAGTTCACCCTCAAGAGATTTACAAAACTTAACCATTCAACAATGGCCATCATGGAATCAGGACCAAACTTTCTTCTTTGCCTGAACCTTTTAAAGATATGGAAGCTATAATAACACTCACTGGGTAAATGTTTCCCAACAAAAAACTTCCACTCTGAAAGCATTCCAAGCTCCCAAACCGAAATTAACATGTAAAAGTGGAGGGGGTACTCACATTGGGTGGAATGCAATTGCATTTACAGGGTAGACAATGTCCCTCCCAGCTTCAGATTTGCGATGGCATTTAAACGCGTACCTAATAGACAAACACCATAGAAAAGTAAATGATGTCAACTTAATTTGAAATAATAATGCGTTCCACTTACAAGTAAACAATAGTACAAAAATGCATACTTTTTCACCATCGCAATTCACTTATAGTAAAGGCCATTTGACACCCAGACAGAATGTTTTCTCACAATCCAAGTCAAAAATTGCAAAGAGAAGAGGAAGAAACAAACAAGGAAACATAAAGACATTGATACAAATATAAATTATGCATATTCCGCAAACATACTTTTTAGATTGGCCAGCATCCGACATATCAAAGAACTCCATGGCAACCCGACCTTCCACAGAGCTTAGAGCAAAACCTGCAAATTTCCAATCAGTCGGATAGTGGACTTGTTTGGGTGTTCATTACTAAGGTAAGCATGCAAATTGCAGCTAAGGGTTACACTAAAATAACTTCATTAAGGTCTCATTTCCAAGCCAAATAGGATCAAATCCATTTGTTGCGGCAATGCAAGGAAACCAGGTTCACAAATTCAAGCTTGTTACTAAGAATGCCGAAAGCTACAAAATGTACGGAAGTAGTTGACTTCGGTATAACACTGAACAGAACTTTACAGAGGACCCCACCTTCAAATCATTTTCCTAACCACACCAAGCAAGTTTACATTTTCAATAACATCTGAAAGCACAATAGATTGCCAGGAATACGAAAAAGATGGTAATGTGGGAAAAAACTTCATGAACATCAGATGAGTAAGGCAACCATCATATCCATCCATCAGACCACCTTCAACATAAAAAGCTGGGCAATCATAGGATAGGATCTGTTGCACTTTATCCTCATTGTCCATCAGTCCTCATTGTCCATTAGTAGATACAGAGAATTACGAGGTGAAATATTACGACAAGCAAAGTTTCAATTATGTGTTTTTCCAGTGAATCTTCATGCAATATGATACTCTATGACAAATCCCTAGCTCAATGCTATAAAACTATTGGAATCATATATCCATTTCTTTGCTTAAAATGCTATGGTCTTTTAATCTAATTGGATCATAAAATACGAAAATCAACAATAAGTGACTAAGTTCTGAGTAAAAGGTGTTATATTAGAGGATCATAGGTACCAGTTCCATTGGGGTAACAGCGAACACATCTTGTTTGGTACTTCAATGAGGATTCCCTTCTCTGTTCAGGATGAGACATATTCCGCAAATCATAGACATTTACATGCCTTCCTGCAGTTGCTACAACTAAGCGATTTCCAACAAGAGAAAGAGAATAGACACGTTCAGGTTGTGCATATGTCCCAACAAGAGTACGCTCCTGCCCACTTGCACCTCTAGGGTCCCAGCACTTCAGTGTTTTGTCCCAACTTCCAGTTATCACTTGCCCTACAATTATTTTGTGTGCAATACTGAATCTATAAGTCAAAAGTTTAAAGGTGGATAAGCATTTTCGTCATTGAACCACTTCCATGACAACAGAAAAGGTACTGATAATCAATAAACATACTACATAAGTGCATATGATATTGCAACTCCGAGGAAGCAAACACAACGGGCACAAATTACTCCAATAAGAAGGAAAATAACAGCAGATCATGAGCATTATAGAATCAGGCAAATAGGTCAAACTTTAGGCTGGTTAACATTAAGTGAAAGTGATGCCTGCGGGAAATTAATGTCGAAAGGCAATGAAACCATACGCGCAAACATACAAACAATATGAAGTAAATATTTATTGTCCGCAACAACGAAAACATGGTCTTAGCACATCCAAAGGAATCTACATATAGATGTAAGAAGAGTTATGATTATTAAAAGTTGAAAACTAACCAGTGGCATATGAATATTCAATACACCGAACAGGTGCATCATGCCTTCCCAAAATGTCCTCCCTGCTGTAGTTGAATACAAGCCTGGAGAAAGAACAACGCCATCTGATTGTAAGGCAATTGCAAATAGATAGCTCTACTAGAGATACTGGGCTGTTCAAAATAGACAAGAAAAAACGAAACACAGCACATTTCTTCACATAAAAAGTTAGCAGTGCTTTTTCGTAAACTTTTTTACACTCAAACGAGCACAAGAACACAGAAAACAATGGAAAGTTGCACAAAATAGGGCAAGATTCTTCAAAACCAAAATTTGAACAAAATCACAATGCCATGGAACTAAATTCAAACTAATCCTGCCACTATACATGCCAAATAAATTCCGAATTTTAACAGGAAATAGCAATGAAACCATGCTGGATAAAATAACCAGTTTTCTTATTTTTCGGAGCATTTGGTCAATAGACAACCAGGAATTAGCAGATACAGCTCAAAAATTCATCAAACAAAGAATGGAATCTACAACAACCTTCTGACGGTATTATCGGCACTGGCACTGAACCCTGAGGAGTCATCGTGGAAGCAACAGTCAAGCACAGGACCTCCGTGCATAAACTCTCCTCTCAAAGCATTTGCACTGGCATCGTACAGCCGAACGCTCTAACCAAAGAACAACAGCACCAAAAATTCAAAAACCGAGATCTAAATAACAGCAAATTTAATAAATCATAATAATCTAAGGAGGAGAGTGAGAAAGTGACCTTGTCCCAAGAAGACACGAGGAGGTGATCGCTGTGATTGGAGAACCGAAGGTTGGTTATGCCATCAGAGGGAGGGTTGGACAGCTCCCGTCCGGTCACGACCTGCGGTGGCGCTGACATTGCTGTCGCCAAATGAGCAGATTCAGCTAAGTCCGCCGGGGGTTAGGGTTTCAGAGGGAGAGTGCGTGTGTGCGTGAGAGAGACAAAAACAAGGAAGATGTGAAATTGAGATTATCTGAAGAACGTTATTGGAGGCGGGGGAACGGAATTTGAAACTGTTTTCACATAAAATAGGTGATGAATCCGGCAAATGCTCTGAATTTTGAATTCAAAAAAAAAAAAGGCCTTTGATGATTGAGTTTGTTTGTTCCTTCTTGTTTTTCGTATTTTATATTTTTTTCAAAAGTGTATTTTAGATTTTGGGCCAGGCAAAGATTCTAAAAAGCCCGAACTATTCTTTAGGGCTAAGCCCAACGTTACTTATAGTTCGAACGGAAATAGAAAAGTTATCCAGGTGGCAAAGATGACATGGCCGATCCAATCCTGACACTGAAAATGGATCCAAAATCGAAATAGCTTTCTCCGTTAAGCTTTCAAAAAGAAAAGAAAATATCATGAAATCAGTTTTTTCCATTCATGAATTAAATCAACATCACATTTCTTTGTGATATGAATTTCGCCCAAATTTAATCAAAGCATTCTGAAGGAAACTTGTCTGGCTATCTTTCGAAGCTAAAACCCTAGAATTCCCCAGATCGATTGCCTCAATTTAACTCAATTCGAGCAGTCGAGCAGTGTTGAAGCTTTCTCCCTTGAAACTCCGATCTCAAATTTGTTGATTCCGTTGCAACTACAGTCAATGCAATGGTGGTCTGTAAATGCCGCAAGGTATAATCATGTGTGATATGTTTTATGCGTGTATACGAATTTTGGAATCTTTTTTATTAAGATCTGATCGGGTTGACCCTTGATTATCCGCAAGAGATTCTTGATCGTATTCAGCTTGTTCTTGTTTTTATGATTTATAAGAGTAGCTACATTATCAACAGCGTTCTGATTACTATTCATTAAAATGTATGGTCAGTTGATTTCTTAGAGTTGGCACACTCAAATGCTACTTCAGTTTACAAGTCCATGTTGTTTGTCTCTTTTGGGGGTGAAGGGGGTGGTTAAGGTTGAGGTGATTTTATTTTTCCCCGAGTGGGGAATACTGATCAGTTGTTTTATTTCAGGCGACGAAATTGTACTGTTTTGTGCACAAGGTCCCTGTCTGTGGAGAGTGCATATGCTTTCCCGAGCATCAAATCTGTGTGGTACGATATCTATAACTGTTTTTTAAAAACTTTGCTTGTTTCCAGCTTTGATATCAAGTACTGATTGTGGTATCTGCATGTTACCACGATCTGATGCATTATCTAACTCCATTACGTGCTGCATCTTGTTTTGGGTACATGAGAATCACTGGTTCATTTTGTTTTTATCTTTGATTTTCTGGTAACATCAACTCCTTTTTCTTTTGTATCAATACATTTTGATTGATCTAGACTTGTGATCCAGATACGAACCTACTCAGAGTGGGTAATAGATGGAGAGTATGATTGGCCGCCAAAATGCTGCCTTTGTCTCAACGTGCTTGAAGAGGGAACCAATTCTCCAACCACTCGACTGGGTTGCTTGCGTATGTTACATGTTTTTCCATTGAAACCTTGAAAGTCTGATGCTTTGTTATTTATTTATTTATTTGTTTATTCGCATTGTTCCTCTTGCTTATATATTTTATTCTGTAGATGTCATACATACAAGCTGCTTGGTTTCGCATATTAAAGGGTTCCCTCCTCACACAGCTCCGGCTGGATATACTTGTCCTGGCTGCTCCACTTCGGTATGTTAATGTAGTTTTGTCTTAAGGTCTTCTGAAAGATCACTTAGGCTGAATTTGGATCATAAACTTTATTCCCAGAATGGAACCTGCGGTTATGTTTGTAAAAGGCTTAACCAGTCAACGTCTGGGACATTTATTTTGGATGTATTTCTGTTCTTTTTCATTGATTCATTTTAAAAGTGCTTTGCTGCTGCAGATATGGCCTCCTAAGAGTGTCAAAGATTCAGCATCCCGCCTTCATTCACAGCTTAAAGAAGCTATTATGCAGGTTCGCTTGATTGTAGCTGTAATTCCTTGATGAAAGTAACTTTTCTTGGTGGCTGGTGATACGTTGTGTCTACATTTTGAATTTTGGACATTTAACACTGCAGTATTGGGGCTTTTTTTTGCATGCATTGTTGAGTTTTCTTCCTCTTTTCTGCTTTTTTAAATTTTGTGTTAGCATGTTTATACGTCTTGTTCTTGGTATAATCTTATTTTTTCTGTTGTTTTGGTAAGTAAGTTAAATTATTTAGGCTTCCGTTCGTTTGACTTGTGTTGATTAATTTGTGGTGCCATTACTCACATCCCCTGGGTGAAAGATATAGAATGATTTATATCATATGCTCTCACTGGAGAGCAAAAGTTGTATTTATTAATAGGAGTGTAGCTATGTTGAACTAAAAGATAGCGATCAGCTATTGATCAAAGGTTGAGTTTTCTAAGCGACAAATAATCTGGTTTAATGAATACTTGTGGTGCTTCTTTCTGTGCAAAAACGAAGCAGTATCATAAAAACCACTATATTGTGAAACATTTGTTTCGTAAATGCTGGTGCATAGATAATTAGTTCTGTATCCTACCATATGCATTAATCTGATTCCTGATAACTGTTATATTTTCTGCATGTAACTGTAATTTGAAATGTGACCCTTGGTCTTGTTTGTCCTTGTTTGCAGACTGGGTTGGAGAAGAATTTATTTGGAAACCATCCTGTTTCTCTTCCCGTGGCGGAATCCCGAAGTCCGCCTCCTGCTTTTGCCTCAGATCCACTGAGGCCAAGTGGTGGGAGGGAATATCCTTCAGGGATGTCACCCTCTGTTGGAAAAGATTCTGAAATTGTGGACATTGTGGAAATAGAAGGCCCTGGTTCGACTTCTGCATCTCTATCTAATCAGGAATCAACTATAATGAAAAGCACAAGCTCTCCTGGGGTAAGAATATCTACTTTAGTGCGGTTTTCAATTCTGCTGACTTATTTTTGCTTCTAATATTGTGCTATCTTATGCTAGGCTGGTGCAACAACGCGAAAGATTGCTGCTCAAGTGGAAAGACAGAACTCTGAAATGTCATATTATGCTGATGATGAAGATGGGAATCGGAAAAAATACTCAAGAAGGGGTGAGTAAATTTGTTTTCATATAATGATTTGTTATCTTTACCGGTCAAGAATCTTCCTGCTGTTTTTTTTTTCCCGGTTTTTAATACTTCACTAAATAAACGTTCTGAAGTTGCAAAACACATTGTACCTTAAAGTGTGCTAAATAATAAAGCTTGTGATTGTCCTAAGGTGCTAATGAGCTATGTTTGTCAGGGACCTTGAGGAATAAATTTCTTAGATCATTGATCCCTTTCTGGTCAAGCTCATTACCAACTTTACCAGTGACTGCACCTCCAAAGAAAGATGCACTAAATGGGGATGATATTCCAGAAAGTCGTGTAAGACATCACAGATCCTCGAGGATGGATCCCAGAAAACTACTCCTTGTCCTTGCTATCATGTAATGTTTCCGGTGAACCTTATTACTTATTTTATTTTATTTTTGGCATATGATTGATCTCCGCTTCAAATTTTTTAGCAATGCCTGTTAGAGTTATTTCATTGATACCCCTATGGATAAAATCAGTTTTTCCCAAACACTGTTCGTTTTTATCAGTGGAGTATGAAAGCATAAAATCAGTTTGCTTGAAGGAGGAACTAAAATATATCCTTCTTCTCAAATTGGATTACTTGCAAGACTTGATTTAATTTATACGAGTCTTGGGTTTCCCTTACGAGGGAAGATAACTGAATCGTGATTATGCTTGGCTTTCTTTTGAGAAACTTTACTCAGTAATATATAGTGTGTTCTCCATGAAACCTGGCTTTGTGCCAGGACCTATATTTAGCTATTTGGACAATGCATAACTGTATTTCCATGTTGTAGACCTGTAAAGTATTGTGGGTCTGTCAAAATCCTATTTCTCATACCAAAAGCTGTAATATGTAATTGCTGGACTTGGGAGTGCCATGAATGTTTTCATGAGTAGTAAGAGTCAATTGAATCAACTGATAAGAAGTTATAGTCTGGAGACTATAAACCTACTATCATTTTGTAACGGGAATTTCTCAAGGTGAAAGGTTAAAAGGAACTAAACTGTACTGGGTGCGGATAATAGGGAAGTGGATGGGAGGGAGTAATTCAAAGCCTTGAGGGATCATAATATTTAATCTGAGGTCAATTGAACAGAGAAAACTAATACTTGGTCTATTGGCGTCTCACACCTCAACTACTGTCAACAAATGAAATGGTGGCCTCTTAATCCATGATATCATCGCTGGGCACTGGAAATGCTTTTATTTACTTTTCATGCATTAGTTTTAAGCATTGATAAAACCTTTTGATGGTGTTTGGCTGCAGGGCTTGCATGGCAACTATGGGAATACTGTACTACAGGCTGGCACAGAGTGGTTTGAGTGAGGAGCTACCCGATGATGAGCAATGATAATTCTCCTTCCAGGGCTTGGATGGCGGGTTGGATGTGAACTTGATTTTGAGTGTAAACTTCATAGGCTCTTTGGAACCTTTTATACCTGTTCTTTCTTGGCTCTCCATCCTCAGATTTATAGTTGGTCTTCGTCATTGAATTATAGCAGTCTTGGAAGTGCAATTAGCTATAGAAAACTGGCAGTGGCCAGAAATTCGAAATGTATTTTCTTGTTGCTTTGTTATAGTACCTTCTACTGGTCTTGTTTGTTGTTTTTCCTTTTTTGTTTAAAATGAAATACAAGATGAGAAGAAGGTTCCTGTTTCTTCAAAAAATAAAAAAATTCCCCTTTTAAATTGAATGATTCATCTATAATTATCAACTTTTGGCTTATTATTATCCGGAAATAGATGACTATACAAACAGATTAAATTAGTTCAGACACCCCATAAAAATTTTCTATTAAAACGATACGCAAATGCTGGTTCATCTCTCCAGCTGCTCATAAAAAAATCTTCAAACTTACGTCCTCACATCTGTAGACTCTCTTTGACACAAATATGGAAATGTGTCCAAATAATGCCAAATACAGTACCTTTAAAATTGACTTCAATATACATAGACAAAGGCCAAAACCAAAAAATTAACAAATAATGCAAGATGTCCAAACCATAAAGATCGATTCTACTTACAGAAAAAAGGTATCAGTGGAAAATATAAAAGCAGAATAAATAAATTTTGGCAGCAAAACCTTCATTCTTAACCTTGTCAAATCACCTTGAAGTTTATACTACGCAACAACATGATCCCTTGTACATGTTCAACTCTCCTTGCATTATGAAAGACATGCTGGAGGTCACAACAGAACAAGAAAAAGAAAAAGAAAAAGGAAGGAAAAAATAAATTTAAAAAAAAAAAAAGAGGAGGAAGAAGATGAGCACAAATGATATTCCTCAGCTAATTATGTGAAGGTGACCTAAGATACCACGGACGGAGTTTGCCACTTCACTTCATCTACGTACCAAACCAATGCCTACTGCAGCATCTTGTATTCGTAGCTGGCCTGTGATGATTCTTGTCTTCTAATAATTATTCTCCAATATAATTTACATAAATTCAGACCTTTACGTTCAAAATCTTGGTTGAAATAAAACTCCAATCCGCTGCATCAACCAAAATTTCACCATGCACTTGAGAGTGCTCACTTTTAAGCATGTTCATCGTTAGCATGATGTGGAACTTCATTTTGGCTGTCCAAAGGCATGTACTGCGCCATGATAGCCCGTATCTCTGAGTCCATATATGACTAAAAAGACGGAGAGTGAGGGGGTATCAGTATTTATCGCAATAACAATAATCAGGGGAAACATCAGTCAAACAAGATACCAATCATACCATCATATAACTAAAGCTTACGCCCCCAAAATATAAAGGGAATAGACCATGGCAATAAACATCTTTCATATTCAATTTCAAGGTGAAAATTAGATAATCATTGAATTCAAGCCATGTCCTTTAGCTCCGTTAAAAAAAATTTCAGGTTCAAATTGTACGTCTACTACAAAATTGCCACATTGACTGAGGCAATTCATGAATCAATAAACTTACCCTCAATCTGTACTTGTAAACCAGGTATGCTCCAGCACCTGCCATGCCAAGTCCAATCAAGATAACCCAAACAGCTGCCCAAGCAGACTTCACCTCAGTAGCCCGCTTGCCTGCATTTGAAAGCTCATACTTTTACAACAGAATATGTGAGCAGATTCGTAATCCAATCAGCTAAACAGTGTGATTCTGAGCTTACTTATGCATGTGTCATGGTCCCTTATGTACAATAAGTCCCCACTACAAGTACACTCGTAGCTGCCCCATGTGTTCTTGCAGCTGCATTCAGGACACTGACAGGCTTTCTTTTCTTTGCATTCATCAATATCTGCAAGAACGAACAACTGAGGGAAAAGGATTTCTGCAAATTTTTTTTAAAATTACTTTCACCCCATTCTCGATAAGATCCTAACACTTGGTTGAAGTTATTCCCAGCCGTTTGAGGAAAAACTGAAATTCAGTTACATAGTTGCCGATTTCATTCTACCTTTCCTTGTTTTTACAGCGTCTGGATACAATTTATTTAATGTCATAACTTAAAACCCGACCTGGGTGTTTGGACATGATATCCATCCAATAAAAGAAATCTTGACACATTTTGTTTGACCCGTGATGTGGTGCTTTAAGGTGAATATTTCCTCAATATCTTCAATGGCACTGTCCTCAAATGATAGAGATAAACTTTTAAATTCGACCAAACAAAATCTACATGGACTTAGTTCAAGAATAATCATAGAATTTCTTGTTTACGTAAACTACTATGTAAATGGCTAGGTAACAACAAAAAGCAAGAAGCTTCAGGGGCATAACAGAGTGAAAAGCCAACCGTACATCATCCCTGCTTCATTGCCTAAGAAAAGATCCTTTCAGCTATGCTCAAAGCCTTAATGATATAGTTTTGCTTAGTAAAAACCATAAACTTCCAAAAAACAGCATCAAATCATATTTTGCTTCAGAAACAGACGTCACACAAGGATATCATGTTTGTACTCGCAAATTCAAGTCCATTCCACAACTTAAATCTTTCTCCAACTCAGTATTAGTCCGCACCACCAAAAAGGCCACAGGCCTAAAACTCTACGAAGGTTCAAGTATAGAGATAGGGATTTTATACCTTCACAACTTTTCACACCGTCGCCCTTAAAGCCTGGAGGACATGAGCACTTTCCTTCTTCATTATCCTGTTATGGTAAAAATAACAGTCAAAACAAGAAGAAAATTTACAGCTTTCACTCTCTAATGGGGATTGGCATAAGATCATGTTTCACCATCATGTTCTGTGAAAGCACATATTCTCGTTTAATTCAATTGCATTATGTCCTTTTTCAACAGTTGTTTTCCTTCATTTCATTTATACAACACATGCATAGTCATTAACAGCTTGGAATGGGCCACAAATGCCGCAATTAAAGTCCAAACGATTACACACCAGACAAGCAGAAAAAGAGCGCCCATCTCGAGTGTCCTGCCAACAGCCACCATTATTTATTTTGCATCGACCAGGCCCACTTGCTGAAATAGACATTCAGAATAAAAAAGCAAGTTTAGATAAGAAAAGATACGCCAACCAATTGCGAAGAAAACATTAGAAGAACCAACTTCATGAAAGAAAATAGTATAACTTTCAGTAGGACTAAACAAAGGTAGAAACAGGGAAAAAAGAAATGAGCTATTAATCATTTCTACAATTTCCAAGAGAAGGTGATCATTTAGACATGAGATACATACTTCGGATGACTTTTCCAATCCAGAAAAGGTTATAAACAGGAGTTAGAGATCAGATTTAACCAAGATTAGATAGGTGTTCAAGAAAACAAAATTAAACGCCATACAACAGCCATGCCTATTATCATAATTGAATATGTACAACATTATTCCATAATTATATCTACTACTTGCAGTTTCTAGACGTAATCTACTTTCACCAAAAAGAAAACTTGCCAAAACCATGACTTACCAACACATGAGCTGTAACCATCCCCCTTAAACTGCACACCATTTACCACAGGGCATTCACAAACTCTCCCACGGAATGTATCCTGAATAATCATGGAGTGAAGTTAGTACATAAACAATAAAACTAAATAAATGAAAATCAGCTAAATTAAGAATGAACCTTGCAAGCTGTGAGATTAGCTGCTTTGTCTCGCCAGCATCCACCATTATTATCTAAACACTCATTTGTTTCCACGTCTGAAGAAAAGAGGATTACAGCTCAAACTCCCATTAAACTAATCAAATTTGAACATTAACAGTACTCAGCTCAAACTTCAATTACTCAGATTTCATAAAATAACGTACCAGTACTCAAACAAACAGATGGTTCGGTAGTTTCCTCAAAACCAGCACAAAGAGCCTTTAATACAGCACCCTTCTCCAGCTTGCCTAAAAGAGAAATATATCAGAAGGAAAAAATTGTAATCAAAATACGAGACACACAAGTGGAAACACCAACCTCGGTATTGCCTGTTGTTAACAACAACAGTAGGCAATATGGTCACGTCACCTCTTGATCCTTTCCCAACCTACAACATGTCAAATAAACTTACATTGATAACTAATAAAAAGTTATCCAGAAAGAAGAGGGAAAATAATTGAGAAAAATAAACTTCGTACTTGGGCATCTTGTTCTTCTTTCAATACAGGATTATCGGAATCAGCATTTGGGTCTCCCATACATTTTTCAATACTTTTCAAATCAAGTCCTGTACAAAGATAGCATTGAAATTAACAACACTGTTTGCATATCAAAATCTCACAATTATTGAAGGAACACATACCAAGAGACTTGATAACTTGGTCGGCACAGTCCTTGTTGTATTTCTTTTCTTTCATGGGGCATCTAATTTGGAAGTCAGTGACATAATCCCACCAAACCCAAGGCTTCTTGGTCTCATTGGCCACCTTAAAAACACACAACTGCCTCAAATTTTCAATTACAACATCTTTACCCTCATAACCGGAAGTGAAATCTTGTTCTGGATCAGGAGCGCAGTATCTTCCATGGTTGATACATTGAGACTTGCACTGCTTACTTACAGTAAATGCCGTAGGACAGTACCAAGTTATGTAATGAGGGGTAAACTGAGTGTAGCCTCCTTTCTCGAGAATCTGTGCAGCACCTTTAAAGTCTTTCACGAAATTCATAAGCATGTCACATTTAAACCCACATTCATCATTACTGTTGGTCCACAGCTCATACTCCACACGGTCATCTGGGTGGGGAACAGCTTCTCTCCAATCAAGGTTTACATTTACCATGTCACCTCCACTTATTGCCTTCCTCAACTTTTCAGCAAAACTTTTCTCAATTAATGCAGATGGTATTGTTATATTCTGAAGGTAAGCTGCAGAAGAAACATCCTCTTCAGGTGTATCCATGGTTATCAGAGCTTCATCAAGATTGTCGGCAACTAGTACTGCAGAAGCACCAGCATTTTGGGCATTCCAAACCTTCAAAGCAAAAAAGCAATCTGAAAAGTGGAAAGTCATTCGATCCATCAGACCAAAATCATGTTTACAGTCGGAAGAAAATACCAAAAAACGCTGTACTCCTTTCTATGCAAGGCAGAAAAAGGAGCGTTACATAGCACATTATGTTTTGATTCCGCTTCAAACAACATTCTGTTTTTATTGGAGAAAATCCTCCTAAAAAAAAATTGTCGGGAGGGGCTAAAGGCCCGCCGTTATTGCAAATATTACCAAATCTGATTCATGCAAATGCTGTACTTTAAACATATGCTTTTGTATTGCAGCTATTACTCTCCAAAACCCAACTTAACAGTAAACAAATATACAATAGGATAATAGCATACCAAATCAAAGGAAGAAAACTAAAATCAACTAATTATGAAGTAATTTACACAAATTTCAGGCCAAGAGGCCAATAATCACACCATTGGAAACTTTACACATGCCACTGTAGAGAGAGTATAACATAATAAAAGAAGTCATCATGACCATGCAAAAAGCTTGGCAAACAGCAAAAGCAGCGATAGTTACATTAATGATGAATGAATGCCTACTTACAAGAGCATGCTGTACAAAACTACCTTCAAAACATGAAAGGGACAACAGAAACCCAAGACAAGATATGTTTTCAATCTCAATACAAAAAAAATCAGTAAACGGGATTATGAAGTAATATAACAAAAGTGAAAAAAAAAAAAACAAAACATACAATAACAAAGATCATACTATATACCTCCTCGATCAACTAGGAGAAAATTTGGCATAGCTCCGGGCTTGGGCTTGTAGTTGATTCCGAAATCACTGAAGCTTTTACAACCCTTTTGATTCTCCTTCGGGTACACCACCGCTCCGGCCATGCTACCTCCATATTGAGGAATCCCGAAATTGCCAATAGCACTGTCATAAGTACCCTTGATTGAATCCGGCGACGTAACTTTCAAACTGTTCTTCTCCACCACGAACCGACCCAACACCAATTGGATCAGGTTCAGTAGCAGAAACCCTAGAAAGATTCCAGCTTTCGATCTTCTGGAACTTCCCATTTCCTCAGAAATCCCAAAAGAACCAAAAACTCGAGAAAATTATGCTCTCAAAAGGTCAAACCGATGAGTGTGAAGGAGAAAAACCCGATTTTATTCGTCTGGGTCCAATTTTGTTCACTGGGTGGGTGGAAGCAGTGGGGTATAGTCCACTATCGCTCGGGCAGAGATTTTCTTTAATGAAAAAAATTGAGAGACTGTCAGAAAAAAAGAGGTGACTTCATCATAATAATTTTCTTTCAGCTTCAGAAATTGACATTAATATGCAATGATTTTATATATATAACAAGTGGGATTAAAACTGGATCTCAGGCTTCAAATCGATGGAGAATTCAGGCTAATTTTTTTTTTTATTTCCGTGTGGGAGATAATGATTATAAATTCTTAATTAGGACAGTGTTATTAGTTTGATATTAAGAGAAGTAAAACTTGGAATATAATAATAGGATAATCTAGATCTAGAGACTCATAAAGATGCGAAAACACGTGGGCTAACTCCCTTTTCTTTTTCTCTATTTTTATTTTTCTTGGTTTTGTTGTCTTAAATGTCAATTTTCTTTTTGTCCTTTACTCTTTGCCCTAGCAACTAGTAGCATCCATTCAACCCCGCAGAAGAAAAACATGTTCGATTTTTTTTTTATGAGAGGAAACGAACTGTCAAGAAAGTGTGTTAGGTGTGAATTTTTCTGAGTTACTGCCTTACTGGAGTATATTTGGTTGGAAAACAATGTTAAATTAGTAGTTTCCAAATTAGAGGAAACCATATTGTTTGCTAGAAAAACACAGATCAGAAGTCATGTCACACTTCATATGCAATTGCTAGTTGAACAAGTAACCAAATTGTATACTTACAAATTGTTGCTACCTATATACTGTACATCAGTTTCTTTCAAATTGACAAATTCCAGTTGGATTTGCATGGTTTTTCCCCCCTTTAAATTTGAGCAGTTCAGATGGAAGAATAGGTGGAAGAATTGGCACTTTTACTACAAAGCCATGCTGTTCTGTCAACATTGTTAAGAAGGATTCCACAAATTTTCTCCCTTGCCCTTGCATAAGCTTCCTTTTCAGAATCATCTAAGTTGTTGCAATTAGGCTCCTTGCCCACCAGTGAAACCAGCAAGTCATTTATTCTCTTCACCTCAAACATCATCCCTGCAATTTCGCTGTCAGATTGAATTGAAGATGTATTGCTGTCGAATTTTTCGAGATATTTCTCTAAGTAATCCAAGAATAGCTTTCTACATTCATCCTGCAGCGAATTAGCCAGGTCGGTGGCTGCTGAGAGACCGTTTCCCTTTATCCATTCAGCATGGTTATCCTTGTCAGATACCAAGAAATGAGGTATCTCGTCGATGCTTCTTTGTTTACGAATGATGGATGGAGCTTTTGGTTTGATGCTGCGACTTGATTTCCTCAAAGAGTTGGGTGCTGCAACACGAGTAGCTGAGGGATTCAGATAGTCTGCAGAGCTAGTTGAAAGATCTAGGGCCACTGCGGATTTAATCCATGAAGTGGCATTTTTCTTTCTTTCGACTGCTGTATCCAATGCTTGCTTTACAGAATGAAGGCCACTTGGATCAGTTTCTGATGTGGTGAATGGACTTATGTTTGTCAGTGACTGCATTATCAATTTTGTGCGTCCCAAATCATCTTGAAGGTCGATGAATTTATCAATATATGGTTGCGAATCACCGCCTTCAGATGCATTAAGTTCTGAATATTTGCTGTGGGGAAAAAAAAAGAGAAGATGCATTAGAAAGTGTGTACAAGCCAGAAAAGCTAATCTATATTTAACCACTATTCTCCATCAACTAAAATCAACTTCGTTAATCTAGGCCATTAATCCAAATGTGATCTTGGGTTCAGTAGAAGGAAACATACACTGGAAACAAATATGTGTTTTGACCCTGAAAGGCCTATGTCAACATACAATATCTGGTCAACTTAATATACCGAGCATCTGTCCGTGAAAAATTCTCTATCAATTTAGTATATGGAAGTATGATGATTTCCCAAAAAAGGAAAATCATGACTCTCTACAGTATACAGATTGCCTACCATCTTGTCCGATAAACCAATGTACCAAAAGAAAAGATGCACTTCAAGAACTTGCTCAAAACTGCACATTTTCTTACCTTAACGATTTTAGCAGCCTCTCTGCTGCACATGCTTCTTGCAGAGCATCAGCAGCAGTACTCAGAGCAGCGTCTCTTTGCCGAACTACCTCCTGCATTGAAAGCAACAAAGCATCCAACTTTTCAAATTAGCCCTCGAAAATTATTCCAGATGAGCCGGTCTCAGGAAAAAATGTCGACTGAATACCTTGCCAAGCTTCAGTAATACCGCTGGCAGGGTTCCCCATGCTATTTCAGCTTCTGCCCCTTTTCGATCATGGATTAGGCTAGATAAAGGGTGAGAGGTCTGCTCTGAGATCACCTTCGGCACCAAAGTCTTAATGTTGTTGGCAGCCTTTGACGATTTTCTAATCGATCTCACATTTCTCCCGCTGGTAGTTGAGGTTGAGTACTCTTCTGAGCTATCATATCTCACAGAACGAACTGGTGAAACCTGAATAAGTTTGTTGTAACTTGTTAGGAATCAGATTCAAAAGCTAATCCATTTGAAATGCAAAAGCATAACAAAACCAAAAGTTACTTTGGACAAGGCTAGAAATTGAACAAGTCTAAGCTAAGCACCGATGAGCTATATCCAACATAACAGATACTAAGCCAGAAACCTTCTCTTCCTTCTTAATCCAAAACATCAATGCAATGAACTAAAATTTTCCATCTTAAATCAAGACCTCAATGCAATAAGCAATGGTGCTTATGATTCCTGTCAAAAGCTTAATGAAAATGAATGTACCTTTGCATAGAATCTTTAAAACCAAAATGCACTAAAGGTAGTCAAAGTGCAAAAGCAATGACAACAGCCCACGCAATGAAGTTAAAATTAGACTACAATGCACAGAAAAAGACATGAACTACCCACATTAGCACTACGACTACGAGCTGCAGGTTTGCTTTCATTCTTACTCACTGAAGAATCGAAAATCTCCTTCAATTCCAGAATTTCAGACTGTGTCCAGCTTTTTCTCTTCGATACTGATGAGACTGATGACAATGTACTGTCAGAATCAGAATCGTCTTCGGTATATGTTGGCCTAATAATACTATGTGATCCTATCGAATTCATCCCTAAACGGGTTTTTGTGGCACTCACAGATCGAGATCTACCCCTAATCCTCGGCTGCAAGCCACCATTATTCCTAACTAAAGCATCAGCAGCAGACAATCCTCTAGATAACTTTCTTGAATCAGCTAAAGTTTCATCTATTTTCTTCTCCGAAATAACGCCCTTTTCTTCCACCATTGCATCAGCATCTATGGAATGAAGAAATTTTGCCAATGTTCTTGGAGAATTCATGTCCTCAGGACTTCCTTCACACAAACGCCTGCCTGGAATGGGGGTAATCCCTCTGAGTAATGGCACAGGGTCAGATTTCTCCAGCTTTTGCACATGTATAAATTGCCCAAGTTTCAATTTATTGCTCAAAATCAAATCATTCTCTTCTTGAGGCAAAGAAACATATATAGCATGCGACCTATCTGATACCTTCAAATAAAATCCTCTATTAGGCCATAAATCACCTTCTTCTAATACGGGAATTATGCTTCTAATTTGCAACAAAACGGGTTTGCCATCATCTTTTCTGGGGCTAGGATTATCATCTCTCATGGCATCAAGAAGTTTCGCAACCACCCCAGACCTCAAAAGTGCCATTGCAATCATCAAGAATACAGAAAAGCACAAGACACAACTGCCACAATCCAATTCTTGGTCGGCCAAAAAACGGGCAACGGTAAATTTAAGCATCAAAATCCACTCCAAACGAAATGTTAACAATTGGGTGCCCAAAAAAATCAAATCTTTGGTTCCAACGTTGAAGGGAAATTAGAAGGTCCGGTAAAAAAAAAAGATTGGCCTTTTCGGTCATAGGATTCGACCAAGAAATTGGGATCCAAGAAAAGAATACAGGGGCCACGTTGACAACTCTATAGGTCTCGTAAAGGGTTATCAAGAAGAACAAAAAAAAAAAAAAGGAAAAGAAAAGAGAGAGATAAGTATCCATGTAAAGCGGGAAAAATTTGAGGTTTGTTGATAGTTCAGAAGATTGGTGAGCCATTCATCAGCTCATGGAGGTCAAAAAGAAGGGGGAAACAAATAAATAAATCCCAATGATGACTTTGGTTTAGATGGCTTATTACTTTTCATGGATTGGATAATTCAGCACTAGATTTTCTCACGGACTGGACAAAATGGGAGTAGTATTTTGTGATACGAGGAAGTGAACAAGCAGGAGCCACATTATGATTTAAGAATTACGTGGTTCAGAAAAATTTGCATCACTAACCATGCGCGTACCAGTTTGATCAGGTGGCTCTTCTTGAGAACAAAATACAACTGAGCTATTCCAGCAGTTGCGAAGAAAAAATGAGTTGTTTTAATATAATGGTAAGTTATCCATCAAGTCAGATTGATTATCGTTCATGTTTTTGACCATGAGCAAATAGATAGAAATTATTTGCTGGAAATGGACCAAAGTAGAGTTGGTTTTAGGAATTAGGTTTGCACGTCGGATCAATCAAACTCCTTCGTAAAAGCAAAAACTATTATCAATATACTACTACACAGTCGATCAGATTTATGTATTTCATTCAACTATTAGCTTTTTATCTTCACGAGTTGCACGAAGTATTAATGTATAAAATTAGATTTCCATTGTTAATCATGAATTCCCGATGGGAGTGTAAAGGGTGGATTAGTAGGATCAATTAGGTTGCCTGACCTTTTTTTTTTTTTTTTATGGTTTCTAACATTTTAGATAGTACATTTTGTAGATAATATTTAGTCTTTGAAAAATGATAATATACGTTTTAAAAAGATGAAATAAATATGTGTTTCTTCATTATTGTGGAGGTGTTCCTATTATTCGAGAGGAGGCAAGAAGGCACAATTATGATCAGATTCAGTGATTACAAATGCACAAAGTAAAGAATATATGGATTTAATTCATAAATAAGATCACATATTTTTTACACTTGAAGGAATGAAGAGATACAATTGCAAAGCAAAACGCAAAATCACAAAATATTGGTGAGCTAATTCAAAATGGAAAGTAGTAAGACGATCGAAAACCAGCAACAGAAGCTCAAGGTTTTGCTCTGCTTTTTTTTTTTGTCTAAGATTTGATTGTCTCAGAAACTCGATGCCTCCTGATGTTGTTGGTATTATTCGTTCCCATCATCATCATCATCTGTCCGGCGACGTTTGCACTTGAATGGTTGTTGAAGCTTTTGAGCTGAGAATTATTGGAGTAATTAGGCAACCCAAGGCCGGAACGCTGCTCGAAAACCTCTGCACTTGGTGGCTGATACTCTGACATCGTCCGGCGATGATGCGACGATCCATCGGAAGATTTGTCGGCGATCAACAAGTGGTAGCTCCGGCTAGAGTTCTGAGAAAGGGATCGGTAACTATGCCCGGGCCTCGATTTCCTGACTGCCTGAATAAGATAAGGTATCAATCCCTCCATTTTCCTTTGATTCCTTGATTGATTAGTTTGTGTGTTTGATTTGAAAAATTGATGGGTTTAATTTAGTGGGTTGTGGCCAGAATGATGAGATATGAAATGTATTTATAGAGATATTTCCTCCGCCATGGTTGAAATTTGAGATGCACAATGGTGGATAACAGGATAAGAACAACAATGAATGAATCTTGCAAGTGGAATACAGCTTTCTCTTACTCTTCCGGAGCTTCAAAGTCAAAATTCCAATATGAAGATAAATCATACTCCTAATAAAATTCCTAATGTCAATAAAATGCAAAATGATCACTATCTTTTTTGTTTGGTTTTTAAGGAAATATCTAAGCAGTAGCTATTTTCCTCAGAAAAATCAAACTGGGATTTGGGCACCAAAAATGGGATGAAAGTCAACAGAGTTTGGTTACTGATGAAGCTGGCGAAGGATACTTCTTCATCATGCGGTGTAATAACGCGGGGGTTTAAAAATTAGCACGTTTTTTCTTTTCCTGTTAAAATGGTCCTGTGAAAGTAGCTTTGAACCTTTTTGACTTTGTTTTTTCAACTAAAGTATATAAATCTGGAGTCTGGAATTGAGAACAGCCATACTCTGTTGGCGCTAAAGGAAAAAAAAAAAGAAAAAAAAGAAGGAAACTAGAAGCTGGAAAAGTCAGACACGTGAAGGTCAGCGGGTGGAATATTTTGAAACTGTTTTCACTAAAACTCGATTCAGAATTTCAGATTGAAGATTCTGCTTTGTAACTAGCTCATCATGCTGCAAATGATGTAACTTGATCATCATCATCCCAACTCCATCCAGTTTTTTCACTTTGGTTGAAGATTGACCGTTTTAAAGTTCTTACCATTCGGCGAAATTTATCGTATACCTTGACAATGTGAATATTGAACTAAAATTTCTAGCTACTACTAAATTCATAAAACACAGACGATTCACTTGTCCTGTTGAACTTTGTTCTTACTAATGAAAAATGTTTTGATTAAATATTGTTGGTGACTGGTAACACATAAAATGTTTTCGTTGGTGATGGATTAAATGTGATTATTATACGGAGGAAATAACTGTGGTATGAATGGGGTTTAATGAACAATTCGCGAATTGTTGAAGTAAAGTTAAAGCATATAGTATATCAAGAAAAAAAGTTTACAACCGATTCTGTTTAGGCAGGATGCATTACCGACGATTTTAATTTTATGGTTAGAACATAAGGTTGATAGTGTTTCTTACCAACATACTACACTAATCACTTTTTGCAATTATTTATTTTAGTATCATTTTCTCTTTTTCTGGAACCCTTACTCCACCTTATAAAGTATTATTGGAGTATTATTTTCTATCACATTTTTTTTTTAGTTTATATCTGTCATTTTTCACAAATATCTATATTTTCATAAGATTTTTTGCTCTACCTTGAGATAAATTATGGTACTTCAATAATAGTTTTAAAAAATTACTGTAAAAATTACGTAGAAATCCGTTGGAATCATCCCGGGTGGGCAATACCCGTTTTACCTTTGCCCTAATCTTCCCTCCTCTGCCGGATGAACAAAAAAGCTGCCCCAATCTACAGAATTAAGCTGTGAATTTGCCTCACAAGATTATCAAATGAATTACCTCATCTAGATTCTGTTTCCTGGTTGATGAGACCATAACCATCAAGCTGATCTCAAGAAACAATGGCGTACAAATCAATTTTCGACTCTTCCAAGTTGACTGCTGAGTTCCAGAATGCCCAAATCAACACTCAGTTCATCCCTCTCATCTGGAAGTAATGTCTTCCTCTTATTCTCTCGTTAAGTTTCAGTGATTTTTCCCATTCACACACACACGCTGTTGTGGCTGTGTGGACTGTTTGAAGCGGATTACTGATTGACAAATTCCCGGTTTGTGTTTGCAAAATTTTCTGATGCAGATATGTTTTACAGAACCCTAACTGCGAGTGGGAGGATATTCCCTCTTTGCCCTCGGCAGCTTATCCTCTCCTGCGTTCCAAGTTCAAGTCGCTAACTTCTACTGTTCAATCCGTCATTGATTCCACGGACCAAGTCACCACGAAGCTCCTGATATGTTTACAGGTATTTGCTAAAACTTGCGGACTTTTTTATTTAAGCTTTGTTTTTTATGCTTGTTTTATTTTTTTCTTTTGTTTTTTTTTTTTAAATTGCATGTCAGTGTATCGAATTCAAATTCCAAGTTTATGCTCTTATTTGGGCCTTGCTTTTGAATTATACACGATTAATTGAATTCTTCCTTATTTGTGTAGAATGGAGCTTCTGTGGAGGCCGTGATCATGAGATATGATACACGTTTGGGAAAATATAATGGGAAGGCTCGTCCCGGTGGACTGAGGTCCACTTTGTGTATCTCCTCCCAGGTAAATTGCCTCTTCTTTCTCATGATTGATTGGTTTGACATATGGACATTACAATTTTTCTTGCTCAATGCTTGCTGATGACAAGTGATTTTGGTTTTACATTTTATTTGCTTCTGTCTTTTCAATAAGAAGCTGCATCATGTATTTTTTTTTTTTCTCTCATTATACTTGTTAGGTTGGATGCAAAATGGGCTGCAGGTTTTGTGCAACAGGAAGCATGGGATTCAAAAATAATCTATCACCAGGAGAAATTGTGGAACAGTTGGTTCTGGCCTCCCGACTATCACCTATACGTAATGTTGTTTTCATGGTATTTATACATCTTGGCCTCTGATTGATTTGCGCGTTATCTACCTTCTGCATTTAGTTAATTAGCACCTGTTATGCACCATGTTCTTGAATCGAATACCATTTCTTTGATATGTACAATATCTCTTTAGTGCCTTTTCCCCGATAAGCAATGGTTTACAAGATATATTTTCGTTTACTAACTGATGTATAAGAAAATGAACTAAAAGATGAGGTAGTAGAAATGAGAATGCTTTGATGGATGTGTGGAGATAACAGATAGGAAGGAGGGATTTGGGTTTAACAAAAAGAATCTATCCAGTCACTCATCTTTAAATTGGGTTCTTTGGGTACCATATTTAAGGTTGGCGAAAACTGACTATTGTACAATGAATATGAGACACCCCCCTAACTTGGGGCATGACAAAAGTAGAAGCAACGGTTATTGTCTGTAGTTTTAATTGCTTGAACTTGTCTTGTTATTGTAGTTCTACTTTATATTCAGCCACTGATTTTGTGGACAGGGAATGGGAGAACCATTAAATAACTACTCTGCTGTGGTTGAAGCTATACGAATAATGACATCCTCACCATTTCAGCTGTCTCCAAAGAAAATTACTGTGTCTACGGTATGGGTTTACATTTTTGCCGTTCTTGCGTGCTATCTTCATACTCTAAAATGGTTTGTTTAGGAAGATTTATATGTGAATTTGTCATTTCTTAGTTCCCATGTTAGTGTCTTTTGATATTTTTTCTTCAGGATCTGGTGTAATGATAGATAATAGATTGTAATATTAGTTGCCAGATCAAAACCTAGTAAAGTGATTGAGAAGTTGTCTTTACATTTTATTGTGTTGTAGGTTGGCATTATCCCTGCTATAAAGAAGCTTCAGCATGATATACCAAATTTAAACTTGGCTGTTTCACTGCATGCACCGGTTCAAGATATTCGATGTCAAATCATGCCTGCTGCACGAGCCTTCCCACTGGAGAGACTAATGGATGCATTGAGAGAATATCAAGAAAAGTGGTGGGCCATTATATTAGCTAGACTTTGTTACAATTTTGACTGGTTGTCTTTGAATATTCTTTCTAATTTTATATCTCATTTTCTACGTTTTGTAGTCAGCAGAAGATTTTTATTGAATACATAATGCTTGATGCTGTGAATGACGAGCAGCAACATGCTCATCAACTTGGCAAGTTACTGGAGACGTTTCAAGTGGTGAGATTCAACTTCAACCTTGATACAATTTTCTCATGTATTTCTTTTTCTGATGCTATCATTCAACGTTGGGCTTGGTGCTGGATTTATGTTCTAGACTGTCACTCTGACATTTTCGACTTGCTTGTTGTGTAAATTATAGTATGCTTTATCTTCTTTTCCTTTCTTTGGTGTGGATTTTTGTTGGATTTCAGTCTGGTTATTTAACATATCTTCTTATTAGGTTCAATGGTTGTGTTATATTTTGAAAATTTGCCGTTGGTTCAATTGCAAAATTCATTGTCGTTTGACCATTTTGGTTATTGTGCCCTGTAACTGTATTAACAGTACCCCATGTTGCCTAAAATCTATGGCAGGTTGTGAACCTCATACCTTTTAATCCGATAGGCACTCTTAGTCCTTTCAAATGTAGCAGTGACGAAAAAGTAAATAGCTTCCAGAAAATACTTCGAGAAGCGTATAACATCCGCACAACAGTACGGAAGCAAATGGGACAGGACATAAGTGGTGCATGTGGTCAGCTGGTGATCAACATGCCAAAGAAGCAATATCCTAGTGGAGATGCGGTGACAGACATTGAAGATCTACGCTTGTAACTGTAATTTTTTAGGTGAGATATGTTAGTTTATGCAGTACAAATAGTTAAGTTATTCGCATTTCTGTAAATATTGTCCATAGCATCAATAATGTTTTCTGAATGGTCAATGATCTTCCTGTTCTCTTAAGACTTCTATGTGTTAATTGCTGGAGAAAAAAGACATATTTAGTTGATCTGAGTCCTCTTTATGCATCTGTTAAATGAATGTTCTCTTATTCAGTCGATCATGCTTATATTTGTTTATATTTGAACAGGTATTTAGGTTATGGTGGGTACATAAAATACCGATTTCCCCATTTGCATTTGCTCAAGAGTATCTTTGCCGGTTGCCTAACATACCGTCCAGCGTCCAATGGTTGAGGAGAAGTCATGAATCTCCCAGGTCAATCGTAACGTACGGATGCAAGTTGTGAAGTCCCAACCTTTTGTGCGCAAATATCTCCCCTCAGCAATCATCTATAGACTATAGTTATCGATTAGGGAGAGTTTGAATTGTTTGGAGCTTAATCTATTATCTTAATTTTATAAGAGGTGAATACTTAGGGAATCACATTTGAAGAGGAGTTAGTAGAAAGTAAACCTCGTAATGGGTTTTGCAGTAATAGAAGTGATGTTTCTCGAGGGCATAGTTTTGAAATTCTCCCTCGTGGATTTACAGGTATCTGTAGCCAGTCTTATTTATCAAACTAGAGGTTTAACTTCCGCTCCAGTATAGTTTTCAGAATGAGGTATGATGTAGGACTAAAGAAGTGAATCTCCTCTAACCTAACGGCCAGAGAAATATCCCAGAAAACAAAGGGGAAGCAAAACGTACTGAGAACCTTACTACTCCCTCTATCCCAATAAAAATAGACCACGTTAAGTTCGAAAATTTGTACTAAAAACATGACAAATCTGAAAACTCATTATGGACTACTTTTTAGGGACATAGATAGTACTTGATAAATGATTGACGAACCAAATTTATCAAAAATAAAGAAGCATCTAATTTGATATTTTTGATAATAGTGGCATCGGAAGAAAAGTTTCCATATATGAAAACTCCCAGCAAATGCATTCTAGCACTATGATGCCAAAAGTGCTTCAACTTTAGCAACCAAATCTTCATCCTTCTTCGGACTTGGACTCTTGTTTGCCTCATCGTAAAGATCATGTTTCCACTTGTCAACACGACCTCCTGTTGATGCTGGATGGTGCCTGCCCCTTGATGTAAACTGATCTCTACCCCTGAAATTTCCACCGCGGTTACTATATCTATCTCTCGATGACGAGTAACTTCTCCATCTGTCACCCCTGTCTCCCTCCTTTTCCCCACCAAATGCTCTATTGAATTGTTCTGCATGACGTGAGGTGTTACCCCCTCTCTCATACCTTCTATCATTCTCTGACACCAAATTTTCCTTGGGGTTTAGTTTCACCGAGTCTTCCACTACTGTAGTTGCTTTCTCAGGTTCATCTGGATCCTTCTTTTCCTTGAAAGCTCTTTTCCTTGGAAGTGATTTGAGATCTTTTTCCATTTCAGAATACCTATCATGGCGCCAAGTGCCAGATCCTTCCCCGTGCCCTCTAGCACGCTTGTCCTTTTTTGGCAAGTCACCAGTGGACGTCCGGCTTCCCCTTTCACTCTGGTTCTCCTTTGGATCCCTCCACCATCCACGATCTTCACCACAAAGCAACAAATAGAGCTTTCAGATTGTTGATAACTGAATCTTTAAAATGAGATATCAATGAATTCATGTATTTATGAACATCATGTACATGGTAATTAGAGTAGTGAAGTTTACTAAGATCTGATTCGAGGAAATAGAATCGACACCAGAGGTTGAACTTAGTAGACAATCTCAGACCCCATACTTGAATGTGAAAGGCACAATATGATACAAAAATGCAATGTAAAAACACTTAAAAACCCCTAAATAATAAGGCATATAGTTTATACAGTATAAACTAATCATTGACATTGCCCCAACTGAACATCAACTTTGCAACAGGCAGTAGCCATATATTTTTTTTGACTAAGACAGGAGCTATATATGATGTCACAAAATATTCACATTTGCAAGGTCGAAAAAGGAAACAATCGTAGAGTACACACCAGCATATTATTACCACCATCCAAAACCAACACACACCACCATCCAAATAATACAATAAATTCAAAAACAAATTCAGGACCATTAACATAATCATCCATAAAGAATACAGATACTGCCCTAGTATGCAATAAAAACAATTGCATGGCCAAAAAGAAACAATTAGAGTACACACCAGCATAATACCACTATCCAAAACCAACACACACCACCATCCAAATTGTACAATAAATTCAAAATAAAATCAGGACCATTAACATAACCATCCATAAAGAATACAGATACTACTCTAGTACACCATAAAAACACCTGAAAGAAGGAACTAAAAACATGGCAAGCTAATAAGAAACTCTTTTTGGGAAAGGTGAACTTACCAGTAGCTCCTTTGCGGCTGAAGGCTCTACCAACTTGCCCGGCATTACCACGTTCATCATGCTGTTATAAGACATGCACAGGCAAGTCTACACGGTTATATACATGTAGATACTTGAAGTCACCAGGCCGAAAGAGCATCACACTATACCAGCTTAGTTAAAAAGGAACTATCGACCAAATAAAAGTCGCAAGCTCTATGGACACAGTACTGGGCCCTCAGCAAAGAGTCACTAAGGTGTAGGTACAAAATAATAACTCAGCTATGACCCAAAGCGATAACGAACCTTGGAGATGACAAGAGCAAAAAGTGGCAGAACTGTATGTATATATCCTATTGCATAAAAGCAAAAACAATCATGTACGGCTTAGCTGCCCTTTGTTCTGGAGGATCATTATTCCATAAAAGAGTCACTAAGGTGTAGGTACAAAATCATAACTCAGCTATGACCCAAAGCGATAACGAACCTTGGAGATGACAAGAGCAAAAAGTGGCAGAATTGTATGTTTATACCCTATTGCATAAAAGCAGAAACAATCATGTACGGCTTAGCTGCCCTTTCTTCTGGTGGATCATTATTGCTCCAGAAAATCGCTAATCAGTAGAGACAACAGGAAAGTAATAGACAATTGCTATGTGTGACACATATAAACTACTGATATTGATGTCTTTACCAGGTGACTTAACATCTTAAGACCTACTTCAGAAATAGACTCAGCCACCAGGGCTATACAGAAGGGTCAGTCATTTGACAAAATCATGACAAAAACTACAGCCGTCAAAAAGATTACAGCTGTTATCTTGCAGTTGCTAAAGAAATGGCAGAAGGAGAAACAATAAACCTGAGAATCCGAGAAATGAAAAAGAGAAAGAATGTATCAGCTCAAGTGCAACATACTAAATCATGAGACAATTTAAAAATGCACCACCAGACCAGTTACAAAACAGGGTACCTGAAAGTATGAACGAGACCTAGGAACATCCACTGGGTCCGAAGAAACCTTCTTCCCTTCGCCCTCAAGGTTAGCCTTTTCAGAATCCTTAGTTAGTACATCATTAGAAACCTGTTCTGATGGTGCCTCAAGAGGTAAAGCATCCTGCAGTCGGCGCCTGTGCTTTTGATCACTGTCTGATCGTTCTTGATTATCCAGATCAATATTGGCAGGTGGTCTTTCAGTTTCTGGTTTGCCATCCCTCCTAGATCTCTTGGGGCTAGCAAGGACCAAGGTAAAGGCTTAAACTGATATCTCCACACGTAATACAATAGGGAGGCTTCCGAAACGGCTATAGCTTTTTTGGGATCCACTCAATTCCACGCAAACAAAAATGATAACGTGCATTTTTTTAACAATGACTAGTAGACATCCTCACCCTATTCTTCCCTTGGTATATTTGAAAATTGACTCTCCAGCCACATAAGTGATTTTTATATTTCTTCAACCTCTTCCAGTACTACTACCAGATTAAGGGGCGTAATCAGATTGTTGACAATCATATGGTTACATAATCATTGCACTGTGCATACATGCAATCACCTATCTAATCGACGCAGGCAAGTCCTTTGCTAACACTCTTGAACCCTTTTTAAAAACTTTATTTGGACATGTAAAACATCAAACTTTCATAAAACTTCTCTTGAAAAAATGAGGGTATAGTAACTCGGGAAAAGAAACCTAAACCAATCAGGGATCACCAATGGTACATCAGACAGACAGACCTAGATACACAGTACTATCTAGTTATGTTCCTCTCTTTATCCAATCCGAATTGTTGAAAAATCAAAAGCTCCAAACGACCAGAATATGCACAAACAGGCCAATGTGCAATGCGGACAGTAACAATTTGTAATTCAAAAATCACTAAAGCAAGAAAAACGCATATAAACACAATCTAGGACTCTAGAAAAAGAAGTGCAAATCAGGGGTTTCCAAAGACGCGATTTTTTGATACCTGGGTTCTTGATCGAACTTGGAACGGTGACGTCTGGACTCCGAGTCCCGGCCCTCCCGCCGTGACATGATCACTGAGTATGATTGTTTGTGTGTGTAGAGGAACGGGAGCAGATATTTTTAACTCTGGATTTCTGAGCCTACTACTTCAACACTTAGGGCAGCTGCCATTACAACAAGTAATCTCCCCCACCGGAAAGGTCGTCTATCCTTTGCCGAAGAGCCACCGACTTGGGCCGTTGACTGGTCGTAAATTATTTTAAAGATGCAGGCCTGGCCTTTATAGTCCTGATTAAGTGTTCATAATCTATATGGGCCTGATATCCATCCATTTTATCTTTATTTTTATTTTTATTTTTTCTTTTTGTTCCCTTTATCTTTTTGTTTTTTTTTTAAAAAACTATATTTAAAAGAACTTTGTTTCCAACCAAAAAAAAAAAAAAAAACACTCTACTACTATTGATACTAGTAGTAGTACAATTAAGCATATATTTTATTTTGTTTGATGAAGTAGTACATCAACTAAAGGTAAATTGCCATGACTAATGATTAATCTTGCGTCATGGGATTAATTAATACGATTAATAGGGTTTAGACAGAGTTAACTATCTGCTGCGTTGTCCATTTGCTTGATTTTAAAATTCTTCACGGTGTTTAACCTTAGTTCATGTATTAACCAAACAAAAGTAGTATGTGCAGGATATTAATGCACCAATTATACTATGGTTCATGTCTTTATTATAAGATATTTTGATTTGTTATGTGTTTCATCTATATGTTTTTTCAATTGAAAAAAGAATTAAAATATTTTTTAATAATTAGGAGGACATAAAGAATGTAAAAATGTAATTTTAAGGTTTTTATTCAATAAAAAAAATATATTAACTGAAAACTTTGGACAAATTAAAATGTCTTATAATAATGATTGGAGGAATGCCTTCTTCTCGGACCAAAAAGAAAAACCCTTCTTTTTGTTGACATAGTTTTTTTTTTTTTAAAAAAATTAAACTCTCTCTTACTTCTGAAAAAAATAGTTATTGTATTATTTTAATTTAATATAAACATTACTCTTTTTGGAATAAAGAAATTATTCCCTCCGGTCCTTAATATAAAGTATTTTATTTTTGTTATAAGTTTCACCTAATATGTATTTTTACTCAAGAAAAAAATCCTTAAAGATATCTTTTCACATTCGTTTTATTTTCTTGATTGTTAAACAATATTTTTAAGATTTTTTTATTATTTAAAAATACATAATAAGTGAAACCTAGGACAAATCAAAATGTCTTATATTAAGTAGCAAGAGGAGTACTACCTATTTTCTTTGAGACTTTGTTTTGATGTTTACAGGTAAGAAGAAAAGAAGTAAAAAACCGCTAATGCTAAAATCTTGGGAGTGCTTATTTTACTTAGAAAAAAAGTTACTAGGACTTGTTTGATAACACTGCTTATTACTTAAAATTATTCTATTACCTAATAATTGATTTCAGCATGTTTGATAATAAAAACTCAACCTTTTATTGAATTAAGTGGTAGTGGAACTGTAGTAAAAAATATAAGCAATAAAAATGAGCTTATTGCTTATTCCGTAACTAGTTAATAGATTCAACATTTCTTATTCAGTATTAAACATTTAGAATTAAGAACTAATTTTTTCAAACAAGCCCTAACTCTCTGTTTTAATAAAAGTAAATAAATCACTCATAACCTTTATCAAAAAGATAAAAACCAAAGTAAGAAATTTTACCCTCTAATTTGTAGTATCAAACACTCCACTACCTTGGAATTATCCAAAGGATAATTAATCCGTTAGAGTTATAAACAAAAATACAGTACTTTATTTCAACAAACATCTAGTTTAAAAAATACTACTCCGGTCCTTAATATAAGACATTTTGATTTGTCCTGGGTTTCACATTGTACATATTTTTAATTGACAAAAAAAACATGAAAATATATTTTTAAGATTTTTCCATCAATTAAAAATACATATTAGGTGAAACATACGATGGATCAAAATACCTTATATTAAGAACCGGAGGAGTACTAATTACCTAACAGCCGTTGCCTAAACGGAAATTCGCTAGGGTTTGTAATCATCCAAAACTTGCATTGAACAATGCATAATCTAGTCAAAGTGTAAAACCGCACTTCTATAATCAATTCTTCCCACCATCATTCGTGTTTACCGAAAGGGTAGGAAAGTTTCAGACAGGAACCTTAAAAGAATCTATGGAGATAATAAACTCCACACTTTCACGTGCAATTTGCACTAGTTTATCATATGTACCATTCTCTGAGTTTCATTCGCTTTTTATTTTTTTTAAGGTTTCTAAGTTCAAAGATCAAGAAATCCCTGGTTGGTGTAGAATCTTGCATTTGCCAATTATATATAGAGATGATTACACACCCATTCATCCGATTCAACACCGAAACAAGTCAAAAGCAAATCTTTCATTTTAGCCCAATGGGATTACTTGCTTTGATGTCTGCTCTGTTTCTCATGCTCTGCTTCTTAATTTCTCCATCTTTAGCTAAAACACACTCTTTAAGGCCTAAAGCTCTGGTTCTTCCAGTGACTAAAGACTCATCCACAGGCCAATACATCACCCAAATCAGCCAAAGAACCCCTCTTGTTCCTCTAAACCTAACATTAGACCTTGGTGGCCAATCCTTATGGGTTGATTGTGATCAGGGCTATGTTAGCTCATCTTACAACCCCGTGAAATGCGGGTCGGCCCAATGCTCACTTGCCAAATCTCAGTCCTGTTCTGAAACTTGTTTCAATGGTCCTAAACCAGGTTGCAACAATAACACCTGTTCCCTCTTCCCATACAACAGTTTGACTCAAACTAGCACCATTGGTGAGCTTGCACAAGATGTTCTGTCTTTGCAATCAACCGATGGATTCAATCCCGGAAAACATGTTTCTTCACCACAAGTTATGTTCACTTGTGGAGCTACATTTTTGTTAGAAGGTTTAGCCAAAGGAGTGAAAGGAATTGCTGGATTAGGAAGGGGGAAAGTTGGGCTTCCATTTCAGTTGGCTAATGCCTTCAGATTGAAAAGAAAGTTTGGTGTTTGTTTAGGCTCAAAGGGTGTCATATTCTTTGGTAAAAGCCCATATAAATTCCTCCCAGCTGGAAGAGACATTTCCATTTCCAAGTCACTGAGTTACACTCCACTTCTTATCAACCCTGTTAGCACAGCTGGTGCCTCTTTTGCAGGGGAGCCATCTGTGGAGTACTTCATTGGGGTGAAATCCATCATGGTAGCTGGAAAACCGGTGTATATAAATTCGACATTGTTGACAATCAACAAGGAAGGATACGGTGGAACAAAGATCAGTTCGGTGGTTCCATACACCGTCATGGAGACTTCAATCTACAAGAGCTTTACAAAGGGATTTGCAAAGGCCTTCTCTGGAGTTCCAAGAGTGAAATCAGTGGCACCATTTGGACTGTGTTTTGACTCCAGCAAGTTGGGGAGTACCAGAGTTGGTCCTCCTGCTCCACTCATTGATTTTGTGTTCCAAAATGCAAGTGTTTATTGGAGGGTTTTTGGTGCAAATTCAATGGTGCAAGTGAAGAAGGATGTTTTGTGCCTAGGATTTGTGGATGGAGGTGAGAATCCAAGGACTTCTATAGTGATTGGAGTGCACCAGGTTGAGGATAACCTATTGCAGTTTGATTTGGCAAAATCCAGGCTTGGTTTCAGCTCCACTCTCTTGTTTCATCAGACTACATGTTCCAACTTCAACTTCACATCAAATGCTTGACAAGAAGTAAGGTGGATTTGGAGAGCAAATCACAACAAATGCAGTTGATTTTTTTTTTTTTTAAAAAAAAATTATTTAGTGCATCTTTTCTGTTGTATTCACGCTTTCAATCGATTAGAAGTATAAAATTTTCGTTTTTCCTTAACCATACATTATTATTTTATTTTATTTATATTTTTTTTTTCCCTAAAAACTCATTTTCATCACTTGCCAAAGAATAGATAAGAAGAGAAAATTGAAATATGTACATTGGTTAAGGTAGTAATAATTCATTTATATGCACTCACGCACATAGTAGTAGATTGCTACATTCATCATTCCCTCAAGACTTTAAGCGTCAATTCTTTTAAAAGAGTAATATAATATATTTTACATTAAAATATAGTTAATTGTTGCAACGTCGTGATAAAATGTCTCGAGGACTTCTATCTTTATATACATCAATTAATAATGTAAGATTCTCCTGTAATACTTGAGAAGGTTTGTATGGTTTTCACCAATCTTGAACTTTAGCAGTAACAGAATGTAAGTACGCAATTTAGTAATCCTTCGATTCTTATTTTAAAATGTAAATCAAAAATAAAATTAATGTTAATTAATTTTGTGTCTTATGAATGAGATGGGAGAGGAAAAATAATTGAGTAGATACTCAATAATGTCTACTCAATAACTGAGTATGCATTTGTTTTTTGCATTTCCATTTCAAATCAATTCCACGTATCTTAATAAACCTGTCGACAGGTACTTTTCCAACTCCAAAGACCTTCTACAATGAAATCATTAAAACTCGTCCAAAATAAAAAATAAAAAAGAGCTTCTCCAAAAATTAGTTTCAAAATGTTGGAAATTAGCTGTTTATTAATACTACATCAAATATATTCTGTGCACTTGGTGAATTCTATTATATAGTACGTACATCAAACCAATCACAATAAAGATAAATACTTAATTAGTGTTTAGTCAGTAGTAATGCAAGCTATCTAAAACTCTTACAAATTTAATACTCATAGGACGACTACGAGATCACGAAAAATAAATAATTTCAATTCTCTATCTATAATATGTAAATAATAGCGATATAATAATAATTTTAACGTTTTTCTTTTTTGATTAAAAGAAAAAAACGAAAAGTAGACCAAGCGATAACGATCCGTAAGCACAAAATCTAGGTAACACAATTCAATGCCGATTCATGCTCCCAAAAATTTAAGTAGTTCCATTTAGGTTAGATTTTGTGCTAAATATGTTCCCAAGTCTCCGACTTGCTCCCAAGATTCGGTACAATAAACCACCTTTAAGGACAAGCCAAAATCAAAGATTATGGTGTCATCACTTCCAAATTTTTAGAAAGAATTTTGTTTAATTTGGAATAATAATTATTATAAGGTTCTCATCTCCAAAGCAGATCTTCATCAGATACATAAGTCTTGTAATGCAACACTAATGTGGATGAGGAGGTGATGCACGCACAAAAACATTAAATCACAATTATCTCAAAAATTTCTTTCCGATTTTGATTTACCAGGAAGATAGGCGCAGTAGAAATCGCTCTATAAAACGAGAGTAAGTTTTATCATCTCGAAAACCATCTACATTTCAACACATTTTCATTCAGCAACCATCCTTATTCATGGCCGAACGACGTGTAGGAACCATGAGGTCTAGGTCTTCATCCCCGGAGTATGATTCTCCTCAGCTCCCCATTCATATAGAGTTTGAGGAAGGGAAGTTGTTTGATTGCAGGTACTGTGCCAGAAAATTCCCAAATAAGCAAGCGTTAGGAGGTCATCAAAATGCTCACAAATTTGAGAGGTCTGTTGAGAACCAGGTTGCCAATATCAACAACAACAACGTCATCAATCCTACTCCTCCTCCTGCCGATTTTGTGAGCAGGCCAACTTTTGGCCCGTTTATGCAGTCACACGGGCTTGTACCTTCTTTTATAGGTACCGCTCTCGGCCCATACAACCTGTCGCAGGCTGCACCGGCCTTTGCTGGTGTTCAAGGATGGCCCGTGCCTTCTTCTTCTTCTTCCTCAAGCCCTACCGCTGCAATCACTACAAATCCTCCTCCAATTAACAACCTGCTTGCTATATTTTGCTCTGTTGGAAACAATGTGGGCAAAGTGGATGAGACACGGGAGGAAGATGCTGGATTGGATCTGTCCCTCAAGCTCTAATATTGCTTCATATGTGTCATTTTGGTTTTGGTGTTTGTTATTGTATTTCTGGGGTGGGTGAATTTTCTATTTTCTATTTTCTTTTTTTTTTTTTGGGGGGTGTTTGATTTATTATGCTTCTCAATGACTTTGTACGAGTTGCGTATTTTTATTATTTCAATATCTGATAAAAATTTCCAAGAATTGGTCGATAAGATATATAATACTCCCTCTTGTCCTTATTATAAGACATTTTGATTTCGTTTTAAGGATTACATAAAATGTCTTTTTAAGATTTTTATTTCAATTAAAAACGCATCCTAGACAAAGCTTAGGACGAAATCAAAATGTCTTATAATAAGAACGGAGGGAATTCATCATAACACAGATAAGAACAATGACGATACATGTATCATTTTACTTTAATTTTAAAGCAGGAGAGAATATAACAAGACATACATGACTTTAATTTTTGGTCGGGAGATAATATAACAACGGTGGTATGCTTTGTTAGGCTCCCTTTCACTATCCTGAAATCGAATTTGCGCAATTCCTCCTTCACTTTCTTGTCCCAACTCGCTCTTTCACTATTCAAAGACTTGATATTTCGACCAATTTGATCACTCTACCTTAACTCTTTACTGTTAAAATTGTTGAAAGAGAAAATGGTGTTTTGTGGCTATGCTCCGAAATGGAACGTAGAATAAAACCATCTTCTAAGTTGCGGTATTTGTAGCGCATTGAACACTTGAACGTCTTGTGGAGACTGAGAATCCACAAAGCACTCTGATTTTCATTAACAAAGATCATCAAGCTCCCCTGCAAACCATTGAAACTCAGTTAACTTTTCTTTTCCTGAGGCGTAAATCTGGAGCACCATTTAATCATAAGGTCTTCAATGTCAGCATCCATCCTTGTTCCAACACCTCCCCATACTAACATGTGAGCTAAATCTCCAAAAGAAGAGCCACTCACTTCATACACTGTTTTGAATCCAATTCTTGTATAAAACCTAACAAGCTGCAGCCCAGTTCAGGAATCAGAATCTAACAGATCTTATTAATTTGAAAAAAAAATAAAAAATAAAGGTTAAAATTGACCAAAATTTGCTGCATTACATCATACCTTCCTATGGTAAAGGTCAGTATCATTGATGGCAAGCAATTCAGCTTTCTTGCAACCGCAATCATACCCAAGCCGAATTGCCACCGCTCCTATGAACAAACCAATTCCAAAGATCGATTTTTCCATACCCAAAGTTTCTCTACGCAGTCTAATAGAGTCTAAATGAAGGATTTTTCCTCCAAACCAAAGCCTGATGAACCCTTCAGCCTTTCCGAGCTCAGTTCCACTTTCCAAGCTTTTAGCTGTAATTCTGAAGAAGGGTCCCAGTCTCTGGAGTTGAAGGTCTAGTTTTTGCCTTTTTGATGCCTCTAGAATATCAGACATGGTCGGGATAGCCTTTTCAACGGGTATAGATACACGGGCTCGAGGGGGAATTAAAGAAGAAGAAGCTATGAAATGGGTTCTTGCAGTCGGTGCCTCGACCGGAGGAAAACAGAGTGCGGAATTCTGTATAGAGCGTGCTAGTTCCATTGATGGTTTCTGGAGAAAATTTGCAAGAAAAAATGATTCTGGTCAAAGTTCAAGATGAAGATGAAGGGGGTTTAGACCCTTACCACGTGGGCAGGAACTAACCACTCATTTCCTTTTTCATTTGTACTACTTACAAAACAGCAGCTCGCCTGAAAAAAGGACTGAAATAATAAGTAGTTTTACAACGCAGTTAATGTATGTTACAAATTTACAATGTTTGGGGACGGATTGGTGGGTATGTACAGAAGACAAATCAGACTGAGGATGGAACAGCCTGTGCGCCATCAAGAGATTGAGTTGTTCGCAAATGTTAGGCGACTACGAATTCACAAGTAAATAAATGTGTGCATTGCCTGCTTAAACCATTAGTAGCAGGAAAGGCGCCGCTGATTGATGAGCAATGGACGGTTCAGAAGTTCTGATTTGTCTTTGCGAAATAAACATCAATTGGGACATGTTTACCAATGACTGATGATGGTTTCTGCTTCTTCTTCGGGTTGATTCGGCCAACATTCTGTTCTCTCTGAATCAACCTACAAGAATTTCATTTCATTCAATCAGCTAGAGCTACTCATTTGCACAGACAATCTCAATTTGTATGGAAAATAGAGTAAGAATCCATCCATGACGCATTAAAAGAACTACGTAGTGCAGTTTTCTACATTCCATGAATCATAATTACATTTTTACCAGAAAGACAAACTCAAAAGACAAAGATGTACCTATGCTTTACTGGGAGACTCGAACGATTGTCTCCTGATTCTTCCTCTTGCAATCTCTCGGCCAGATGGAAATCAGAGTGTTCTTGTCTTTCATCAATGAAGCTCGGAGGCAGTTCAACACCACACAAAGAGCACTTGTAGTCCTCCTCCCAGTAGAATGGTACTTTCTGATTTGTTGAAGGCCCTGCTTCAAAGGCTTCAATGGTTCCATGATACTCCAGTAAAGAAGAATCTTGAGTTGTACATGGTCTAAGTGATTCACCTTCTATTGCAAGGCAATCCATCTGCGCAAAAGAAAAATTTCGTATATGGGACAAAAAAATTTGACAGTGATGAAAAGAAACAGAAAATAAATGATAGAACCAAAACGGGGAATCTTAAATATTCTCATCAATTAGAGAATGCCTGAGTTCCAATCGCTGAGCCAGAGACCAATTGGTCTCAGCTTCAGAGTTACCAGGGTAAGTAGTAAGGGAATCACACTGTTGACCCTTTTTAGGGTGAAAAGACGAAATGAACTAGTTGAGATCAACATTGAGCAGGACAAGATTTGAAACTTAAGCGCTTTTTTTTTTGTTTTGTTTTTACTTTGTCTCTTGATTCATTGTTCCAGCATCTAGCCCTACTTCCAGCTTCTTTGAGGTTTTGCTCCAAGAAGTCTGCGTCAGAATCAGACACTTCTTTGTAACAATCAGAACTCCTCAAATCACATCTTTCAGAGATATCAGCAGGAAGATCCATGAATGAGCTAGCTGTAAAGGCAGTATCACTCATATCTGATCCCACAGGTGTGCTGTCATTGATATCTCTTCTACAAGCATCTCTTGGAATAATGAAGTTGGAAAGCGTTCTCTGTGTAGGATCGGAAGGAGTTACATTTTTGTCTTCATTGAACTGAGAGATTCGTAGTCCTACACAAAAAGAATGCAAGAAATTCAGACAAGCGTCATCGAACAATTTACGAACACAGCTGTTCATGGCTAGCCATCAGATGTGCACATTAGTCAACCATTATTCAAGAGAGGGAATACTGCAAAGGAAGCAACTAGGCACCAGCAGACGAAGTTAACTTCACTTCATTCAATCGCATAAGGCAGGAGAAAGAAAAAGTTCAAATGGAAACTAGTTATGGCTTTCCACCATTTCAAAAATTTGGTTACCATGTTTCCATTTGTTTCCAAGCGTTTAAAGGCAATTATTATCTATCCAGATAGCTTCAGGAACATTTTAGATGCAATCAGTTTTAACCTAGAATCAGCTAGGTAGTTTCCATGTATCAATCTTTGTCAGCCTGGTCATGTCAAGGAATCTGGGAACTAAACCAGTGCTGGTCCTCAACAGCAGTAGGGAATATTCCTCAGTATGAAAAGTTTCATTATTAAAGGTCATTCTTGATTGTTCTTATGAACATATATCGAGCAAAATGAATAAAGAAGGTAAGAAGAAGTAGACTAACATACAAAACCAAAATGTTGAACTTTATTTGAGAGTAGACCAGCATAAAAAACCAAATTGTTGAACTTTATTTGAGGTAGACATGAGTCAAATTACATCCCTACCAATCAGCCTCAAAGATAGAGGTATTTCAGCCTTCAGCAACTTTAATGCGTGCTTCAGGATATCATCATATGAGCTTATAAAATTTGGTAGAGTCACCGCACGCGTCCGAACCTGGATTTGTAGATATTTGGTAAGAGCTCTTCTACACAAATAACATATTTGTAAACATTTCCAGGAAGAATATGGGGATTTCGTGAACAGGAAAGAGACCACTTGAAGTGGTGAGTATAACTGGATCAATATAAGAAAGAGGGAAAAGAAAGATAAAGTCAAATGGTTCCAAAGAAGCAGACTATACTTGAGATGCTACAGCAGTGCATACCTCAAAAGATGCAGTTTTCAACTTTAAGGTCAATGTTTTTCCTGAAAGTCCCTCTTTTTTCATGTCAGCAGCAAGCATCTCTGAGAGATCCTCTGCAAGCAATGGGAAAAAAAGTCAATAGGTATTCAGCTGTGTTAGAAAAATGGGTGAATTCTGTTGCCTAAACCTATAAAATAACAATTAAATAACCAGTTAAACTTTTAAAACAGTCACAGCTACTAAATCAGACTACCATTCACTTTCCTTTGGACAGAAAAGTTTATCTTTTTTGAAATTTTTCTAAGGCCTCCAAATCCTATAATTCTTGTAAAGTAAAGCTAAAGCTGAACTGTCTTACATGAAGAGAAAGAAACCAAGGCAATTACCAATTTTCTTATTAAGTAATGTCTCATCATTGGTGGCTGAAAATGTTCTTTCATTGCTAATGCTTTTCCTCAACCTACTTTCAGGAGTCTCTGTTCCTCCAAGTCCTAGAGCAACAGAGAGAAAAAAATCTGCAACAAGGAGGCAAAGCTATGAATAAATACACGCTGCAAAAGGGTAACGGGGAAACAAAAAAAAGAAAAAAATATTGATCAGAAAATACTACATAGATGAAAACAGTGTAAGTCTGCATGTTTTTACCTAATGGATTTTGGAAAAGAAACACTTGCAGATACTAAGCTGTTTTGGGAACTATAGTTGAAACTTTGAGTTCTCATTTACAAATCACTGAAAGTAGGTGCTTGATCAAAGAGTTAAAAAAGTAAGTTTCTGAGAAAACCTGATGAAGAGCGGGAGAAAAGTGCACACAGAAAGCCACGCTTTTGAAGCATTTCCTCGCATGTTGTAATTTCAAAGACATTCTTTAAAATTTGATCAGTAACCTTACCAATCCCCCCAATCTGTATGTGTAAGCAGATTCAGTAAAAGCATTACTTCTTCAGCTTTCAAACAATTAAATAGTTATAACAGCAAAGAATTTTCTTAAAATAATGCTTGAAAGGGGGACAAAAAACCTTTCTTATCGGAAGTGAGGAAATAAATGTCACCACAGCCATACGATCATTCGGTAGAACAAACTGACCGTTTGGCTTGTTGATATCCGAGCAAACCTGGTAAAAGAATAAATATGGTTATTAATATCAAAACACTTACCATATCGGAAAGCAAGCAGGAGAGATTGATGCCAAGCCACTTCTTTCCAAGGAAACATTTTCTCTTTACAGCCCACATAGAGTAAAAAATTTATGTGATGACACAATTCTACAAACTGCTTTCATCCTTCATGCAAGGGAAAGTCATGGGAAAAAGGTAATGTAATACATACCCTTGACTTGTAAAAAATAAGAGCAAAAACAATTTTTATACCTAGAGAAGCACAATACCCATGTGCAAACACTGTATGCAGTTTCAATAATTAAAGAGTAGTCTGATTTACTTTGACACAATCTTACAGTACCTTAGCAAGTAAGCGATTTGGAGCCACCCCAGCACTACAAGTGAGGCCTGTCTCATTGTAAACGTTGGATCGAAGCTCTTCAGCTACCTTGCAAAGTGTAAAAAACAAGATAGTGTTGATAATCACATTGGTGCAGATATATACAGCAAAAGGAAGTAGAGCTTATGTTTGACAAAAGGACATGATGCCCCGCTTCTTAACTCACTTCTGCACCAGTTATGCCTCTTTCCATGCAGACATTCGTTATATCCAGGTATGCTTCATCCAAACTTGCTGCCAAGAAGTTGGGATCGTATTTCTGGAAAACTAGGGCGAAGAGATGAACCAAAGTAGTCAGCACAAAAAATAAGTGGAGCTCCATGGAACAAATTCTTTAAAAGAGTGAAGTTCCAGACCTTTTCTTGTTAAATCACTGTAATGGGTGTATTTCTTGAAATCGACGGGAACAAAAATCAACTCGGGACATAATTTACGAGCAATAAATCCAGGCATAGCAGCCCGCACCCCAAATTTCCTTGCCTGTTACCAGGACAGAATTTCTGTTAGATCATCGAGAATAGTGCCACTAATCAAAAGGCAAACCGGATAGTGAGATTCATACCTCATAATTGGCTGTAGAAATCATAGACATTCCACCTACAGCCATTGGTTTCCCATTCAATGATGGATCGCATAGTGTCTCAACAGCTGCATAAAATGCATCCATATCGACATGTAACCAAATCCTTGACAGATCACGTCCCGCTTCTAGCTCCAAAACTCTATTATCAGCAATCTGCAGATATAAATTCAGTAAGCTATTATTTTCCCAATACCATCCACCGAATGATAATCTAACTGCGTGGACTACGTAAGTTTCTTCTCTATTCTTCATTATATTTAAGCATCAATTGAGAGTCCTTCGACAGTGTTTCTATCAAATTCAATATTCATTTTACTGTTACCTTCTGATAGTGGGACAAATCTTCAGGAGTGAGCTTAGCACAGCGAGTACGCATATTCTCAATCTTTTGTTTCATATAGGCCTCCTTCCGCTCCTCATTCTCGAAATATTTGGACCCTTTACTCATCTCATAAACTATTCTCTGAACCTTTTCCTTATCAACCCCTTCCATACCTGCAAATTAACCCCCAAATTTATAATAATGTGAAAACCAAATAAAATTCACTCCCAAATTCCACTACCCAGCCAGATAGATTTCCATTATTTGCCCAGAAATTTATACAATTTATAAAAGTAAAGGAAAAGGAACCAACCTAGAAAGTACGAAACACGGTGAATTAAAATCAGAAATCATACAACTGAAATTGGAATGATAGAGAAGAAGATAGTTTGCTACCTGCTTTGGCGTTAGTGTAGACAGTGTGATAAGACTCCCATGGCTTCTTGTTATCAGACAAAGGCTTTTCATCTGATGCTGATACGGAGGTTGGTTCCGTCTCTGCCATTTCTGCCATTTTTGTGTTTGAGGAAAGACCAAAACGGAAGAGATGGGAAAAGGCAAAGACCGCGAAAAGTTGAAAGAAATCATTGAAAGATATGAAAAATTTTGCTTATAAAGGAATCTATTGGGCTTGGATCGTAGATTCGGCCCATTTGTACTTCCGGTGCAGTGCTCAAGAAGATATCAAGAGGTAAATATTAAAGTCCTACCCAAGGTTAATTGAAAATTGTAAAGTACATACACCGCTAAATCATTGTTCGCATAGCATAAAACAGCATTAAAACAAAAAAAAAAAAAAAGAAATTCATTTCATCCACAAAGCAAGTTAATTACTCCACTTAACATTTACTAGTATTAATATTATTTACCCGTTTAGGTTTTTAGTATTGTTGTAATGTGAATGTTCAAAAACATATAACTTATAATACTCCCTCTGTTCCAAAACTATTGTCCAGTTTGAGATTTCACTTTTAGTATAATTTGAACCGTAAATGAAAACTCAAACTGGACAATAATTATGAGACGGAGGGAGTAGGATGTAACTATATACATATTCTAGAAAGTATGACAATTTTCATTTGACCTATCAAATACCCTTCTTGTTGGCATGATCGTGAAGTTTCATTTTGCATCTTTATGATCAGCATGGGAAGAAATGCGCGCGTCTTTTCCTCGTTTTAAATTTTAATTAGATTGCAATCATTGCATCCGCCGTTCACCAAATATAAAGAAAGTAAACTGAATTATTTAACCATACTACATGGAGAAAATATTGTGTGTACTACATGGTGTAGTATTGTACAATCTGACATACTACCTCCATCTCACAAAAATAATTCACATAGTATAGTATTTTTGTGGGACGGAAGGAGTAATAAATAAGGTAAACAGAGTTTTAACAACAAAATAAATGGTACCAATATTTACTACATTACTAATAAGGATACAACAACTGTACCCAATAATTTTTTTACAACTGATGAGTTTATCATTTTAAAGGACATTGATTCTAATTAAGGTTAATTAGGAGTACTCGAATGGGACGTCATTACCAACATACTACGGCTCATTATCGGCTTATATAATATTAGGTCCCATCATACACGGTGTTGTTAATTAATTCCAAGATTAACTCAATGCAAATTAACAACTTGTCACCATGCAACCCTGTTGCTACGTACCCGAAACGGATTTTTCTAAAAAGCAGGAAACTCCAAAGTAAAAGATGAAAACTACTTGCTACTACTATGGTAGAATTTGTGCTTGAAACTTCTCCTTTATTTTTGGTGTTGGTTCAAATGTTAAATTAATCCAGACGACAAGTTACACTAAAACTCCTAACTAACGTACTATCTTCATTATAATTCATATCATGCCTAATTTTTATTAAGTTAAAGAAGAAATATAGTCGCTTTAAAGTAATTCCTTCACATTTTGTGAAGTTAAAGAAATTCAGACGGTGCATATTGCACCTAAATTAATATTACTTCTTCCGTAATAGGCAACTTCAAAGCATTGAATCGGAAATGTCCATTAAGAATAGTAAAAATTTCTTTCGTGTAAAGATGGAGAAAAGGAAAACAAAAAAGGCACTAATTTCAAGTCAATAATTGGCGCAATATTTTCATTTAAAGGCAGATCGTAAATTCTATCTTCATTACCTTGTTTTGGGGAAGTTTTGGTAACGGATTCAAAGAAAGCATTATATTCCTTTTTTTTTTTTTTTTTTTCCTATTATTGAGCTGTAAACACTTCAACCCCACTATAATAAGTCTATAAATGTTTGCTGGTGTGTTTTTTTGTTACCCCATTCACCCAATCGATTCTCGCATTTCCTCTTCAGCACTAACACATAATTGGAAAAATTTACCGCCGTAGTTATATATTCTAACCGCTTAATTATTGGTATAATAAATTAATAATCCTATACTTGTTCATTCAATTACGAACATATAGTTTAATTAGTAGTGGGAGTTGATACTATATAAGTTATGCTTGGAAGTTGAAAAATCATTATCATACAACTTGCTATTAGTGATCAATTTCTGAAGCTCTGAAATCAACAAATTAACTTTGAGGGGAAAAAAAGTTAGGGGTTTTGTCAGTATGAAGTTCTCAAAACAAAGTACATCGATTCATCGGATTCTGTTGCTGCTCTGCTTTGTTCATTTCTCAGGTTTCATTTTCTTAAAATTTGTATTTTATATATATATATATATATATATATATATATATAGTCATTGTTTTGCGAGTATATTTAGCTTCAGATCTGTTTGAATGCTTAACAGGCCTTGAAGTGAAGGGATTAGACTATGATTACAGTTTCACTCGCGAGGCAAGCAGCCTGATTTTTGTTATGTCTCGTCTTTCTAATAATAATAATAATAATAGATACGGTGAATTCATTCAGTTATATATACATTTTACATTTTTTTTTGGGCTATGGTTAATGTCAGTGTTTGGAAGATCCTCTGAAACCTCAGTATGGAGGAGGGATTGTTGTGAACCCAGAATTTAGCCAGGGGATAAAGGGCTGGACATCATTTGGAGGTGCAGCAATAGAGAAGAGAGAATCACATTTGGGAAACAATTTCATCGTTGCTCTGAATAGAAGCCATGGGAGAGACAGTTTTTCGCAGAAGTTCATATTGAAAAAAAACACGTTCTACACGATTTCAGGTCAAACAATATCCTCTACGATCATGCATCATATTTTTCGGGGATAAAAAAAACCGTACTCCAACTGTGTGTGTGTGTGTGTGCGTTTTTTTTTTTTTTTAATTTCTTTTTACCTCACCACTTTTACTTATGTGAAATAATTATTGTACTTTCAAATTGTTTTTTTTTTTTTTTGTTTGGGTGTAGCTTGGTTACGAATAAGCCATGAAGAAGCAAATGTGGCTGCTGTGTTCAAAACATCAGGTGATGTCCACCATTATGCTGGTTGGTCTATCGCCCGGTCCGGCTGTTGGTCAATGTTTAAAGGTGGTTTAGCTGCTAATTATTCCGGGTCGGCTGAGCTTTACTTTGAGGTAATATAATTAAAATTTGATCTTCTCGTCTATTTAATTAGTCCACTTTGTTCAACAAATCAAATAATAAAATTGGGACGGGAAAAACGTTTCCAATTAAGAATGTTAATAGTTATAAAAATGGTCGGGTTAAATTAGATGTATAAAAGGCTAAAAGCTGGTTATGTTTTTACAGTGTGACCACCCATCGACTGAAATATGGGCAGACGGCGTTTCATTGCAACCATTTACCCAAGAAGAGTGGGCATCCCATCGGAATCAAAGCGTTGAAAAGGTAATTTTATAACACCCCATTAAGCATATATTGTTTGACTGACTGAGTGAATAATCCAAAATGATTACTTGTTGATTTGCATGATCCCCGCAGACCATTGACTACCGTTATGCATAAACGTTTGGTGAATTGTTGTTATCAGAATGACCGTTTAAATTAGTCGTGTTTCGTATTTGTTCACATGGGGAATTGAGTCCTAAAAATGTCAACACACAATGCATTATTGTAAGTCTTAATTGTAGCTTCCTATTAAGACTTCTAATTTGTAGGTACGTAAAAGCAAAGTGAAGATCCGAGCAATTGATCATACTACGGGCAACCCAATGGTGAACGCGACGGTAGAAATCAAAGCAGTAACAACGAATTTCCCACTAGGTAATGCTGTAAGTAACAGAATCCTAACAATTCCGGCTTACCAGGATTGGTTCGCCAAAAGATTCAGATACGCCGTCTTCGAGAACGAGATGAAATGGCAATGGAACGAACCGCAACCGGGCCAAGAGGATTACCATTTCGCGGACCGGATGTTTCAGTTCGTCCAGAAGAACAACATTAAAACCAGAGGCCATAATGTCGTATGGGAAAACGATTTTTGGCTACCCAATTGGGCCAAAAATATGGATGCTAACCAATTGAAAAATGCCACAATCCGTAGGCAATTATCAATCATGAGGAGATACAGAGGGCAAGTGATACACTGGGATGTTGTGAATGAAAACTTGCATTTCTCATATTTTGAGGACAAATTTCAATCAAATCGCGCATCCTATGTTTTCTATAAAAGGGCTCAGGTTATTGATGGAGAAGCTGTTATGTTCTTGAATGATTTTGACACGATCGAAAAGCCGTCGGGTTTTAAAGCGTCTCCGGCCAAGTACTTGGAGAAGATTGATCTGATCCGATCACAGGGTTATGATGGTCCTTTGGGAATTGGCATACAAGGTCATTTTTATGACCCTCCTGTTGGACCTTACATTAGGAGTGCACTTGATGCATTGGCTACCGCAGAATTGCCCATTTGGATTTCGGAGTTGGATGTTAATGTTAGCTGGCCAAAGGTAAATTGTTACTTCTCTATCGTCTTTAAACTATTATGATCAGTCATTTTTTAACAACTTAAATATTCTGGTTCGAAGTTAATCTATTGAACCTTTCAGATACTAGTATCTACCTTTTAGTCATTCTGTTAGATTTGGTCGTTGAAATGAAAACAACAGACTGTCATTGTCTCATATAATCGTTGTCATAGTCTTAAGTACTCCTTCTGTCCCAAAATTATTGTCCGGTTCGCATTTTCGGTTTTAGTACATTTGAACTAAAAATAAAAATCTATACTGGATAATAATTTCGGGACGGAGAGAGTATTAACCGCCAATTATTGAAAAGTAACATCATCAGTTAAGAAGTCACTATGATTGTGACATTAGCCTTCAATTTTCATTTTCTTGTGAAGTGAGCAAGATTTGAATAAATAGAACTTTGTACGGCAGGCAGCAGAGTACTTGGAAGAAGCCCTGAGGGAGCTTCAGGCACACCCGGCGGTGGAGGGGATCATGATATGGGCGCCATGGTCACCGCCTGATTGCTACAGAATGTGCATAACTGATGCCGATTTCAAGAACTTGCCAACCGGAGATGTCGTCGACAAACTTCTTGACGAATGGAGTCACGCCGGAGGTTTTGTGGGCAGTACTGATAAAGATGGCTACTTCCACAGTTCTCTGTTTCACGGTGACTATGAATTGAGGATCAATCATCCTTCAGTGGCTAATTCTTCCAAGAAGTCTTACAAATTTAAGGTGGAATCATCACGTAAAGTGAAACATGTTGTTTTGAAGATTTCGCCTGAGATATCTTCAAATTGAAACAGGAGCTTTCCTTGTTTCAACTAACAGAAATGTACGCAGTGGAGTAAGTACTGATTAGTGATAATTACTGCTTGATTGTTAATTTAGCTAATTGTTTATTGTGAGAATGGCAGCCGTGGTTACTATGCCAAACATAGAGGCATTGAATTTAACAATAGATTTATCTCTTGAATCTAACACGTCCTCATGTTCAAATTTATCTAGACAATAATTTGAAGCTTATTTTGTCATTGTATGAAAAAGGGAATCACATAGGCTAAAACTTATTACACTCAATCGCAATCCATTCAAACTCGTAAAGGCAAACCTCCCGTTTTTATTATACGATATTTTGATTTGTTTTAAAATTATTATTTCATATTTATTGTATTCTCTTAGTTATTAAGAAATATTTTTAAAGTTTTTTTCCCTATAAAAAAAATACTAAGTAAACTTTATGAAAAATCAAAATACTTTATAATCAGGACCGAAGGAAGTACTTCTCAAATACAGTTTTTTCTTTTCCCTTTTCCTGGGGAAAAAAAACCTATTGCACAAAGTAATATATTTTCGGGAATTAGCACCAATATATTTCCTTTTGGAAAGGACTCTTCTGTCGCATACTCACATATAGTTCCCAAGTTAATTTTTGCACTAAAATCAGAAGTTCTTTTGGTTTCCTTAATTTAAAACCTATTATCTTAGATATATGCATATTCAAGTTTCCTACATAACCCTGCAGATCTATATTTGGTTCTCACCGAAGAAAAAAAAGAAAAGAAAAAGCAGGAAAAATAAATTAATGACCTCATCACATCTAATAATGTACATGTTATAGTATACGGTATTTGTTAAGTTGAATTATAAACTATATTCTTTTTTATGGGGGGGGGGTCGTTTAAGGAAAAATATCTTAAAAAATAAGAAATATACTGAGTTAATTAAAAATCATTCAGTTCATCATTGGTTATGTCCTATTGTATAATTTATGATGATTAATAATAAGTGAAGATCGCTTTGCTCACCAAAATTATTTTACCCACCTAACTCCTAAAATTTTCCTAAATAATTCTTTTTTATTCTGATAATTTCACATACAATTAATTTATTTCTTATAAACATATGTATAAACATCTTTGACTTTCCTACGAAGAAATTTTACAAATACCCAAGAACTTCCTGTTCTCTCTAAATTTCTGGAGAGTGGCCGTATGATCGATATTCTTTCACTACTTGAAACTTAAGAGGTGCATCCCTTCTCCTTTTATTATTTCGTATTATTAAGTTCGTGCAAAATGATGTTATTTAGCAAGGTTTTTTTTTCTTCTTTTTCTCCCATAACCTTAAACTCTGTTGAAGCATCACGTAGGATTCGCAGTTACGCCTAATTAAATGTTTAATTAGAAATTAAACCCCAAAATTTGTAACAAGTTGAGGCTTGAATTATTCACAAAATTCAGCATTCTGTAAAATATTGCTTTTTATGTACCCTGGTTTTAGAACTAACTTTTATTTACTCCTTCTGTCCCAAGAATACATATTGAAACAGAGGGAGTTCATATATTTGTTAAATTTTATAGTTTTTAGCTAAGTGGAATTTGATTTTGCATATTAACAGTGACCAGCACCATTGCCATCATGAAGTCCAACAGCTACAAGGCTGTGCTTGAATTCGGGCTTTCTATATTTTTCTTTCTTCAGGTTTATTAATTAATTTCGGTGCTACATTAATTTTCTTATTTTTCAGTTGGTACATTTTGTTTTATTCTTTAAAAAAATTCTTACGCAATTTTTGGGTCTACAATTTTGCAGCGTTTAAAGTTGATGGCATATCATACGATTATAGTTACACTTCCGAGGCAAGCTTAATTGATTTCATCAATTAATTTACTCAAAATTCAATTGTTTTTTTTTTAAAATTTTTTTTGTTGAATTAAATGATTGCATATGTATTTTCAGTGTTTGGCCAGTCCACTCAAAGCTCAATATGGAGGGGGAATCGTGGTGAACCCAGAGCTGAATGAAGAAGGTTTAAAGGGCTGGTCAAATTTCGGTGAAGCAAAGTTAGCAAAGAGGGTTGACTCAAAAGATGGCAACAACTTCGTGGTTGCCTATGATCGAAAGGGATCCAATGATAGTCTGAAACAAACATTTATGTTGCATAAGGAAATTTCTACGTGATTTCTGGTATGTTTTTTATTCCCTCCATATAAAAATTATTGTTCAGTTTAAGATTTTTATAAGAGATGAAGTAGGAATTTCTGTCTTTAGTAACAATGAGTACATCGAGTATTTATAACCTACTTACATGCTCTATACAAGAAAGTATATCATACAAATCTTTACCATTAATTCATATCAATCAACATTAAGGAAGATTGGATCCTGATTGATAGAATATTACTCATATTTTTTATGATCATCTATTATGCCCCCACAAGTGGAAGGGTCCTGGAAGGACACTAAGCTTGGACCGCTGGCGAAGAAAGGAATCCCGAGCAAGAGCCTTAGTGAGGGGATCAGCAAGTTGATCTGAGGTATGAACATGCGAGACTCGAAGAACACCACGAGCAACTTGATCTCTTACAAAGTGAAAATCAATGGCAATGTGGTTCATCCGAGAGTGAAACACAGGATAGCACACAAGTAGGTGGCTCCAATATTATCACAATAGATGGTAGGGGTAGGAGTGGACACTGAAAGCTCACGAAGCAAGTTAGAGATCCAGTTCACTTCAGCAGCAGTGGAAGCAACCACCCTATATTCAGCTTCTGTGGAGGAGCGAGCAATGGTACTTTGTTTCTTAGAACTCCAGCTGATTGGATTTGATCCAAGAAACACAATGTATGCAGAGGTTGAGTGACGAGTGTCGGCATCTCCAGCCCAATCCGCATCAGCAAATGCATGAAGACGAAGAGATGACTTGGAAGACAAGAAAATACCATAATGAGAGGTGCCTTTGAGGCAGCGAAGCACACGTTTGACGGTAAGCCAATGAGTTTCTGTTGGACGGTGCATGAATTGAGCTAACTTGTTAACAGAATAGCTTATATCTGGGCGGGTTAAGGAGAGATATTGGAGGGATCCAACTACTTGACGATACTGAGTAGGGTCGTGAGCAAGGGAACCATCATCAAGTTTAAGATGGACAGAAGGAGTGGCAGGAGTACTAACTGCTTTGGATTCAGCCATATTGGTGCGATGAAGGAGATCAGCAATGTATTTTTGTTGAGAAAGAAAAAGACCATTCGGTGTTCGAACGGTGTGGATACCCAAAATAATGGAGAGGACCAAGATCTTTTAAGGAAAACCGCTGAGAGAGTTGAGAGGTAAAGCATTTGATGAGATGAGGATCATTTTCGGTCAAAATGATGTCATCGACGTATACTAGGAGATACATAACTTTAGACCCAAGAGAATAGATAAACAGAGAAGAGTCACTTTTGGAATTAATGAAACCAAAGAGAAGAAGAAAGGATCGAAGTTCAGTGTACCAAGCTCGGGGAGCTTGACGAAGGCCATAAATTGCCTTGTTTAGTTTACACACAAAGGATGGGTGTTTAGGATCAAGAAAGCCTTACGGCTGCTGCATATATACACACTCAGTTAGAGTTCCTTGGAGGAACGCATTATTGACATCGAGTTGATTGATGATCCAACCACGAGTGAGTGCAATGGTAAGAATAATATGAATGGTGGTTGTTTTAACTACAGGACCAAATGTGTCAGTGAAGTCGACACCAGGTCTTTGATGAAACCCCTTAGCAACAAGACGAGCTTTGTAGCGAGAAATGGAGCCATCGGGATTTTTCTTAATCCGATATACCCATTTGCACCCCATGACATTTTGAATAGGAGAAGGAGGAACAAGGGTCCATGTTTTATTTGATGTAAGAGCATTGAATTCCTCTTGCATAGCTTGACGCCACACATGACTTTTGTTGGCTTGGGTAAATGATATAGGCTCATGATCAGAGATGGAGGGAGATGTGGTAGCAGAGAGAGATAAGATCTGTTTGGGTTTAAAGATATTGTTTTGGGAGCGAGTGACCATTCGTGGAGGCTGAGGAGGAGTTGGGATGTGGTGAGAAGAGGGTGACGTTGAAGAGACTTGAAGTGGAGGGCTAACCGGCATCGGTGAAGGGGGAGTTTCCGCCGACAAGGAAGGAGTGACAGAAGCAGCGGGGGAGTGTGGCATAGACGTGGGAATGGGAAGAAAGTGAGGGCTAGATGAAGAAGTGGGGAACTCAGAATTATGCTCAACACTATTGTCAATAGAGTTGAAGGAGTTAGGCTCTTTAGTCATAAATTGAGTAAGGTAATCAGGGAAATTTGAGAAGGTGAAATCAGAATTATGTCTCCCTTTATACAGAAAGTGAGATTCAAGGATGACGACATGGCGAGATAGAAACACTCGATTCGTTTAAGGGTCAAGACATATAGATGAGTGGTGAGTAGGAGAATGGCCGAGATATATACATGGGTAAGAACGAGGTTGAAGTTTATGTGTGTTATAAGGACGAAGCCATAGATAGCACAAGCATCCAAAAACACGAAGAGACTTATAAGCTGGAGCTTGGCCAAAGAGCTTTTGATAAGGTGTTAGATTTTTAAGAACTGGAGTTGGCATGCGGTTAATGAGATAAGTTGAAGTTTGAAAAGCATACGACCAGAATTTAAGAGGCAGAGAAGCGTGATGGAGTAAAGTGAGGCCGGTTTCTACTATGTGACGATGTTTTCATTCAGCAGTGCCAATATGTTCTGGAGTGTAAGGAGGAGATATAAGATGCTGAATACCCTTGGTTTGGAAAAAGAGAGATAGTGGTTTATATTCAGTCCCTCCATCAGTGTATAGAGTTTTAATTCTAGTGTGAAAATAATTTTCAATAACATTACTGAAGGTCTCAAAGATTTTAGGAACATCAGATTTGAGTTTGATGGGATATAGCCATGTGTATTTGGTGAAATAATCAACAAAAATAATATAATAACGGAAGCCACCAAAGGATGCTATTGGGGCTGGTCCCCAAACATCTGAATACACAATCTGAAAAGGAGAATTGCAAGAAACACTTGATTGATGAAAAGGTAACTTATGACTTTTATTGCATAAGCAAGAATCACATACATTGACATCAGTAGAACATATTGAAGAAAGATTATGATGACTTAAGATTTTCTGTTGAATAGAAGAAGAAGGGTGTCCTAGACGTTGATGCCAAATTTGTGATGAGATGGCAAGGGAGACAAAAGGATGCGAAGAGAGTCTATGAGTAGACGTGCAGTGAGGCCATTCACAGAGATTGTTGTTACTCCGGCCGTGCAACAAGGATGCCCCCGTGGTCAGATCCTTCACAAGGAAAGAAAACGGAAAGAATTCAATGGAGCAAAAAGGATTAGCTGATCCTGACGTGTCCAAGTTATGTGTGAAGGATCGGTGGTTAGTGGACAGGGATTTAACCCATCAACAAAACCCAATGAGCCATAACCAAACAAAAGATTAGTCATTTGGGATTTCCAGGAAGCAAAGTTTTCACCATTTTTGGCAAGTTTGAAAGGGATCTGAGAGGAGGCATTCAGGGAGATGAGATTAGGAATAGGATTGGTTGATGAAGTGGGGATAACCGTAGGTCCAGGAGTGGTAGCAGATTTGGGAGGGGTAGTTGAGCCGCTGTCGGTAGGATTCGATGCCAGCCATAAGAACAGAAGAAAAAAAAAACACGGTAAGAACAAGTTGTGATTAGGATCGAACTCTATTTGCAATAGAGAAGCTCGATACCATATAAAAGATGAAGTAGGAATTTCTGTCTTTAGTAACAATGAGTACATCGAGTATTTATAACCTACTTACATGCTCTATACAAGAAAGTATATCATACAAATCTTTACCATTAATTCATATCAATCAACATTAAGGAAGATTGGATCCTGATTGATAGAATATTACTCATATCTCTGATGATCATCTATTAATTTTATTTTTAGTACAATTTTTTTATATCGTTCTGATCCTCATTTATCTGGTCTCGTGCAGCTTGGGTTCAGATTAGCCATGGATTATCTCCGGTCACTGCCGCATTCATATCAGCGACCGGCAATATCACAAATGTGGGAACGGCCATTGCTCGCTCCGGCTGCTGGTCCATGCTAAAGGGCGTATAACTCCCAATGCTTCTAGTGCCGGAGTTGCGGAGCTCTATTTTCTGGTTTGTATTGTACATAATCTTCAATCAAATGTCTTTTTGTTGGGTTGGTAATTATATTCAATCAATTTTTTGCCTAAATGAAAGTCCATCATTGCAACTCTTTATATATATATATATATATATATATATATATATATAGCTTTTATACGACTTTAATAGTAATTTTTTCAATTTTTGTTATTTGATTATGTATATGTACTTTGATGTGATTTTAATAGTACTAACATCTGTACTTACTCGAGTTCACAACATTAATTTTCTCAGAGTGAAGATGCTACTATCCCTTTTACCCTATTAAAGCAGAATACAGGATGTTGATGTGGCAACTTCTTATTAAAAATTTTTGGCTCCAAATGCACCATATTGCATTAACCATTCTGCCACGTGTCATCTCTTTTTAAAAGAAAAAAAAAATTCTTATCCAGAAAAACAAAAGTTACTTTACAAAAATAGCTACACAATTTTAACTCCTAACATTTATCATTTATCAATCAAATTAAAATAGTATTTAAATTTGTCCATAAACTTATCCCCTTTATTACTCCATATTCTTTCGTATGATTTCTGAATCGTTGTACTTTTCAATATTTTTTCTCCTTTGGCAGATAATTTTTTTATTTTTATAATTATTTTTTGCTAAAAAGAAAAAAAAAACAAATGTGTAGCTATTTTATTTTTTCCAAATCAAGAATTCATTTATTTATTAACATAAAATTAAAGTAGAGGGGCGCCCGGGCATCTGCCTGGGCCAAGCATCTAGTTGATATTATGATCGATAGCATCTCAGTGCAACCATTTACTCAAGAGGAATGGACATCACATCAAGTTCAAAGTGTTGAAAAGATAAAAGGGTGTGTAGCGAACTGCTGATCAGTAGTATCTCCTTTTCTTTCTTTTTTTTTGTAAAATATAAATTTATTGATATTGGAAATAAAAGTGCATATTTACAACCAAAAAAGACCACCTTCTATCACTGTTGCTAGCTACAAGCTATCTCTATACAACACTGTCCTTTTAAAAAATATATCACATTGAATTTTAAAATTTGTACTAAAAATAGTACAAAAATCAAAATTTGATATAAATTACTAATTTTTTTTTTTGGGACGGTGAGAATATTTCAATGATCATCATTTTGGACGGAAAGAAATATTGAGTTGTTGATTTCATTTTCCCCAGATGCGCAAGAGTAGAATCAGGTTCCAAGCAGTTGATCCTGAAGGTCAGCCATTAGCAAACACAAGTATCTCCATAAAACAGATCAACGCAGCTTTCCCAGTCGGAAGTGCAATCAACGCAAATATCCTGAACAATAAAGCCTACCAGAGCTGGTTCACCTAAAGATTCAAATTAACCGTATTCGAAAACGAAATGAAATGGTACAGCACAGAAATATCCCAAGGCAAAGAAGACTACTCTGTCTCCGATTTGCTGATGCAATTCGCCAAGAACCACGGGATCTCCGTCCGTGGCCACAACATCTTCTGGGATGCCGCGGATGCGCAACCATCTTGGGTTCCATCCCTTTCTCCGGCTGACCTTAAAACGGCGGTTGACAAAAGGATTCAATCAATAGCAACAAAATATAAAGGGCTGGTTATTCATTGGGATGTTGTGAATGAGAATTTGCATCACGATTTCTTCGAGAGTAAACTTGGAACGACTGCATCCACTACGTATTTCCAGAAGGCTCATCAGATTTGATCCGAGCGCGACGCCTTTTCTGAATGAATACAACACAATTGAGGTGAAAAGTGACCAGAAATCAAGCCCCTCTAGTTATCTACAAAAGATTAAGGACCTCCGTTCTGGTGGCTACAATGGACCACTTGGAATAGGCCTCGAGGGACATTTTGCCGGTGCTCCAGACCTGGCTTACATAAGAAGCGCCCTGGATACCCTTGCTTCAGCAAAATTACCCATTTGGATTACCGAACTGGATGTCTCCAGCAGTCCCAATCAGGTAAATTTTTGAATCGTTTATTGTGGTTGTTACAGTTTGTGAATAGATACCAAATCACACATACTCATACCTTAGAAAAATAGTCCACGTCGAGTTTTCAAGTTTGACTATTTTTCTGGTACAGAGAGAGTACTTAACTATTGCGCTTAATATTCTTGTGCAGTCAATATACTTGGATCAAATTATGAGGGAAGTTCATTCACATCCTGATGTGAATGCTATTGTTCTGTGGACTGCTTGGTCTCCCAGTGGGTGCTACCAAATGTGCTTAACGGACAACAATTTCAAGAACCTTCCCACCGGAGATGTGGTCGACAAATTCCTTGGAGAATGGAAAATGCTAGACGGGTTAACCGGCACCACAGATGCTAATGGGTATTTTGAAACTTCACTTCACCATGGAGATTATCAAGTCCAAATCAATCATTAAGAATAGTTGATCTCTTTCTCTTAACCATCTATCAACTTTAAGGTGGCTCCAACAACAAACGGCAAAACGCTTCATGTCAAACTCCCTACCAGGATAAGTACTTGAAACAATCCAAGTGTTTCAATTTACTTGATGGATTGATTTGCCCGACACGTGGTGTAGCTGCTTTATTTGTAACATTGCTAAATATGAATTCAAATAATGTACTGAAATAACTGTCATACATCTTTATTGCAATTCTTGACTGCATTTCTTACTTGATTTTCTAAAACTATAAACCAAATAAAAAAAAAAAGAAGAAAAAGAAAAAGAAACGAAAGATAAACATCAACTTTATAGTACAAACACAGGATAAGTACTTGATCACTTGTTGATTTGCATGATTTAGGACTTATTTGGCCAACATTTTGTTTTAGTTTTTGTTTTGTTCTTTTATTTAGATTTGAAATGTGATTTAAAATATAGTTTGAAATAAAATTTAAAAAGTTGTTTGGGTGATATTTTAAATAAACTAATAATATTTTTAGACCACTACCGGACCACCTCCATCGCCGCCGCCGACCAGCCGACCGGATTCCAGTCAAATTCCGGCCAACTCGCCAGAATTTGGTGCGACGGCAGGTGGTCCGGTGGCGGCGGGTGGTGGTGGAGGTGGTCCAGTGGTGGTGAATGAAAATTGTGTAAAAATAATTTTTGAAATATTTTTTAAAAGGTAAATTAAAAAGTTGTTTGGATAATATTTAGATTTGTATTTGAGAGTTGTTTTAAGAGGTAAAATGAGACAAATTTGGCCAAACAATCCCTTAGAGTCTATATAAGTAAACCGTTATGCATAAGCGTTTGGTGAATTGTTGTTATCAAAATGACTGTTTATTCGTGTTTCGTATTTGTTCACATGGGGGAGTTGATCACCACACAACGAATTTAGCTCGTTTTTACCATTTCTTTTACACTTACTAGAAACGTGTGATTTTTAATTAAGCAAAGTGAAGATCCGAGCAATTGATCATAATACATGCACCCCAATGATCCGGTAGAAATCGAAGCAGTAAGAACGAATTTTCCAACAGGCAATTCGGTAAGTAACAGAATTCTAACAATTCCGGCTTACCAAGGTTGGTCGCCAAAAGATTCAAATATGCCGTCTTCGAGAACGAAATGAAATGGCAATGGAATGAAGCACAACCCGGGCAAGAAGATTACCATCTCGCCGACGGGATGTTTCAGTTCGTACAAAAGAACAAAATTAAAACCAGAGGCCATAACGTTGTATGGGAAAATGATTTTTGGTTACCGGACTGGGCGAAGAATTTGGATTCAGACCAGTTGAAAAATGCCACATTCCGCAGGCAATTATCGATCACGAGGAGATACAGAGGGCAAGTTATCCACTGGGATGTTGTGAATGCAAACTTGAATTTCAAATATTTTGAAGACAAATTTGGTTCAAATCGGGCATAATTTTTAGTCATTCTGTTAGATATGGATGTTGAAATGAAAACCAGCAGAATGTCACTGTCTCATCATCATTATCATTATCGTAGTAACTACCAATAATTGAACCATAACATCATAAGTTAAGATTAAGAAGTCACTGTGATTGTGACATTAGCCTTAATTTAGTTTTCATTTTCTTGTGAAATGAACAAGAGTTGAATAAATAACCTTTGCACTTCAGGCAGCAGAGTACTTGGAAGAAGTCCCGAAGGCGCTTCAGGCACATCCGGTCGGTGGACGGGATCATGATATAGACGCCATGGTCGCCGCCTGATTGCTACAGAATGTGCATAACTGATGCCGATTTGCCGATCGGAGATGTCGTCCACAAAATTCTTGATGAATGGAGTCTCGCCGGAGGTTTTGTGGGCAGTACCGATAAAGATGGCTACTTCCACAGTTTTCTGTTTCACGGTGACTATGAATTGGGGAGCAATCACCCTTCCGTGACTAATTATTCCAGAAAATTTAACAAATTTAAGGTGGAATCATCACATAAAGTGAAACATATTGTCTTGTAGATTTCGCCGTAGACATCTTCAAATTGAAACGGGGATTTTTCTTGTTTCAAGTAACAGAATTTATGCAGTGAAGTACTGATCATTGATTGTTTGTTGCAAGCTCTTTAGCCTTACTAATTCTTAGTCATTTGGCTAATTATTTATTGGGAGAGATTCAAAAGTCTTAAACATCTTGAAATGGAGACATTGACTTTTTTTTTAATTTTTTTTTTTTTACAAAAAATGAGGCATTTACATGATATACCTAGATGATTGCGGTCCATTGGCCAGAAATACCAACTATGTCATATTGCATTTACGGTTTCAACTCCAACGAAAGCTTATCTAATCGCACCAAACCACCCTCCGTAATAATTCCCGAATAGCCATTGACTGTGACAATATATTTATCTCCCAAACTTACACGTGACTAAAAATTATTACACTCTAATTCACAATCAACTTTATTGAATAAGATAAATATGCTCTCTACCAATCGCAATTCAATGAAATTTGAAACTCATACCAGTTCACTTTACAAAGGTAAAAGGACTTGCACATTTCTATTTCCTGAACCTCTAATCAACTACCCAGTAACCAGATCTCACTGAACAGAATATAGATCCACACACATGCTCATTACGGCTCTGAAAAAGTTGGGGGAAAAGAACCTACCATGCAGTTTTCTACAGTCAATTTAGCCAAGAATCTAAACCGCTACGTGATATTGAGAAGCAAGTGAAAAACTAAATCAAAGTTGGAAACTCGAATTTAACTAGAGTGTCCATTACAAAAAACAAAACAACTCACCATCAACATACTGAGGCCGAGAATATGTCACATGACTCTGGCAAGCATAAAGCCTATAAAGGGGCTCAGCAGCATTGGGATCATTGGGAGGCTTTCTTATGTCAAGCATTAAAAGGTCCATGAGAATTTTCACCAAAGCTTTTCTTGTATCAGAGTGAGCACAAAGGTTCAAGAGAAGCCTCTGCAGCTGACCTTTGTAAAGTGGCTGCAAGAGTATCACAACAGTCCAGTGAAAAAATTGAAAAAAGATTTCGAAAAGGAAGAAAGCATGCAAAAATATTAGTCATTACCGATATATTTCCTTTTGTAAAGTACTCTTCTGTTGTAAGCCTCATTCGGTTACCAAGTTAATTCTTGCACTACGATTAGAAGATTTTTCCTTTCCCTTATTTAAAAACCATGCAGACCTAACTAAAAACATAAATTGGCAAGAAAAGAAAATAGTAGAAATACTAGTATATAAATTGACAAGAACTTCAATCTAGATCTAGTTGTGCAATGTAAAGAAACATTAAAATGCCAGTGGAAAACATTTTCAGGAATCCAAAAGGTAAAAAACTCTGTATATGGAACCTAATGGTAAGAAATATACCTGTTGGCTCTAGTTGATGTTTAACTCATCCAAACTGATGCAGAACTTATTTTTATCTTGTGCCTTCACGAGCTCCATACCCTCAACACAAACCAAGCTCTCAATGTAGCTGAATGCTTCAAATGATTCTTTCAGAGCGCCAGAGATACAATATCCTTTGATTCCATTAGTCGCGGGATCATACAAAAACAAAGTGCCCTCTGGAGTCTCCGCCAAAACAACCCCATCCTTGGAGCATTGCAGGAGGCTATAGATTTTCGATCCAATTGGTCCAAAAGAGAATCTTCTTTCCCAACATCCCTTGATTTCATCATACACAACAACATCAAGACAATCAAGCTTCTCTTTGGTCGGAGAGTATAAAAGTGAAGCAACACACCCTTGCCATTCAACAAGTCTTGCTTTAAACTCGCTGTGATCATTACCCAAAAGCCTAGGCGCCGGAAAATGTCTGAAGACATCATTCTTCGCATCAAACCAAAGTAATGCCGCCTTAAGCTCGCTTTCATCACTTTCATCTCCAATTAAGCCAGCCCAATAGGGTATCCCTTTTGCAATCACATTAGGCCTAGTTTGTCCCTCCATACACTGAAAACTAAGCCTAACTATCTTCCAAGAATCCTGCTTCACCGAATACACCTCTGCACAAGAACCCCAAGAATCCAATCCCTTAAAACTACAAATTCTCACAATCTTATAATCATCACGTGCTTCATCATAACCCAGCCCAACTGAGACTTGTACAGGTTCTTTTCCTAACATCTGGAACCGAAAGTCAGAGAGTTTGATCCCTTTCCACAGATTGATAGCAGGGTTCCAAAGAACAATCATTTGTCCACGTGGAGGCCAAGACAAACAAACAAGCCCGTTTATAGAACCCACTAAGTCCATTTCTAACAAAAATACAGGAAAAGGGTTCACAACCGGAAAGGGTTCTTTCTCCATCGAATTAATGTTGAGTACAGACATATTGTGAGAGTAGACCTTATCCAAGCTATGGATGATGAAACAATGATTAAGGGAATTGTTTGAGGTTTTCTTGAGATGCATAGTGATAAATTGGGGAGTTGAGAAAAGAGAACGCCATGACTTGGAAACACATCTGAAACGAAGAATAGACTTGACAGGAAGACGCGAGAGAATATTTGAGACAATTAGTTCATTGGGAAGCTCACAATCGGCAACATTAGACATGGCGGCTGAAACAATCGAACGTATGAGAAGACTCTGCTGCTACCGTTTCGGCCTTTGTGATTCCGGCGGCAAGCTGCTTCAGAGCACCAGAAGGAGCGTAAATTCCCCGACTCCGGTGACGAGGATTAAAAGGCAACCATCAAACTGCTGCGGTCGTGTGGCCTTTCGCCTCCGCCTCTGTTCGGAGGGATCCGATCTGTTGATGGGTCGGAGGGAGAAACGATGTCGTATCTTCCACCTTACAGGAACTTACAGGAGAGTTCCTTACAGAGGAATCCGATCAATCATATCCAAGAAGAATTCACGATTTCTTTTTGCTACAATTAAAGAGCCAAACCCTGAAAGTCCTATACTAAGACGTTATTAAAATGTGGAAGGTTTCCCGATTTTGTTGATACGGGGAAAATTAATTAGTAGAGATAAAGATTTGTAAATTATTCAGTTTGTCAAAAAAATTCACATTGAGTTTTAATATTAATATATTAAAATTAATATTCATCTAATTTAAATTTTCACTTTTGTTACAAATTAAACGAAAAAGAATAAAAAGCTAAAAAATAAATACAAATTTCAAGACTTAAAAGGTGGACTAGTCATACAGTACTACTTAACTGGACATACAAAACTGACATTTTATCTAAAGCCTGAATAGATACTCCTGATACGATTTGGGGATAGAAAATCAAAGTCGTAACGAAAGATAGTCTCAAAGAAGTGCCATATCTGTTCAGCCAGCAGAGAAATTTGCTATTCCATAAGGTAGCCATACAATGACTTCCGAAAGTTGACTATTGGCTAGCTAAAACTTTACGAACCAAAGGCAACACAAACACAGTCAACTTGTATACATCGATCATAAAGATGAAATCAGTGGTTCAACCTTTTGAATGCCTTAAAAAGACTTCCATGATTCCTGAACCAAAAAGCAAACAATCACACTCGATCAACTTCTAAACATTGTAGTAAGATGAATTCAATTGAGTGTCGAGCTTTCGCATGCCATACCATGACTTCCACTGTCCACTTCTACGTATGTCGAGTCGTCTGTAACTCTTAAATGAACGCATACTTTGAATCCCCAAAATCACGGAAGATATATCCTGAAGAAACTGGTAATCAATCAAAGAAGATGGGCAAACACGGCTGTGAAAATGTACAAACCGTTCATACGCATTCATTGATTATTAAGATTAATTTATACGACGTATTAGGGTTACTAATGGTAACATAGTTAATTGCAAGTTTTACTAATTAACTAAACCCTAATTACCTTAATATATCCATCTCAAAACTTCAGCCAATCAAACAGTCTTGCTCCAGAAGAGAGCGCGACAAATCAATTTCCCAACCTTTTCCCCCTTTAGTTCGTCATTTCATACAATTTAACCCAATTTCACGACCTTTTGTTTTCTGTGGTCAAATGGAACTTGATTTCTTTTTCCGTTTTTAGTGTGCTTTATTCTCTTACTTAGATTAGTCAAAACTCGGTGCTGCAAAATATATATACTCCCCTGTTCCAAAAATTAAATCAAATTTGTACTAAATAAAATTGAAATTTTAATATGAATTATTTTCTCGGGACATAAGGAACATATATAAGTACTAGAGTTACTGCACTTCATACATTTGTGATTCCGGTTTGGTGCAACTTGGATTATTTTTATTACTACTATTATTATTTTTCTTGATAATCTGTGCAACTTGGATTACGATTTTACTTTTGCACTCAAATTTCTCGTTTTATTTTTGCTTTTGCAGCCTTTTTGTTAGAAAATATGAAAGCAACATTCTTCTGTACTTTTATCTTCCACCAATTGACAATGCTCTTTCAAACTCAGTAGACAACAATCCGGTTCTCATACTAAGGGAACTTACTTTGAGAAAATCATCTTGATTGTTTAACAACTCTAATGAAATGAAAAATTAATCCTAGCTAAGGAAGAAGATATCAAAAGATCGGGTTGTGGAGTTTTTAGTGTTTCAAGCGAATCTGCCAATGGTGATTTATTTTGCAACTTACTGAATATAAATACTTCAACGCACATACGCTTACGCACATACGAATCATAAAGAAAGTTTAATTTTACAATTTTTGAGTGAATATCACTTTTTGCCTTGATAACGAATGGTAACTTGTGTATTATAGTTAATCTCAAATATAAATCTGGCATTTTACACATTTGTATCACACAAGAAGATGCAAGTGTAGTGATAATAATAGTTGAAAAATTACAACTCAGTGTATTGTAAATGATGGTCTTGTTTTCTTGTATTTTTTTTTTAATATAATTCAATAAGACTTTTTTTTGATACCGACAATTGGATTCATTATTGTCCTAAACATAAGCATTGGTGATTAATTTAGAATCAAAAGCTCAAAACTATTAACAGGACCCGTCTTTTTCAAGGAAAAATAAATACTTACTGGCAGTTTTTATTGTACTCCCTCCGTCCCATAATTATTGTCCACTTTGCCAAAAAAATTTTGTTCCAAAATTATTGTCCAATTTGACTTTTTATGGATTAAGTTACACATTTGTCCTTAGTAAAAAACATTATCCATAAACTCTTAGTGGTTAAACAATTACTTATGTAGGGTATATCCGGTTGTTTAAGGTAAAATATAGTTAACTTTGACCAAAAATAAAATCTTTCCTTTTAGTAAAACTGGACAATAATTATGGGACGGAGGGTGTATAATTTTCAGAGTTAAATTATGTTAAGATCCCACATGGGATCATATTGATTACTAGTAGGATATTATATATATATATATATATATGAATGTGATTATTAATTTATGATCAATTAGTTTGGAGATGAAAATCCAAAATTACTTAATTAGGAGTTGGACCACCCAATTTGGTTTGCCCTAGAACCAAACCAGTGAGGAGAACGTCCATATATATATATGCACCCTATTCTATCAACGTATCACGGAAAACAAAGGAAAAAAAGTATCATTACCAATTTTAGAAATAGTTTTTAGATAAGACCAGCACCATTGCCACGATGATGTCCAAGAGGTGCAGGGGCGTGCTTGGGATCGGGCTGATAATTAGCATTCTTGTTTCTTCAGGTTTCTAATTTCAATGCTAAAATTTCCTGGTTTTAAAGTGTGTTTTTTTCAAGGGTAAAACAATTTTTGGGGTTAATTTAACTCAATTTAATTAATTATTCATTTATTTTTGCAGTGTTTGGAGTTAATGGTCTATTATACGATTATAGTTACAGTTCTGAGGTAAGTTTTGCCTTGTTAATTAATTAATAACTCAAAAGTTTCACGTGGGACTTGACTCAGTTTCGGTTTTGCATGTGATCAACAGTGTTTGGCGACTCCGCTGAAACCTCAATATGGTGGAGGAATGGTGGTGAACCCTGAGCTGAATGAAGAAGGCTTGAAGGGATGGTCAACCTTTGGTGAAGCGAAATTGGCAAAGAGGGTTGACTCAGAAGATGGCAACAACTACCTGGTGGCCTATGATCGGAAGGGATCCAACGATAGTTTGAAACAGGCATTTGCATTGGAGAAAGGGAAACTCTATGTTATTTCTGGTAACCTCCCCTTCCAAAATAACTGTTTCTTTTGGAATGTCACTTTTAATGAACAATATATAAAAAGTAATGATATTTTTCTCCACAAATTTAACTCTACTTATAACTCTACCTATATATTTATTTGGCATTCCACATCATTTCTCCAATTATTATTTTTCCATTCATTAAAAAAAATTAAAAGAAATTTTATCCATTTTTTTTTTGTTCTTTTCTTTTTTTTTTCTCCCTTTCACAATTCTCAAGCAGAGAATTCTCCTTTCTCAAAATTCTGAGAATCATTCTCACAGTTTTCAGCCGCAAAAAAAAAATAAATAAATAAAATTGAAGCCATGCCTAATAAACTTGTGCTCCTGATGTTGCCAGGAGGGGATAAATTGAGAGCTGTTTTTTTATATTGAGAGCAAACTTTTGTCAAGTACCTACATTACCCCCACTTAAGATTTTAAGGAAATTACCATATTAATTTTTTTTTTTTCTCTTTTTTACCTTATCTAAACACGTTAAAACAGATGGAGTGTAATTTGCTCCTATGATCTCATCATATATACACTTGTAAACAAATGTTCCTGTTGTTTTATCGTGTAGCATGGTTACAGGTTAGCCACGGGGTATCGCCAATCACCGCGGCATTCAAAACATCGACCGGCAATATCACGCTTGCAGGCACCGTCATTACTCGTTCCGGCTGCTGGTCCATGCTGAAAGGTGGGATAACTCCGAATGCTTCCACTTCTGGAGTTGCCGAGCTCTATTTCCTGGTAATTTACACGTCTTTCCTTATATCACTTGCATATTCATACGAAGATATGAACAGTTGATATTTTCCGCGGTCCCCATTTCTTGGAGTAAATAATTGTTTTAATTATTGGTCGTATGGGTTTAGAGTGAAGATGCAACTGTTGACATATGGGCGGATAGCATTTCTCTGCAACCATTTACTCAGGCGGAGTGGGAGTCACATCAGATCCAAAGCGCTGAAAAGGTAAAAGCTGTTTGTCAAGAAGTGTCGATTCGAATTATCGAGTTAATTTCATGTTATGTATATTACGTGATTAATAATACCTTTTGGAGTAAAATAATAATAATAAATCAAATCAGATTAATCGTGTCAGATTATTTCTGTAAATCGTGTCGTTTTATCAGAAATTGGCATCCGGTCATAAATCTTAATACTTCACTGAGTTATGGGAGAAGAAGAAGGCCCTATTAATAAAATGTGTTGAGATGGAGAATTTATTGTTTTCCCTTGTAATATTGAATGTTTTTGTTCAATTTTGCTTAGATACGAAAGAGCCGAGTTAGATTCCAAGCAGTTGATCCTCATGGCCAGCCATTAGCAAACACGAATATCTCCATAACACAGACCAACGCAGCTTTCCCAGTGGGGAGTGCCATCAACGCAAACATTCGGAACAATCAAGCCTACCAAAGTTGGTTCACTTCAAGATTCAAATATACCGTCTTCGAGAACGAAATGAAATGGAACTACAATGAAAAGATCCAAGGTCAAGAAGATTACTCCGACCCAGATGCAATGATGCAATTCGCCAAGAGCAACGGCGTTTCGGTCCGCGGACACAACATTTTCTGGGATGATTCTACTTACAATCCGACTTGGGTCACAACCCTTTCTCCGGCGGATCTCAAAAAAGCCGCCGACAAAAGGATCAATTCCATTGTCAAAAGATACAAGGGACAGGTCATTCACTGGGACGTTGTTAATGAAAATCTAAACCACGATTTCATGGAAGGTAAACTTGGACCAAAAGTCACAGATGCATATTATCAAACAGCTCGTGCGTATGATCCAGATGCAACCCCTTTTCTGAATGATTTTAGCACCATCGAAAATAATCAGAAAGATCAAAAAGCAAGTCCAGCTAATTATAAGAAGAAAATTATGGAAATACGTCAAGATGGGAACTACAAAGGTCCTCTTGGAATCGGGCTCCAGGGACACTTTGGCATTCCAGACGTTGCTTACATAAGAGCCTCTCTGGATATGCTTGCCACGGAAAAATTACCCATCTGGATTACTGAATTGGATATCTCCAAAAGTCAAAATCAGGTAATTTTTAGAGTTGAGATTATTTGTTGAGTTTTCACTACTATAAATATATACTTACTTCTGTCCAAAAAAAAATAGTCCACATTGAGATCTGAAATTTGTCTGAAAAATAGTCTAAGTTGAGATCTGAGATTTATACTAAAATCAGCATGGACTATTTTTTTTCGGAACTGAGGGAGAATATATTATTTTCCGACGGAATGTGTTGATAAGGGTCAATAGTACAGTCTGAGCAGGCAAGATACCTGAATCAAACCATGAAGGAGCTCCATTCACATCCGGCTGTAAATGCTATTGTTTTGTGGACTGCTTGGTCTCCCAGTGGGTGCTACGAAATGTGCTTAACAGACAACACTTTCAAGAACCTTCCCGCCGGAGATGTCGTCGACAAAATCCTTGGAGAATGGAAAATGCTAGACGGATTAACTGGCACCACAGATGCTAATGGCTATTTTGAAACGTCACTTCACCATGGAGATTATCAAGTCCAAATCAATCATCCGGAGGAGGATCAGCTGATGAGTTCATTCTCCTCACCATCCATCAACTTTAAGGTGGCTCCGACAACAAACCACGAAATGCTGAATGTCAAACTCCCCACCTTAAGTACTTAAGAAAGATCCATGCATAAATTCATACATATATATCTATACATAAAAATAATTTCAAGTGACTATTAGTACTATGTTACTAAAGTACGGAATATTTTAATTTGTACGGACCTCATGAAATGAATCAAATATCAATCTTGTAGCAAGCGAGTTTCTGAAATCATACGAACAAAATGAACGACTTGAATGGTACTATTATATATATCAAGGAGCATGGAAATTAATCACCATTTCTTCAATAAATAATATCTTACATTAGATATATATATATACTTACATAATTACTCATGGAATGCATTCTTACACAAACCAGTCGAAAAAATGAATAAAAAGAAATTACTGACAATTTGCGTAGTTATGCATACTATATATATAGGTTGCTCCAAACAAACTGACAAACTGAATCTGGAACAGAGGGGGATCTCGCATGCATTGAGACAGTGGCAGACTCCGGCCTAATGACCGATTCGAAGTTTAAAAGAATCTGTAAGATCTTGATCTCCTTCTGCTTCTTCTAGACCTTCTTCTTCCAGATACAAAGCATGAAACCGCAGCCATGATCACCGACACCGCGAAGAAACTCAGGTCCTCAAAAATGGCTGCAAATCGCATCTCTTGAAGTTGCCATATGGTGTTTGCAACGTAGTGCAGCCCATCCAATATCATCATCAAATCAACCATTTTTTTAATGTTTTTCCCCCCCTTTTTGACGAACCTTTTCTTCTTCCAGTTCCGGTTATCAACAACTCAAGAAAATGAAGGGAAAAAAAAATGCACAGTTTGGTAGTGAAAGGCAGAGCAGAGAAGAGAACCGAGGGTATATAAATGGTTACAATTTGGTCCGGTACAATATACACGTACAATTTGATTTTATCCGCCACCTTCCTTCTTTAGGCTGTAGTTGAGATCGAACAAAACAAAAGGGAGAAAAAACTCAAAAACTGAATTGTGTAAGTTTACATTATGTCGATGCTTCCACGAAAATTCCTCGGGAATGCAGTTGTGCCCAGTTGGGACCATTGACGACCGAAACGGACAACCGGAGTTCAAAAAGCCTTGTTTGAGTAGGTTCAATTAAATTCAGAAACTACTTGCATTTGCTAAATCCCAAATGCAGTTTTGGCGAGGACAAAATAGGACTGCCCCCATATCCATTTACTTTTTTAGTCCGCAAAGAAAGTAAAGCTTGTGATATGAATATCTTTTTATACAATAACACGATTTAGCAATTTAGCATATTGATGCTACAATTTGTTTTGTTTTTTTTATTTATTTATTTATTTTTTTTTTATAAACTCCATACAGTTATATGAACAACACAACTCTAAATTACAATCCCAAAGTTTTACCAAAAAATATACTCCCTCCGTCCCATAATTATTGTCTAGTTTGGGTTTTCATTTCTAGTTCAAATTGTACTAAAAGTGAATTCTCAAACTGTACAATGATTTTGGGACAGAGGGAGTACATACGACAATTGTAACATACCTACCATATAATAAAAACATTACCGCCCTCTAAATTTGTTACTAACTTTTTCCGATAGAATTTCATTTTTACTCATCTTTTGTCTCTAGTTGTACAATCTTTTGCGGTACAGTTAATGTACAGTAGATTTTCTCAAGTTTTACACGAAGTGTATGAGCATACATGTTTGGTTAAAGATTAGACAACTGGGGGTGTGTTAGTTTAAACCAGTGTTTTCAAAACCGGATCGGCCTGGACAGTCTAACCAGTTGGCCCGGGAACCGGAAGCCTTACCGGTTCGGTTTCTATAAAAAAGTTGGATTCTGTATAACCCGGTCAAATTCGGGCAAAACCGTGGTTTGACCAGAAACCGGTACCGGTTGATTTTTGCATATATTTTTTAAAAAATTAATTTTAAATATTTTTTTAATATTATTTAAACCGGTTTTCACTGATTTCGAGGAATGAACTAACCCATTAACCCGATAAATTCACCAACCCTGTCACGCTAACGGTTCACTTTCCGGTCCGGTTTTGAAAACATAGGTTTAAACGTGAGGATATATTTTCTTTTTCACCAAAAGAAAAGTTTTATGTCCGAAAATGGGCCATCAAATTACGAGAAGAAGAAGAAGAAGAAAATTGTGGGTTTACAAAAGATTGGGCTCAGACCAAAAAGGTCATTTAACTTCTAGGCCTCAGTTAAATGACAAGAAACCCCTGGCTTAGCAGCCCAACTTCATGCATCCTCGTTTCTCAGCCGCATCACTCAAGGATGATTTTGGTAGATCCGACTTAATACCCAGATTTTAATAAGAGATGAACCAATTATTATCCCCTTCCACAAGTATGATTATTACCTCTCCCAATCATTAAACGCCGCACACACATACACACAAAAAAATAAAATAAAATAAAAATAAAATGGAAGAAAACTAAAAACTCTGGATTCAGGAATTCTTTCTTTCCTGAGTTCTATTCTTCTCTAGCCTCTGCCTCTTCTACATCATGATCAATATTCAAGCCATATCAAAATCAAGACTCAGGTTTCAGGAATTCATTCTTTCTGGAGTTCTCTTCCTTTCCTCTTCCCACCTTGTGGTTTCTTCTCCGCTCCTCCCCAAAAGAGGCTTTTGTGTGATTCTGAAAAAAATCATGCTAAACAACCAGAGGTAATTTAAGGCAGTTGTTTTTGCCAACGAAATACCTTGTTCTTGGGCGTGTTTGTTCATAACTTATCTGAGGTTCGTTTTTCTCCAATACGGTAAAGGTTTGTTTGTCAGTAGTATCTAAATTATGTAATTGATGATCTACCTTTTAAGTTTTGAGTACAATCTCTGTGAGAAGATAAATTACAGTATAGTCTGTATAATACTAACATCTGGCATCTCAGTTTGTTTCTATTAAGGTGGTTTCGTGTTAAAGGAGATCTGATATGATCTTATTGTTTTATATCCTCGTATACTCTGTTACTGATTAGTGTTTCTGGGTTCCAACTGAGTTGATCATGTGGTGTCTCACTTTTGATTTTAATGGTTTCGCGTGAATTCCTGTCTCCCGAGGATGAACTGTATAGGTAACAAAAGATTAGCACAGTATGAGTTCATGGCAAAGAGTACCAGGTTTGTTCTAACTAATTTGTGCATGAAACTTTGAATTCTTATTCCAGCACTGATTGGAATCCATAAACTTCTACGTTGGCCTTAAAGATAAGGGAAGAGTTGGTTTGATGTAGGATTTTGAGGGAACACATTGGATCTCTTTCAGCTCGAAATTGTATGAGAATTAGTAATGTGTGTGCTGATTGTTAACCGATAAAAGAAGCAGTCAGAAAATAAAAATAATGTCGTGATTATTCCGA